TTGCCGCGCTTGACGGAGCGCTTACGGCGGTCGCTGTCGCTGCCGCTGTCCTCCGAGGCCGAGGAAGCGGAGGAATTGCCGCGCTTAACAGAGCGCTTAAACTTGAGGGTGCGGCGGCGGTCCGAGTCTGAGCCGCTGTTCTCGCTATGGCTGTCGTCCGATGAGTCACGCTTCACAGAACGCTTGAACTTAAGGGTGCGGCGGCGGTCCGAATCCGAGCCGCTGTCGTCGCTGTGGCTGTCGTCGGAAGAGTCGCGCTTGACGGCGCGCTTGACGGCGCGGTTAACAGCGCGGCGGCGGTCACTGTCCGAGTTCGAGTCCGAGCCGGAAGAGTGGCTGTCGCGGGACTTGAGGGCACGGGTGCGGCGGACGGCCGAGCGCTTCTTCACCGCGGCATGACGGGCGACGGTGCGAGCGACGTGGCGGCGACGGTCGTCATCGCTGTCGGAGCCGGAGTCGTCAGAGTCGGAGTCAGAATCGCCACGCTTAGCGACGCTCTTGGTGCCAAAGAGAAGGTTGGAGGCGCGGGCCATAAGGCCCTCCGAGCGGGCCTCCACAGCGGAGCCACCACCGATTCCAGCGTGGGCCGGAGGGGCCGGGGTAGGTGCCGCCTTGGCGAGGGTGAAGAGAAGAGCAAAGAGGATCCTGACCTGCATGAGTGGTTGGTTGTGTGATGTGAAGTGGAGTTGTAAAGTGCTGAGGAGATGGCGAAGACGGTGCAATTGATCGGGCTTATATGTCAATCAAAGACAGCTCGAACGCCGCCACTTCCATCGACGTCCACGCTCACACGAGCAATAGTCAAGTGCCACATTGATGGTACAATCACACAAGGCACAGCATTACGTTTGGGGCCCTACCTCGGAGCGACCATACACCGCTTCCGCGTCGCACACGTGCCGTATCAAGGACTGTTCCAGCCGTCATTTAGGCTCTGGACAACTTGTCTCGGCGTCCTTGGCGAGTTCAAGCTCGGCCGAGGCGGCGTCGGCGGCGGCGGCGTGCGGAGGCGGGCGAGTTGTGAGATTGGTCCGTTCTCAAGTCCCCCGCATTGTCATACTACCTCCACCAATGGCTATTGTTCCGCTCTAGGGCGTTTCAGCCTGGGGGGTCTCCACAGGCACGCTGAACTGATGTCATCCACACCTCTGGGATGTCAGTTGGTCTCGGCACACAGCTATTATCGACGCCCATGTCTTGGTATGGGCTGGAGCACTTGGTACACTGCCATCGCCATCGCCTCGCCACCATCCGCAGTTTGAGTCGACGGCCTCGTCCGGTCCAAGTTCCTGTACATGTCTGACACTGTGGAAGCAGGCGGCTGGAATTCATGAATGGGTTTGAGTACCAGGCAGTGTTGCATCCAACAAGAACTTGTGTGCTCGGACGACCCGCCGTGGCCAAACGATAGCTCGTGCGATCTCATGACTGGAGAGCGCGTGGTGAAACGTGTAAGGCTTAAGCCGACGGGCGATTACAGCATGCAGGGACCAAAGCTATCGCCAAGCGCTTGCCCAGACGTCCCCGTTATATCGGTAGGAGACATTCCGGTAAATCCCGCTCGCCCTTGATCTGGGGCCAACAAGGTTGTTAACTGTCTATTAACTCCGGTATCGCTCTGCTGACATCGCGAATGTGGCAGTGTCGTCAGGCAACCGTTCCTCTGCGTCCAGAAGCCACCCTTCCCCACCCTCTATTGTTAAGCAGCCCAGGGAGCATGGACTGTCGAGGAAGCCAGCATGTCAGAGCACACGGCTTGTTTGAGGTCATCGTAAGGTGAAAGGTGGGCTGGTCACAATTCGCACGCCATAGTCATCCGGTGTTGCCCGAGCTAACCCGGCGACTCATGCGTTTTTAATGGTCGTCTGGACCTGCCGGGTCTGTTCGATCGCTAAGTCTGAGTAGTGTAAAGGCGGAGGAGTCGGCGCCAAGCCTGCCAAGAAGCAACTCACCCGAATAGATTTGCATTGGCTCATGGAGATACAAATGATTCACATGCAGCATACTCCCCGACGGTCTCGTGATCACAGACATGTAAATCAGCACTAAGCATTCTGGACGTGGTGTTGCTCAGCACAAGTAATTCACGCCTGGCACCCGGGGGCAACACGAAAGCAAAGGTGATGCTGAATCAAAGTGCCACACTCATTGCCTCAGAAGCCACTGTGCCTGGGAAGGAGTTTAGGCGGGATGCCAAGGCGCCGACCCAGCGGCCCCACGCACGTTCGTTATCTCGGCCTCGCAACAGCGCAGTGGCACGGGAGTCTAGCCCGGCGTTTCCAGACAACAGGAACACCGGTGTAGTAGCTTGCAGGGGAGGAAGGTGAGATGCGGGAGCGTAGCGGACGTGAGTGGCTCTGCAGCAGCCCGATATCCTCGCCGCGACGATAAGCTTCAACGTTTGGGGTTCTGGTGCGGACGAATCTCCAGTTCCCATCCTGTTCCTCGTCACACGTCAAGAGTGTTCCTCCGTATCGCGCCGAGCCCTTGGCCGATCAGGCGGTGCACGTAAATTGCACTAGCCAAGGCCACAAAGCAGCGGGCATTGGCAGGTGAACAATAACGGATTAGTGGAGGATGTCATGAGGCGTAGCAGTGGTCCTACGTGAGAGACAGGCCTAAGGACCTATCGGCCCTTCTATGTGGAATGAAGTGGCGGTGCGTGTGGCGGAAGGCATTAGTGGCAGAAATACTCGCGTGGCGAATGTAACTCTGAGCGTAGGAAAGCTGGAGGTCGCCTCCGTACTCACTTGCTCCCGCGCCACCTCGTGTGGGCCACATACAACGACATTTGTGCAGCACCAGAGCAGTCCGCAAGGCGGTGCCATTTCGGAGCAGGGTTCATGGTTGCCGCCTCAGGATTATGAAGACATCGAATATCGCGACAGCGGCCAGTGCCATTGGCAGTGAGGATGGACTCTGAAGGACAGATCTTAGCTAGGTGGGCGAACGGGCCGCGTACTCCAGTCATTGAATGGCGGGGCGAATGGCGGGGCCTTCAGTAGCAAACCGTAGGTGGACTTAGGCGTTGAACACAGCTTGGCTCTGTGCTGTGTGGGCGACTAGCCCCGGCATGTCATATCATTGGCAATAATCAACCCGGCTCAGTTTGAGCGGGGATGGAGCCTTTGACATCGAGTCGGCTTCAGCAGTAAGCTGGCCGCGAGTGACAGGGCTCGCGACTGGGGCGCCCCGAGGTTCGGTTCAAAGGCACTTGTCGATGGCTCAGTATCAGATCGCCCCTTTGTCATAGCACTGGGCTTATGAAAGTTGTCATGAGACCCTTGCATCGCCCCGCGTGATCCTTTGGCTGCTGTTTTGCGTTATATGTGCATCGCCACGACATGCATCATCCTCATGCTGCGCCTCGCTCGCGCTCCCGCCCCCAACGTTCACGCAGACGCGAACTCGCGCTCGACAATCAATTTCTTCTGCACCTTGCCCATGCCGTTTCGTGGGATGGCATCCAGCACCTTGAGTTTCCGTGGAAGCTTATACGCCGCCAGCTCGGAGCGCAACTCGTCCCGCAAAGTCTTAAGCTCGACAGTCTCGCGGTCCGTGACGATCACCGCCCCTACGACCTGCCCCCACTCCTCGTCCGGCACGCCGACGACAGCCACGTCCTTCATCCCCGGCAGCTCTAGGATGGCACGCTCGATCTCGATGGCGCTCAGCTTCTCGCCTCCGCTCTTGATGATGTCCACGCTAGCGCGACCGAGAATCTTGAGCATCCCCTCCTCGCCCGCCTCGCCGGAGAAAATGCCCACGTCGCCTGTGCGGAACCAGCCGTCACGGAACTCCTTGACTGTCGCCTCGGGGTTGCGCCAGTATTCTTTGGTCACTTGTGGCCCGCGTACCTCAATGTCACCGGGGATGTCGCGCGCCGTAATGATGATGTTCTCAGCGGGGTCCCACAGCCGGATCTCCATGCCGGGGAACGGGAAGCCAACGCATCCCTGGTGTTAGTCTTCGCCCGCGAGAGAAGTAGCGGGCAGGAGTGCTTCCCGCGCCAGAGCAGAGCAGAGCGCCATGCAGTCTCGCACCGCTCACCTTGACACGCTTTTCGTTCTCCCATCCCGTGCCGGCAATTAACCCGGTCTCGGTCATTCCGTATCGCTCAAGAATGACCTGTCCGCCTCCGATGCCGTTCTCCCATGCGGCCTTGACGCTAACGGGTAACGGCGCAGATCCGGACACCTGAAGACGAAGCTTTGCAGATGCAGCAGAGGCCTCAGCCTTGCGCTCAGGTGCCATTGCGTTGTGGGCCGCGATGAGGCGGGCTTACATTAGCTTAGGCCGTGGTGCAGAGGCATGATGAGGGGTGGAAGAGCGGGGAGCTTGAAGAGTACACCTACAATAGCCTGTAGGCACGAAGAAGAACATGGTAATTGGCCGTTGGCCATCTGCATTGATCCAGCGTGCCCACACCTGATGTCAGCCGCCTGGTCTGGTAGAAACCTCAGAGCTACTAATACCAACCTTGTCCGCGTCAAACTTGTCCCACATCTCGACGCTCGCGCCAGCCCACAGCGTTGGGAGGAGACCAACGGCAATACCGTGGAGGTGGTTCAGAGGAAGAATATGCAGAAGGTTATCGTCCTGCGTCCAGCGCCATGCCTCGACCGTGCTCTCAACCTGCGCGGCCAGCGACGAGTGGCGCGTGACCGCGCCCTTTGGCCGGCCTGTCGTTCCCGAAGTGAAAAGCATCATGGCACGAGCGTCCCCGTCGATGGGTGCGAGCGCCTCGAGCGCCGCCGCCGCGTCCCCGACCTCCTCCACGAGGTCCTCAACGGCAACCTCCATGATCTTGAGTTTCTCTCCCTCCTTCTTCTGCGCCACGAGGTTTTCCGCACGCGCACGGTTGTTCTTGTCCACCAGGATCAGCGCACAGTCAGCCGTGTTGACGAGATAGGCCTGCTCGGGGATCGGGAGCGAGGGAAGCACAGGGATGGCAAGCCCGCCTGCCGCCCAGATGGACAGCAGGCCCAGAACTGCAAGATAGCCTTTGTCAACAAGGAGGGCGACGCGAGCCTCGCGCAGGCCGTCGGTGCGTTCTCCGCAGACGGCCAGGCGGGGAGCGAGGCGCAGAATGTCGACCGCAAGGCGCTCATAGCTCGCCTCGAAAGGTGGGACGGCAATAGCGGGCGCGTCGGGCGTTGTACGTGCGCGCGCGGCAATGCGCGCCAGGAGTGGGTATGAGTTGAGCATCGTGATGTGAGCGATGGGCAGCGAAAAGGGAGGATTTTGAAGGTCAAGAACTGTCAGTGATGCGCAAAAGTGGGGTCCCCGAATCGGCCCGCCGGAGACATTCGGGCCGGAGTTGTCATGAAAGTTAGGCCGTGCCAACCATCCTGAGACTTCGCTCTGGGCAGGCGACCGGGATGAGCATGGCCTGGCCGTAGGAGGAACACGCTGAGGTTTGATAGTGGATTTAGTGGACTCATATGCGAAACGCATTCCAAACGCTGACAGGTGTGGTCAGGAGGGTGCACTCTTAAATGACTGAATGTTGTCATCACCTTTCACAATAGCTGCCCATTGACAGTGGGAAATCAGATCTCAACCGGTCAGCTGCTCATTCCGTTCCTCAGCTGGCCACCTCGAAGCATCCCGCTTGAAGGATGCAATGGGACCTGGCCACGGTTTGCACATGACTGAGAGATAAGACGGAGCGGCGCTGATACGCCTACATCCCGTCGCGTACGTTATCTATCCGCTTGCCATCACGAGCTGCAAGATAGGCTTCCATTTCAGTGAGTGGGTTGCGATAGCAGCACAGATGCGAATGAAGAAAACACTCATGCCTGGGCCACTGCTAAACGGTATGTGACGCCACAGCCACCCTGGCGGTGGCGGCAATCTCAGTACACAGACCGCTGGCGGCGGTCACTGGCGATGCCCTCGGTAAAGTGGTGATGGACTGGGACATGCACACGTCGGAGTGATGGCCAAGATGTTCGGCATCGCGCCGCCTCGGTGTTCGCATGTGCCACGCATCGTCGCGTAAAGCTTTACCCGCAAGCGTCAGTTGTTTTCCATTCCATTCGCCCACGGGGACCCGGAGTGCTCTTCCTCCTGAGGCATTTGTTATGCACATCTGTCATCCCCGGAAAACGTAACGAGGACGCCAGCGCAGCAGGAGATGAGATTGACGATCGAGGGGCGCCGGGTCGGGGTCGGGTAGAAGATGAGGCTAAACTAGGGTGATCAGCTGGCTTTCTTCCCAACAGATAACTGGCTGTATCTTTGCCACATTCACCGCCCGTGTAGGGCACACCGGGGACACTGGGCCGCTCTTCAGCCACAACTGAGCCCTCCTCAGGCTGCACTCATCCATCGGAGCTGACCGCTGGCCTGGCGTGCCGCACACCCTGGGCCCCCAGATCGGTCACCATCACAATCGATGCCCTGCGTTGGAGGCCACTGCCCAATGCCTGGTACCAGATCCGGATAAGGCGTCACTTGCCCCTGCGGCATGTGGAATGGAAGGTGCCGAAGACTGAGCGTCTCACAGAGTATAAGGCCTCGACATGCGCAGGAAATGTCTGTTGTTCTCCACAGCGGCATCCAGATCGAGCTGAACCACAAATCACCTCGCTCTTTGCCGGCTTTCTTACCACCTCAAACCGTCCAACTCGCTCGGTTCTGTCGACCTTGACATTTTTCCTTTTGCTACGCACTTGTTCACCCGCCCCTCCCCTTCCCCCGGCGCCCCCAAACCTACTCGTACATCATGAGCGCAGACAAGGTCGCCACCGCGACTCCGCGCGCGGCCTCGCTCTCCGAAAAGGGCGACACTAACATCCATGTTGCGCACGCTGACGCGCCCGTCGAGCTGGAGCGCCGCTTCTCTTTCCTCGCATGTCTCGGCTTGGGCTTCTCCCTCCTCAACTCGTGGACTGGTGAGTAGCACGGACCTCGGACCCAAAGCTCCGGGGCCCGGATGGCTGTCACCCTCGACATCATTTTGGACGTGACGCCTCCGGACGCCCCGCAGGGGCTCCGACCAGGGTTCAGGGCTGCGGAAGCTTGGCGCGCAGACGGAACAGCGCTGACTTCAGCTATGGCGGCGTCGCTCTCGATCGTCCTCAACTCAGGCGGCAGCGCGGCCATGGTGTGGGGCCTTGTCGTGTCGGGTGCCGGCACTCTCTTCATGGCCATCTCGCTCGCGGAGATCTGCCACGTCTACCCCCTCTCGGGTGGACAGTACGACTGGGCTTGTGAGTTGTCACAGCAGGGCCTAGTCGCTGACCTCAGACGTATGCGCGCCCCCCAGCATCCGCAAAGGTGTCTCATTCTTCACGGGATGGATGGCCTGCGCTGGCTGGACATCCCTTTTCGCCGCCGCGAGCTCTCTCGGCGTCGCCTTCGTCACCGGGTGCATCGCCATGTGGAACGAGAACTATGTGGCGCAGAACTGGCACCTCTTCCTCATCTTCCTCGCCTTTGCCCTGAGCGCAGCCGCGCTCAACGCCTTCGGCGTCAAGCTCCTCCCCATGATTGACCGCTTCGCCGGCGTTTGGGGCATGGCCGGCATTGTCATCGTCAGTATCACACTCCTCGCCTGTTCCAGCGGCCGCTACCAGCCCGCTAAGAGCGTCTTTGGCACCCTCACAAACGTCACCGGCTGGCCCGATGGGATGGCGTTCATCCTCGGTCTGCTGCAGAGCACGCTTGGCCTCACCGCTTTCGACGCCGCCTCCCACATGGTCGAGGAGATCCCGCAGCCTTCGCGCAACGCTCCTCGCGTCATGGTCATGGCCGTTGGCCTTGGTACCGTCACCTCGTGGATCTTCATGGTCGTCCTGCTCTTCTGCCTCACCGACTTTGAGACCGTCGCCGCCGCGCCCTACGGGCCCCTCCTCACGATCTACTACCAGGCTACAGCGAGCCTGACGGGCTCCACCTGCCTCGTCATCTTCAACCTCCTGAGCATGTTCTTCTGCATCCAGGCCGTCAACACCGTCGCGTCCCGCATGGTGATGGCTTTCAGCCGCGACCGCGGTATTGGTCCCATTTCGCGCTTCCTCGCCCCCGTCCACCCCCGCTTCAAGGTGCCCCTCATGTCCAACGCCTTCATCACTGCCTGGGTTATCATCTTCGGCTGTGTCTGGCTCGGCTCGACCGTCGCCCTCAATGCCATCCTCTCCGCAGCCATTCTCTTCGTCCAGCTTTCATACATTGTGCCCATCATCCTTGTCTTCGTGCGTGGCGACAAGGCCTTCGAGGGTCACGAGCGCAAGTGGAGCCTCGGCAAGTGGCGCCGTCCCATCAACGCTGGTGCCATCGCCTTCGCCTCTCTCACTTCGATCTGCTTCCTCTTCCCGCCCGCCATCCCCGTGCTCTCTGGCTCGAGCATGAACTGGGCCATTCTTGTCCTGGCCATCGTCATGCTTCTCTGCGGCATGACCTGGCTCCTCGACGGCCACAAGAACTTCCACGGCCCCCTCGACCTCGAGGAGCGTCTCCAGGACGGCAAGAACGCTTAAATCTCTGTCGTGGGCCGATTTCGCTTTCGTGGCGCCGCGTCAATAATATTAGTTGTCAGAAGAAGCGGAGAGGACGGAACACATTGTCAATAGCATCGTTGTACAGTTTGTCAGGGGATGCAGTAGCGGTGAATCTCAGAGTTTGAACGAAGGCCGGCATGTCAAATGCGTTTCACGATATCATGATCGGCATGTCGCACCACGCAGAGCGGCCAGTCGACGTTCGTGACGCACGTCGCGCCGCGTTTTGCAGACACCTCGGGAAGGAACAACCCAGCTGATATTATCCTGCCGGGTCAAACAGACATCCGGTTTAGGCACCATCTCTCCCAAAACTTGGGCGTGCCCACCTCTGCCCACCTCACTACCCCGCTCTACACCCTATCGTCTCGGCAACTCATCCATTGATGAATTGGACTCTCGCAGCCTGTGACTCGGGTGGGCGCATGAGGTCGGGTGTGGGTTTTAAGCGGGGGCAGCGCTGTTCATGCTCCGCGGACGCCGAGTCAAGGAAGGGGCTAGGTTTGCGATACATGGCTGGGATGGATCATCCTTGTGGCGCCGCCATACCGACTCTCATTTGTAAAGCTTAGGCGCCGTCCTGTGTCACCTTCACCGGCCAATGTTGCATGAAAGGGGACCAGTGCTGAGGCTTGGCGATTGCAGCCTTCCCATTCTGTCAGTCACCGTATACGGCTGGCGCGATGTTACTCCATCCTTTGACTAGGGCTGAAGACTCAAGCGCTATCACGTCTTTCCTTCTTCCCTGTGGAACTGCAGTAGGACATGGCGAGATGCAGGTGATCGTCGATCATCACGTCTGCATGATCTGGACTCTCTCTCATTCAGTATTACTCTGTCCCAATTTCTCATACTCGTGCACTCACACTCCGAAACCATCCCTTCCAGCAACACTTCAGCAACCCTCTTGCTGCTCGCAGCATTAGTGAGGCATGCGACCATTGTCAGGTAGGACTGGGTGTCCTTGTTGAAGCCCCTTGCGCCTACTGGGGTCGATGACAACAAGAGCAATGTCTTCCCTGTTGTGCCAGCCCTGGAGGCCCACGTCTGCCTACAACGCCACACCTCTGACACCCATGTCCGCACTGTGCTCCTGGCTACCTGACAGCACCATGGCAACATACTGTATTCAGCTGATAACCAACCTCAATGGCGACAAACTCTTAGCTGGGCGGTGGGGCAATGATAAGCATCGAGGCGAGTACATGAGTGTCAAGGAGCACTAGAGAGTTGGGGAGGGAAATGACAGTGATGGAGCTGTCTCGTCGGCGATCCATTGTGAGTGGAACAATTGTGAGAGATATAGGGAAGAGCATGAATGGATACCTCCTCGAGTCAGAGACGGCCCCTCGTTGGTAGAGAGACGCGGGCCACCCGCAATCTTCTCTGCAGCCAGTCATCAATACAGCCAATGGCGCCTGGTGACGGCACTCGACGCAATCCTGAACCTAAAGGCTCGCACAATGTTGGTGACTGTAGCATCTAACCAGCTGTATCCACTCAGCTCGGCCCAACCATGTCGGATCCACTGAGGGTGGACATCAAGTATCATAGGCCGCCGCCGTCGTTGTTGCCGACCGCCCAAACCCCCGAAGATGGACCTTCGCTCATCATGGAAAATCATGCCATGCTACATGCAGCGTAGTGAAGTACAAAGTGAGCGCCTAGATATTCGTCATGAAGGAGGTGCCAGCGCAGCTCGTCCTGGGTGCTCTAGAACGCTCAGCGCTCCTTTTGCACAGCCTGTACTAACTCTGGGACCAATACTGCAATGCCGGTCCACCGCATTTTACATGCACCGTTCTCCACTTCGCCGCCCATGGCGGTCTGAGCGTGTACACGGCCTGTAAGATCGCAGGCGTGGCGCATGCACCGTCAACCTGACTCTCATCCCACCTGTAGAGAACACAGCGCCAAAGCCTGATGCCATCGTCTTCGTTTACCGCGTTCCAGCTCACGCTTGCACCCATACTTTCAGTGGTAGCCGTGTTTCCAACACGATCCCCGTCACGTCGACCGTGCTCCTCGCCCATTATGACACCACGGCCCAAACGATTTTGATGGTCGGCGACGCTGGAGAGAGGATGCTTCATTTGGAGGCGTCGAGCGCCTGGCTGTAGCTCATCGGACGCTCGTGGATTAGGTGTGTATGTCGTGCCTACAACTGTGCTGCTCGTTTTTTTTTTTTATGAAGGGCGGACGGTAGCTGAAGCTGGAGGAACTCTGTCGACTCTCAGAGAAGTGACTGAAGACTTCTGGCTGGTCACGACAGTGACGGTTTCCTTCCTTTTCCCAGGCACCTGATATCAACATGGCGACAGTGACAAAGTGAATGGAGGCAATTCAAGCTTAATCCATTTCGTTCCCTCTATCTCTCTGATCTCTGATGCGCGCATCACATGACCACTCCCGACGTCAACTACTGATCTCACACTTCTCACACTCCACGTCGATCCGGCCTCTCTTCAGCAATGTCTACCACCATATCATCCCCAGACAGCGCATGTGCATCATCCTCACTTGGGCGCATTCAGGATCACGACATTTCACAAGAAGCTATAACCATGGTGCACAATTGGGTCCTGCGCGCCCCGCATGTCACAGACATATGGATACACCTTGCCTGTCCGCCCGAAATAGCTTTTCGAATCTACGGAGAGGTCCTGACATGTGGCGAGATACCGTCTTGGCTGATTCCGGGTGCAGAGGACCGGAGGTCGGGACTCATGCGCCGGCTAAGGAACCTCTTGCCTCGCTCAGGGAGCGATGGGGTTGTGCACTGGTCAATCTGTGGGAAGATCACTGTGGAGCCGCTCCCAAACGGCGGCTTTCACTGCTTGTTGAACCAGCTGCGGGACCCTCCAGCCGACCAAGAACCCGCAATCTCCATTCAAGAGGTCTCGCCTGTCCAACCCCGCAACAGCACATTCTTTCCTGTCTTCGCAGCGCTTGCTGGTTCCATCGCTCAAGCGGCATGGGAGTGGGCCACAACACCTGTCGAGACTGTGTGGGTTTGCCTTGCAGACGTGAACGGAGTGCCCCGATCGACAGTTCTCTTCGAGGCGGAAGGGTGCGTTCGGGCTCCGGAGGCGGTGGGCGAGGATCTCGAGGATCTCCAGGCCGTAACCCTCATGGAATGGCGCGACTTCGTCACAGCTGGGGTTGCTGGGACGCATCACCCTGGAATGGTGGTAATCCGAATGGATCGAAGTACGTGCAAGATCATTCACACGAATTGGAGGATGGTAGGGGAGATGGAAGTCACCTCGTGGGCGGAAGAAATGCAGGCGAACGGTTCGAATGCAAGATGTGAAGGGCGAGCAACACCACGAGCCAGATCACCTGGGCCGTCCTCCCGTCCGCTCTTGCTGCCTCAAGGAAGGCCTGTGTCTCCGCCACATCGCGTAGGACCTGCGTCCTCAACATCTGGCCCAGAAACACATGCGGAATCGACCCTTCCTCCTCCAGCATGGACTCCGACGCCCGATCGCGGGACGCCTCCTCCGAACCACTCTCGGCAAGCCGCCTTTCTTAATCACTTCCAGGCCTCCCTTGCGACGATTTTGCGGGCCATCCTCGCCTGGCCAGTCGAACGACGAAACGTTCTTACTATGTGGGTGTATCTCACGCATCTGAACGGCACGGCAGCGGCGTGCATCCTGATGGACGATGGGGTTGGAACAAGTCTCGCGGCGCTCGGTGGGCGCAGCCCCGCTCGGCTTCTCGAGACCGTGGGAAGCGCATGGGCGTGTACCGCGGCCACGCGACGTGTAGCACTTCCCATGGGCGTGGTGCTAATCGTCCGGCCAAATGCGGGTCCGTCGCTCACCGTTGAAACTTCCTGGAAGCGAGGAGACGTTGAGTGGCCTGAAGTGAGGCCGGATGCTGTGTGGAGGCGTTCAACTTCATCTGAGGACTGAAATGTCGGACGAAGGTCCAAGAGATGAACGACAACCACCCCCACAATGACCACGATTACGCAATGGAATCAGTATGTCCGGAAATGAAGCCTCATGATGCATCCACGACTACAGATTGATGGAGCGGCCTCCAACAGGGGCTGAGTCATGGCATTTGTGTTCGAGGATTCCTAGGACCCGCGGCAAAGGGGTGCACGCGAGGGTGGTGAGTGTGGGCGACAAGTCGATATGTGTGTGATCATCAATGGCAGCAATTTCAAAGAACGTCTCATGAATTGACAACTGTCAGGCTATACAGCACAGGTGATGATCCTCACGGGTCTGGGCGGAGCCGTCAGAATGATCCCCACACGAAGATGGTTCGCAGGTGGCGCTAGTGGTTCCGTATACAGTCTTTAGAATTCGGTGATCTCGGACAGGGGGAGGGTGACCAGGCGATGACTGAGCGCTTGGGCGTTGTCACCAGTGCGTATCATCGCGTTGAGTTTTGTGACCTCGTGGTGCACGAAGGGGGAAATATATAGGATATAGGCGTACTTTTGGCTCCTAGCCGGCTCCATGATCTGTATGACGAGAACCACAGGTCGATCGAGACGGGACCGGTCGTCATGGCATTGTTCTGTCCAAAGATGCGTGATACGGTCATTGAGAACGAATGGGTGTTGACCAATGCGGGACCTGCGCGCCGATAGAACTACACCGGCCTTACTCAGAACGTGGGCGTGGCCCACCGGGGCGAGACCTGGCGCGTGTACGAGGATTATGCGAACTCGACCGATCTCCTCGATCCTTGCCCAATTGTAAGTGTGGGCAAGCATTTGTCGCGCGGCCTGAGGCATGTTCTCCGAGAACCAGCGGTCGAAATCTGTGTTCCCCGTCTGAACAACGGGTTTAACTTTGAGGCACCGGCACCACCAAAAGTCTTCCCTCCCTTGTTGTCTGCAGACCGACTATTGGCGACCGGCCATTGGAAAGGGCGATGGCTGCGGTGCCGCGCACGCTTTCCAGCCACCGTAGGCGCGTGCCAGGCGGCATCTGCCCTGTTGGCTGCTAGCTGGCGCCAAGGACGGTGACCGCGACTTTGTTGTCGTTCGAAAGGGATCCTTTGATGACAATATCGCCCGGGTGATGGCTCCCGACAGGGCCGCCTGCGGCGAGTGCTTGCCAGTCTTTGGCGATGCTAAAAAGCAATTGCTGCTGTGCCGTCGTTTTGTTGTTGAACTCGTGCAGTAAAGTCACGCGTCCGTCCATCAGAAGCAGGACGTCCGCAGATACGAAGTCGGCCTCAATCTCCGTGAGCCGGACCCACGCCGCTTCGGCCCCTGGGCCCGCCCAGTCGAGAGCCCTGAGCACACATGCCTTCGCCAGTTGTTGGAACTGGTTGCTCAGGACAAACATGTACGCGTTCGTGTCGGGGGGCGGAGGGGCATCAAATGCGCCCATGCTGGGGATGGAGTGCCGTACATCATCTGTGATGTACATCCAGGCGGTGGGCGCCATTCTCAAAGTTTGCCCTCGTTTCAGACCTGCGGCCTTGTCGTCGAAAATAACGCCATGAAAAAGAAGCATGACCTCAGAAAACTTCGGGGGCTGGCCTTCTCCGAGGATTATTTGCTGTCGTGACGATGAACATCCCATGATTGGTGGAGAAGGTTGACGATTGGTGGGGAGATGTGGTGGGCAGATTGCTGGAAACTATGAGATAGACCATGCCTGTTATACGCCCCGAGGTTACTCAACACTCCACTGCCAAGCGCAATGAGTGAGACCGATACCTGCCACATGACCTGGATATGGCCTCGGTATGATCTGGGCATGACCTAGGTAGCTTGGCGCTGTTAATGGCGGTGGTGATAGGTAGACAAATATTGAGAGCGTGCGTTCCACTTGCTTGTCGACAGGCACAAACCGGTGTTTCCCAGCTCTATCCCGATGTCAGCTGTTCAAAACAACCCAACCCGTCTCTTGAGTTATGCAGGAGAGGAAGCGTGCCTGCGGGTAAGGGCCAACTTGGCAAGCCGGCACAGGAACTCGTGGTACATCAGCCCAGGAAACCCATGATGAGGATGGCAACCTCAAGGTGCCGCAGTCCTCGAACTCGTCGAAGACGAGGGGGTGAAATAGATCACGAACTCGGATGATGCGACTGAGGTGACGGGTGCTCCCAGTGACGCCGGCTCAGCATACGCCGAGATGCTGACGCTGTTCGGTGGAAGTGCAGGTTCCGCAAAGTATCCAACCTGATAGGCGTGACATACACAGTATGTGTCCAAAGTTTAGTGGCTAGGAGCTGCCATCACGGCTTCAACTGTGGGTGTTGGAATCAGGGTACTCCAACTTGCGACACTGCCAGTGACTACCCGCAAAGCATGCAGGCCAACCATCACCACCCCACGGCTTGATTTCTTCAGGAGGTTGCCGTGCACACGAGACCTACGTCGTATCGTTGCCCATCTGTGTCACCGATCCGTCAATGTACAAAGTGTCTCTGCACAAGTCAAGCTTTGCTGCGGAAGGTGCAAGGAGACAACTGAGTCAGGTGAGGGGCATGCGGGCAAGGCACATGCTTGCGACGCTTAACGGGAAGTAGACTTGCCTTGCATTTGGATCCGCTGTATCACGGCAATGGGCTATCGGCATCAAGGTGAAGGCGGATAGAATTTAGCCCCATGACTGAATCAACAAGGCACGAGAACAGCACAGCCGACAACACCACTCCACCGCATCGGGATGGGCCGTGATTCCAGAAATCTGGCCAATCTTAGTCGTGAACCTGCGAGCGTCGTGCCGTACAGCGATCTTGCTGTGCATCCCTCTCCAGTGAAACTACTGATGTGGCTCGGGCCAAGGCAGCGTGGCCGCATGGTCACTCCACTCACCAAACATGCGCCACAAGTAGTGCAGTGTGACACCTATTCCTCTCCGCGCCTCTTCGCCCTCCTCCCACATCGCCCGTATGTCGACCCCCGGCATGCTGGGATGAACCTGAACGACAATCGCGGCGGGGACCTCGCCCTTTGCGTTGCGCCAATACTCTGCGAATAGCAGCAACACCCTTTCCTGCAAGACGTACGGGTGATCGCCGGCAGCTGATGGGCCCTTGTCAAGCGCCTGGTCTGACACACCGGTGATTAGGGTGTACCCCGCCAGTCCGCGCATAGGATCGGCCCCGAAGATAATGCGGATATCGCGAATCCGTGTGCCTCGTGGCGGCCACTTTCGCGCAAGCTCTATCATCTGGTGCGCGACCGGTCGGAATTTCGTCGCGAATGCCGCCCCACGCCTAGAATCCGGCTGCGGAGAAAAATGCGGTGGAGGGGCTGGGAACGCTGGGCGTGTCGAGGGTCCGGGAGCACTGCAGGGAGATGCGTCGCCGGGCCGCGCGGCGTACCACCGCTCAATAATGGCGCGCACAGGTGGTCCAAAGCAGACTCCTGCCAGATGCCTTCAGCCGCAAGCTGGCTGCAAACCGCCGCCCCGCGCGGCGTGCCAACCAGCCGCATGAACGCGGGGTGATCGACACCGGGTGCGCCGGCGCGACAAAGATCAGACCAGTGTGCCGCCACCTTGGACCGTAGCCCCCTAGGGTCGGGATGGGTGGGGAGTGTCGAGTCAGAAATCATCACCCGCGACCCGTCCTTGAGATCGACGCAGACAGTGGGCCCGCGCCCGCGCAGGTGTATGAGCCAGATGTACAACCGGTGTACCCTGCCTTTCGTCGGAGGCCAAGAAAGGATGTCGCGCAACATGCGGAGAAGAGTTGGTTCAATGCTCTCCAGCCATCGCTGCGTGCGAGGGGGGACCTTCGCGTCTGGGTTGTTCGGATCGACAAACGACAGGGCAGGGGAGTTCGGTGCCGACACCGATCTCAGGCCCGGAGACGCCTCGGGCGTTGCTCGAGAAGTGCTTGCAACACTAGTAAGCGAGGTGACTGTCGTAGGCCGGGTGACCGCTGGTGTGGTAGTGGTCGTTGTGATGTTGGTGGTCGTGGGAGTGGGGCTGCCACTGAGTCCAGGATGCGTCGATTGGTTCAAGTTCTCAAAGCCTTGATTCATGAAATGCTCCATCCAAAGCGCTCTCCGCCCCGGTGTGTCGCAGGAGTGCGAGCTCCAACTCAACCCCACAAGCTTCACGGAGGGCACTGCCTTAAGTGCAGTGGCCTGGATGATGATGTCGCCAGGATGGTGCTTTCCGACTGCTCCCTTACGAGTGATCTTCGCGCGCCAGAGCGTGGCGAGTTCTTTGAGCAGCGTCCGCTGCCTCTCCGCGCTCGGATCGATGTGGTATGGCGAACGCAGCTTATTGTTTACGAGAAACAGGACGTCAGCCGAGACGTTGCCCTCCGACCCGCTGTCCATGAGCCGGATGAAGACGTGGGTAGGCGCCGGCTGCCCAGCCCACCGCATCGCTCGGCGCGCTAATTCTTGAGCGAGGGAAGCGAACGGCTCGCCTTCAGCGAAGGCATGAGCGCGCGGATCGACACTTCGGGGCGGATAAGGTGGCGGTGCGGGAGCCGTGGCGTACACCAGCCCCGGCTTCGGCTGGGCCCAGTACTCGATGGTCTCGTATCCCCTACACCCGTCCTTGGTCTGAATCGGGACGATGGCCGAGCGCACAAGCTCGACCTCGGTGCGCTCGTCCACGCTCTGACGCATCGCGGGTGGGTCTGATGCGAGCATGTTGGCTTCCACTTCACGCGACGCTGTGCAGCCCATTCCGGCTTACGGCGGAGTAAAACAGCGATGGAACTCCAGGCGATCATTCACAGCGGCCGGACGCGTTCGTGGGGTACTAGCGGGCGGGGCTGGCGCATAGAGGTGACTTGAGATCGGTTTGTGACACAAACACGAGCAGCTGGGATGTGATGTGTTCCAGAGACCAAGCGTTTGTTGTCCCATCGGATGCAATCTCGGTGAGCAAACCCTGACATGGTCGTGAAGTGCGTTGTGCGACCCTTGTGCGGTCGCTTGAGCAGATCACCCGAGACCCAACTCCTGCAACATTCATCGTCCGGGATGGCAGGCACAACTCCCCCAATTCCCCAAAGCTGGCGGCGTGCCAGCCCGCGGCATATGGCGGGAGCCGGAGGCAGTGTGTTGCACATAACCTTGCTAAAGTTGCATATGGTTCCGAAAGCCCAGACTCAGACTCGTCGGGGCGATGCGCCGTGCATGCAGCAGAATGTTCCACTACAAAAAATGGCGATACAAGCGGTGTGTGCAGCAAGCTGCGCTGTTTGGGGCGGGAAGAATCAGAATGCGAGGGATCAGGACGTGGGTCGCGGGAGCCGACTCAACGAGATGGCGCATCTCTCCAGTGGGCGGTCAGCTTAGGCGAAGCGCACGCGCTATTGTTGCAGCCTGCGTTGCAATCTGAGCGTGGAGCACGCCCAGGCAGCTTGCCTAGATGAAGATGGGCACGGTTCCTTGGCGCATCCCGCTCGCGCGGCGGTCCGTATTGTCTCCAGGCCGCACTTCATAGTATCCCTGCACGGCGGTGCGTGCCGACTCGGGAAGCGCGGCTTCCACCCAGATCGCGCGCGTGGCGACCTCCTTGAGTTCGCCCGTCGCGGGAACGGCAACGAGGATGAGCATCGGCGGGTGGGCAATCTCCAGCTGGCCCTCGCGGCATAGTGTGGCCCAGTGGCCCGCCACGCGGTTCTGCAGCAGCGTGGCGTCTTGATGCCCAGTGCTGGTAGACGCAGTGATGTCCGTGCCCGCCGTGTCAAACAGCCGGACGTGCACCGTGGAGCCCTTTCCGCGCATGTGGACAAGGTAGGCGTGGAGCTCGTCAATGCGGCCGAGAGTGGGGGGCCACGTCATGATCTCCTTCATCATGTTGCAGAGATGCTGGCCATGGCTCTGGATAAGCGAGCGGGTGCGTTCAGGCATCACCTCTCCGGGCGTACCGACGAACGAAACGGTTGGGCTGATAAGTGTACCGGTTGCTGCTGCGCCTGTAGGTGACGTGCCTGAGGTTGTGACAGACTGTGCCGGGGCATGCTCGGAGTCTGTGCCTCTCAGTGAGGCGGACGCAGCAGTAGCAGGGGAGTGAGGCGTTGCAATTGCCGCATGTACTGCAGCTGATGGTACCGCTGAAGCTGGGGGGGCTGTTGCCACTGGAGCTGTCGCTGGCGCTGGTGTTGTTGCATGTGCTGCTGCTGGTGCTGCTGTTATTGTTGCTGCTGGTGTTGCTGCTGGTGCCGCCGCTGGGACTCGCGCTTGGGTTGCAGCCGCAGACAGCGTCTGAGCCGTACCCGGAGCTAGCGCCTGAGTCGCTGTAGCTGGGGCCACAGCCGGGACCGGCGCTGGGGTCAGCGCTGGGACCGCAGCTGAGGCCGGCACGGGGGCCGTTGGAGCGCGCACTGGAGCCTGAGGAGGGGGATGATTGGCAAGGGGTACCGGCATCGTCGTTGCACGCATAGGGGCGGGTGGCATTGGCGCCGTCGCCGGTGGTGGCGCCCAACCAGCATCAACGGGGATGCCGGCACGCTCTGCATATATGCTCTCGACAGAGCTCTCCAGCTCCTCAGACGCGTACTCCCAGCATGCCGCCGCCGAAACGACGTTTATGGTCTGCGTGTGTCTGGGGGTGGCTGTGAGCGCCAGCATCTCGGGATGGTTGACGCCGGGGACTCCCCGTCGGCACAGGGTGGCCCAGCGCTCAGCAACGACCTGTTGTAGCAGCCCCCAATTCGTGTACTGCTGGGTGGTCCAGGTGGTGATGTCGTTGCCCATGAGATTGGTAAGCCTGACGCGAGCGGAAACGCCGCGGCCACGAATGTGCACGAGCACGATGGAGATGAGCTCGATTTGGCGCATGGTCGGCGGCCAGTCGATGATGTATGCAAGCATAGCGCCGATGTCGGCCTTGGCGCGGTTGAGGAACGAGGTGGTGATCTGATCCAGAATCAGGCCTCCCATGCCTTGATAGCGGAAGGGAGGGAGCGTGCCCCCAGTCCAGGCGGGAACGTGCGGAGTCATAGCGGAAGCGTTAGTCATGCCGAGGTGAGGACTTCCATAGCTGAGGGGAGGGCTCGCCGGATTATGAGGAGCATAGGCCGTGCCTAGCGGAGGGCTAGTCGTACCTATCGGAGGGCTCGCCATGCCAAGAGGAGGGCTCGCCATGCCGAGAGGAGGGCTCGCAAAGGCGGGGCTGGTCATGATAACCGCAGGAGGGCTGCCCATTGCTGAAATAGTGCTGAGAGCGGTCGGGGATGAATGGCCTGATAGCGAAAGATTGGCCACGGACGTGGCGAGCGGGTTACTCGCTCCTGAGCTAGCATGAGGACCAGACACAGGTTGTGATCCCGAGGGCGGTGCGATGTTGGTGTTAGTCCGCGAAGAGCTGACGATGCTGTTAGGCGAACGGGAAGTCCACCCCGTGACATCGTCACCTGGACGCGCGTTGTACGTTCGGCTGACGAAGGCTCGTCGCGGGGCAGGCATAGTGGCCTCGTGCCACACCAACTTGACTGACACCTCGGACACGCTTCCCGCGCCCTTGGGCCCGAGCATAAAGGCTACCATGACGGGATGGTCGACCTCGGGCGTGCCCTGGCGACAGAGGTCAGCCCATAACCTCGCAACCTTTTCCTGCAGGCCATTAGGGTTCACATGCGCCGGCGCGGGCGGGTCTGAGATGAGACGTGCCGAGCTGTCCGTAAGGTCAACGCGTACGGTCGACCCATGTCCCGGCATATGGAAAAGGCCGACGGACGCTATGTCGATGCGTCCATAGGTAGCGGGCCAAGCCATGACGGCCTCGACAATTGCGCGGATAGGCGCAGCGCGGCGCAAGAACGCGGCCGTCCGCTCGTCCAATGCCTCGCCTGCCATCCCCTTGTATAGAAGCTGAGTCTGGCCGGGTCCTGCTGGCGCGGTCACGGACGGCCGGTTCTGTGCGTCGAGTTCGCGGTGAAATATGACAATGGATCCGGGCGGGCCCAGGTGGGCCGCCATGCGTTCTTTGAGCGCGGTTAGCCATGGTGCGCGCCGCCCAGGCTGCTTATACGTGTGGGCCGTCCAGTTGATGCCGTCGAGCGACATGGTGTTGTCCGCCAGAGACTGCTTGAACACAACGTCGCCGGGATAGTCAACGCCGACCCTGCCGTTCAGCACGATATCTTGGAGCCACGGCTGAATCATAGCTACGAACAGGTTCTCTTGTTTGAGAACGTCAGGGTGTATCTCGTGCGGTGTGACCACGGTGGTGTTGATGAGGAACGCAACATCGCTCGAGGCGCAGTGCTGAGAGTCGGCCGTCAGGCGGATCCAGACAGCCTGGACGTCCCTCCGCTCTGTCCACTCGACTGCCTGGCGAGCAATGTTGGACGAAATCCGGCCCAGGCGCTGGACGCAGAACTCCCGCGACCGCTGCTCGTCGCTCTGCGTCATTGCTGCGGGCGGCGAAGGCGGCGCCGTCGCAGGAGCGTCGGAGTTCGCAACGTTAAATTGATGGTCGATAACAAAAACGGCGCGGCCCTCCATCGTGATCGTCGTGCAAGAAGCGAGGATATGCTCGACGTCGCCTACATCCGCTTCCCAACCCTGGGATGCATCTCTCGCAACGGCCTGTACTTCTTGCATGGGTGCGGGGTGGGATGAGTCTCGGGCTGCGACGTTCGCGCCCGGGATCCTGGGAAGCGGAGCCCGGGCAGCTGCAGATATAGCTTGGGCAACATGGACGTCTGGATAAGGTGGCGGCGGAGAGTTGAAGTTCAGCCCCGGGATGTCCAATAGAATAGTTCCCTGGTGGGACAGACGATTGCTCGCCATGGTCGCTGATACAGATCGTTGGTTGCAGGTGGTGGATGAGAAGCAGTTACGTCCTGTGGTGGGTGGAGACCTCGAGTCAGCGCCACAGCCAGGTGTGAGGGGTGTCCACTCTACCTGGTCAGAACGCCTAGCTGCCCTTTGAACGAAACTGAGAGCCTGTCAGAGGCGATGCACAACACAGCGCTTTCGGTTGTGAAGAGATGCTATTAGGGTGTGTGAGCATGCAGTGGGCCCGGTCAGCTGATGTTGTGCATCGGGCTGCTCGTCCCGTGATGCCACAACCGGAGCCGGAGTCGGCGGCGTTATGCATGCGATCGACATCATGTTTCATGTGTGGGCCTGTGGCGCAGGGGCTAACCTTAAGGTGCATTTGTTGTTAAGGTTAGACAGGTCTGGCATCGTCTTCCCTCCCGGCCTCCCGCAAGTTGCATGCCCACTTCAAACTACTTTGCGCAACTCCAGACAGAATACAACGAAGAACTACGGGGACGATTACACGAATGGTCGGTTACTCCGCTGCCAACCTCGTTATGCATTATGCATAAACCCGCCTCACCATGTTACTAGCTATATTCGAAGTCACCTCCCCCCATCAGCGGACGGGAAGTCGTCGCGCGGTAAGCCATAGAGCATGTTGATGTGCGATATGTCGGCAGGTGTGAGGTCCTCTCGGCGCCAGACGCCGTGCAGTTCGAATCCGGCGCTCGTCTGCCCGGCCGAGTCACCAAGCTTCCCCGTGATTGTGAGGACGTGGGGGAGGTCATTGGGGTGTGCAACGCAGAAGTTGGCCCAGAGCGTCCAGACGACATCGTGCAGCGCACGCGGCGGACGCGGCGTGCCACCTGACATGCCGACAAAACATTCGGTGTCGCTAAAGATGGCGACGCGAGCGGCAGGCCCATGCGTGGGTACGTGGGCGAGCATGACCACGACCTTGGCGATGTTGTCGGCGGGGCGCCATGCAAACGCCGCCGACAGAATGGGCGAGAGTGCGGGGTTGAAGGCGTCAAAGAAGGCCTGTTCGTTGCCCGCACATGAGGGCAGACCTGCGAATGTAATGCGGGGAGGGGCCGCGGTGCGAGGCTCCTCGTCCGGCCGCAAACGGTACACGTCTTCGTACGTAGCCCGAGGTCGGAGCCCGACTCCGTCAACGCTGAAGCCGACAGTTACTCGGTGCTTGACCGGGTGTGAGGTCCCCTGGGACAGATCGAACAGGGCCTCGATGGTAAGGCTCGTCGCGTGGTCGACGCCTGGAGTGCCCGTAGCGCACAAATCGGTCCAGTACTTGACGACCGAGTCCTGTAGAAGGGTGGGGTCGGGGAAAGCGTGCGTTGCCGTGTTTGTAAGGTCGTTGCCGGCCCTGTCGCTCATCTCAACGCGTCCCGAAGGTCCGTGGCCGTCGAGGTGGACGAGGTGGATCAATAGCTGGGCTATGGACGAGTCCGTGGGCGGCCAAGTGAGAATCACCTTTAACATGTCCCCGAGAACTGCTCCGAGGCGGTTTCTGAACTCCAGACCGCGGAGAGTGGAGCGAGCCTCAGCAACTTCCGCGTTATGAAGCAATGACCGCAAGTTTTCCTTGAGATGGTGGACCCAAAGTGCGCGCTTCTCTCCGCCGACATTCGTTTGCGGCTGCCAATCAACTCCTCTGATGAAAAGGGTGTTATCGGAATACCACTGAAGCTCCATGTCGCCTGGGTGATCAACGCCCGTAGCGCCGTATGCGAAGTTATCGCGCCAGAGATCGCTTATCGACTTGTACAGCTCCTTCTGCTTCACAGATGCTGAGTGTATCTCGTGCGGCATCACAATATCGTTCTGGCACACGAACGCCGCGTCGATCGAGAATTCGTTGCGGTCCGTCGCAGTCAGGCGGACGAAAACGCTGTCCACTTGTACCGAAGCCCACGCCGCCGCCGCCCTGCCAATCTCCGCCAAGACCGGGTAGCGATTGCAGAACTCGTAGATGCGTATGCAGGCCGGTGGCGACCTTGGTGGTGGGCCGGGCGGCGGGCCATATTGTAGTAGGTCTACAGCTGCTGTAGCCCTCCGGCTTGCATCGGACGCATCAAGAGACACAACGCTGAACATGTCGGAATCGAGCAAATATCCAGTTACCACCTCAGCGAAGTAGCCAAGCTGGTGCATGACTTCGCAGAACTCAGGTATTTCGTCGGCTTTCTTTTCAGTGGCCGCCTCGCTGGCGATGGGCGCGTCGTGATGCATGGTCGTAAGGTTGTTCTGCGCCGAATCAATAGTTGCCACTTGCTTGGAGGCCGAGCAGCCCATGGTCGAATGGCTCTCGGTATAGGAGATGGTATGATTTCTGTTGTGGATGAGGATGGGCGGCACGCTTATAACCTGTTAGCGGCCATCTCCTGGGTCTCTTCGAGATCAGGCCTGCCTTCCAGATCACCCCAAGGCGGACCGCAGCTTCGTACTGCCTCTGCATTGTTCGTCAGCTGATGTTGGCGTGACGTTAGCAAGGGCAAGGAGTTTTATATGCGGCCCGGCAGCGGAATCCAGTGACAACCCTTGATTGCTCAATTTGGCATCGGTTCCAGCCCAACAGACAGCCGCGATAGTAATAGCAGCAAGTATCAGGTGGTCATGGAAGGCCTGTGGTATATAGTTCATCATCTGTTGCGAGCTTGTCGTGGGTGATCGCACCGTGGCGCAGCAAATCTAGACCATACGAGTAGGGTACAGCACTTGCTTGATTTTGCTTGCCCACGTCATTGGCCCAGAAGTGACGCTAATCAGTCAGCACCGTACAATGTGCAATGGACATCAAACCCCGCACAGAGCAGACACAAGCTCATGATTTCATTCAATCTACTGTACAAGACGAACTACGCTCATCTAACACGACCTTCGTCAGGCTGGACGCTTGAGCTCGGCAGCTTAGAGAACAGCCGCGGCCATGATAGCAACAGCAACAGCGGCACCACTAAGACCAACAGCTGACGCGCCGTTCGTGTTGGAGGAGGCAGCTGGGGCGGGAGTCGAACCAACGGGAGCAGCGGCGGAGCTGGCGCCGCTGGCATGCTGGCCGCCGGCGCTGGCACTCTGGCTGACCTGGGCAGTCTGGCTAACCTGGTTCGACACGCCGCTCTGGGTGACATTCGCGCACTTGCGCTGGGCGTCCAACATGTCCTCAACGACGTCGTCCGTGTCGTCCGTCCTGTTCTGGAGGCCCTGGAGACATGAGGCGCAATCGGCGGCGCCCTGGACGGCGATGAGCTGGTGTCAATGGTGCTCAGCGGAAAGAGGTAGGAGGAACCAAAAGGTAGGAGGATGGCTTGGATATCGCAAAGCTCACCTGGCACTCGTGGCACTCGCCCTGCCAGCGGTCACGGTCGTCGTCAATCTCAATGTTCTTCGCGCGGCACGCGTCGCGGAACTGAATGACGTTGGCGCACTGGGTCGAGCACTCCTGGGGGAAGGTGTACTCGTCGATGTCGTCGCGACGAACGGGGGTGATGCTACGCGCGGAGGCTGGGAGTTAGCGGGCGGAGCGGGCGGGAAGTGGGGAGGAAGGTGCTGCGGCGCGCGCCGGGACTGAACGGCGCGCTTCGTCTGGGAGGGGCGCCTCAACGGAACGCGGGATGAACCCCCAAAGGAGGGTGGATGGAGCACGATGGGGTACTCACCGACGGTGGAGACGATGGCGGCGAAGGCGATTATGGAGAAACGCATTGTGGAGGATTGTGCGTTGAGAAAAGCGTTGAGTAGTGGCGAGAGAGAGAGAGAGAGACAGAGAGAGAGAGAGAAAGAAAAAAAGAGAAGTGGAAAGGGCAGTGTGATGAAGAGAGAAGGATGGAGAGTTGACTCACCTCCATTATATATCCACTCGAGTGGAATGGTCGCGCCAGTCGCCTTCCGCGCCGTACGTCATTCCTGCGCGCATCGAGCGGCGATAGCAATCTGGCAATCTAGCAATCAATTGCAACGATCATTGCATGGGTGGCATGGGTGGAGTGGACCTGTACGGTGATACATACGGTGGAGGCCTCACAACAACAGGCACAGCTTCCCTTGGCTCTTGACTCGGCGCAATGGCTTGGCTTTCCATTCTCCTCGTTCTGTCGCTCTTCACCGACCAGCGCCGCTCCACTCCAAGCCTCCTCCTCTACCTTGTTAGCTCCTCTAGCCTCAGTGATTCCGCGATCTATGCCTTCTTCTCGTCACTGTCCTCAACGCAACGACAGCGCGCCTCGGCTGCTCTTCGCTACAGCCAATTCACCGAGATTACATCTCACCCTCCGGCCGCGATTCGCAATCCCCACCTATACTGCTACTCTACCTTGCCCTACTCCCTCCCCGCTTGTCTCATGCACGATTACTGACCAACTGCTGATTCGTCACCTCAGCCTCACACCAATACAGTGTCTCGGTGGCTTGGCTCTCCGACTGAAGGTGCGGAATCGGCAGGGCCAAGCCGATGCCGAGCCGCCGAGCCGGCACTATCTTGGGGCGGTGCCACCACTGATATCATGCATACCGCCACGCCGCCACCGGGCTGGAGAAATGCATGAACGTGCGTCGGGGCGGTGCGGGGAACAGTACGAGCGTATGCATACATACATACGGACAGTAAGTGAACATGACTTGAGTTCGTAATGGGTTGCCTTGGTTCCGGCGTGGTGAAGGTGGAGGCCTTGTGCCTCCAGCGATCGACAGCCAGCGGTCACCGGACAGCGGGAGCAGACACGATTCGACTCAAAGCGTTCGACTCGCAGACGGAGATCTACCATACTTTAGCAACACCTTGACAAGCCTTGTCACGTACGGCCAAGCACCACGCACAGGCTCTCTGGGCTCTGTGCAAGTGCGGCGTCTTAACTGGATGTGCACCTGACGGCGGAGCATGAGAGCAGGTTCCTTCGAGCGCCATGTGGTTGCCGGATGGTTGTCGCGTGGTCAACACGTTTATGGCCCTGCAGCGGTTTGGCTTGGCGCAATGTGATGATGGCCCAGCCCAGATCCAGCTTTGCTATCACCATTGCATAGCCCTTACATTGTACCTTTTGGTATACTGGTTAAGCAGTTCAAAGGTCGTGGACCTGAAAGCCAAGCTTGCAGCGCTCTGCCAGTGCCAGCGCCGTCGGACGACCGTGAGATTTACGTCGAGGAGCTGCACACGAATGTCGCGACCAGGGCGTCCCAGCTGAGTGTCGAGTACGCGGAAATTGCGCGCCTCCGAACCAACTAGCACACGACAATGCAGGATGTCGGCTCTGGTGGCGGTGGCGTTTCATCCCGCTCGGTAGCATTCCCCGCTTAAAATTGCATCAGCATCAAGCGCTCAAGAGGCGGCAGGCGGTATCTCCCGCTGCCCGTCGCTAGTCTGGATGCAGATGCTGACGCACATGCTGATGCAAGTTGGCTGCAGCGGGATGACATGACGACACGGCATCCACAACAATTCCAGACTCCCCGGCGGCGTCGAGAGCCTGAATCTCTCTACTCGCTTACCTGTGTCCGGACTATTCGGGTGGTCAGACCGCACGCCACAAGCCATAGGCCATCGGCGAGGCGCGACAGGGCGCTTGGGTGTCGCAGGACTAGACTAGCTCCGAGATCAAACCGCCCGTCCAGGGTAGACGGGCACATGGGCAGCGTCGACTGAATTGTCTCATCACCATTGAATGGTCCCACCGACGCCAGCCGATCACTTGCATGCCTCGCTTTTTCATCTTGGTACTCCACTCCACCGCGCCATGTCGACGCGTCCAAAGCTTCACCTCAATGTGCGCGTCGAGGCTCCCTACGCGTCTGGGGAATCACTGGAACACTTCCACAGGCCTTAGGGTTAGCTTGTACACGCGAGGGGCACAGCGCAGGAACGGAAGTTTGCAGCGGGTGATCTCGTTCACCGAGACATTGATGCAGACATTGTGCATGTTGTGCTCGGCCAAGCAGGGCAGCATAGTTTCACGTGGAAGCGGACACCAGATACCAGAGGGGACAGGGAAGAGCACGCATCTTTCTTACGTTACGCTTTACCGCTGCTGCTTGCTGGCATGAATCTCATCACCAAAGGGTTGAGGTAGTCGAGGTACATCGAGGTACGCCTGTACAATCTGCGGAGCAGTACGAGCGGACGTACGCAACCTTGCGAGCGTGGACATGCGGATACTGTAGGGAGCGCGCAACACGGACGGGCCAGCCCAGCATGCCAGCATGCCAGCATGCAGTCATCAGAATTGCATGTACGAAACGAGGGAGGCCCGGGGGCTGAAGCGGCGGATGTTGGTTGCAGGCGTGTAATATCCTCTTCCCGCCCCCTGTCCCTTGTTGCTCTGTACCTTTCACCCATCATCCCATGCAGCCCATAATCTACTGTACAGAAACACTTGCCTTGCCATCATCGACTGTTCTCTTCAGTTTCTTTCTCTTCTCATCTCTCTTCATCTGCTCATCGCTGTGTCCGTCGACGTTATCCACAGCTTCAACGCCATCTCGCATCCTCGAGCATCACCTGATTAGGTCCCATTCCACCCTCCACTCGTACACCCCTGATCCTCCGCCACCCTCTTCAAGCTCCCACGTCTTGTTCATCGTTGCAGCTCTCCTCATCCCCATCCCCGCCCCCAAGACAAGAGGAGAATGAGCAGCTTCAACCCCCGGCGCGTGCTGCGCTCGCGCGTGGCTCTCGGCGTCTTCCTCATCCTCCCCCTCGTCCTCCTCCACATCGGCATGAGCGGCCGCCCTTCCCTTCCCTCCATGCCCGCGGCGTGGAAAGACGCGATTCCCCGCCCGTGGAGCACCGAGGCCGAGGTCGAGTTCTCCGACGATGACTTCCTTGGCGGCGCTGGGCCAGCCGATCCAACTGCCCCTGCGGGACCCGACCTGTCGCGGCCGAAGAACGAGCGGCCCCCCACCCAGTCCAAGGGGAAGAACCACACGTATCTCCCCAACGGACATTTGGTGCCGAACCCCGCGGCTCAGCACCCGATCTACGACCTCATCGATCGGAGCGAACGCGAGTGGCAGCGAAAGCTCGACGGGCAATCCACTACCTTGCGGGAAGCAGTCGACGAGTACCGTCGACGATACCACCGCGCTCCGCCCAAGGGCTTTGACAAGTGGTGGCACTGGGCGCAGAAGGCGGGGATACCGCTCCCGGACGAATACGACCAGATTGTGAGTGGCAGAGCGGGCGAGCGTGGGAGTGGACTGGGGGTCGAAGCGAAGAAGGAGACGGCGGCGCCGACGGGGGCGATCCTCCGCCACCACTCAAGTCGGGCGAGGGCGTCGCTTGGCGCGGAAGTCACGGTGCACAGACGCAGATCGGCCCAGAATAAAATTGCCCCATCGTCTCGAGCCCTCCATCAAAGTTCAAGCATTCATGCTGACACCAGCATCATGACCTCGAGCCATACTGGGCTATCAGGCCAGCCGACTTCCGTGCCAACGCCGAGGCTGCGTCCAAAATGGACGGCATGTACACCATCACATGTGCAGGCAAGGCCGGAGGCGGCACCGAGTGTACCGAGAAGGTCCAGGGCGAGGGACTGGAGCCTGAGGTACACCTCGTTTTGACGCAGCGGTCGGTGGCGCAGCTGGAACTAATCAAGCCGCTCGAGGAGCTACTGTACGACACCAAGGCTGTCTTCTACATGCATGACGGGCCTTGGCAGTTTGTGGGACACGACTACGTAAGTTGGGCGCACTCGCAGCTTGCTGTGTGTGCTGACCGCACAGAAACAACTGCTCGAAGAGTCGGCCGAGTCGGGCGAGTATATCTCGAAAGAGGCGCTAGCGGACCTCGACACGGTTCACCTGGGATGGGGCTCGGGGTGTGCGCCACACAAGCCTCTGCGCCAGTCATGGGACCCGAGCTCGCTCGTCGACGTCGAGGCGCTGTGGCAGACGGCTCCGCACTCGTTCGTCTACGATCACAAAGCGACGATGGATGTATGCACGAACCCGAACCTCGTGCAGCTCATGGGCGTCCTCAACTCACACGGAAAGGGTCCGGGCTCCTCCCACATCATGTACCCGACCATGGCCATGAGCAAGACGACGCTGCACTCGGACATCCTCGCGGTCTCGGCCGAGGCATGGACCGAGGACGTGGGCGACGACCCGGAGTGGGACGACAAGAAGCAAAACCTCCTCCTGTGGCGCGGCAAGACAACGGGCATTCTCTACACGGACAGATTCCACTGGAACGTGACGCAGCGCGTCAACCTCGTCTCGCATGCAGCCCGGCGCGAGGGCACGCTCCCCGTCCTCCCCGTCTCACCGCCCAGCTCCCCCGTCGGTGCCCCCGAGATGCGCGAGTATGCCTCGCTGAACAAGCAGCTGCTGGACGCGGCGTTTGTTGACGAGCCGATTCAGTGCGAGGGGGACGTCTGCAACGAGCTGCGCGAGCAGTACCACTTCGCGGATCGCAAGGACTGGACGGCGGCGAACGACTACAAGTTCCTGCTGGACGTCGACGGGAACGGGTGGAGCGCGCGCTTCAAGCGCCTCATGTCCACCAACTCGGCCGTGCTGAAGAGCACCATCTTCCCGGAGTGGTACACGGACCGTATCCAGCCGTGGAAACACTACATCCCGATCAAGGCGGACCTGACGGACCTGTACGACGTCATGTCCTTCTTCCAAGAGCATGACGACCTCGGCAAGCGTGTGGCCAACCAGGGCAAGGAGTGGAGCAAGACGTTCTGGAGACAGGAGGACATGATGTCGTACCAGTTCCGGTGAGTTACGTTACGAGGTTTGCGAGCGGAGGGCCGGGCGTACTGCAGCAGAGCTACGCTGACCCCCAGCCTCTTCCTCGAACTCGCACGCCTTGAATCAGATGACCGTGACGCCGCGTCGTACCACGGGCGGGGCGACGAGGACGAGCCTGCGCATGTCGACGAATTGCCGAGCGCAGACGAGGGTGCCCCGGGCGCTGAGGACGGGGCGAAGGCAGCGGAGGAGACTGGGCCGTCGGAGAAGGTGCAGCCGTCCGCAGATGAGGAGACGCCTGGCGAGCCGAAGGACGCGGCGCCCGCGCCGGCACCCGCTGCACCGCCGGCAGAGGCGGACAAGCCAGCGAACAAGCCGGCAGACAAGCCGGAAGACAAGCCGGAAGACGCCGAAAAGCCAGAAAAGCCCGAGGAGCTGACCGCGTCCGACTGAACTTGGACGCGTGGATTGTCGATCACAAGCACAAGCATTTATGTTGTCTACTAGATATAGAGCGATCATGCAGGGTCGTGTGTAGCCGTGGCTCGTTCCTGTCCCATACCAATCCATCTTTCCATCCTGATCCTACAACCGCCGCAGGAGCCCAATCTTGGGACTCGTGCGCACCTGCACCCCCTCTTTGCCGAAATGGACGCCGTCGAAGCCGTCGCACGCGCCAATCAGCGCCCACATCTTGTGCCCGTCGATCTCTGCGCCCGCGAACTCGCGCCACCGCTCCGTGACGACGGCGTCGAGGTCGGCGAGCCACGCGCCCTGCGGCGTTTGGAGGCTGGGCTCCTCGCTTTTCGAGTATACCCACTGCACGTCGACGGGGGCGGGGAAGGCGGGGGACGCGTGCTTGCCGCGCACGAAGGTGAAGAGCGACGCGCCCGTCTGGAGGGGGTAGCTATGGAAGTGGATCGTCGATTTGTGCGGGAGGCGCGCGGCTTCGAGCGCGCGCCACACGCACCCGCCAGGGTAGTTGTGCGTGCTGACGTACGTCGAGAAGAGGGCGAATGCGGCCGTGATCCCCAACAAGCCGGTGAGGGCGAGGCGGGACAGGGCGCGCAACGCGCGGCGCGGGAGGGCGGCGAGGGCGGCGGCGCACGCCGCCGCGACGATGTTGAGCGGCGGGATGGCGTACACTATGAAGCGCCATTCTTTGTGCCCCACCGTGCTGAGGACGGCGACGAGGCAGACGACGCCGGGGCCGAGCGTGCGTGCGGCGCTGGCGACTGTGCGCCGCAGCGTCGTGTTGTCCAGCACATGCCCCGACTTTGCGGATAGGCCGAGGAGAAGCGCCCACACGACGCCGAGGAGGAGGAGCGGCGCGGCGCCCGCGAGCATTTTGAGCAGCGCGCTCACGTACAAGTGCGCGGGCATGGTGCCCCATTCGGCTGCGTGACCGTGCGCGATGTTCCAGTGGGCCGCGGAGAGCTCGGGCCACAGCGTGTGCAGCGCCGTGAAGTCTGGTAGGGAGGGGTGGGGGAGCGTCGGCGCCCACAGAGCGTAGTCGAGGGGCGCGGAGAGCGCGAGCGCGCCGAAGCCACCGGCTATGCCTGCGCCCAGCGCGGCGGGGAGGGACAAGCGCCGCTGGACGACGAGGGCGAGCGCGGTGGGCACGGCGAGGAGCGCGACTTCGAGCCGGATCACGGTCGCTGTGGCGGTGAGGAGCGCGATGCCGGCCCACAGCTTCTCGTCGAGGAGGTAGGAGAAGGCGAGCACGACTGGTGTTAGGGCTGGGATAGTGGAACTTACCCAGAGGCAGGGCGGTGAAGTTCGGCAGCGTCCGTCCCGCATAGAACGGAATGTGGAATTGCGCGAGCGTGAGCGCGACGAACCAGTCGGCTGTCGACGTCGAGTAGCGCCGCTGGAGCGTACGCGCGAGGTGTGTGAATGCCGCGGCAAAGCACGCGACCAGTGTCAGGCGGACTGGGGTAAGAGCGTCCACTAAGCGGCCGTACCAATCACTTGGATGCCGATGGATGTGGCGACGAGGCCCGTCGCGCTCGCGAGTGCTGCAGAGGGGTAGGACAGCAAGCCGAGGACAATGGGCGGGAGAAACGAGCGCGGTACCGCGCCGGGGAACGTGCGGTGGTCCCACTGGCATTAGTTGCGTGGTGAGGGAGGCTACGCACATGCTCCCAGTTGGCCGGCGAGAGGCCGTACCGCAGCACATCGTACGCCGCGTGCAGCGTGAAGCTCTCCTCTACCTTGGTGTAGGGCGCGACGAGGACATGGGCTGCCGGTACAAGAAGGAGTTCGAGGAACCAGAGAGGCCAGCGGGCCATCGTGTCAAGGAGTGTGAGTGGTTAGTGCTAGAGATACAGAGAGCGATCAAGCAATCAAGATGGACTTGGACATTGACTTGGATGGCCACGTTGCGGCGGTGGAGGCGGAGTCGAGTTGGTCCGCTGGAAAATCAAAAATCATCCGGCCGATGCCGATCAGACGGGCAAGATCGTGTGACCCCAAACCTGGACCACCATACCCCACCGCTTGGCATCGACTCGGTTGCTCTCCCCTCGCCACACGTCGCTTCCCATACCTCGACTCACTCGCGGTATACATGCATGGGTATCTATGAACAAAAAGCTACTCGTCGTCCTCGTCGTTGGCGAAGACTGGTGCCTTCTGGCTGTCCTGCCAGCTGTAGTATGCAAACTGGCCGATAATGAAGATATCCAAGAAGATGGTGAATGCTGAACCGGCGATCCATGACGCGTTGGTGACGAGGTACTTGTACTCGAGGCTCTTCGTGAGGATCGAAGCGATGTACGTGACATCTGTGTGTGAGTGGTGCTTCGCTGTGTGTTTGGGGCGCGGAGGGGCCAGGGTGGGCTGACACGAGAACTCACTGCCGGAGATGGAGAAGAAGAACATGGCGAGGCTGAGACCTTCGCAGCGCGTAGAGAAGTTGTGGAACACCTGCGGGACGCGCGAAGCGAGGTACAGCACGCATGAGGCGTATCCGAGCACCTGCGACTTCCACTCCAGCTCAACGCCGCCGGGCGTGCCCTCGGGGATTTTGACCTCGTCGTTCTCGTGCAGGAGGTGGGCGATCCAGCCGACCGCGAGGACGAAGCCCACGAGAAGCGGCCACATGAGGTACGCGGGGAGGAGGGGCTTGACAACCTTGGGTTCGTCGAGCTCGACCAGGGGCTGGCGCTCGCCGTCAGCCTGGCGGCGCTTGCGCCGGAGATAGCGGTAGTAGTAGACCTGGTAGAGGAGGACGAAGTCGCAGAGGTTGTACTGGGGTTAGCAGTTGGCCCTAGAAGGGGGTGGGGTGGGTAGTGCACGGCCAGAAAGGTCACCGCCCGGGGTGCCAAACAGAAGAAGCTCACATAAACCGCCAGAATGATCATCGTGGGGAGCAAACCGGCGTACACGGCGCCGATAAGGTTTGTCATGTCGCCGAGGAGCCAGAGGATGATGAAGGGGACCGAAAGGCCGTCACCAGATTTGAGAACATAATTTTCGTAAACTGGAGATGCCATGCTGTCAACGGGCGGCGGGTGTCAGAAGATTGCAAGTTACACACTCTGGGGACTGCTGCGGAGGAGTCAGCGGCTGGCGAGCGGGGTGGGGCAGCGGAGGAGCAGGACGAGCGCGGTGACGCCTCTTCCGGCTGTATCTCCAGACGAGGACTCACTACACGATAACCCAACACGCGATGGACATAAACCCCATCTGGACCGGGTCAGTAAAGATGGACGGGAGCATGACGATATGGGCGATGATGAAATGTCAAGAGACGCACAACGGAGGAGAGCTCCTCGGAATGGAGTGGAGGTGCCATGACGGTCCGTGCGATAAGGGAGGTGGAGGGGAGATTGGCGTGGGCGTTGGGCGTGGGCGAGGGGATGCTGTGTCGCGTGAGAGGGTGATAGTATACACAAGGATGGACAAGAGAGATGTGCGGAAGATGAAGGATGAAGAGGAGGAAAGATGGAGAGATGCGTGGGGTAAAGCAATCCTGCGGAGTGGACGAGTCGACTTGCCCGCCCGCATCAACGCCGAAGTGCCCACTCTCCTCCGCCGCCGCCTCTGCCGATCCCCCGCTCTGCCCCCTGCCCCCTGGATTCCGCCGCATCGGAACTCAAATTCTTCGCATTACCCGCATTTACCGACGCCCAACGCCCTGGGCGCCTATCTAGCCCTGGGCGCCTATCTAGTCGCCACCCGCCACGTGAAGACCACGCGTTCACATGCCTACTTCAATCACGTAGGCCCCCACACACGTGCCGCTGCTCGCCACGACTGATCCGCCCTCCCCCAACTCATCAACACCGCCATCAACACTCCGTCCTCACTCCCTCTCCCTCTCCCTCGCCCTCCCACGCTCACGCTCAACATGCAGGCTTGGAAGAACTTCAGCGCCGCCCTTCCGGCGGTGGACGTGTCCAATGTCTCCAAGAACTTCCGCAACACCGTCCAGGCCACGCGGTGGGTACATCCCTGTCTATCTGTTATGACGATAGGCGGGCCGCCACTAGACCGAGCTGACCCCAGCGAGCGCCTTGGCAGCGTCGGGCCGGACAGCATTACCGAGTATGTTGCGCGTGCTTAGGCGCAGGCTGGTGAGCGAGGACTTACGCCAGGCTGCCGGCGGAGTACAAGGCGCTCGAGGCGCGCGTCGACGCGCTCAAGGATGTGCACCAGAAGCTCCTTAAGATCACCAAGGTGTACGAGACGGAGGCTGTGAGTGGGCTCGTGGCTGTCGTGAGACGTGAGGCGTGAAGCGTGAAGCGTGCAGCGTACAGCGCCGTAAAGCGTGGCGCGCGGCCACACCGAGCCAGTCAGCTCGGGCGGGGGCCGAGCCACAGGCTCGTGCTCTGCTTTCCGGCGGCTCCGAATACGAACCATGCTTCGCAGGATAGTGCTGACGCTGCCTTCTGGTCACTTCTGGCCCGGCCCTCCTCCGCTATTCAGTACGACTACCCCTCCGACCTGGCCGAGAACCTCTCCGAGGTGGGCCACCAAGCGCAGGCGGCGTGGGCCTCGTTCGCGTCCAAGAATCTCAAGAACACGCCGATCCCCGTGCCCGTCGAAAAGCCTACCGAGCACCTCCCCAAGACGCTGCCGCACGCGCTGAGCCGCGCCGCGGCCGCCGGCGCGACCCAGCTCACGGCCGAGGACCGCCTCGGCGCCGCGCTCGGCACATACGCCGTCGCGACGGAGAAGGTGAGCGCCCCGGCGTCATGGGGCGTCTTTGGCATGACGCTGTGTGGCAGTAGATGTGGACTTGGGGACACGGCTGACGCCAGGTCGGCGAGGCCCGCTTGACCCAGGACCAGATGATTGCCGAGCGGTTCGTCACGCCCTGGCAGGCGACGCTGTCGACCTCGATCGGGCTCGCGATGAAGGCGCGCGCAAATGTCAAGACGGCGCGGCTCGAACTCGACAGCGCCCGCGGCGTGCTCAAGACTTCTGGTCCGGCCAAGCAGGAGCAGGCGCGGTGAGTGGGCGTGAGAGGGGAGGGGGGGGGGGGGGGGGGCATTTGGGAGGGGACACATCTAACCCCAGACTCCACGTCGAGGAGGCCGAGGACAAGCTGGTGCAGGCGACCGAGACGGCCATCGGCCTGATGAAGGCTGTGCTCGAGAACGTGCGTGCCCCTCCCGGCTTCCACTGACTCCAGCCCGAGCCGCTGCAGAACCTGTCGGCGCTCGTCAAGGCTCAGCTCATCTACTTCTCCACTGCCGCCGAGGCGCTTTCCGTGCGTGGCGTCCCGCGGGACCTAGCTGACAGCAGGGCATCGAGGGCCAGATCGAGGAGGCCGCGACCTCCGCCGAGGCCGAGTACCGTACCTCGCGCGGCGCGTAGGATTTGTCCCCATACCGCGCCGGCCAGGCGCTTAGATGAATTGTAGGCTTAGATTCCGGATGTGTGAATGCAGCGCGGCGGACGACCGCCCGCTGCTCTCGTAAGGGCGAGCGGAGCGGCAGGCTAGCGATGGTGGGCTCGTAGAGTGAATATACGGAGGTACATGCAGTCATCTGGCGCGCTCGATGTGAGAGATGATGATACATGCACTGTACAACCTTAAGTGAATGGGTGACTGACTGCTCCTCCCCCTTTCCTCTAGTGTCTATATGATACCCACGACCACCGTCGCGCGCAGGCTGCCGCCCTCCCCGCTCTCCCCAACCCAGCCAAGAGTGCTTTCGCCCTCACTCATCGGGACACTGAGATACTCCTCCGAGCGCAAGGCCGAGCTCTTCCAGCCCCAAGACTGCGAAAGCGCAAATGAATCAGGCGCGGACGAGAAGCGCACCATGGCTGTGCCGAGCGCACTCGCGCACGTGATGCTGAAATAGGCCTGGCATTAGCGGCCGCGCCGCACATTGGCAAGCTCACCTTGGTAATCTCTCGCGGATCAACATAGGGATTCTCGCGTGCCTCGTCGCTGCCCGAGTCCGTCAGCGAGTTGTGCCGACTGACAGGCGACCCAATAACCGGCGGCGAAACGGAGAAAGTGCGATACATGTTAGTGCCAGTGCCGGTGCCAGTTCCAGTGTTGATGCGCGCAAAGTCAGAATTGTTGGGCGTGTTGTTTGGGGCGACGATAGGTGCCGCGTCCTGCGTGTGACCCAGCCCCAGCACACCCGAGTTAGGGTTCGGGGACGAGCTTGGCGAAGAGGCGATTGGGAACGGTTCTGTCGTGGACTGCGCGTGAGTGATGAACCAACAGTGGTTGTAGTGTTCCTCACCTGTCGATGAAGGTAGATGCCAAGCTGCACACCCTTGTCCTTTTTGCGGATGGCGGAGACGTAGCTGAAGTGAGCTTCGAACTTCCACGTGGCATAACCTACACGTTGAAGTAAGATCCAGCATAAAAGTAAGTCTGCGAGTACAAGCGCTCCTTGGAGTCGACGTTGAGTTTGTCCACGCCCCAGAACTCGACGGCGAAGCGGAAAGGCTCCACCTTGGACCAACGCTCGTCCGCCGCCTTGTCGACCAGGCCCGGCAAGAATAGACTTCCACCTTCCTCGCGGTACTTCGCATCAATCTCGGGCCCGCGACGAGCACCGCGCATGATGCCAAAGAACGAGCGCTCGTCGTGCGGCGGCGGCGCCGGCTTCTGACGAGCCGTTGTTTCGCCCCACTCCGGGCCGAAATCCGGCATGCCTGAAATGCTCGGAAGAGGCGCCGTGACGGATTGATTGGAGACAAACAACAGACCGGTAGCACCAATACGGTGAGTGTCATCACTCGGCACGGGGAAAAACCATGCGTCAGGAGCCGTTGGGTTGCCCAAGCCCGAAGTGAGCGAAAGCGAGGAGAAGGAAAGTGTTGATCTAGAGCCCAGGCCCGAGCCGTAGGGCGTGGAGAGGCGCGAGCGCCCAGCCCGCCGCCTCTGGAAGAGTCCCGAAATGTCGGAAGTGGTGACGGTGAGGCCGAGCTCACTCTCATTGTCGTTGCTCTTTGCTCCGGAGACGCGATTCTTGAGGTCGGCAGCCTGCCAGTGCGCGGCTTGGAGGACGTGCAGTGGCGCGTATGGGAGCGCAGTTGCGGGGTCGATATCGCTGGAAATGGCAGAAAGGTCTTCGAAGGACTACGATTAGTTCAGATCAAGGAGCTCAGAGCTTACCATGTGCGAATAGTAGATACCCTCCGCGAACACCTTGGCAATTTCGTTCTCCTCATCCTCCCAAGCGTCCTCGTCGATGGGCTCGGATGCGTCCATCGCCGACGGCATTTCGTCAGAAGCATCCTGCCATGACTCGCGGCGCAACTCGAGGACGCGGCGCGTCATTTGGTAGCGCTCCCGCTCGTTGGGAACAAACAATGCGTCCGAAGACAGAATGGCGCCTACGAACCTGGCGGGAATACCACCGTGTCCCCAGACGATAGGCATATCTTTGCTCTCCCAACCGACTGAAGTCTCGATGTTGAGAACGTCTAGTCCCCATCTTGCCAGCCAGCAGACACATGCTTCCCCAATCTTGTTCGAGACGAAGCCGTAGAAGTGCGGCATGGGTGGAAGCGGGCGCGGCTGCGCCTCGTCTACTGGCACCAGCTTCTGGGCACTGGCAGGGCGCGCGGTCCCGTTCGACTTCAACGACGATGTGCGTGACACGCTGTGGTCTGACACCTTTGTGTGCTCGTCGGACATGACCGAGTCGGTCGAGGTCCGGTGCAAGACCTCGGGCGGCGACGACCTGTCAATGTCGGGCAGTGGGCTCTGAACAAGCGCCTCGCGAGGTGACTGGTCACACGCCGCCGAGGCCGTGTCCGACTCGCTCACCCATTCGTCCGACTCGTGCTGCGTGAAGCCGGACGACAGCGTGCGTGCGACCTTCTCCATCCCCTTCGCACCATCGTCGTCCTGGTTGTCCCATTCTGGCTCACCAATGCCGTCGCCTACAGCAAACGCGAGGTAGCGCCCCACGGTGGACGGGCCGACCGTACGTAGAACGATTGCGAGCACCTCACGTAGCAAGTACGGCTGGCCAAGGTATGTTGCGGTAGCCAGAAGCGAGAGGCAGAGACGGGGCGTGACCAGGTGCGTGTTCGGGGCCACTTCGTCGTAGGACATTTGAAGCGAGGGGAATGACGCGCCGGGAGGGTATGAGGGCGTCAGAGGCTGCGCCGCCGTCGGGAGCAAGGAGACGGGGAAATGGAAATGCGGAAACGGCGAGTAGAGACGCGACAAACAGATTCTGGAAGAGGTCAGTGACAGACAATAGCGCGCACGTACTCGAAGGCGGCTCGAGTAATGTTGGGGTCATCGAATGTGAGCTCGATGTCTTCGCCGTGCCATTCGTCGTCGCGCTCAAGAGGGCGGATGTTGAGATATGGGCGCGGTGGAGCGTCCTCTGAGAAGCCACCCATGAACAGCGACTGGAAGAAGCCTGTTGAGGTCAGCTAAATACTGGCTGCCAAGCAACTGGAGTGACTCACCGGCCTGGACCAGAACCATCTTGTGCACTAGCCAGCCGATATTCCAGCGGCGTACCCAGATGCGCACGTCGGCACAGGCGCCGGTCTTGAGTGAGCGGTAAAGGTGATCCGAGAGGGCATGCTGGGGCGGCGGAGGCGACACAGGAAGCGAGGAAGGTAGAGGATTCGGCGGCGGGAGCGATGCCTTCTTCACAGGCGTGGGCCGGATGAGAATGGGTTTGGGCAGCTCAGTTGAGCTGACCATCGGGGCGGCGGAGACAAAGGCGTTGTGCGTCGTCGCCGGCGGGTTGGCCATGCTCACGGCGGGGCCGCTTACTGGCGGTCCGGATGCCGAGAGAGGGAGTGGTTCAGTCATGATTGTTGTTGTGGGTGCTGCAATGCTGACAGAACCTGTGAGAGGATAGAAGCCCTCTTGTCTGCGCGGAGTAGGAGACATAGAGGACGAAGTTGTCGATGCCTGTGGAGTGGCGCTTGTTGTTGCGGCTCTCGGACGTGACGGGCGGGGCGTATCCACCTCCGGTGGAGGGGTACTGGTAGGTGACATTGAGAATGCCAGGCGAGAGGGCCCTGCGGCGTTGGGTGCGTCAGCAGACGCTGATGACGCATGGGATGAGAATGAAGTCGTCGAGGCGGCGGAGACGGGCGCCTGAGCTTGGGCGAGCGCGTCGGCATATGATGCCCGCGAGGAAGTCGATGAGTGAACCGAGTGTGTAGCGAGAGGGGAGGTGAAGGTTGGGGATGTGGCCTGGCTGTGTCCGGGGGAAGTGAGCGGGGAGGGCCCCCTGCTCTGCTCCCTGCTCATTGCCGTGCGGACGGGGAGGTCTGGGAATGGGAGGACTTTGGGTTGCGGCCGATTGCTTGATGATGATGAAGAGAGGTTGACTCGTGAGGCCGAGAATGAGGAGTGGTAGGTGTGGAAGCGGGAGGGTGTTGAGGGGCGAGACCCCCGTGACGATGTCATCGGCAGTGTGGGGCGGCGGGCGGCGGGGTCGAACGGCGGCGGGGCGGGGCGGGGCGGGGCGGGGCGGGGCGGGGCGGTTGGGTGCAATGTTTTTGTTTCAGTCAAAATGGGCGGCGGCTCGTGTGCCAGCAATTGGTGCGCCCTTGGTAGGCGGCCAGGCGGGCGGTGTGAGATCAGATCTCGCTAGCAGAACTCTGGAATGTCGAGGTTGGGGTGACGAGATCAAGTGATGAACACCAAACAACAATGCACGACGAGTCGGCGGGAGGCGTGGAACCGGTGGCCCAGAGACAGGAGACGTGCTGCGAGGGTTGCTGTGGCGGTGGCGCTCGCAGTTGGGTGAAGGCCGAGAAACCGGGTGTTCGGACGTTTGAGTGGGTGGGCTAGATTTCAGAGAGCGTCCAGGGGATTTGTTGAGGAGAGAGCGTTGGATGGTGAGAGAATGGGTCGGGGATGACGGGAGTGAGTCGACGGGGGGTATAAGATGAGAGAAAGAGAAAGAGCAAGAGAGATGAGAGAGCAAATGCAAAAGTGATCTCGGTGTGGGCGGAGATTGATTTAGATGAGTGGTGTGCGACCTGGACATGAGTGAAGGTGCTGCAGGGTCACACGCGGATGCACGGCTGCGTACGGCTGGTTACCGCGTGCCCCGATGCCCAGCAAAGCCCAGATTGCCCAGATTGCCCAGAACACCGAGCCAAGCGTTCTTCCACACGCCATTCATGTCCTGGCCGCTGGCCGCTCAAGCTCTCGACCTCAGCTCAACTCCTACCCCGAATGTAGCGTCGCCCTGGCTCAGCACGTCCTGCATGACGACACGACCTCGCAGCTCGGCCCATCTTGACATGACCAACCTCCGCCTCGGTACCTTTGGGCTACCCGTTCCCAGAACACAATGAAACGCATGAGACATAGCCGGACGTGCTGGTGTTCGCTATCCCTCCCCCGCTCTCGTGCCGATATGCCGAGTGGGAAGGGATTCTGTTACAAACAGACTGCAGCACAGAAACGTTTCCACGTTCAGCGCACGTCGGCCGACGGCCGACGGGCGATCCAGCGGCGATAGCAGGGACGGCCCTGCCAATGTGCAGGAACGGAGTACCAGAGTTTGGGACCTTGAGACACGGCAGGGCATGAGCCAGGTCGGAGAGATTACCTCGTGAGCTCGGCCTTGTCTCACGCATGCACGCACAAACGAGGAGGCTCTAGGCTCGAGAGATCCGAGGAGACATGTGCAGCTTTCCCCGGAACGGCAACGTAACCGACCGGCCCCCGCGACCCTGTGAGCCGGGCAATCAGCGGAGAATAACCCGATTTCCGCCTAGCGTGGTAACCACGGTACTCTCACGCTGTTGCTGCATGGTGCGGAGATGCAAGTCCGTGCCACGGGGAATTCGCCGCGGTGTTTGAATTTCTGGTATTGGCAGAGTTTTCGCTGGGTGGAGGAAGGCAGCAGTGGGTGGGGTGAGTGGATGGACGTGGATGCGAAGCTCCGATCCCTGTACGGTGGGACAAGTCGCGCACGTTGCAACGCTCAAATCTCTCTTCTCTCTTTCTCCAGTTCCTCCCACAACACACTCAAAATGGTCGCCGCCGCCGAGCTCGAGAAGCACCTCTCCACCCGCGCCTACATTGACGGGTAAGTCTCCCCTCCTCCTCGTCATCTCCAGCCACTTGCGCGTCCATTGCCATCCTCGGCGTCGATCTCGTCGCCGAGATAGCCTTCTTGGATTCGCGCCGTCCCTCCCCATCTCAACATCTCCCCAACATCTTCCCCAACCCCTCTCACACCTATCTCACCCGGATGAACCTTGTTTTGGTCCGTGTTTCCGAGCTAGAGGATTAAGACCCCTCGCCAGAGCGTTGAAGACACAACCCTTTCCAAACTATCTGATTCTTATTCTTCCCGAAATTTCCATTTTGCCCGTTTGCGAGGAAAGGCGCTAACGATAGCGACGCCCCGTCGACCGCCGACGTTGCCGTCTTTGAGACCCTCAAGCTCAGTGAGTTGCGCTAGCCAGCTGGGAAGGTGAGGGCTGGGACGGAGTATCGACTCGATGCGCCATGCTTCCACTCTCCTTGTGTGTATCGAGTCGATGTCTCCAGCTTCTCTTCGCCCTTCACTTTCCCTCGCATCTTCTCCTCTCGTCCCCGCTGACCTCTAGGCGACGTTAAGGAGCCTCACACCGCTCGCTGGTACAAGCACATTGCTTCGTACGCCGGCGAGACCTCGTCGCTCCCTTCGGGCAAGGTCCCCTTCGCCGGCATCGAGGCCGCCGCTGGTGCCGCCCCCGCCGCCGCTGAGGACGACGACGAGGACATTGACCTCTTCGGCTCGGACGACGAGGAGGTTGACGAGGAGGCTGAGCGTGTCAAGGCCGAGCGTATCGCCGAGTACAACAAGATCAAGGAGGCCAAGAAGCAGGAGAAGCTCGCCTCCGGCAAGCAGCTCGAGGTCGCCAAGTCGGTTGTCACCCTCCAGGTTAAGCCTTGGGACGACGAGACCGACATGAAGGAGCTCGAGGACGGTGTCCGTGCCATTGAGATTGACGGCCTCGTTTGGGGTGCCTCCAAGCTCGTTCCCGTCGGCTACGGCATCAAGATGCTCCAGATCAACCTTGTCATTGAGGACGCCAAGGTCTCGCTCCAGGACCTCCAGGACCAGATCACCGACGACCTCGAGGGTGAGTCTAGATTGCCGATCATGGCTGACATCAGACTACGTCCAGTCCACCGACGTCGCCGCCATGCAGAAGCTTTAAGCAGCTGTGTGCTCGGATGTGTCGTGTTTAGTTGTGCTATAGTTGGGCGATGCATATGCAAGTCCAGTTTAGTTTATGGAGCTGTGGGTGGTGCGACGGGGAGGCCGGAAATTTTGTTTCCGCTGGTGGAGGTGGTCCATCTGTGTGCATAGTGATCGCAGAGAGCGGGAGGGCGCATGGATTCATGATGTGTATAAGAAGCTTGACACTCTGCGGTTGTTGTGACACAGGGAGATCCTTCTGCAGGTTATGCGATAAACTTGGCTCTAGCCATAGCCGCTGATAACTGACCCGCTCGTGGCCACTCGTCGCGGGGTCACTGTCTCTGTGAGTTTCGCATCCCACTGTTTCAGATCGGTCCATGGAAGCAGGCCACTTCGTCCCGCAGAAACTACAGCCAAGACAGCGCTCCTCCTGATAACCTGCGCTGCTTCGAGGTTAAACGCGCCGCCGCGTCGACCTCAGCGCGCCCACCGGCGTTACACAGTGATCCTCGCGCGCGGCACAGGGTTCGTGCAGCAGTGTGCCAAAGAGCGCGTTCACCTCGCAGCGGGAGGCCGATGTGCTCCCTCGACCTCCGTACACTCGCCCACTCATGAAGTGCCCGACTACATTTTTGGGCGGCCTGTCTTTCAACCTCGCACGGCAGAGCACGGCCTGAGGGAGCGGTCTGGTTGTTCTATTGATCGAGAGGGGATGAGCGCCTCGTTCGGTGGCCCGTCAGAAATGCACAGTCGCCAGCACATCGAGGAAGTTGCAGGCAGCGGCAAAGTCTGGCACGGGCAACTCGAGTTGGACACAGCGGATTTGACCAGAGTTGTTATGGAGTAGCGATGTAGAGTCCAGAATGCTGGAGAACAGAAGGAGAATCGAGAAGCGGAGTTGCTGCGAGCACGCAGAGGTGAAGCGGGTGGAGGTCGGCATCTGCCGGCATTGCGACATGTGTGGGGTTCCTTCGCCAGCCTGCCAGCAGCCAGCGGCCAGCAGAACGCGATAATCCGCACACGCGCCCGTCACAGTGCTCCATGACCCGTGTGCATGCTTGCAGCCCTAGTGTCGTGCTGCTCTCATCTCTCCTCATTTGCTTTCTCGTACGCCATACGCGAGCCTGACTCACCGCCGCAGCCTCTGACGCCATCTCTTCCGTCAGCCCGACCCTGAGCACCCATAAATACTGTACGCGCCGTGACGCTTCTTCTCTCCACATCATCATGGTCAAGCGCACATTCAAGCTTTCGGACGGCAAGACGGTCCCCGCGATCGCGTGGGGCAACGGCACGGGCGGGCTGCAGAAGAGCGGCAACCGCGCCGTGCTTGGCGGACAGGTTGCGCTCGAGGCCGGCATCCGGCACCTCGATACGGCGCAGTACTACGAGACGGAGGCGGAGACGACCGCGGCGATTAAGGCTTCGGGGATCCCGAGGGGCGAGGTGTTCATTACGGATAAAGGTGGGTGTGAGGCGAGGCGCGGGGCCGTTGGCTCGAGTGGAATAAAGAAGAGAGGAAGGCGCGGAGGAGGTAGAGACACGAGTGGACTGGGGAACATTGAGGTACACTGCAGCCCCCACAGGGGCCGCGAGGGTGACAGGAACCAGCGACTTTGAGGATACATACTGACCGCAGTGTCGAGCAACACGATCGCGGCCGAGGCGACGACGCGCGAGAATGTGCGCCAGTCCGTACTCGAGTCACTCGAGAAGCTCGGGACCAAGCCCGACCTCTTCCTCATCCACAACCCCTTCGTCCCGGAGGAGGGCAAGATTGCCGAGTTCTGGACCTATCTCGAGGAGCTGGTCGAGGACGGCACGCTTGGCGGCGTGTCGCTCGGCTTCTCCAACTTCCGCCCGCAGGACATTGACGCCGTGCTGAGCGTTGCGCGCATCAAGCCGGTCGTGAATCGTGAGTCAAGGTTGGAGGGGCGGGAGGTGTTCACTGGTGGCGGCAACCGTGGGGCACGCTCCCGGGAGTCATTGCTGTTAGTTTGAGCCCCGCGCGCGCGCCGCCCGCTAACAACCAGAGATCGAGTTCCACCCGTACGTCTACGCGCAGGTCGAGTCCCTTCTCGAGCTGCAGTCGAAGCACGGCATCGTCACCGCGGCGTACGGCCCACTCACCCCGATTCTGCGGCATCCGAGCGGCGGGCCGCTCAAGCCTGTACTGGAGCGCATCGGCGCCGCGCACGGCCTCGACGCCGCCTCCGTCCTCCTCCTCTGGACGATCCAGAAGGGCGTGATTGCCGTCACGTCGTCGAAGAACGAAGACAACATCCGCAAGATCGCGGCGCTCGACGCGGCGCCCGACCTCTCGGCCGACGAGATCGCGCAAATCGACGCGGCGGGCAAAAAGGTCCATTTCCGCCACTACGAGGAGCACATGACGCAGGACTACCCCGCGCCCGACCTGCCGCGCGAGTGATGCACATCTGCTACTTGACCATTCGACGCGGAGTCGAGTCGGGAGATGTACTGGAGTCAGGAGTGGAATCAATAGAGCAGCTGACGTTTATTTGCGGTAACGGCGCTGGGGAGAGCGGTAGCGCACATGCCGATCGACATGATGTCACGCCCTACCGAGAGTGCGGGTCATGAGTCAGCGCCAGACGACGTCTCGAGCATCGTCTCACCGCCGTGTCTGTCACGCGTCCGTAACGCCGTTCCTCGGGCGGAGACGGACATCGCATCGCCAATGTATGGCCGGCGGCGATGGCGGTGGCGCGGGCTTCGGGCGCTGGGAACTGGAATCTCGATGACCATCTCGCACGCCAGTGAGACACCATTCCGCGTTGTAGACGTCCACCATTCCGCACGTCTCAAGGTCTGCCCCGTGTCGCTTCGGTGCTCTACAGCGACGACTTGCCTCGGAGCAGAGTCGTTGCACGGACCTCGGACCTCGCGCCGATGATGGCAGACAAGGCCATTCCGAATCGGATGCGCCATATCGCCTCTTGCCAGGCACCGAGGCGGAGAGCGTTTATCAGACGGGCTGCTTCGACGGCGACGGCGTCTTGGAGACGCTGTGCCTGTACCTCTTGCAGAAGCTGATGATTGCCACTGGGACGTATCACTCTATCACGCGTGGTATGGTAGGACGCTGGGGAGGTCGGGGGTGAGATCGTGGCAGGCAGACTGGAGGCAGGAGATGGCGCCCAGTCAGTCGGGCGGGTGAAACCTCCGAGAATCAGCTGAAATGTTTGCATGCACGATAACACTGTCGACGCGCCGGTTTCCCACTTCCAGAAACTATGCACAGCTCAGACCAAAGCGGAAACGATGAGTGATTGAAGACCCCACGTCGCCCCAAACCGCCTCGGCATTCCAAATTCGGTGACGGCAGGTTGTGCCACCAACTCCGGCGTATGCCATCTGCCACTCGCAAAGCAGGGCTCTGTCATCCACAGACGCCGGTGTATGAGCAATTGTGGCAACTCGTACGATTAGCGCATCAGATGTTCCTTCAGTGGCAGACACATTCGTCACGATGCATGGCCCTGGTGTTCCACAGCTTCGTCGCCAGCGCCTCGCCCGCCCCTGCCTCGCTGCCCCTCCCCTTCGCCTTCCCAGTCTTCCATGGCGACGCGAGACGCGTCGCCGTCTCTCGTAACCGCCCTGGTAAGACGAGGGCCCCAACGCCGGCGGCTCTGAATAGCACACCGCTGCTCGGCTCGCTTGAACCAGCACTACATTCCTTTAATCATGTCTCGGGGCAAGAGCCCATCCAAGCTCACGACTGTCCTGTCTGAAGCCCTCCTACTTCCCGCCAACGCAAGCGCACCTCCGTGCGCCCCAGCGCCGGAGGATGGACAGCGTGCTCCCCATTCATAGTCCGCGTCCGAGTTCGAGTCCGAGTCCGGGTCCGAGTCATGGCCCAAGTCCGAGTTGGCCGCCGCCACCCTCCCTCCCGCCCGCACCACCAGTTCCACGCCCGCCGCCTGCTCCGCCACCACCGGTCGCCCACACGCCATCCCCTGCGCCGCCACCGCAGCCCCGCGATCCATGGGCAGCCTACCGCGCCGTCCTGGCCCGCGGCGACATCATCATGCTGTCCCCCGCCGACCTGAGCCCCGCCAATCCTCGGAGCTACGCACACCGGCACGAAGTCGAGGCGATGGATGCGCTGTGGGCGCGCCCGTTCGACGTCGTGGCCATGGCGGAGCGGTGGGCCGGGGGCGTCGAGCGCGTCTCGCGGCGACCGGGGATAGGCGAGCGCCTCGCCTTGCGGGGATGCAACACGGAGGAAAGCGAGTCGTCCGTAGAAATAGAGTCCCAGCCGACCCTCCACGAGAAAGCTAGCTCTGAGCCAGTCAGTGACCCGAGCGAGATGGCGCTCGACTCTCCGCCACCAGCCCTGGCCCCACCCCCACCTTGTCCTGATCCGCCTCCCCAACCACCAACGCTCGAAGAGGGCCCGTTCTGGTTCGGCCCGCCCCTCGTGGCGCGCTACTCCCGCGGCGCACCGTATACGCTGCAGCGCTGCCGGGCGCGGCAGGCGTTGAGCGACCTCCTCCGCGCGCCCTTCTCGAACCGCCACTTCCGGCTCGAAGAGTGAGTGTCCCACCGAGTTCACTGACGCAGAAACTCGCTCGTCTCCACGACGCTCCTCGCGCAGCTCGGGCTCGACCTCCCGCCGGCGGTGACGCTGGCCGCCGGCGTGCCGTGGGGCCTGGTGCTCGCGCAGTGGGGACACGACGGCGCGTCCCGGGCGGACGACGTACTCGCGCTCGTACGTGGCGCCGAGGACGAGAGCACGGCGCTCCCCTTTTTTTTCGTGCGGGACGCAGACACGTCGTCGCTCGCGGATGCCAAAACCGCGCTGCTCGTCAGCATGCGCGCGGCCCTCGCCCTCCTCGCGCGCCTGTATGCGCATGCGCGCGGCGCCTCCCCGCCGCCCGACAGCGCGGGGCAAAGCTTCGGGCTGCTGCAGAACGGCGAGGCGTGGGAGCTCTTCATGATGCACTGCAGCCCGGCGCGCGCAGGGCCCTATGTGCGTACGCGAAGAATCGGCTGACGCCAGAACGTGACCCGCTTGTGGCACGGGCGCATGGACGTCGCGAGCGACGTCGTGGCGTTCCAGACGTTGTGCGGGAACATCCTCGCGAGCGTGGACGAGCGCATCGCGTTCGCGGCCGGGTGTTTGCGCGGCGCGTATGTATGTATTGTCGGAGGCCGGAGCTGACGGCAGCGGCAGCGAGCGGGCCGCGGCATTCCCGGGATCTCAGACGACAATGCGCCCGGCGCTATGAGCGCCAGCGCTAGCGCCCCCACCCCCAGCAGCAGTTGTCCGGCTTTCCACTTGGGGCTGTATCGCGCAGGCGAGCTCACGGTGGAAGATCGGTATGCCCGCATTTCGGCGTGGGTGGAGAGCGCGCGGCTCGAGGTATAGGTTTCGGAGTCGGCGACGAATTCGCCGATCGCCGAGAAATCGAGAGATCGTGAGATCACGAAGTGGGCGAATAGCGATGGAAGCGAGAGCGCAGGGAGCCGGAACATGCCGCTCGGTCCGAGGTTGAGCCGAGCGAGGACAGGTGAGGCGTTGCGAGGCTGAGGCTGCGAGGCTGCTCGTTTGTTGTGAGGGACGAGGCCTTGTTACGAGGAATGGGAGGGTGAGAAAGGCACTGCATGCCGACGCCGGCGGAGCTGGAGAGCGCAAGCGAGAGAGAGACGGATCGCATCAGCATGGATGAACAACGAGAGCGACGAGCATGCATCTTTTGTGCGGCCGCAATCGGAGTCACGAGACTACGCGAGCGGAGAGAGCCGGAGCGATCGGGCATGTCCGCCGACGTCACAGCGTGGCACGGCGAGGCACGGATCTGTCGGCGTCGGCCGTGGGCGGGCGCGCAACAGCGTGTCTCCGTCCATCTCGTACATCTCGTTCATCATCGCTCCATCTCATCGCTCTCGACGCTCTCCATCTCCATCCACTCCATCAAGCATCCCTCACCACAATGGAGTCTATCCTCGGCGGCCGCTCCCGGCCAAACACCCTCGACATCGACCCCGACCTCACACTCGACAGGCGGAAGCGGCGGCGCGTGGCCTCTCGCGTTCCGCTCCCCACGCCAACACACTCTGCGCCGTCCAACTCGGCGCCATCGGCCTCGACATCGCCCGCCGTAACATTCACCGCACTCCCCGACCTCCCCACGCCGCCAGCTGCTTCTCCCGCGCACACCGATCCCCTGCCACCCTCGGACCAGCCAGCGCCCTCCGACCCCACCCCAACACTCCCACACGCCGTGCTCGCCGCCGGCCAAATTCGCCTCTTATCCCCACACGACCTCGTGACGGACACGCTAGGCGCGTACGCATCCCTGCGCAGCGCTATCGCGGCCGCGACGCCCCACCCAGGCGGCCTGCACGCACTGCAAGCGGTGCTCGCCGCGGGTCCGATCGCTGGCGAACGGTGAGTCTCTCCGTGCCGGCGCACCAGAGGCTGATGGCAGAAACTTTACTGTGTCGAGGGAAGCGCTTGCGGCACTCAACCTCCCCCTGGCGCCGGCGACGGTCGCCGTCGCGCTCGGGCTCCCGCGCGCCGGCACCGCCGGCACCGGCCGCCGCATGGCGCTCCCCTTCTTCTTTGCGTCCGATAACCTCGTCGCCCTCTTCACGGCGATGCGCGCGGGCCTCGGCGCGCTCGGCGGCCTCGTAGAGGCCGCGCAGCTTGCGCGCACCCGTGCATGGCTGCGCGGCCGCTCCGTCCCGGCTCCCCCGACGAGCGGGATGAGCGCGTACGGCCTGGTGCTGGGCGAGACGGCCGAGTTGTGGGTCATGACGCGGGGACCGTATGTGAGTCTCATTCCGCTCGTTGCGTTCTGCGCTTACACCAGTTCGTCGCGCGCGCGTGGGCAGGCAAGCTCGGCACGCCCGAGTTCGCAGGCGTGCTCGCGAGCGTCCTCGGCGCCCGCGAGCGCGCCGCTGCCGTCGCGCAGTGTCTGCATACCATCAAGGCTGGGCGGGAGGCGCTCGCGAGCGCGGACCGCGCCGACCGCGCCGACCCGAACGCATTCGACACGTGGGCCGGCAACGGCGGCGACACGCCCGCGCGCACGTTTGAGCGCGGCCTCGCGGCCGTCGGGTATGCCGATGGCGGCGCACGCGTCGTCGCATGGGTCAGGGCGCAGGATGTTGCGAGCTACGTGGCTGTCGAGTAGGGAGTGGGAGGAGGACTTGCATCACTTCATCATTGTACTATTATGCATCTATCATCGGGTCCTGGAGATCTTTTGCTTCATTATCCCATCAGTCATGCACGTCATGCAGCGTACGACATGGGCACAAATAACAGAAAGCCCTGTCACATCGAGTTCTGCAGATCCGGCAGGCCCAGATCCCACGCCGTCCACCAGTTGCTGGCACCGCCCGCGCCCTCGCGGCTTTCGAGCAGTGTCGTGGGGTCCCAGAACTGGTGGAGGAGCAGGTCTGTCGCGGGGTCCTGCGTCCGCTGCGGCGCGTCGACAAAGTGCTGCTGCAGAACCTGGTCGATCGTCGGCGCCGGCCCAGGCATAGCGTCCGGCATGTGCATGGGGGCGGGGGACGCGCCGAGCGACGCCGTCGCGGGGCTGTCGTCGCCGTCGCGCCGGATCGTCGTTGCGCGCCGCTGCCCGCGCGCGCGCTCCACCAGCCGCGTGCGCCAGCCCAGCAGCTCGACGTCGACATCGCCCTCGTCGCCGGGCGGCGGCGGCGCGTGCTCCACCTTGCTGAGCGCGCGCGCGCGCAGGCGCAGCAGCCACTGGTGGTTCTGCAGGAGCGAGGGCGTCGCGTGGTCGCGCAGCACGGAGGAGTAGAGCTTGATGCTGTGGTCGATTTGGCCGAGCACGAGGCCTGCGAGCGGGTTCGTCGGATTCAAGATTATCATGGTGCCGAGACACACGGCGGCCGTGAACAGGTGGTACTGGTGTGAGAGGGGCGTGGGTGAGTCTTACCCAGAAAAACCAGTGGCGCGCTGTGACCGTCGGGTAAAGCTCGTACAGGCCCGCGACGACCTCGATGAGCACGTTGCAGCGCTCCACAACGGCAAGGTAGCTCTTCGCATGCGCGCTACGCGTCGGGTCTTGCGGCGCCTCTTGGAGCGCGCGCACAAAGTAGGGGCGCTGGAGGAAGAGGATGGCCTCGGATACATTGAGCGCGAGCGTAAACTGCTGAAACGTGCGTGCAAGGTTTGCGCTCACGGGCGGCGAGTCGCGCGTCGCGCTCTCGGCGTCCGCGTACACGGATGGCAGGGCGAGGAGGGCGGTTCGGCAGCGCATCCCGAACGGGATATGGCGCTCGAAGGCGCACAAGCGGTCGTAGAGGGCATCGATGGAGGCGTAGGGCGTCGGGCGCACGTCCATGGCCTGGTCGAGAACGGCGCCAGAGATGCGGCACAGCTCGAATTTGAGCGTGCGAAAGTCGCGATCGCCGGATCCCGGGAAGGCCGTGTCAATGTGTTCCGGGCGTAGCGAGGAGGGGCGCGAGAAGCAGTTGGCTTGGAACACGTCGATGGTGTGGCATTCCCAGAAAACGTGCCGTCGCTCTTCGGCTACGTCGGGCGGTAAATTCCAGCGGCGCCCGTCGATGTGAAGCCCCATCGCGGTAACGAGGCGCATCGCCAGACCCCAGAGCGGCCAGGCGCTGTCCCCATTCCGCCCCTTCTCAGTTTCCAGCGCATAGTGCGCCATGATCACGAGTGCTTGCAGCCCAGCGATCGTGTTGTGCCCTATAAAGTCGCCTTTGACGAGACACCAGCGCGCGGCCGCGAGGTGGTGCTCCGCGCCGGGATCGTGCGGCGGGAGCGCGGGGTTATGCAGCGCACCCATGGCGAGAATGATAAACAGAAGGGCCAGCTGCTGGGGGTGGACTTTGGCATCGCTCTCGGCGTCAAGGCCGTACGCGCGCTCGAAGATTGGCTGCACGCCTGTGCGCGGCGCGACGTCATGGTTCCATGTATAGTTGCCGTAGTAGGCGTTGAGAAGGACGCGCGCTTGCGCCACAGGAGGGAGATGTAGGAGGATCGTGGTCATGGTTGGCGCCGGGCCCCACGGCGGAAAGGGGAAGAGCGAATCGGCGCCGAACCAGTCCTCATCAGCGCGCTCGGCGGGAGGCGGGGAGGGGGAGCGACTCCGACGTGGCCCGACCTCAGAGTTGCGCAGCCACTCGGTGCCAGCTGTTGGGCCGAGCCACTTGCTCCGTCCCGAACGGTCGATCACCAGTGTTCCGTAGCTCTCGTCTTGCGGCGGAGGATTGGGCTCATATCGGTACTCAAAGGCGGGTATTGAGGGGTTTGAAGCGTGCGATGGGGTCGGGTGTGAAGGAGTTGGGAGGGAGGCAGTCGATCTGTCGAGGTTGTGCAAGTGGGAGGATCGATGTGAGGACTCAGTGTGCGATGGATGCGGCTGCGCAAGGCCCGGCGGGGTATGGGTAGTGTTAGACGGTCCAGCGCGTACTCCTCGTGGTTCTTCTCGAGAAGGTCGGCGAGGGGAGCGGGGGTGACTTGTTGAGCCGTACGTATACGGGCGATGGGGAGAGCGGTGTCGTGGCGCGGGGGAGCTGGAGCGTCTCTCGTCTTCCCGAACGCGCGCCTCGCGCGGCTCACGCTCATCGCGCTGTTGTCTCTCTCGATTTCCACGAGCATCCGTCCGTTCCACACCCCTTTCGCGATCTCGATCACGATCCCTACCGCGCTCCTCTCTCCGCCGCCGACTCCTCTCCCGCTCCCGTTCTCTATCCTCTGATCTTGACCGCGACCCCGAGCTCGACCGCGATCGTGACCTCGACCGCCGCAATCCCGGGATCGCCGCAAGCAGCCCCTCGATCGCAGCCAGCCGCTCGCGCACCTCGCCGATGTCGTCGCGCTGCGTCTGCTTCTTCACTCGCACACTGTTCGGACAGAGGTCTGTGCACTCGCGCCGCACGCAGTTGGCGCATGGCACTGGGTCAGCGTCATGCAGGGAGGGGCGGTACCTTGTCGGTCGCACTTGAGTTTTAGGCGGTGACATTCTGCGTAAGCGCGCTTGTGGAGAGCTATGGCTCACCAGCACAGCTCAGCTGCTTGCGAGAGCGGCGCTCCTCGCGGATGTCGTAGCGCTCTGGCGTGGACATGAGGAATGGAGGGGTGGCGATTGGAGGAGTGGAGATTGTTGATCAGTTGGAATTGCGGGGACAAGTTTCGGCGCCGGTCCGGAGGCCCGGTGGTGCCTCGGGGTCGGTCTCGGGCGAAATGCACTTTCATCTCACACGTTGTTGACAATCACAACCATGGCCCCGTACATGTCGTTTATTCACAGCAGGGGATGTGCATGGAGCTGCCACGCCGCTGTCACGAGTGCCGGGCGATTGGTGATAAGAGCGACCACTAGTGACGAGAGACGTGCGGCGTGCGGCGTGCGGCGTGCGGCGAGAACGACAACTAATGACAGCGACTACCAGCGGGGCTTTGGCGACAGCTTAAGCGGTAGAGTAGGCGACGACGTAGGCTTATCACTCAGTAACGACCAACATATGTATCTTGCAGTCTACACGACTTGCCCGTCAGCAAACCAGTGACAACTGCCGGATTGGAGGACCCATCCCACCAGGTGTAGTATCTTGCCACGACAAGAGCGCCTCGATCCGGCGAACAATGTATGCAGGAATGACAAGCTGCGGATAGTACTGGGCGACACGAGCTAGGCAAGTTTCGGCCATATCAGATGCGAACGTGCGTGTTGGTACGTTTCGGGTGATGAACTACAGAGGGCGGAGTGTGGGGAGGAGCTGCGACATGGTGGGCGATGAAGCGCATCGAGGCTCGCAGGCGATGACTCCCACGGTCGAGTGATCGACACTGGTGGCAGTAGGCGGCTGATCACTGGAGGCCTCGACTCGCCACCCAGGCATGCCACACAACATCTCTTCACCCATCGCTCACTACTTGTCGTCACCTCTCAGCTCTCGCTCTCCACCATGTCCGGCCTCAACATCTCCTCCCAAAGCCCTGTAAACCCATCTTCCCCCGACGAGACTCCACCTCGCGCTGTGCTCAGCAGCACCTCGGCCCTGCCACTCATCCCCGGACCTTCACCGTCCAAGGCTCACAAGGTCGCATCGGCTACTTCACCACCACCCAGCTCCTGCAGCCATGAGGATCTTGGAGGGCCCAGCACATTCGACCTGTGTGGCAACCCGAACGAGTACGCTTGCATCGTCCGCAGGGAAAAAGCTGCTGACCCCCAGCTTCGACAATCATGTCAAAGTCTACGTGAGCCTCGTCGGCTGCGCCGTCCACCCTCTTCCCTCCGCCCCGGGCAACGATGGGCACCAGCTGCTCGCGCCGCCCGTGGATGCCAGCGCCCTTGTCACGCCCGAGAACCTGGCGCGCGGACTTGAGCGGCTTCGCTACGAGCGGGCCACGAATCCCGCAGGCCAAGGGTACGTTTATCTTCCCCCCATCCACCTACGCCCTCCGCTACCGCGATCCCCAATTCGTACCTCATCAAACTCACATTAGCCGTGTCTTCAGCAGCTTCTTGCCACTCAAGACGGGTCGTACCCGAACTGCGTACCGTTTCCTCCCACAGGACCTGGACGAGGACGAAGTGCAACGCATGGTGTCCCCTGACTCGGACGACCCCCTAGCTTACATTGACATGTTTGGCAACTCGCTGGTGCTTGTGAGTTTCCCTCTCTCCATGCCAACGTCTCTCCAGTCAACGTCACTCCACACCCGCGCTAATCACAGACCGACTACGTCCTCCCCATCCCGAAGGCGCTCGTCGGGGTGCGCCCCCTCTCCTTACACCACACCGTGATTGCATGGCTGTATGGGCACCACCATCCAGCTTTACTGGCGTCAAACCAACTCCGCGTGACGTACGAAAGCGACGACGACGACAGCGACGGCGAGCTCAAGCCTGTCCCAATTGTTGACATGGACGCTCACTACCCTGATGAGTTGATCCAGACCCAAATCGCTTCCCAGATCCTGCATAATGTCGCTGGTCTCCGCCGGCTCCGGCAGATGACCATTGGCTCGTTCACCCTCGCAGCCCCCGACGCGACGTGTCGTCTGCAGCGCTCCTTTGACAAACTCGAGTCCAAGTTTCCCTGGGTGTCGCCAGCGTTCGCGGTAGAGTTCCCGCGGCTTGGGCAAGGCGATGAGTGGCTTGACCGCCTGCCTGAACGTGTCTACCCCCCCTGATGCTGGTGACAGCTGCTGGTTTGTTGATTGTACATAGTATGTAGATAGTGTAGTCGAGCTCAAGTCGACTTGGACATGTGCATGTATAGTGGCGCCACTCTCCGGGACGCACCGGACGCGCGATTCGACGCCTACGACACGCACGACGCTCTTTCATCCTTTGAATGCGAAGTCGGAGCAGGCAGAGGCGCGACGAGGTCGACGCTTGAGGCGCATACCGCTGGTCCAGATGCACTTGATGCTGCTCAACGTAATAGACTGATACTGAACTACTGCATTACAGCTTCACAAAAGACACAACATTAGGGCCGGAGCGCTAATGGCAATCCCGCTTGAGCTCGCGCCTCGGCCAGCGATTCAACCCAACAACCCAGCGGGGGTTGTCCTGGGCGGGATCAGACAAGCACATGTGTCTCGCGTGGTCTCGCGTGGTCTCGCGTGGCAATAACTCCGCACGATGTGGCACTCTTCCACGTGGAGATTTCGAGCCTTGTGGAAGTTGAGCGACGCGTATTCCATGTCGCGCTGGACAGCTGCTTGGTCGAGCCGCTCATCCAACACTCACTCCAAATATGTCCCTCAAAGTGCCAAAGGCCGGCGGGCCAGAGCTCTTCAAGGTAAGTGCAGAGGACGTCGCGTCGAGCACAGCTGACAGCAGGCCGGATACAAGGTGAGCATGCGCGGACCGGGCGGCAATGTGACTTTGGCAGGAGGAGATGTTGCGCGCGGGCTGGAAAGCGACGAGAGGAAGGTGTGGGAGGTGCAAGGGCGCGGTAACTGTTTTGCGGCCACACCAGCGCGTCGGAAACGGCGCTCTTGATATTCTTGCGCGTGGCATCGGCCTGCCTGGCCAGGCGTTTCTCAGCTACCTAGCAACCAGCGATGCCCTGCCAAGTTTCCACCGCGCGAACTCCTAACTCGACGCTAACAGCAGCACCTTTCGGGTCTCGAAGAGGCGGTCCTCCGCAACATCCAGGCGGTTGGCGAGCTGAGCGAGATTGTGCGCACCTCGTTTGGTCCATATGGTGCGTTGGCCTGCGTCCTTGTAGCAACGCTAACAGCAGGGCGTAACAAGCTCATCATCAACCACCTCGGGCGGCTGTTTGTGACAAATGACGCGGCGACTATTATTCGCGAGATCGAGGTGGCGCACCCCGCAGCCAAGCTGCTGGTGATGGCGTCACACTCGCAAGAGAGCGAGATGGGAGATGCGACAAACCTTGTCCTCATCCTCGCCGGCGAGCTGCTCAAGCGCTCCGAGCATCTGCTCACCATGGGCCTGCACCCGTCCGAGGTTATCCAGGGATACGAGATGGCGCTGGAGAAGGGGCGTGAGGAGCTTGAGAGTGAGTTGTGCGGCTGTCCCAACCATGATATTAGCAAAACGTCTGACCACAGCGCTCGTCTGTAAGACGGTCGCCTCATCCCCGCTCCCATCCAAGATCGAGCTTGCTGCCGCGATCGCACCGTCCCTCGCGTCCAAGCAGCCCGGACATGAGCACTTCCTCGCCGACCTCGTGGCCGATGCGTCGTTGACTGTTATGCCGAAGAACCCGAAGGACTTCAATGTTGACAGCGTGCGCGTGGTCAAGATCCTTGGTGGTGGCATCGACTCGTCGCGTGTCGTCCGCGGCATGGTCTTCCCGCGTGAGCCCGAGGGTATCGTCAAGAGCGCCAAGAAGGCCAAGGTCGCCGTCTTCACCACTGCACTCGACATTGCCCAGACCGAGACCAAGGGAACAGTTCTGCTCAAGAAGGCCGAGGAGCTGCTCGACTTCTCGCGCGGTGAGGAGCGCCAGCTCGAGGGGTACCTGAAGGAGATTGCCGACAGCGGAGTCAAGCTCATCATCGCGGGAAGTGGCGTCGGCGACCTCGCCCTGCACTACCTGAACCGCCTGGGCATCGCCGTTGTCAAGGTGCTGTCCAAATTCGACCTGCGCCGTCTCTCGCGCGTCTTTGGGGCAACGCCTCTTGCGCGCCTTGGCGCACCGACGCCCGAGGAGGCCGGCATGGTGGACGTGTTTGAGACGATCGAGATCGGCGGTGACCGTGTCACCGTCTTCCGGCAGGAGGAGAGCGGCAAGACGCGCACCGCGACGGTGGTGCTGCGCGGCGCGACGATCAACCACCTCGACGACCTGGAGCGCAGCATCGACGACGGCGTGAACAATGTGCGCATCCTGCTGCGCGATGGCCGCCTCGTCCCCGGCGCGGGCGCGAGCGAGATTGAGCTCGCCGTCCGCGTCGGCAAGTACGGCGAGGTGACGCCGGGACTGGCACAGCACGCGATCAAGCGCTGGGCCGCCGCGCTCGAGGTCGTGCCGCGCACGCTGGCCGAGAACGCGGGCCTGCCGGCCGAGGACGTCGTGTCGGAGCTGTATGCCGCACACGTCGACCAGGAGGTGGATGCGGGCGTGGACATTGATGCTGAGCGCCCGCCTGCGGTGCGCCGCACGGCCGACCCCAAGGCGCCCGTGCTGGATTCGTACGCTGCCAAGGACTGGGCGATCAAGCTCGCGACCGAGGCTGCGATTTCCGTGCTGCGTGTCGACTCGATCATCGTCGCCAAGCAGGCGGGTATCGCGCCACCGAAGCAGCAGGGGCACTGGGACGACGACTAGAGCATAGGTTTGGGCAGCATGCATTTGAGTGTAGCGGGTGGGATGGTGTGGCTCTCGAGGCACATGGATGTTGCGCCTTCGCTGACGACATGGGCAGGGGCGATTTCCAGAATCAATGCATGATACAGAGGGCTACGAGTGGTAACTTTCCTCCTACTTTCCTCCTGTTCTGTCGCTTCGTGCTTACTCCACCTTGGGCACCTCGGCCCGCACCTCGTCCACGACAGTCGCCTTTGCGGCCTTGGCCTCGGCGTACTCGCGCGCGTGGCCGAGCGCGATAAACTCAGCATATGCCCACATGGCCATGATGCTGGCGCCGGGGCCGACGACAGCCGCCGACGCGAGCAAGATGAGCGCATACACGGTCTTGCCGCCGGCTCCGGCGCGCGTGCGCCGCGCGAGCGCGAGCAGCACCTTGCTGCCGGCCGCGAGGGTGATGAGGACGAAGTCGGTGACGAGGACTCTGTGGGCCGCCCACGAGAGGTTGTCGATGCGGTCGAGCGTGAAGATGTCCTTGAGGCTGTCCTTGTTGGAGCGGAGGTAGGTGACGAGGCCCCACTGGGCACGGAGGGAGGCAGCGATGCCGAGCGTGGCGATGAGTACTATGCCGACCTTGGGCGTGACGCCCGAGAAGCCGCGGCGGAGGAGCGGTGGGAGGATGATGTTGATGGCGAGCATGTACAGCGGGAAAATCTGCCACGCGCTCTGCGCGTCGTACTTGTGCTCGAGCGGGGCGAGCTTCATAACGGCGCTAGGGATGACGAAGCCAACGAGCGTCGACACGAGCGTGGTGTACAAGTAGCTCGAGCGGGGCACATTGGCGTTGTACTGGACCGAGTGCTTGCCGCGCTTGCGGACGTGTGCGCGCGCCTCGTCCGAGAGGAAGAAGACCTCGTCCCCGAGATCCACTTTGTGGTGGTGCCGCCGCCAGTGCTTGGGCGTGCTCCAGCTCACGAGGGCGTAGTACGCGGGCAGAGCGATGCCGGCGGTAATCACTTGGCCGATGGCGAGGGCGATCGTGCTCATTTGCGCGATGCCGAGACGCATGCCGAAGCCTTCGGCGCTCCCCGGCCCCTCACGGCCGGCGGAGCGGCGCGACGAGGGCCGGAAGCCCTCGTACACCGTGACGAGGACGGCGGAGAGGAAGACGCCGCCCATGTATTCGAGAAAGGCGGGGCCGCCGCGCGCGGCCCCGATCGACGCGAAGAACGTGTTCAGCGTGCACAGCAGGTTGTTGAGGGGGCGCGCGATGGGATAGTGCGACACCCACGGCTGCTCGAGACACGCGGGGGCGTCGAGCACACTCGGGCTGTACGCGAAGATGTCGCGGACTGCGTCAGCAGCATCAGAGGGAGGACGTACACGCTACGCCCATGGCGGCGACGCTCACGGCCGTGAGCGCCGTGAAGTACTTTGCGGAGCTGATGGGCGGTGAGGGCGGAGAGGGGGCGGACATGGTGTATGTGAGAGTGCAAGTGAGACGCGCACTCTGATGCGCTCATGCCATGCTCAAGAAGGCTTGTGGTGGTCGGTGGTCGGTCGACGCCAGCCGGCCCCCAGCATCTGACGTCAGCACGTGACTGCACCACATCCAATTGAAACCACCTTATCACGCAACTGACACACGGCGACACGTCGCACCATTCACTTTGTTCCTCGCCTTCGGTCAGCTGTTGTTCTCTTGGCCTCGCGTATACGCGGCACAAAAGGTACTCGCGAGCTCGTGGGGGCTGCAGGCGCTCTCTGCTTCGATTGGAGGAGCGATATTGACGTGTCGTGTGCAACGCATGTTGGCTGCGAGCCACTGGTTGTGGGCCAACGTCAACTTGGGGCCTACAGTATATGGTGTACCCGCAGAATAGACCGAGATCAAGATACACCCCGCGCAGGCGTAGGCGCACAGGTGCACAGAACACGAGCGGATTTGACAAGGTCCAACCGGCGCTATCTGCGACGAGCAATGCCTACGACACGACATCTACGTAGGAGCTGAGGAAATGGAGGCATCTCCACAGCCTTGCGGGCCCGACGTCGGGCTAACCTCACAGGAAGAGGTCGCTTCGGGTGTCTGAGGCAAACTCTGGCAGCTTGGCTAATAACATGTCTTGTGGCAGATTCTGCATCAAGGATCGCGGATTGCGGGGCCCGAGTGCACGTGCGGAATTGGTTGGAGATCATCCACACCAACTCCTCCTGATGCTAAACTCATGTCATCTCGATTCCTCTTCTGATCAGTGCTACGTGGCCCCTTACAATTGCGTCGCCTTTATACTGACCATGCTCTGCGTTTGTGCTTCCTGCTGACAACCGCACCACCCTCTTCCGCCACTTTGAACGAATACTCACCCAATCCCGTAAACTGAGCCTTCCCTCGCGGCCTGCCATATATACACCACTGCAAGATTGCTTCATCTTCACTTGTCTCTCTACTCATTCACTCTTCTTAGTCGTCTGTTCAGCTCAACATTCGGGCCCGTCCGACTTTCAATGCTTCCAGACGCCCCCGTTCCACTTCGTACCCCGCATCAAGCATTGAAGCAGAAGTCATTGAGAGTACGCCGATACGCCAACATAAAGCCCTCGCCCAACAATCAGAACAACGCTGCAACACCTGTGCTTCACACCCCCGATACCTTTTCCTTCAAAGACTTCCCCATGCTCACTTCCCCTCCTCCTCACCACTCCTCCCAGCACCCGCCGCCACCCGACAGCAATCAGCAGATCACTTCGACTTTAGCCAACGCCCAGTCGCCGCCCCCGCCCACCCCTGCATCTCGGCCGTCCCCAGAGCTCTCGGCGAAAAAGGCCAGCTCGTCTATTCCGCATATCGCCCCAGCTCCAACTCAGCACACTGCCAACTCTTCGAGTCCCGCCTCAGCTTCTACCCTCAACATGACGCCCAATCGTCCAGCTGCAATCTCCCGTCCACAGGCCGCAGCTGTCCCCAGTCAGGCGGAAGACCTTCCTCGTACGATTCCCACCCCTGTCCACTATACCCAAATCGACAGCCGTCTTCAGCAGGTCGAGCAGGCCATTATCAACACTCTCGGCACGCGCCAGACCGCCACTCCTTTGCCCACCCCATCGACGACGGACCCCGAGGAAGCCGTCACGGACGACCCAAACTGGCGTGACGGCAACCTCATAGTTTTCGCTGGCGACACTCGCTTCCGCGTGCCCGACTTTCTGCTGTTCTGGTCCAGTCCGGAGATGGCGCGCATTTGGAAAGGCAAGAGCCTGATTCGACTGGATGTCGATGCACAAACGTTCCGTCTCCTGCTCACTCTTGCAGACACGCTGAACCTTGACACGACACCCCCGGTGGCCGTCCTCGCCTCGCTCTTCCGACTCCTTGACCGCTGGCAGTGTCTTGTTCTTCAACGCCGCGCGTACGAGTGCCTTCAAATCGCAATGCGAAATCTCGTCATGCACCCCCTCAAGATCCTGCATCTCGGCTTCGCAGTCGACAGCCGAATTATCCGCAGCTTTGCGCTTGGCTGTCTTGCCGCCGGCAACATTGGAGAGCAGCTGTACCAAGACTTCGATGGAGGAAATCCGTTCTCGCCTAGCAACTGGCGACTCTCGCTGTGGCGGACCTTCAGCGTCTTCCCTGATGGAGTATGGGCACTTCAATATGTCACGAACAGGGGTCTAGCACCCATCGACGCCTTCCCGCAGGCCTTCGAATTGGCTTACAGTACCGCGCGTGAACAACGTGATCCACTGCAGGATTAGATTGAGTCCTCGCCGCCTAGACTTGTGCTCTGTATAGTTGAGAGACGCCATATTTCCCCGTCGTAACCAGTCTGCAATAGTTCCACCACATGCATTTCGCACTTTCGCCCCTTCTGTCCTTCTGATCTTCCACATGCAAGCCCGCTGATTCTTTACCCTTGTCCATTTCTCCAGCGTGACAATCCTGGTCGCTCGCCTATCCGGCCTACCCAACCGCTCGGGAGCGGCGCTTACGTGTCACGGCCTCGCCGGCGTTCCGGATCGCCCACGTAAACTCGTATGTCTTGGCCGCGTCCTCGAATGTGGAAAGGATTTCGGGGTTAGGTCCTCCTTCAATCTTCCATTAGTCACGCTCCTTCTGCCGCCCCCTGAACCCACCGCATCGATAAAGTTGCTAATCTCAGTCGTGTAGGGGTCGTCGCCCGGCGTGGGGATGACCTCGGGGTTAGGCTGTCCCGGTGCGCGCACGCTGAGCGAGGGCACGCCGTACGGGTCCTGCAAGATGAGCTGGTACCCGTCCGCGTACACGGCGAGCTCGATAGCATAGTCGCCATCCTGCAACATCGTGCCGTGGAGGATGCTGCCCACCGCGCCGCTCTTGTACTTCCAATTCGTGCTGGTGACGCGCGGAATCTTGTCTTCGAGCGGGATGGCCGCGTCGTCAAAGTTGGTCTTGGACAGCTGGCCGGGCCGCTCGTCCGCCTCGACATGATACGTGCTGAGAGAAGCCAGGTCGACGTCGCCGCCAAAGTAGCGGCTGAGGTCGGCGATGTGCGTGCCGTTCTCGATGATCGGGCCCTGGCACCCCGAGTTGCGCCACCACTCCTGCTTGACCGCGAGCTCGTATGTCATGATGTACCGCCCCATCGTCGCCATGACGTGCAGCCCCTGCTCCGCGATCAGCTGCTTCATCTTCTGCACCGCGGTCAAGTAGCGCAGGCAGTAGCCGACGGAGACGACGCCGTGCGCCTTCGCGGACAGCACGCGGCCCACTTCCTTCGCGCCGTCGACGCTCGTCTGCCATGGAATGCCGGTGGCCACGGGCTTCTCGACGAAGAAGTTGGTGTCGGGGAAATACTTGTTGATCTCGAGCTCGAGGTCGTTGCTCTTCGCCACGCCGCCGCGGAACTGCGGCGGGCACGCTACGAAGATGGCCCTGACGTCAGCGATTCGCCATCGCCATAGGGCTCGCGCCATCCCGAGTCGGAGTGGAGGTGGAGTGAACCCAGGGGAAGAGCCGGATGGGATGGGGAGGAGGGCACGTGGACAGAGACGGTGTACGCACTTGGGAGACGGCGCCGTGCCCGCGCGCACCTTATCGGCGTACGCAGCGAGGGAGGGGAGAACGACGGTGCTCTCATACGTGCTGGCGGCGAAGGTGCTGCACTTCTCCGCGAGGGCCCGCTTGGCGCGCTCGGCGTCGGGGTCGATCACAGCGTGGACTTTGAGGCGCGGACCAAGCTTGAGTTCGGCGCGGCGCGACATGTTCCACGGACCTGGCGTCAGTTGTCCGCTCTTGTCCTCTCCCCCATCCCATCCCATCCCGCCCCGACCTCCCAGCACCATTCCCCTCCCTCAACGACCCACCCTCCGGACTGCCGAACATGGCCTGGGATAAGCACTGCCGTGGGGGGACTCACGAATCCCGCGCCGACGATGACGGCATCGAACGTCTCGCCGCGGTGGCTCGGCAACCTGGCGTCAGCGCGCCCAGTCCCGACATACTCGACGTAGCGGTCGTATCCAGGTGCGAGGAGGCTGCGAGCAAGGCGCGGGACAGAGGAGCGGGGAGCGGCGCGGACGCCGCGGAGAACAAGCATGATGGGTGCGGTGGTTGAGTAGGTGGTACCAAGGCGTTAAGGTGACGCAGTATCGGTATGTGGGCAGCCGGTTATGGATGCCGGTGGGACCCCGCCTCCGCTTTGGGGTCGGGCCGGCCGAGCGTCCTGCTCGTTGTCCGAGTCGGACGGCTACGCAGAGCAATGGACGTGCACAGAGGAGGACAGGTGCACAGTGCATGGTCTCGCATTGGCCGCAGCTGGCGAGATGGAGGACTCGAAGTCGGGTGGGTGGGAACCAAACAGGTTGCCGGACCTGGCTGTTGAGTGCATGCCCTGCGTTCCGCGTTCCGCGGCCCATGGCCCACCCCGCGAGGTCGATGCCCGCGCCGCCTTCAAGCAGCTGTTTCATGACACATGCATGTACGACTCAAGCCATCAAATTCACTGTTCAGCGCAAAGGCGCATGAATACACACCGAGCCAGGTAGCTTTCAGCTATCCTCGCTGGTGCAATGGTTAGCATATGCCTCTTTCATTGGGTGACCAATGTTCAGGCAAGACCAGGGTTCAATTCCCTGGCGGGGAACGTTTTGTTGGACAGGTCGTTTTGGTGACTTGACGACTTTTTGGCTGACGCGCACTCATCAAGCATGCGGGTGTCTATACGGGTGTTACATTATGCTGGGCTCGTCAGGGCGAGAGGCGGCACAACACAATCCGGAGGCACGACGCGAGAAGGACATGGCCAGTGTCCAAAAGCCAAAAGCGAACGATGACAGAGAGATTCGAACTCTCGAGCCCGAAGGCACGGCCTCAGTTGTGTAAACGATAGCAAGGCCGCGGAATAACCACTATCCGATGTCACCTGAAACGCTGGTGGGGAGGGGTGAGCGGGCGACAAGACCCGGTGTGCGCAGTCGATCTGCAATCTGGTCTCTGAGACGGTGCGGGCTCAAGCATGAGTCGGTGCGATGAAGAGCATGCAGGCATCGGTGCGACACAGAGCGGCGCGCATCGGCGCGAGAAACGCGTAGGCCCGTAGGCGACTATGGCACACCCTCGCGATTGCGCACGGCGTTCACTTGTCCCGCCGCCCATTCCTCCGACGAACGCCTTCGGCGGCACTTGGCTGGCATTGGGTGGGGTGGCTGGGCATGCATGGAAGCCTGTGCAGTACGTGCTCCAGCGGGCTGTCCCGTTTGTTAGAGATAGAGGATCATCGAAGACGGTACGATCAGCCGACGGTGCTGAGCACCATGCCCCCGCCCACATCGTTTGGAACTATGCATGCTTACAGAACCTGCATCAGCGCGGTCGCAGCGGCACGTACCTATCCTCTGGTATCCTTTGGTCCCACCTCCAGTCCAGAGGTCCCAACTCTCCGTCCCTCCGTCGTTGTCATCGCCTATCCCCATCCTCACCTCGGTGATCTCGATCTCCTCCAGAGTCTGGTTGTGTCACATCCGCGACTTGGCGACGGTGGCCGGACCCCGCCCCCACCCCTCCCACGCGGGCGAGACCTTGCTCGCGTCGCGCCACGGTGGCGAGGGCGAGGGGGCGGGGGCGGGGGCGGGTGCGGGTGACGGGTTGGGGGCGGCGGCGGAGACGTGTACGCGCACGGGAAGGAACGCGGGGTGTACGCACGCGTTTGCGAAGGGCCGGGGGGGCTGCGGGCGTTTGTCGCGCGATAGCATTGTGGTGAGAGAGATGGAGTGGAGATGGATGTGGAGGAGGGGGGGAGGGGTGGAGATGACGTCGGAGTTTAGCCTGTTCCGTCCGCTTATCTCCCGCTACGGCGAAGGCTCGCGGCGACGGGACGGGAGGTGCAGGCGCAGGTAAACGTGCATGCGCCTCATGCGCGCCGCAGCGCCGAACTCGTTGGCGGAGACGTCGGGAAGTCGGCGATCGTGGTGGGCAGAGCGGGAGCGTATCTCCCTCACACGAGCCAGTGTCGAGAAGGAATTCACGCAGCCTTCCATCTCCGAGGATTCAGCCTCCGATCACCAAGGTCAGTTTTGAGCGCCGAGGACGACGGACGCACCACACCCCCTATTGGACACATACACACATCCTCCGCTACCACGCCACCATCACCCACACATAATCACATAGTCTTAGCATCACGGAGGCGCCTGGCCTATAGCTATCTATGTGGCGCGCCGGGGCGGGCCAGCCACTAGCCGGCGCGCTCGTGTCTCCAGGACACGCGTGGCGTCACAGACGCGGGTGTACTCTGCCAGCAGATCACTCCTGAGATTTGAGGCGGCGGACGCGAACCTGGCGCGAGCGGCGGACGCGGGCTTCGCATGCGCTAGGCGCAGGCTCGGGCTCGGTCGCGTTCGCGGACGCGCTGGGCGAGACCGAGGCCGAGGGCGCCGTGGCGTTGCCCCCGTCCACGATCAGGTTGTTCCAGTCGGTAGGCGTCGGGACGGGGGTGTACGACGTGTACGACGGCTGGAACGTGGATGTGGACGAGCCGGTGGGAGCCTCGGCCCAGTCAGACGACGCGGTCGGCGAGGCCGCCCAGTCGTTCGAGGACGTCGACGACTCCTGCCAGTCGCGGGTACGGGTGCGGGTGCGAGTGCGGGTGCGCGAGCTCCAGTTGTCACCGCCCTGGTGGCCGTGGCCGCCGTTGCCGTGGTGGCCGGAGCCCCACCCGTTGTCGCCGTCGTTGTTGTTGTCGTTGTCGTCGTTGTCGTTCCACCACTCGCTGTCGTCGTTGTCATCGTCGTTGCCATTCCAGCCGCCGTTGTTGCCGCCGTTGTTGCCGCCGGTGTTGCCGGTGTTGCCGCCATTGTTGCCGCCATTGTTGCCGCCGTTGTTGCCACCGGTGTTGCCACCCGGGTTGCTACCGTTGTTGGTGCCGCCCGGGTTGCTGCCGTTGTTGCCAGTGTTGTTGCCAGGCGTACTGCCGTTGCCGTTGCCGCTGCCGCTGCCGCTGCCAGGGTTGGGGTTGGGGTTGGGGTTAGGAGCACCCGAGCCCTCGCCCCAAATGTCGTTCTGGGCACCGTTGGCATAACCGTACTCCTCGTTGTAGTAGGGCGGGTCCCAGGCCTCGTTGAAGATGTTGTTGCCCTCGTTCTGGATCCAGTAGATGGGCTGCTTGGCGCCGGTCTGGCATCCGCCGTTGGCGCACTTCTTGGGGGGCTGGGCACGGGGCATGGGGGGAGCGTTGGAGTTGGCGCCGCTGACCTGGCACTTGAAGCCGGTGAAGTAGATCTCCTCGCCTCCGCCCATGGGCGAGTGGACCCAGCCCCACATGCAGTGGCACCCGCCGGGGGGACACTCGCGGAGCTGGCCGGGGATCTCGAACGACACGTCACGGGTGTACGGGCACGAGCGGTTGGTGGAGATGACGGTGAAATCTTCAGGCTTGATGGCATGGACGTTGGACTCGTAGGCAATGGCAATGGCGCAGCCCTTGACGTCGTCGCGGTTGTTCTGCCACAGGTGGATCGGTCCCCACTCGTCGCAGGACAGGTCCTGGTTCTCGCGGCCGCCGTAGGTGGTCACGGCCTTCTGGCAGCCGACCTCCATGTGTGCGACACCGCCAGCGGGGAGGTCGAAGACCTGGCCATCGGCTGGATGTTAGCGGGGGTAAGGGGAGGAGCGGAGCCAGCGGAAAGCAAGAGGTCGAGAACAATGGCAGCGAGACTCAGCGAAACGCAGCAAGACACTGGTGCGGTGCGCAGTTGGTCAGGCCAATGCAAGCCAGACCAGGCCAGCCACTGAATTCGCCAAGACCTGCTGCCAGCCTGGGATCTGCTAGAGCCAGGGAGGATGATGCTTTCCGAGATGGCATGCAGATGGCGTTTGAGGCATTCAGGGTGGTGGCGCCCGACGCCGGCAAACAACATTGAGCGCGCTGCTCGGTACCTCCTCCGTCGGAGGGGGAGAGCTCGCCGAGAACGAATAAGCGGCGACGAGCGCCACCGGGTCATGTTCTCTGGGAGCAGGAACCCTGCCTACGCCATGTAGGACCGCGGGACGGCAGAGTGAATGCAATGTATCCACCGTGGGATGAGACAGAGCGGGAGGAGGGATGACGACTAGTTTGAGAGAGGAGAGAGAGGCGGGAGGGGAGAGGCAAGACGCGTTATGCTTCACAATTATGCCAGGCACAACTTGCACATACAGAAAACACTCACCAGGCGGCTTGTTAATGTCGCCGTGGAACCACCACTGGTCAAAGTTGAGACGGGCGAGCGGCTTGATGGCCTCCCATGCGTACGGGTTGTCGCCCTCAAAGCTGTAGGAGCGTGAGCATGCATGTCGGCGGGAGAGAGTGTGCAGAGGATGGCGAATGCACATTTGGGCGTGCGTGGGGGTTGCTGCCAAGGTTCCAGGGACGTGCGCTAGTAGGCTGGATAAGGGAATGCCTTTCCGCCCTGGCCTCCCACGACCTCACCCCGTCACATGCCAGACACAACCTCATTCTGTATACTCACCCGTACATCGAGGGGTGCCAGATCGAAAGGTGCGCCGCAACCGGTGCGGCGAGGAGGGGGAGGAGGGCGAGCTGGAACATGGTGGTTGAAGAGAAGTAAGAGTTGTCGAGGAGGAGTGAGCTTGGGTCGTATTAGAAGGAGTTGAGGCGCAGCCGTCAACTGGTGCTTGCAGAAAGAGGGAGGAGGAAAAAGTGGGGAGGGCAGAGAGTCGTCAAGACTTGTTCGTGAAGCGAAGGAGGTTTAAGAGGATGAAGAGGAGACGAGCGTCGGTGCCAGACCGGGTCGCTGCGGAGAAGAAGTGGGGGAGAGTGATGGGAGGAGAGGATGGGACGAGGACGAGGATGGAGATGAGGATGAAGAAAGAAACAAGATGCACTCGATCTTCGCGGTTTTAGTATCCGCTACAGTGACCTTTCAGGGTTGGACGGGGGTGATTTCAGGACACACCTGGAATTAGGTTTGTGTGTCTTGTCCCTGGCACAACAAGGTGCACGCTGCTTAAACCCCGCCCTCTCCATCGCGCTCCATCGTCCACACGATCACAACCACAGTTTTCATCATCAACTTTGCTTGCATCGCCCCCCCCCCCCCTCTAGCCCCATTGTACGCCGGCTCGGACAGAGTATCCCCTATCCCCGCCCAGCGCTCGCCCATCGGCGTATTCGTTCTTGGAGTGTGGAGTGTGGAGTGTGGAGTGTGGAGGGATGCATCCCACCGTTTCGCCGCCAAGCCTAAGCCTCAAGCCTCAACCCAGGGGATAGCGGGGTCCGCAATTCGCGGACATAGGCTGATTCGAGGGAAATATGCAGATATCCCAGATATCCCATGGTCTCGCTCTCCCCTCCTCGCCTCCTCCGTACAGTGCAGGGTTCACTGAGGAGCCGAGGAGCGCAAGCGTGGCGTTCACGGGTTTCCACCAACGTATCGACGCGTCTTATTCGCGCAATCCAAGCCTGGAACGCACAGTCGGTGGCGGAGTGGGGGAGCACGTAGAGGGCATGAGTAAGGGAGGTGGCGAGCACGCCCGCAGGCCCGCAGCTCGCCGACAGCCATCACCTTGGCATGTGAACGCCACTGAAGACGCTCGCTCGCACCTCCTCTATGCGCGGGGGAGGTGGTTCCGACTCCTACTGATGGCATGAGCGAGCACCCCAGATCATAGGCCTTGGTGACACGAGGATGAAACGCGGCTGTGGCCAAGGATCAAGCGAGGCGCTGAAAGTGGTGCAGAGAAATATTCGCCCGGACGGAATGTTCCATTTGAGGGTGGTGTGTGCATCGCGATGCGCGGCGGCCTGTGCGACGAGGGCGTAACAAGGGGACGAGGCAAGGTGTAAATTCGAAACAAGCATAGACCGCCGAGACGGAGGGGGGAGGAAAGGATGATCACACAAATCCACCAAGCACCCCATTGTGCCACGGATGGACCAAGCCCCCATGCCCCCGAGCACCCGAGTCGCCTCCACCTGAAAGCTTTCGATGCCCGAGAGTTGTGTGCGGGCCAGTGCGGGTGAGCAAAGTGTGCGCGCGCGTCGCGAGGATACTTGTGCCTGCCCGCCCACGAAGGAGGAGGAGGGGAAGTATGTCGGGCGAGGAAGCAAACCTTCATGCCTGCAACTTACATCACCTTGAGCCTATCCCGAATAGAGTGTGCACATGATTACGAGTGTGCGCCAATGGCGCCAATGCGGGCCTGGCAAGCAAGAAACGCCGATTCCTCCAATAACCACAAGATGAAGAACATCCAAGAGAGCAAGACCAAAAATATGACCTCTGGCGGGATCGAACCGCCGACCTCATGCGTAATCCGTTATCCGAAGATACACGTGTTAAGCATGCGCTCTAACCAGCTGAGCTAAGTGGCCTTGAGTTTCAGGCAAGCTTGGAGTCTTTTAGTCTAGCCTGGCAGGCACAGGACGGGCCCTGGGCACACACACAGGATTGATTCCTACAGATTTTGTGTCGGTGGAGCAGTGAAGATCGCCATCACCACGCCCCTTCGGTCCCTTCCTTTATCCTTCAACTCATCCGGAAACGTTCTCGCGCTGCGTTGAGATCGAATCTTCAATTCAGCCTCGACTAACTCCACTGAGCAGAGCGCCCCAGGGAGAGGCTTCGGGCGGGCATCGCTGACAGGCGCTTGGACTTTCACTGATCTCAGCGGTAGGACCTACTAGTTCCCGGTTCCTTGGTGCAGAGTTAACTTCAATCGTCTGCAGTCTAATCGGCACACGTGTCCAGCTCGCAGGCGATGTGGAATCGAGGTGGCTGAGTCTCATCAGTATCGCCGACTCAGCTCACGTCATCGATCTCTCTCCTCGTGGCAGAGCCACTGACCATTAGTGGTCGCCGACGGCCGTCTCCCGCCCTCCTCAGTAGCCACGCTCAGCTGAACTCGCCACTGATGAACTCAGCATGTCATCCTCCTAGTAAGCCCGTCGGAAAGGTATGGTGCCGGACTCCACCTAACCGGGCAACCGGACGCCAAGCAATGCTCAAGAAACGGAGACCCACGCACTCACATGGCAGATCAGACCGGAGCTCGTCCCCGCTCACCATTGCCGGTGCTTGTCGTACGGCTTCAACGGGATCTCCGTCGTTGTATTGCCCATGAAGAGGCGTCAACTGAGGGGCAACATCACCATCGTGAGATTGCCACTTCATGTAAGTCAGTGACTGCCGGGCGGACGGCGACGCCGCTGTTTGACGGCGATGTGTGCAGATGTGACGAGGGACGGGGCGCTGAGACGGGGCTGCCCGGCGGGGCCAAACCTCATCGCCACCGCCCAGGCTTCGCCGTCATTCCCGAAGCCGCTGGTCGGCTAAAGAATGCTCCGCCCGCTCGGGCGCAATGCCCCAGAATAACTGCTCGTCCGCACGCCCATGAGATGGTGACCTTGGTGCGCGATCGTGCGGAGTGTAACGTGCGGAGGAGTCACGTGCGGGGGCGTAGCGTCACAAATGTGGCGGATGGTGGCATTGACTCTTCATCTCAATCAACTGGGGAGTGGCGGCGCCTCGCCCAACACCTTCTTGCCTTCGTCGGGAGTTCTGTCCCATGCATACGCCCTAGACGGCATTGTTTACAGAATCCGCGATCTGACCCGAAGAGATGCTGCGCCAACACTTTGGATCCTCCTTGTTCTCGATGGCAGTCCGAGCGTGCTGCTCGAGGCTAGACAGGACGCGGCAGATAGCGACTGCCGCAGTGTGATCCCGCATCCACTTCCCCACGAGACGCTGTGGCAGCCCCAGCGCCAGTGGAAGCCACTGGCGCCTTCTTAAACGGTCAGTGTTTCTTTCGCACGATCACAATATCCGTTCACGTCCTCCGCTTTGGTCAGCTCTATGAACTCTGAAATCCAGATTCCCACATACCGCTGACGTCCTCCATATCGGTAACCGTGCCTCCCACAAGCACGTTTCCACCATCCAGGGCTGCCCAGAGCTCCCCACCATCCAATCACGCCGCACGCTACCTCGTCAGCCTCGCCGCATGCTCCGGTGCGGGCTCTCACTCCATTTTAAACTGCATTCTCAGTCTCTTCCTCAGGGCCTGGGCCTGGCACGTCGGCCCCGCACAACCCCGCGCGGACGCGCCCCCCGGCACCCCGGAGGTCCGTTCCCGCCATTCCGCCGTGGGCGCGGCTGCGTGGGGGCGCTTCTCCGAAAGCGGTCGGCTTGCGCTTGAGTGGGATCTGAGTCGAAGCTCGACGCTCGAGCTTGGGCCGCGAGATCTAGCTGCTCGTCTTCGTCCTCTTCATGTCGCATTGCAGAAAATCGCTATATAATAAGACGCAGCCGCGCCGGTAGTCACCCCACAAGCCACAACATGTCCATTCCAGACAGGGACAAGGTCGAGCCGCAGGACGTCGACGACCTCGAGCTCACGCTCTCGCGCGAGGAGCGCAAGAGAGCCGAGCGCCGCCTGATGCGCAAAGTCGACTTCATTATCACGCCCCTTCTCGGCGTCACTTTCGGTCTCCAGTACTATGACAAGGCGGCACTGGGAAGCGCCGCAGCCTTCGGGATTCTCCAGGACCTGGTGCGTGGATTGGTCGTGTGATAGTGTCGATGGGGATGCTGGTGGTGAGGCGAAGATCTCATACCCCGGCGCCTACCCAAACCTCCTCGGTGTCGGCTGCTCATGTCCCCGCCCCCGCCCACTCCGGCGCTGACATCAGGACCTCGCCGTCACGAGAAACGGCAAGACTAACACCACACGCTACGCCACGGCCGTCGCAGCCTTCTACTACGGCTACATCGCGGCCGTGCTTCCCATGGCGCTCGTGTTCGCACGCTTCAACCTCCGTTACACTGCTGCCATTGTCGTCGTGCTCTGGGGCGTTGTGGCCATGCTCACCGTCGTAGTGCGAGACTGTGCGTGTTGCGCTCCGTCGTGCGACAGCTAACGTGCCAGACGTAGGCCTCACCGTCCAGCGCGTCTTCCTCGGTCTTCTCGAGAGTGGTGTTTCGCCATGCTTCGTCGCCATCACCGCCCTGTGGTACAAGCCGCGCGAGCAGGCTGTGCGCATGGGCTATTGGTACTCTTTCTGTGGAATCTTTTCGATGTTTTCCGGCGCCATCAACTATGGCCTCGGCAGCGCTGGCGGACCCAGCGCATGGAAGAACATGTAAGCGTTCCGCCGGCTCCGCTCACCCAGCTACTACTTCTGCGGCGCCGTCACCATCTTCTGGGGTCTCGTGCTGGCCGTCTGCCTCCCCTCGTCCCCGCTCGAGCCCGGCCGCCTCTTCAAGGCCGAGGAGGCTGCGCTCCTCCGCCGCCGCTTCGAGGAGAACCCGTTCGCGCGCGACCGCCGCCCCTTCGTCGCCGCGCAGGCGAAGGAGGCCCTCCTCGACTACAAGACGTACATTTACGTCCTGATCGCCGCGCTTCTCTACCTGTGTAACGGCGCCGTCACAGGCTTCGGCGCCATCATCATCAAGTCGATGGGATACTCGGGCGTCAACAGTGTCGCCCTCACCATCCCAGGTGGCGCAGTTACCGCTGTGACGATTTGGCTTTTCTGCTGGCTCGCGGACAAGTACGGCAACCGCACACTGTGGTTCAGCGCCTCGTGTGTGCCCGTCATTGTGGGCGCAATCACGATTTGGGCCGCGCCTTGGCACCCCACTGCCGGCCCGCTTATCGGTTACTACGTGGGTGCGGATAAAACTCTGCTGACGCCAGCTTGTGGCGGCCTTCGGCGCGCCCTATGTCCTACTCTTGGCGCTTGCGAGTGCCAACACTGCCGGTTCGCTGAGATTTTGCGGCCTAGCTGACACCAGGCTCCACCAAGAAGGCCGTGACCAACGGCGCTATCTTTGTCGGCTACAACATCGGTAACATTGCAGTGAGTGGAGCCCAGCAGTCTTCACAGGCCCTGCTGACACCAGGCGGCGTACACTGTCCGCACGGAAGAGGCTGCGATCCGCTACCGCTCCACGTGGATCACCATCATTGCATCGCAGGTCGCGTCGTGCGCGCTCATGCTTCTCCTGCGCGTGGTCTGGCAGCGCGAGAACCATCGCCGCGCGGGCGCCATCACCCCGCCCTCGGACGACGAGGACAAGATCATCCAGCGCCTCGAGGAGTACGAGGACCTCACGGACCGCCAGATCCCGTCGTTCCGCTACACCTTGTAACCTGTGAAAACCAGTCGCATCATATAATTAGACATGGAATGCATCCTCTGCTCCACTTTGGGTCATGTGCTGGGTCGCGAGTTGAGAGGTTAAAAGAGAGATTGAGAGGAGATGATGTGAGTGGCGCAGGGCACCGGGGGCACGGGGCGTTGGGCCGCACAGCTGCGGACCGGCGTGAGCTCCGTCCGCCCTGCACGTGCTCGCTCTGATTCGTCTGCTCATGCGCGATATGTGTGCTGCACTCGTCACTGCACGATGCTGACGAGCGCTCATCGCCTTTCCACTGCATGCGACTGTCCCTGATGGACTGATCCAATCGTTCTGGCCAGACTGGGCGAGATCGACCGACGCCACCAAGCAGCGCCCTCTGTCAGATTCAAATGCCCGACGTTGACGACGCAGCCGACTGCCGACACCATCCTCAATTGCCACTCGGCGGTCCACCTTTCTCACTCTCACACTCTTCCATCGCTCTCACAGCATACTTTAAAGCTCGGCGACATATCCTCCATCGATCCCAACTCTCGCCCAGCTCGCTCTCGTTGACACCACGCATCCGCCGCCTCCACCCACTGCCATGCCGCTGTTCCCCTCGCCCCGGGACTGTATACCTCACACCCATCTCTTCCAACATGACGAGGACGGAGGTAGGCTTCCCCTCCCCGCGCAGCAGCGCTCACACCAGATGGCACGAGTGCCGACGACTACACGTACACCTGCACGGTGTGCGCGCTCGAAATGAGCGCGGGTGAGGTCGGGGACCACGTCTGCTATCCCGACTAGGCCCGCGCGCCGACCCCGCTGCCAGCGGGCCCCTGTGCATGACCATCGACGAGCAACTCCGAGAAACCGAAGCCGTCTGGACCAAGAATCGAGCGTGACTTGCCGCGTAGGCCTCGAGCCGTGGATCGTGGAGCATCAGACCACGGATCACCGAAGATCTGCACCACTGGCCCATCAGCCTGTGCGCAGCGATCATCCGCAGTACGGGACATCCCGAACACATCCACATCACAGTGTTGTAGTCGCCTGATCATAGCTATAATGTGTTTGCCTAGCCGCAGCCCCACTCTGTTTCTGGGATGTCTGAGAGTGCGGAGAGACAGATGAGATCTGGCGGGGAGATGCTGTTTCAGGGAGAACCTAGAGCTCGAATGCGCATGATGCCTCGAAGCGCACTTGCCGATGCACTGACGCGACGCGACTGACTGTGCACGCTGCGCGGCTGTTGGAAGCGTTTGGAAGCGGGGCAGCTTCTGGGCTGGCGTTGGCCCGCGAAATGCCGACCTCGGCCACCACTTTCCGCTTTCATTTCGCCCACCTGCTCGATATCTCGTGACTCTACACCTTCGACGATGACATACACTCTCGAGCCTCCACTCCCCGAGACGCCCACACCGCGGGACTACGAGCGCATCCACTTCAACCCGGCCGAGCTGCCGCGCAAGCGCATCGTCGGGCTGCTCGCTTGCCAGCGTGGGTGCGCTATCTGTATTCGCTAACGACAGGCGATCCACTCCTACAGGCCCTTACGACGCGTGTAGTATCCGTGGCGCCGGCCGCTGCACCGCCGCTTGCGCAGAAGGGACGGGCGAAGAAGAAGGACAAGGGAAGCGCAGCCTCCAGTGCTACGGGTACAGGCGCGAACACGCCCGCCGAGCAAGGCAAGCTCTGGGAGGTGGAGCTAGAGGACACGGTCATCTTCCCGGAAGGCAAGTGCCGCTGTGCCGGGGGAGTCTGACAGCAGGTGGTGGGCAGCCGTGGGACACGGGCACGCTGTACGTGACGGAGGCGGGGGAGACGCACGCGCTCGTGATCGAGGGCTGTGTGCGGCGCAAGCTCGACGCCGTGCACATGGTGCGCGTGCCGCCTGGCACACGCGTCGACCCCACCGCGCTGCCGGGCACGGACGTGCGCGTCGAAGCGCACTGGGAGCGGCGGATGGACCACATGACGATCCACACGGCGCAGCACCTGCTCTCAGCCGTGCTGGATGCGCGCGAGCTCCCCACGCTCTCGTGGGGCATGCCCGCGTGGCCCGCCACGGACGCGCCGTACGTCGAGCTCCCGCGCGGCTTGACGTGGGCCGAGGCCGCCGACGTCGAAGACGAGTGCAACCGGCGGATCCGGGAGGCGCGGCGCGTCTGGATCGACTTTAGCATGCAGGGCGGGGCGAGCGGTGCGAGCGGGGCGGGCGGGGGCGAGAGTGACGACCGCGAAAACCGCGGCATCCCGAAAGACTATACCGGCGTGAGAGACGGTGCACGACGGGGCTGACGGCAGGGCGTGATCCGCCACTGCAACATCGACGGGATCGACCGCAACGCATGCTGCGGCACGCAGTGCCCCGACCTCTCGCTCGTCGGCTTCATCCACGTGCTCCCGCCGAGCACGCCGCACGCGGCCTGCGCGCCGTCCTCGCGCGTGCCCACGCGCCTCTTCTTCGTCGCGGGCCCGCGCGCCGTGTCCCACCTCGCGCTCGCGTCCCGCTGGCTCAGCCAGGCTGGGCAGGCGATCGGCGTGTCGCGCGCCGAGCTCGTGCCGCGCATCGAGAAGATCGAGGCGATACGCTTCGAGACGGACGCGGCGGCCAAGAGCCTCAAAGCCGAGCTGGCGGGGATCGTGGGCGCCGCCGCGGGCAAGCGCGGTGTGGTGTGGATCCCGCGCGTGGAGAAAAGCACACACGACTACGAGTTCATGACGAGCGCTGCGGGCGCGTGGGGTGCTGCCGGGGCCGAGGAGGGCGCGGTCATCGTGTTCACGAGCGCGCCGCCGGGTGTCAGCCCCACCCTGCTCATGGTACAGGGCAAGGACGAGGCGCAGTCCAAGAGCGTGTTCGAGGGGATAAAGAACGCGCTGGACGATGTCGATTCCGAAGGCGGAAAGCGCGTCAAGGGTGGCGGCGCGCGCGGGCGCTTCATGGCCAAAGTCGACGGCAAATGGGGCAAGCGCGAGATCGCCGCAGTGCAGGGTGTTATCGACAACTTTGGCCAAGCCTCTCGTCAGTAGTCAGTGAAATCTTCCTCCCTGGTGATCATAATGGAAGAGTGCATGATGTAATGCTAGTTAGTCTACAGCTGAACCTGGGATGCAAACATCTCCTCGACCTGAGCGGCGAGTGCAGGGTCGTACTCGATGCCTGCGAAGGGGTTGCCCGCAATGGCATCGACGGCGTCCACCTCAAGCACAACCCAGCGGTACTTGAGAATGTCGTACACGAGCACCTCGTCGGTGGACATCATGTCGATGCCAGGATGGTTGCGGACGGTACGCCAGAACTCGGCAACGTCCTTCTTGTCCTTGGTCGGCGCGTGGACGAAGAGGATGGAGAGGTCGGGGCGCGGTCCGAAGCGGTGCACCCACTCGCCGTTGACGAGGCCGTCGCCGAGCGCACGGATCGCCGCGTTCGTGCCGGGCCACATTCCCTCGTTCAGGTCGGGGACAATACGCATGAATCCCTCGCGCAGCTTGGCGCTGAGCGCTGTCCGCAGACCGAGCTCCTGCACCTTGCGCGGCAGCTTCTGGCTCCAGTCGCGCGGCGTGAGGGGGAAGATGGGGGCACCGCCGCGGAGGGTACCTGCTCCGCGGTCGCCGAGACGCGCCCTACCCGAGCCCTTCTGCGGCCGAATCTTGCGCCCCGAGTATGCGATCGTGCTGCGCTTCTTGGTGTGTTGGTTTCCCTCACGCATGTTGGCAAGGAACCAGGTGACGTTGCGGTGGAGGATGTCTTTCCTCAGCGGCTTGTTGAAGACGTCGCGCGGGAGGAGGATCTTCTCGCCAGATGGCAGGGCGTGCGTGGGGTGGTCGGACGCGAGGGAGGAGAGAGGATGCTCGATGTCGTCGTAGCGTGTGGCGCGCGAGATGGTGTGGAGAGGGACTTGGGTTAGCGCGACGGATACGAGGAGAAGAGTGGGAGTACGATATGCGTGATCACTCACAGCCAAGCTCGCGCAACGCAGCGGCGCTCTGCTTCTTCGTGGCCGGCGCCATGTCGAGGAAGGTGAGGTTGGCAGGGATTTCGGGGACGGCGACGGAGGCGGAAGCCTCGGGCGCAGGCTCTGCAGCCTCGGTCGCCAGCCCGCGCACCTGGCTTGGGCCAGCGAGCGCCGCGCGCGAGACGGGTTGCCTCAACAGGGCCTGTCGGAAGGCGGGGACGATGCGGGCGGCGGCCTTCATGGTCGTCGGAGTGGATGTGGGTGAGCCGCGGAGAGCGTCGAGCAAAGTCGGACCAACTTTGGAGATCGGGGGTGGGAGCGGGAGCAGAGTCGCGTGGGAATATGAGGGAGAACTCACGTGGCGAAAATTGATGCCGCGGGTGTGAGGAGCGGGATACAGCGCCGAGACTTATGGATTGTTGCTGCAACAGCTGCATCTTCGCTTTCGTCGTCTATGCCGAGTGCTCACGCGAATGTGGGCAAATTCGGCGGCGTCGGGAGTAAGGCCGTAAGGCGGCTGAGGTGGACCAACCTTTCCAGCGCGATTTGACCTGGACACGCCGCTCTCGCACAAGCTGTCCTCAGCGACTGGCGGACGTGACAGATGTCTCTCCACGCCTCGTGCAGTGGCGCGATGTGACCCCACGCACCACGCCTCGCGCGATCGAGATTCATCTCCCGGAGATAGGGCGCCTGCTGCGCACACTGATGACTTTGACCTTGACCTCTGACCCCCGTCCACCGCCCTCATCGGAGCAGCGCGCACAGACCTCGCCCGGCTCCCGTGAACGTGTACCTTCAAACAAAGCATCTCGTCCGCCCACCCATGACCATTCATGCCCATCCGTCTATCATGCTCACCCTCCTCGCGTTGGCGGGCACCGCCCTTGCCGTCCTAACGAACATTACGCTCTCGCCGCTCGACGCCGCCTTCACGTACACGCCCTCGGCGTCCTCGGGTGCGTGGGCGGACTCGGGGACCGCCGCGCCCGTCCGCACGAGCGAGGGGGACACGCTCGCCGTCCTCTCTCTGCCGGGCATGCGCGGCGCCACAGTCTACGGCGTAAGCGTGGCCGCCGCGGCCGGCGAGCGGGACGCGACCACGCCCCTCCCCCTCGGTCCGTTCACGTACACCCACACGTGGCCGGCGGCGGGGGCGCACGCGCTCCGCCTCACGGGCCCGCTCGCGCTCCACCGCGCCGTCGTCACCCTCGACCTCCCCACTCGTATCCGCACCGAAGCGTTCGCGGACCCCGTCCTCAACCCCTTCTACGCGCTGCAAGCCGGCTTCCGGCCGCAGAACGGGCTCGTGCCCGCCAGCGCGTGGGGGAGCGCCACCGCGCCGGACGGGGGGCCCGTCGCGCTCGCCCCGCCGGCCGCGCGCGCTGTCGTCAACGTGCCCGCGAACACGAGTATGGCGGTGCTGAGCGCGTGGAGCACGCCGACGCCGACAGAGCTCGCGCTCCTCATCGCCCCCGTGCCGCTGTGGGCGGCGAGCCTCGCGCAGATGAGCCTCTATGCCAACGTCACCGCCGTCGTGCGGTGGCATGTCGTGCTCGATCCCGCGGAGCGGTATCGGCTGCGTATTACGATGCCGGGGTTCGAGGATATGAGCGACAGCGTCATGCTCCGCGATATGGAGTTTTGGGGCGCTGCGTAAGTCGTGCCGTTGATGCGCGCTGACTTAGTGATGAAAGTCCGGGGACACAACCATCGCCGTCGGGCGCCCTTGCCCGCACATATGCCACCGGCCTTCCGATGTTGGCGGCGCTGGTACTCGCTATAGTGTAAACTCAATTTGCGTGGTGGGGCCGAGTGAAAGCTAGAGTGTTGTGACCGTTGTACTTCGCTGGGCATGCGAGTTCCGTCTCCCTTCCTCCCCCCCACCCATTTTTAGTGTTTTCTCCACTACCAATACATGTGGTTGGGTTGTAATATATGGTACAATAAATCGTATCACTGTCGAGCCTCCCTACCTCGCTGGCGTCTGAACATCCACCAAGAGGTCAGGCTACGCTGTCCAAGCCGAGTCCCGCCTAGTGCGCCTCAGCTCCAGGAATAGTCTCGATCGTGTCAAACTGCTCGAGCGCCTGGCGGATGATGTCGACAGCCTTGCGCACATCCTCCTCCGAAATAACCAGGGGCGGCGCGAAGCGGATGATCGTCTGGTGGGTCGGCTTGGCCAGCAACCCGAGGCTCTTCATGATCAGGCACAGGTCCCAGGCCGTGCGGCCCTTGGTCGACTTGGAGGGGTCGATGACCACGCCGTTGAAGAGACCGCGCCCGCGGACGAGCTTGACAAAGGGCGAGTTGATCGCCTTGACACCCTCGCGGAAGACCTCGCCGAGCTTGAGCGAGCGCTCGGCCAAGTTGTCCTTGACGAGCACATCGAGAGCCGTCATAGCGACGGCGCATCCGAGAGGGTTGCCGCCGTAGGTGGAGCCGTGCTCTCCGGGCTGGATGCAGAGCATGACCTCCTTGGAGCTCATGACGCACGACACGGGGTACATGCCGCCACTGAGGGCCTTGCCGAGAATGACCACGTCGGGCTTGATGCCATCCCACTCGTAGCAGAGCATCTTGCCGGTGCGGCAGAGACCGGTCTGAATCTCGTCGCAGATGAGAAGCACGTTGTGCTTGGTGCAGAGCTCGCGAACGCGCTTGAGGTACCCGTCATCGGGGACGAAGATGCCCGCCTCACCCTGGATGGGCTCCACAAGGAAGGCGGCCACCTCGTCACCGCACTGGTTGAGAACCTCCTCGAGGTCCTCGGCGTGGTTGTAGCGGATCGTCTTGCCGTTGACAGTGGGGCCGACATTCTCAAGGTAGGGGCCGAAGTTGTTGCGAGCCTCGGGGTCGGTCGACATGGAGATGATGCCGATCGTACGGCCGTGGAAGTTGCCCTCGACGGAAAGGACCTTGGCCTTGCCTGGTGCAATGCCCTTCTTCTCGTAACCCCACTTACGCGCGACCTTGATCGCGGTCTCGACGGCCTCGGCGCCAGTGTTCATGGGGAGAACCATCTCGAAGCCGAACATCTCGGTAACCTTCTTGGCGAAAGGGCCGAGGCCTGTCGAGTAGAACGCACGCGACGAGAGGGTGAGCTTGGATGCCTGCTGGACGAGGGTGTTGACTGGGGTCAGCGTGGGCTCGGAGTCATGGTGCAAAGCGTGAAGGACGGCGAGGTCGCGCTCGACGCGTGATGCGCGGAAGTGAGATGCAAAATGGGCGTCGTCATACGCAGCCTGCGTACTCATCGGGCGACACGCCGAATGGCCGGGTCCGCGCGTCGTCGCGGTGCAGTCACCAGGGCGTCGCCTTCCCGCATCCCGGGGGATCCCGCGCATGGACTCTGCGAACTGGAGATCACGCGCATCGCGTTCCACCTCGACCTCCCTCCGCCTACCTCACCCTCCCTCACCACTCACGGATCTCGGGGTTGCAGTGGCCCTGGTTAACAGCGCTGTACGCGGCCAGGAAGTCGAGGTACTCGTTCCCCTCTGGGTCCCACACGCGGGCGCCGTCGCCGCGCGCAATGACAACGGGGAGGGGGTGGTAGTTGTGGCTGGTGTGAGCGGGCCCAAACGCTGACGTACGCAGAGTACTCGGCCTCGAGGGACATGATGTCGGCGCTGGAGAGGTGGGCCTTGCCCGATGCGGGGGAGGGGGCAGCGACGGGAGCCATGGTGAATGTAGATGCGGATGTGGAGATGGAGAAATCGATGCGTGGTGCATGTATATACTCCCCCTTCCCCCTTCCCCCTTCCCCCTTCCCCCTTCCCCTTCGCGGGCGGGCGGCTAGCAAGCGCGCGGCAGCGCGTCGGTCGCGTGTGGCGAGTTCCGCTTCGGGCTGCGCTGCGGGGCAAGAAGAGAGGCGGCGATGTTCGGGGCATGCCGAGCATTCCGTGTGGGTGGGGCCACGTCGATGCTCCGCCCGGAGCCCACGCCGCTCCTGATGCCGACGTCACTCGAGGGCAGCTCGCTTGAGTCAGCCGTCTCGGATGGCGCCGATCGAGAGATCTGAACGAGATCCGCTGAATGCGAGCCATAGCATGTGGGCCGGAGGCCGTGCTTGGCGCTTGGACAATTCACAGCTGTTCCAGCCGTCTTGTTCGGCAGCCTTCAATGTGGTACTAAAAAGTCAAAGTCATGCGCGAGGTGGTCACATAGCGTGCACAACGAATTACCAAAGTCAACTCACTGCAAATCCGGTCAGAAAGTTGAAGAGGAGGACGGAATCCGGCCCGATGGGATCGACTTGCTCCTCTTTGCCGCCATCCGCGATCCGCTTGCCGCTTGCATCGGCTGAACACTGAGCTGCCCTCTCGGCATCCTTCACTGGGGCCGACACATCGGCCACGCTCTTCTCCAGTGGATCAGTGGATCAGCGAGTCAGGTCGGCCTGCATCCACACCAGCACCGTGGCTTCGCAACAACCAAGACATGACATGCAATTCTACACTATGCAACGATGCTCTATCTATGCTTGACCTCGCCCTTGTTCCACCGCTGGATGAGGAGGTTGACGGGCTGCTGTTTCTCGGGGCTGCTGGACCGGCTGCTCGAGCCCGGCGAGACCTGCGGCAGCGTCTCCGCTCTAGGCTGCTTGGGCAGCATCGGCTTGGCGACTTGGGGCTGGGACGCGGCGCGCCACAGCGGCGCATTCTCCTGCTCCTCCTTTTCCCGCCGCGCCTGCTTCTCGCCCTCGCCCTCGCCGCTCCCGCCCGCCTCGCGCAAGCCCACGGGCTTCGGCTGCGTCGGCGGCGCAGCGCGCGGTATCCGCGGACCTGAGGGTTTGCGCGCTCCGAGCCCCGGCGGCTTGCTCGCGATGCTCGGCGGCCGGCGCCCGTGCCCGTTCGCGCTCGGAAAGCCCTCCTTGACCGGACTCGTGCTCATCGCCTCGTACCGGCTCACAATGTCGTTGATTGAGCTGCGCCGCCCGTGGCCCACGGGCGTGTTCCGCCCACTCCCGCCGGACGAGGGCGAGCCAGAGCGAACAGAGACGAGCGGCGGCGACAACTTGCCCGGCATGTTGGAGCGTGACGTGTCGAACATGCTCTGCGGACGAGCCGTGCGCGTCGATCCGCGCCCGCTCCACGTCCCGTACCCCGGCTTGGGGGGCGATGTTGACGGGCCCGTCGTCGCCTGTTGCTGATATGCTGCAACGCGGTTCGCGATGCCCGGCGAGGGCGGGAGCTGGCGAGAGCCAGACTTGACTGGCGACACGGGGCGGCGGAATGTCGCCTCGGCGCTCTCGGGCTCCACCTCTTCGTCGCTCGAGTCGGTCTCGGCAGGTGGGGGAGTCTTCTTCATCGACTGCAGCGGCGACCAGTTCGCAGAATTGAAGTTTGACGTGGCCGGCTGCGAAGCCATGTCCGGCAGCGTTGCTCGCTGCGCCGCGCCTAGCGGTTTGTTCGGCGTCGACTGAGGCTTGGGGTGCGTTGGCGGAGGCGGGCGCGCATGGGTTTGCGTTGGCTGAGGCGAAATGCCGAATCTCGAGCCTGACGATCTGTTGGACACAGTTGGTTGCAGGGGAGCGAGCGCCACCGACAGCGACTCGTCCTTGCCGCTGAACAGATCCTCGGCGGGGTTGTGCGTATCCTGCTCCACCTCATCGTCCAAGAGGCTAAGGTAGTCGGCAGTGGGAGAGGACGAATCAACATTCGTAGGAGGGGGCTTGAGCGACTCCTGCTCCCTTTTGAAGGCTGTACCCGTGACATGCGTCGAGCGGGGGTGCGGGATCTGGCCACCGACGGATAGACGGTTGCCTTTGATGGCCCCGCCGGTGAGGTTTGCAATGCTGATTGACTGCCGATGCCTGCCATGGGATGACTGCACAGGCGGAGACAGCGACTTGTCCGCCTTCGGCTGTTGCTCTTCGCCAGTGAGTGCCTCGAGCGAAGGGAATCTCTGCTCAAATGACATCTCGCCGGGCGGGCTCGTCGCGTCCGGCAAACGCCGCAGCGCGCTGGACGACGAGGTAGGGCGTACCGAATGGCCGCTCTTCTGCGGCGACGGAGGCGTGATTTTCGGTGACCCGGGCGACGCCTTCGTCGACGCGGGAGACACCTTAGTCGCCGAGGGCGTCACCTTGGCCGACGTGGGCGGCGATACGGAGAACGAGTCGGTGAAGCCCCGCGTGGGCTTCGGCGCGTTCGTCGCAGTTGATGGAGGCGTGCCCGCAAATGAGAAATTGCTGCCAAAAGAGTCGCCGAACCCAGTGGGCGACATGACCTTCTGACCCGTGAGCTTTGTAGGCACGCCAAACGCGTCCCCTCCAGTAGTAGACGTCCCAAACGCGTCGCTTGAGCCAGTCCGCTTGGCGGCGTCCTTTGGTACGTCCTTTGGTGGCAGGACTGGAGCGCCAAACGAGTCGCCAAATCCACCTGGGGACGGAGTGGGCTGGTTCCTGCCGACGCCAAACGCATCGACACTGCTCTGCCTAGTACTCGACTGCGGCGACGGACCAGCGCCGCTGCTGTCGAAGGCCGAGCCTTGAAGTCTCGCCAAGACCGGCTTGGGAGGCTTGGTGCCGCTGACAGTCCGCCGCGAGAGCGAGACCGAGTGTTGCAGCTTCGCGCCCTGTGCTGACCCCTCACGCTCGCCCGTGACCTGCATTTTCGTTGGCTTTGTGGGCCCGGTGGTCGAAGCCGGCACTGGCATCTTCGGGATGTGAGGGGGAGGAAGCTGGGGCTGAGTCGGCACCGGTGCAGTCGCCTTCATCGACTCGGGACGCGTAGGGCGACCACGGCGCTGAGGCTGAACCGAGGCAGCCAACGACGGCTGCGATATAGGGACAGACGGCTGTCCGCCACCGGACGTGAAGTCGAGAACATTCGTCGGCGACTTGGACTTCTTCGGGGAGGAGGGGAGAGTCGCTGGAAGTTGGCGGTTAGGCATTGGCTATCATCAGCTCTGTCCACGGCGTCAGAACTCACGTAGTCCACCTCAGGCCGGGTCCCGCTCATCTCATGGACGACTCTCAAGACCTCAAACACCGTGGGGCGCCGCGATGGGTGCTCGACGAGCATAGAGGCTGCAAGTCAGGACAATCCTCAGTCGCAAGCACATGCCACTCACCGATCAGATGTTGAAGCCTAGGCGAGTACACGGGGTACTGCGGAAATGTGTATTTCGCATTGACAATGGCGAGGGTGCCGTGCTCCTCGAAGGGCGTAGTGTAATAACAGAGCTTGTAAAGGAGGACACCAAGGGCCCAGACATCTGGAATAATCAGTCCATATTTGAGACGGCAACGCACCACTTGGGAGACCTACGGCCCATCCCAACATTGGCTCGACCATCTCGGGGCTTCGATACTGCAGCGTCGTGTGCTTGTTGAGGTCCAGCGCCAGCGCGTCCGCCTCAGCCTTAGTCTGCGGTGGGTGGGACGCTGGAAATGTCGTCGACCCAAAGTCACACAGTTTGAACACAAGGGGAGTGGGCCTTTGGGCTGTGGGTGGGAGGCCGTTAGGATGTGACAAAACGTTCTCAATCTTGAGATCGCGGTGGAGCAGCGGCCTGCTCATGGCATGCATTGCGGCGACCGCTTCGCACACGTCCGTGAAAATGTTGAGGATCTCAATCTCCTTCAAGCGGTCACGCAGGCGCTTGTTAAGGAGGTCGATGATGCCGCCGCCTGGAGTCAGCGACCCTGCCACGCCAACAGCATTCCGTGCCAGCGCACGCACCTGAACAAAACTCCATGAGAATGAAGACCTCGTACATTCCGTTTGGTAGACGGTGCTGCGATGAGTCGAGATACTGAATAAGATGGGGGCTGGGCGGGAGTGCTTTCTGCCGTCAGCTGCAGCCGTAACAAGAGCTCACCATGACCTCAATCTCGCGACTGACGTCCCGCCAGACACTCTCGTCCTCGAAAGCTATTCGCTTGAGGCAGTGTGTCGTGTACCCCTTCTCGCCCCACCGCCCCTTTGCGCCGCTACGACTAGGCGGGTACACAGGCTTCTCCGAGCTTGTGAGATACACGTGCGCGTACCCGCCCTCGGACAGGTAACGCTCGACGCGGACGGCGTTCTGGCCAACCCGCACCATCTGGCCTGGCGGCAGCGTGCCTTTGTGCGGACGCCGCGTGTCACCGCGTTGCTGTTGATACCCCTGCGCTGGGTACTGTTGCGCATACTGCTGCTGCGGCATCTGCGGCTGGCGATATGCTGCCGGCGGTACTTGCTGCTGAGGCGGGGAGGTATACCGCTGCGGCTGCGGCTGCTGCTGGTGCTGCATTGCTGGGTGGTAGCCAGCGGGCATGGCGGCATTGTAAGGCGGGCTCATGGGACCAACCACGGGAGCACCGCGGTGCGGGTTTTGGCCGTACGGCGTGGAGGACTGATACATGGGGCCCGAGCGGTGGTGTGTTTCGGGGGCAGCGGGAACGGGGGTCAGGTTGACCTCAGGAGCGGGTCGGACGAGCCCGGCAGCCTCCGCGTTGACAGGCTAGCGAGCGCGAAGGACCAAGAGTAGAGAGGAGGAAATGGAGATGGGTGTGATAGGAATGGTGCAGAGGAAAGAGAGGGGTGATGTTTGGAACGAAGAGTGGTGGAAGATGAGATGGAGGATGTGTGTGTGGAGTCGAGTTGGACCAGCTCACCTCGAGTTACGCCAAGGGTGATCGCCGCCCAGCGACCATAGTCCCGACTTGATCTGATAAGCCCACGTGTCTCATTTTCACGTGTCATTTACCCAGGCTCCTTCCAGCTACCAGGCTAACACCCACACCTCACACTCAACATGCTCCTTAGCATGCTAGCACATGCAATGATGTCGAAACACATGGGGTCAATACATTTCGTACAGGTCGTACATGACGTGGCAAAACGTATGTTACACTTGGTGGCCTAGCGGCGCGGGCAGTTGGACCCACGGCGCCCTCTCCTTCCCCTTGCGCCCTGCATCACCATCACCATCACACAATCATGCCAGTCTTCCGCTCCGTTTGCAGGTTGTCTTGAGGATACGCGAGGTGCGTCGTCTCAGTCGGGGAGTAGGCGCCCTCATCGGACCAGGACACGCCCTGGCGTACCTTGAGGACGAGGAGGACGAGGATCTCGCGTCAGAGTGCCAAATCCAGTTGCTGAACTTACATATGACGCCGAGATCCAATTAAGCACCCAGCCTGCTGCGGCCATGGCACATCGCCGGTTATACCCTGCGCATTGAGCGAACTCGAGGTAACCGGCGACAGTAGATGCGGACGCTGCGCTAAATCCGAGTACGGAGAGGAGGCCGAGAGCCAACGCGTCTATCTTCCCGGAGCGGCGGAAGCGGACAGAAAGCCTAATGTTAGGGGAGGGACGCCGCTGACGCACTTACAGAAAGTAGACGACTGTAAGCGCGTTCCATGCCTCGAGCAAGGTGATGCACGCCCATAATCGGGCGTTGATGAGGACGTGGCCGACTGTTCGTAAGCTCGTGCGGTGCTCGACGGGGATCACGCACCACGGTCATACCACTTGCCGGCAACGGCGGCGTTAGAGCAGAGGCTAGCGATCGCGAGGAGGAGCCCAAGGGCATATAGGGCTCCGGCGCGCATCGCCTCTGTCGTTCTTGGTGGGCGAGAGGGGGCGGCGCGTGGACGTGTCGGAATGGACAGGGGTTTGAGAGAAGGAGTTACTGGAGGCGCGACGGCGCGGCGGAGCAAATGGCGTGAAGGTGCGGAAGGCGGCACGGTGGCAAGTATGGACAAGATCAGACGTGATGAGAAGAGTTGTTTAGTAGACTAGCTCTTTGAGCGCAGTGGACGGGGACACGGGGACAAGGATGGAAGAGGAGTAGTTGGAGAGAGTGAAGAGAGTGAAGAGAGTGAAGGATGGTAACCAGGCGACGAAAGTCGGCAGCAGTGAATTACCGCGCGTTGCACCGCTGTGCCTCTTTCTGGTGCGTCTACTTTTGTTGAATTGTCGATGCCCGAGTCGGCGTCGCACTCGCTTTAGGCTCTCCCGTGCTCGCCCCCATCCCTGCAGCTTCCAAGTCTTTGTACCCAGCTCGCTCCTTGGATCTTTGTATTCTCCTTTGGCTCGCTCAAGTATATGCAGTAGAGGCTGCCTCCGCGCGCCTCCGCACTGGCATACATGCTCCACGCTCCGCTGTCATCGATCGACATCTCTGTGCTGTTGCCGCCTTGACGTCATAGCCCCACTCATTCCAAAAAATCAGACACGCGCTGATCATTCCAGGCGTGGCGCCAGTGGCATCTCCGTCGCGCCCTCCCATGCTTCTCAACCTCCATTGCTCGACTCGCTCGACTGCTCAAGTCACAGGCTTGTGCGTAAGTGCAGGGCGCTGAGTGCTGCGAATGACTGAGTATGATCGCATAATCCTTGTTATCATGTTCTTCGTGGTGAACGTTGTTCTTGCTGGCTTGCTGGCCGCTGCTTCTCGTGGGAGACGTCTGAGAGCCCAAAGGTATCTATGCACCGAGTTCATGCCAGAAGCCACACGCTTCGGCATAAGCCACAGACTGGCTCGACCATCTTGTCCGAGTGTTTTTAATCATTATGCTCGGCTTGAGCAGAGACACGAGAGCTCTTGGACTGAAAGGTGTGTCCCCACAATGAGTATAATACTTATCAAGATCGGAGAGCTGTAGCCTGATCAACAGGTCGCTTTCACTCAGTCTGTTCCTTCCCTCTAGCCTCTAGCTTGCAGCGCTCTGCACACGCAGCACGCGCAGCACGACTGAGGCATTGTTTGGTTCCGTCACTAAACACGTGACTCCCACGCGACTCACAGTCATCTGCGGAGAGTCGCGTCAACTCCCGCAACCTCATGCCCCACAGCGCGCGACGCGTCTTGACTACTTGTCGTTACTCTCTCTCCACAGATCCCCCCCACCTCCACTCTTCCTGTCCTCCTGCCCCTCATCCACAACGCAACAGTCTCCGAGCCATGCCACTGCGGCGTCTCGAGCTCTCCAACTTTAAATCATACCGTGGCGCCCAGGTCATCGACTTTGGAGATGATCCCTTCACCTGCATCATCGGTCCTAATGGCAGCGGCAAGTCCAACCTGATGGACGCCATCAGTTTCGTCCTTGGCATCAAGTCGCAGCAGCTGCGCTCCACCAAGCTCGCAGACCTCGTGTACCGTGGGCGCAAAGCCGCCGAGGGCGCGCAAGAGCTCGGCCTCGACGTCGATGTGCCCGAGACCCAAGAGTCGCCATCGCAGCTGGGACCCAACGACGCGCGTAATGCCAGCGTCGCCATCGTCTTCCAAGACGACAATGGGAGAGAATGGAACTTTCGACGGACCATGTCTGCCTCGGCAGCAGGATCCAGCTCGTACTCGCTCAACGGCAAAACAGTGCGCTGGGAAGAGTATAACAAGCAGCTTGAAAAGTTCAACATTCTCGTCAAGGCCAAGAACTTCCTCGTGTTCCAGGGCGACGTCGAGAATGTCGCGAGCCAGGACGCGAAGAAGCTGTCCGAGCTCATCGACCGTATCTCGGGGTGCGTGACGTGATGTTACAGCGGCTGACATTAGCTCGGCCGACTACGCCGACGCCTACGAGGACGCCAAGCTCCAGCAGGAGAAGGCGAGCGAGGCGGCCAACGCCAATCACGCCAAGAAGCGTAGCATGCTCACCGAGGCGAAGCACTTCAAGGAGCAGACTGCCGAGGTCAAGCAGTGGGAGAAGCTCATGAGCTCCAAGGACGCCATGATCCAGCGTCACCTTCTCTGGCGGCTGTACCACATCACAAACGAGATCAACGACTCGACACGTCGGGTGGAAGAGGCCTCGGAGCAGCTGGCTGAATTGCGTGGCACAGTCGTGAGTTGCAGCGTAGGAAGCAATCGCTCACGCTAGGATGACAAGTCCAACGACCTGAAGGAAGCGCGCAAGGCGTACGCGGCCGCGCAGCTCAAGGTCAAGTCGCGCGAGGGCTCGGTCAAGAAGGCCGTCAAGGCGCTCGACGACAAGAAGCCTGAGCTCGTCAAGGTCGAGACTGAGATCGAGCATTCTGAGAAGAAGGTCAAGTCGACCGCCTTGCTGGTCGAGCGCGTCGAGAAGGATCAGAAGCGGCAAGCAGAGAGCGTCGCTGCGCTCAAGGCTGGCGGCGCTGAGATCCGAAGGAAGATGGAAGAGGCAAGGGCCAAGCAGCGCGAGAAGAGCCAGGCTGCAGGCCGTGCGCTCACGGATGCCGACCTCGCAGAGTACCGCCGGCTGCGCGCTGAGGCAAACTTGCTTGTGGTCGATGAGCGCCAGCAGCTTGAGGCGCTGCGCCGCGAGCAGAAGAGCCTGGTGTCCGCCCTCGCTTCGATGGACGACCAGGTACAGCAGGCTGAGCGGAAGCGTTCCCGCCTCACCACTGACGTCGAGGCACTCGCGGAGCGCGAGGAAACTGTGAGCTCGTTGGCGGGAGCTTAGCTGACCCGCAGATGGCTGAGAAGGTGGCCGAGATGGAGGGCGAGGCGAAGCGGATCAAGTCGCAGCTTGATCAGGCGCAGGCAGAGCGCAACAGCATCTCGTGAGTCACTGAAATGATCACCGCTGACATAAGCATGCGCGAGACTGAGCTTAACGACCGTCTGCAAGAGACGCTGCGCAAGCTTGTCGAAGCTGGTGCTGACAAGCGCGAGTCGGAGCGCGAGACGCGGACCAAGGAAAATATTGCCACTCTCCGCCGTCTCTTCCCTGGCATTCACGGGCGCGTAATCGAGCTGTGCAAGCCAACGGCGAACAAGTACGAGACAGCCGTGCGCACCGTTCTGGGCCGCAGTCTCGACCAGGTCGTGGTTGAGACGGAAAGGGTCGCGATCGAGTGCATCGAGTACCTGAAGCAGCAGCGTAAGGGCGTTTTGACCTTTGTGCCCCTCGACACGGTGCAGGTCAAGGCCGTCCCAGACAAGCTTCGCAACGTCGCTCGTGGTGCGCGCCTCGCGATCGACTGCGTCGAGTTCGATCCCAGCGTTGAGCGCGCGATGCAGTACGCATGTGGCTCCGCGATTATTTGTGACACGCAGGAGATCGCAAAGTTTGTCTGCTACGAGAAGCGTATGGAGGTAAAGGGTAAGTGCAGCGTGGGGACCTGGCTAACTTTCAGCGGTCACGCTCGACGGTACCGTATTCCACAAAGCTGGCCTGATTACCGGTGGTCGCGGGCAAGGCGGGAATGGACGCAAGTTCAACGACAAGGATGTCGAATCGCTCAAGCAGCTGAAGGAGAAGCAACTCAAGCAGCTCCAGGAGCTGTCCCAATCAAAGCCAAAGGAGAAGGACGACGAGGGCAAGTACAAGGCTCTGTCTCGTCTCCAAGCAGAGCTGGGTTCAGCGAACGACGACCTCTCCGCCACACGCCTCCGCTTGGATGGTATGCGCAAGGAGCTTGCTGCTGTTGAGAAGGACCTCAAAAAGTTGAAGCCGGAGCGCGAGAAGCGCGCCAAGGCCCTCCACGACGCTGAAAGCCGCCTCGAAGGTCTCGCTCAGACTGTCGACGCTGCCGACGACAGCATTTTCGCTGCCTTCTGCCAGCGCATCAATGTCGACAACATCCGCGAATACGAGGATGTACAGCTCAAGGTCGCGCGGGAGGAGAACGAGGCTCTCGAGGAGTTCAAGACCAAGGCAGCACGCAACGTCCACGCCGTCGAGTTCGAGGAGCAGCAGCTCAAGGCGACCGAGGACCGTCTCGCCTCTCTCCAGGCCACGCTTGAGCGCGAGCTGCGTAACAGCGAGGCGCGGAGTAAGCGAAAGCAGCAGGTCGAGGAGGAGATCGAGGCGTTGCAGGCTGAGATTGAGCGCCAGGAGGCGAAGCTGGAGAAGGCCAAGAACGCCGCTGAGAGTGTGGCCGAGGAAGTCGAGGCTGCTCGTAGTGCTTTGAAGAGTGCTCAGCGCGACCTCGACACTGCCCTCAAAGAGATCGCGTCGTGGAACGACGAGATTGTGCGCTCTGCTTCGGACCGGCATGCCATCTACCGTCGTTGCCGCCTCGAGGACATCGACCTCCCTCTGAACCGCGGAAGCCTTAACAAGGTGCCTATTGACGAGAGCACAAACGACATGGCTATGGATGTGGACGACGGCTCGCTGCATCCAGCACGGACAGATGACTATGGCATCGAGCCCGACTTTGACCCTCTCACAGACGAAGACCGCGAGAACGACACGCCAGAGTATGGCGCTGAGCTCGAGGCGCAGATCGCCAAGATGAAGGCCGACTTGGAGCGCGTCATTCCGAACATGAAGGCCGTCGACCGCCTTAAGGATGTGCAGAATGATCTTGAGTTGGCCGAGGACGAGGCGGAGGACGCGCGTCGCGCTAGCAAGGAAGCGCGCGAGAGGTTCCTGGGTCTGAAGAAGAAGCGCTGCGAGCTGTTCAACAAGGCGTACCAGCACATGTCCGGGTGCATCGACCGCATCTACAAGGATCTCACGAAGCAGGCGAATGGGCAGGGTGGCGGAATGGCTTTCCTCTCGCTCGAGGACAGCGAGGAACCATACCTCGCGGGCGTCAAGTACAACACGATGCCTCCTGGCAAGCGCTTTGTTGAGATTGAGCAGCTGAGTGGTGGTGAGAAGACAATGGCGGCCCTTGCGCTGCTGTTCTCTATCCACAGGTGAGTAACCCGTATGTCATCACGATTCTGACGCCAGCTTCCACCCTGCGCCATTCTTCGTGCTCGACGAGGTCGATGCAGCGCTGGACCCGACCAACGTGTCCAAGTTGGCGCGCTACGTACGGCAGCAGGCTGAGAAGAAGGTCCAGTTCCTGATCATCTCTCTCAAGTCGACGCTGTGAGTGGCTCCGTCATGTGGCGTCTAACCCTGCAGGTATGAGCATGCGGACGGTCTCGTGGGTGTGTACCGCGAGCAGGTGCAGAATTCGTCACGGACACTGACGTTGTCCCTGCGCGAGGTGAGTTGTGTCGCTGGGGGAATTTTCAAGTGTATGCTGACGACTAGTACGAGTAAAAAGCGGGGGCGAGTCGCGTCGTGTATTACCAGCTGTAGCCGCCAAAGAGGTCCAGAGGTCCAGAGATCCAGAGATGCAAGCGAGAGAAAGCTGAAGGGCGGCTCGGGCCGTTTGGCAGGGACGATAGCCGGCGGCAGTTGTCAGATTGGCGCGAATGTCTGTGCGCCCCCCATTTAAGCCCAGCGGGCGGGGGCGGGACGTGAGAGTCCGGGCCGAGGTGTGACGTCGGCCACTGACCGAGCCTGGCTGGACCCTCTCTCGATCTCTCACGACCCCACAGCCGATTCCGCTTGCTTCGTTTCGCTTTCTCTTTCTTGTCCATTTCTCTTTCTCCATCGCCCATCTCGCCATGCTCCCCGACATCTGCAAGGACATAGAGCCAAACTTCCTGCTGTGCGACAGCGCCCTCGAGCACATTGTCACCCACTTCCGCCGCGAGCTCGAGGCCGGCCTCGCCCGCCGCGGCGAGGATGTCGCCATGATTCCCAGCTTTGTCCCCGGCGTCCCGGACGGCACTGAGGAAGGGTGAGTCTTTGACGGCGGCAGAGGCAGTGGACTCCCCTTCGATGTTGCCTCCTCTCTTCCCCTACCACCCCCGCTCCATGGCCCTCGACGACGACGCGAGACAGCTCCGGAGCTACCTTCCGTGAGCGCACACGGCGCTCGGGATTGGGCGCGTCGGGCAACGTCATGGCATGCGCCCCAGTCGAGAGGTCCGTCGTCATGCCTGGTCGTGTGCCCTTTGTGACGCCCTTTTCTTTCATGGCGTGGTGGCCGAATTCGCGCAAACCGCTGGCTGCTTGAGCTCATAGCGCCCCCTTCGCCGCCCTCTTGCTTTCGCGACCGCTGACACCAGCACGTTTCTCGCCCTCGACCTCGGCGGGACAAACCTGCGCGTGTGCGAGGTCCGCCTCCTCGGCAACCACAAGTTTGAGATGAAGCAGCAGAAGTACAAGGTGTCGGACGACCTCAAGGAAGGCGAGGCGACGGTGCTGTTTGGTGAGTCAGCGCTTCCTCAATCAGAGCTGTCATCGATATCGACAAGGGTGTGGACGTCAGTGCAGCATCTGTCACCTGCCGACTAAGGCGATCAAGTCCTGTGACACACACACAGGCCGCAGTGGTGCTGGCTGACACATGGTGATGCTTCAGCCTGGCTCGCCCTCCTTCTCCCTCTCCGTTGCGCTGACGCCAGATTACATCGCCGACAGTGTCGACGCGTTCCTCACCGAAATCGGGAGTGACATTGCCCCAGAGAAGAGTGGGCCGATGCACCTCGGCTTTACGTTTTCGTGAGTGTACACAGGCGCCGAGATGGGGCGTGTGGAGTGGATGACGCGTTGATGTGGCGGCGTGTACGACGAACGTGTCGTCAGCACGGACCAGCATCACATGCGGAGTCTTGGGACTGTATTCATCGTCTGTGCCAAGATCTCGCTCGCCCCGTTCTCCCCCGCGCTAACGTCAGCTTCCCCGTAGAGCAAACTGCCATCAATAGCGGAACGCTGCTTACCTGGACGAAGGGCTTCAATGCCAAGAACGCGATTGGCAAGGATGTTGTCAAGCTCTTGAACGATGCGTTTGAGAGAAAGCACATCCACGTCCGGTGCAGCGCCCTCGTCAATGACACCGTCGGCACCCTGCTCTCGCGCTCGTATCAGCACGGTCCCGCGCTCATCGGCGCTATCTTTGGCACTGGCACGAACGGCGCGTACATTGACAAGACGTCAACGGTTGCCAAGCTGGGCGAGAAGCAGATCCGTGAACTCGAGGAGGGCGGAGAGCACGCAGGCGCGTACATGGTCATCAACACGGAGTGGGGGGCATTTGACAACAAGCGCCAGTGTCTACCGGTGTCGATCTTTGACAGCAAGCTGGATCGCATGAGCATTAACCCGTGAGTGATGGAGCATGGGAGGGGTCACGCGCTCGTCAGGCAGCGCTGCCCTCAGAGGCCAGACCCCCTGAGTTCCCCCTCCTAGCCAAGTTCTCTCCGCCCAGATTAACCGCAGCCGCAAGCAAGCTTTCGAGAAGATGGTGTCCGGCATGTACCTCGGCGAGATCACGCGCAATATCCTCTTGCACCTCATCGACTCCAACGTACTGTTCGAGGGGTACAGCACCGCAGTGCTGAACGAGCACTACGGGTTTGACACGTCCTTCGTGTCGGCGGTGGAAGGTGCGGAGAGCGATGAGGATGTGATCAAGGCTATCACCGACATTCTCAAGGTTAAGCGCAAGCACATCAAGGAGAGAGACCTCGAGTTGGTGCGCTGGGCCACCAAGCTCGTCGCCCACCGCGCAGCCTACCTCGCAGCGACAGCGGTTGCGGCAGTAGTGCAGCACACGGAAAAGAACCGACGCGAAGAGGAGAAGGAGACAATCGACGTGGGCGTGGACGGAAGTGTGGCCCAGTACCTCCCTCGTTTCGAGGAAAACATGCGTGTCGCGCTGCGCAAGCTGCTCGGCGAGGATGGTGAAAAGCGCATCACGATCGGCCTAGCCAAGGATGGCTCGGGGGTTGGCGCGGCTCTTACGGCGCTGCAGGCCAAGAAGGCGGCTGAGCGTTCCTCGAAGCTGTCGAAGTAGTGTAGGATTATGCAGTTGCAACTGGCTCCAGGCGGCCGGCGTGCCACGCGGCGGCGTCCGCACATTTCCGCACCGGGGGTAGCTTGGATGTAATCAAAGTGGAGTTGGCGAACCAAGACGCGTCTCGCGTGCTGATGTATACAGATATCAACAGGAAGGGAAAACCAAATTGGGCAAATTGTGGACGCGCCACAAAGTCGGACAGCGAGCGCCAAGCGGACTGGCGAGCTGGCGAGCTGGCGTACAGACGAACAGGCGAACAGGCGAACAGGCGAGTGCGCAAGGGATCAGTGGAGATGGCGGAAATCGCTCAGAATGGCCGGCGTGCCCGATAGTGGAGATGGAGGTGCTGAGTGTGCAAGGCTTAGTCACTTGTCCGTCTATCGCACGCCTCCTCACGCCTCAACTCGGGTCGCCTGAACTCTGAGATGGCTTGAACTTGAAGTGGCCTGCTATTCGTGTATAATTTGGCCGAGGGCCGCGGGCCGTAGGCGTGGGCCGTGCAGCCGCGCGGCATCGCGACCGTGAGATCGTGAGATCGTGAGATTGTGTGGTCGTGACGTGGCACTCTGTAATCTGTGATCTGTGATCTGTGATGTGTGATCTGTCATGTATCTGTCATGATGTCAGCTGCAGCTGCCCGCTGTAGTCCTCGGAGAGCTCGAGTATATCGTAGCGCTCTTCGCGCTAGCGCTAGCGCTATGCCGATGCCGCGCTCGGCCAGGGACGGCGGGCGCCGATCGCCGGCGGCCGCTGGTGGGCTGGGGCTGCGGTGAAGCGCGGAACTGGCGTCGCCATGGCCTTCGGGCCTACGGCCTACGGGCGCACATCTTTGTGCATGAAATACAATGAACGAGAGGACAAGAGGACAAGAGGATGAGAGGACGAGAGGGCCGAGCAGTGCATTGTCGGCCGCAGGTGGTGGACGGAGGAGTGAGGAATGTTGCACCAAAGGCGGTGCAGATAAGGACAATCTGATAGATGGAGGGTTTACGCGAGGCTCATGGCTCAACCTCCGGCCTCCGGGGGGGGGAGGCTGGGGGAGGGCTGGAAGTAGCTCGACTAGCTGGAACTAGAACAGCGTGAGGACAACCCTCCGTACGTCGCTGTCGCTGTCGCTGTCGCTGTCAATTGATGAGTGCAGCGCCCAGGGCCGAGGCGGAAGCGAGCCGACGCGACGAGAGCCATCAGCTGGGCTGTAGATGAGGGGGCTGCACCGCCTCGATCCGTGCTCTGATCGCATGCACCATGCACGGGCACTGCGGGACAGAGGCAGAGGCGAGGATGGAGAGATGAAACGCGGCGTGCATGCATGCGCATGAATGCACACTGGATGATGAGGCCGAGGGGCTCTGGGGAGGCCGACGGTGGGGGAGCATTGCGCGCGGGGAAGCCGATGGCCGAGGGCGGGTATCCCCCGAGGACCCAAAGTCTAAATTAATAACAATTTGATAGCTAATTATAATAATAATAATAATGAATTTTGTTTCCGCCGGAAGGAGGAGAGAGTCGGGACGATGACCGATGCCCCCCTCACTCACTCCCACCTTCCCCCTCACCATCCGCCACCCGCCCCTCTCCATCATCCATTCATTCCATTCCATTCCACCCTCCGACCACCCCGCTCCCTCTCCCCCTCCGCTCCGCTCCGCGCCGAGCAACTCTCTCGTATTTTATTCCGTCTCCGTCTCTGCATTACACTCTCACTCTCCCTCCATCCCCCGCCCTGCCCCGCGCAACTACCCCCTGAACCCGGCGCCCGCTCCATCCACACTGTCCGCTCCTCCCCTTGCCCCTTGCCCCCGTCCTTCAACGATCTTTTGACTCGACGCCGACACCGTACGACGCGCCTACCGAGCATCTGCGCGCAACTGTCTTTGACATCTTGACCTCTTTCTTCTCTGCGCCTTATCGCCCGCCCACTTCCCACCCAGCTCCACCGACGGCTCTGCTGCCATGAGCTTGAGCTACCTCGCCGCGTCTCGCGGCGGGTCAGAAGAGAAGGGCACAAACAGCATCGGGCGAACACCCAGCTCGTCCGAGCTTGCCGCCGAGGCCGAGGCCAAGCGCCGCAAGGTCCAGCGCGCGTGCGATGTCTGCCGAAGGTGAGTATCGCTGGCAACGTCACTCGACGTCTTCCTCAACAGACGACAGATCGAGAGATTGGGCTGACGTGCAGGAAAAAGATCCGTTGCGAGGGTCCCATGAACTCGAACTCGGCCAACAGTGCGTCACAGCTCCAGACATGCACTTACACTAGAATGCGCAAACTGCCAGGAATACGGCCTCGAGTGCACGTATGTCGAGGCCGCCAAGCGCCGTGGCCCGCCCAAGGGCTACATTGACACGCTGGAGCAGAGGTGCCGCCGGCTGGAGCGCCTCATCACGCAGCTTCACCCCGGCCTCGACGTCGCCGGGACGGTTGGACCCATGCCGGACCGGGACGACTTTGATTTGAATCTTTACCAGGACCACATGCGCACCCTCGGCATCCCGCCGTACCCGACACTCAAGCCGCTGGCAACGAGTGACGCGCACGCCCCATGTGCAGCTGGAACCCCGCCGACGGCACAGGGTGCGCCGAGCCCATCTCCGCGCGTCCTTGGCCCAGCACCGTGGCAGGCGTTTGAGCAGGACCCCAACCGCCCTTCTGAAGACGACGAGGAGGTCCGCGACCAGGCGCGCATCGCGCACGCAATGGTCAAGCTCAACATACGCGACTGGGATGCGTTCAGATTCCACGGCAAGGCGAGCCCTGCGCATCTCGTCCGCATCGTCAACGAGCTCAAGTATTCCGACGCCGACCTCACATTCTTTGACCGCCTCTCCAATGTCAAGCGCACCGAGTACTGGATGGTCCCCGAGTGGGAGAAGCAGATTGCCACTGTGAGCGTGAACCCGGTCGACTACAGCATGTGGCCCGACGAGGAGCTTGCAGGCCGCCTCATCGACTCGTACTTTGAGCGTGTCAACCGGTCTATGCCGCTGCTGAACCGCGTAATTTTCCAGCGCCAGTATCACTCTGGTTTGTGGCGCACCAACATTGAATTCGCCAAGCTATGCCTTATGATCTTCGCCAACGGTGCGCGCTACGTCGACGACGAGCGCGTGTACTGGCCCGCAGACGATGCGACGACCGACGAAGGTCGAGAACGCCTGCGCAACGACCGCAACGGCATGCTCAAGTACTCGGCCGGCTGGATCTACCTGCGCGCGCTCATCAAGATGGGCCGCTCGTGGCTGCAAGGCCCGAGCCTACTCGACCTCCAGACCAACGTCCTCGTCTGCCTGTTCCTCAACGGCAGTGCTGTGCCGCACCTCGCCTGGATTGTCGCCGGTTCTGGTCTGCGCATGGCGCAGGAAATCGGCGTCCACGTCCGCTCGACAATGCTGCTCATCAACCCTATCGACCGCGCCTTGTACAACCGCGCGTTCTGGTGCCTGTACCACTTTGACCGTCTGTCATGTGCCGCCATGGGGCGCAGTGTAGCGATACAAGACTCGGACTTTGACGCCGACTACCCTATGGCTATCGATGACGAATTCTGGGACACGGGCGACCCGGAGCGTGATTTCAAGCAGCCGCCAGGTCTCGCTCCGGACCCAGCTGTTGCCGCGTTCACGCAGCTGCTCAAGCTGGACCACGTTCTGAGCGCGGCTCTGCGCACAATCTACGCTGTAACCAAGCTGCCCGAGCATGGGGAGGACCAGCGCGCCATTGTCGTCGAGCTCGACTCTGCGCTCAACTCGTGGGCGGACGCGGTCCCAGACAACCTCCGATGGGACCCAACACGCGCCGATCCGCGCCTGTTTGAGCACTCGGCCATCCTCTACGCGCACTACTACTATGTCCAGATCCTCATCCACCGACCCTTTATTCCGACGCGCAAGCACCCAGAATCTGTCGGCTTCCCCTCGCTCGCCATTTGCAGCAATGCCGCACGCTCCATCTCCAACATCCTCGACGCTGTCCTGCGCCGCGGGCGCAGCATGGGCAAGTTGCCCGGGCACTCCATCAGCATTTCCTTCGTTCTTCCCGCTTCGACTGCCGCCATCGTCCTGCTCATGAACGTCTACGCTGTGAGGCAAAGACCACATGAGCGCGAGCGGTGCATGAGCGACGTGCGCCGCGTCCTTGCTGCACTTCGCGAGATGGAGCTCACCTACCGCCAAGCAGGCAAGATCACAGATCTGATTACCGAGATTGCGCGCGAGTCGACCGGTGACAAAGACCTGATAATGGACACGCCGCCTCCCAAGCGGCCTTATGACGACGATGACAACGCTGGGACGCCGGTCGAGACACCAGGGGCACCCGAACTAATGCCGCTCGCATCTGCGACTTTCGCGCACGCACAAGCGCACGCCTCGTTCCAGCCTGGGCAGGCACCGCTCGCATGCATGTCCCACACGGGCACGGGCGAGCCGCTGGCGAACGGCTCTAACGGCACGCCGAACAGCCATCTCAACCCCAACAACCCTACAATGATGCCGCCCGGCACGTCCTCACGGCCACAATCTAACGCCCCGTCCCCGCCCACCCCGCCGTTCATGTTCGGCAACTGGGGCACAGGGGTGGCGCCGACGAACGAGCCCATCGCCGTGCCCGACCACCTCTTCGACCCCAACGACCTGCAGAACCTCAACTATGCCGCGATGAACTTTGACATGTTGGGCGACGCGCAGTCGGACAATTTCTGGCAGCACCTGCTGCGGCAGGGCGGCGGCGGGCTGAGCACATTCGGCGCACCGACGGGCGCGCCCAACGTCGGCATCGGCAATCCGCAGCCGCTGCAGCAGCCGCCGATGAGCGGGCCGATGGGCACGCCACAGACGGGCTTTGGGTTCATGCCGTGGCTGCCACCTGAGGACCCGCGGCGGCAGCAGCAGTAGAGGTGGGAAGCGGCAGTATGACACCATTCTAGAGCGGCGCACTGCGCATTGTAATTGGCATGTACGATTGAGTGCGGCAAGCTGAAGTGCGGGATGACGTTTGCCCAAACCGAAACATGTGGTGGCGCGGCGTACACACATCCATGGAACCGATACGAACATCTACTACACGTCACGCATGCTCGGCTCACCCGCCTACTCCTCCTTCTTGGGCCCCTGGGGCTTGATGTTGGGGTACACCTTGCCGGGGTTGAAGAGGTTGAGGCTGATGTCAGCATACACCTACAACAGTCACTCACGGGTCAACATAACGCTTGATGCCCTCCATAAAGTTGACGGTGCCCGTCCCCAATTCCATGGGGAGGTACTCGATCTTACCAAGCCCGACGCCATGTTCGCCGGAACACGTGCCGCCGAGGCGGATGGCGCGCTCGACCATCTCATGCACGGCGTCACGCACGCGTTCCAGCTCTTCCTCGTCCGAAAACAGGGCGAGGGTATGCACGTTCCCGTCGCCGACGTGTCCGAAGTGGCACGCCTCGAGCCCGCGCCCCTCAAAGTCTGCGGCCGTCTCGCGCACCAGCCGCGGCAGCTTGGAGATGGGGACACACACGTCGGTGGTCCACACGCGCCCGTCTTCGCGCAGCGCAAGCACGCTCCACAGCGCGGCCTTGCGGCCCTCCCACAGCTTGTCGGCGTCGGCGTCGCTCTGGCTGAACTGCATGTCGCGCCCGCCGTGCCGCGCCGCGATCGCCGCGACGCCGCGCGACGTCTCCTTCATCATCCCGTCCGTGCCCTGGAACTTGAAGAACAGGCTGTCTTGCTCGGGATACTTCTTGCCGGCGATGCCGCCCGCGTTGATCGCCTTCATCGTCCGCGAGTCCAGGTACTCGACACACTGGACGGGATAGCCTGCGTTCACGCTGCGTAAGCGCGTACGGGAGAGCAACTCACATCTCGGTCGCGGCGCGCACGGCCTCTTCGACGCCCGGAAAGTTCATCACCGCCACCTTGGTCGGGAGCAGCGGCGCGAGCTTGACCGTGCACTCGGTGACGATGCCCAGCGTGCCCTCGGCCCCGAGGAAGATCTTGGTCGCGTCCCACCCGGCCGACGACTTGCGGGCTTTGGAGCGCGTCTTGATCACTTCGCCGGTGGGGAGGACGACGGTCTGCGCGTGTTAGTCATGACGCATCGGCACGGCCCACTCACAAGGTTCAAGAACCACTCGCCCTTGGCCGTGCCGTAGCGCACGGCGTTGGTGCCCGAGCAGCCTGTGCCGGCCATGCCGCCGAGCGTCGCGCCCGGTCCGGGGTCGATCGGGAAGAAGAGGGGGATGCCCTGCTTGGCGAGGTGGGCGTTCAGGTCCTCCCATTTGACGCCTGGCTGGCACACGGCCTCGCCGTCCGCCTCGGATACGGAGATGATCTTGTCCATGAGCGAGACGTCGAGGGAAATCCCGCCGAACGGGCTCGCAAAGTGTCCCTCGAGCGATGTGCCGCCGCTAAACGGCGTAATCGGCACACGGTACTTGCTGCTGAGGCGCACAATGTCCTGCACCTCCTCGGTGCTCTCGACCCACACGACGACGGTCGGCAGCTCGGCTTCGTGGTAGCTCCAGTCGCTGATGCCGTGGGAGCGGAGGTCGTCCTCGTCCGTGCTCACGCGGTCGGCTTTGCCGCGCTTCGCGAACAGCTCGGCGATCTCCCCAATGCACGCGCGGTAGTCCGCGACGCTGCCGTACTGCGGCTGCGTCTTGTCGAGGAGCGCGCTCGCATCTGGTGTCGTCAACAGCCCTTGCATCTGCACTTTTAGCGGCGCGAGCGACCGGCCAAGGATGTAGCCCGTGTACCCGAAGCCGAGGACGCCGGCGAGGATAACGCCCTGCTGGATCCACCAGCGGCGCTTGGCCGCCGCGATCGAGGCCTGGTACGCGGCGTGCTCGGCGCGCGCGCCGTCGTGCGCCGGGGCCGGGGCGCGGGGGCGCGGCGTCGACGAGAAGCGGCGGGCGGGCGTCGCTGGGAGGCGTACGGAGCGCGTAGCGGGGCGGAGTCGTGGGAACATGGTGTGGGAAGAATGGGGAGAGACAAAGTGGCCGAGGGTCTTATGGCGTCGAGGTTATCCACGAGATGTTCGAGCACAAAGAAGTTGCCGGAGTGGGCGAGCTCATGCGCTCCCTGGCGTCGGCCATTATCCCGACGTCCTAATCAATCAGCTGACGATTAGGACTGTCTCAAATGCCGATTATATGTCCCGCGGACGAGTGATACGGTCCAGTCCGGGGTCTCCGCTCGTCGGGCCGCCACATGCCGCTGGCCGACAGGCACACATCGCCCGGATCTACCGCCGCGCCGCCACGCTCGCCCGTCTCAACGCCGCCGTCCAACGAGCGGCGAGCAGCGCGATAGCGAGAGGTTGCCGATATGCAGCGCTCGAGCGCGGCGCCCCGACATTTGGCTTGCACTGTAGCGAGTGCCGCCCCTCAATCTCCACGCAGACAATCGGGCAAGCGAGCGCCTTGCGGCCAAAAGTCGGGGTTGGGGGGTGGCGTCCGAGGGGATTCGAAACGCGTCCGACGGGATCGCCCAGGGGCTGCGGATCTCTTGTCTCGTGTCCTCGTGTGATCGGCCTCTCCTCTCCTCATCGCGCTTGACTTTGCTTTTGTCCTCCCCAAGCACGCCTTGCTCGCTCACCATGACAGAGGTGGACCCCATCCTCCCCCCGCCATCGCCCACCCTCGGCGCCTCCCCGACAGGCGTGTACGAGCTCATCCATGCGCTGCACACCGAGATCCTCGAGGCCATCGACAGCGCCCTCGACTGGGATGAGCTCAAGGCCCCCAGCGTCAACTACACCATCGTCAGGCCCATCATTGAAAAGTTTGCGCCGACCGGGGACGACAGCCGCAGCGACGGCGGAGGCGGCGCTCGCGCATCCCTCGGCGCTGTGCTGTATGCGTGCATGGCGAACCGCATCCACTTCACCGAGCTCGCCGACAGCGACCTGAGCTACCAGCCACTGCAGGAGTCGCGTGCCGAGTTCTGCGAGCTGATCGCAAGTGAGTCGCCGCCATGGGCGTGTAGCCACGACCAGAGACTGTGCGCTGGGCGGTACGCTATGGAGCATGCCATGCAGATGCAGATGCAGGTCCAAATCTTGACACCAGCCGCGCACGGGCGCTGCGCGCTCACGTCCCCCACGAAACCCCGCTAACCTCAGTCAAGTTCCTGCGTACATTCCCAAACCCGAACGACGAAGCCGAGCTCGCATCGCAGCTCGTGCGGCAGTGGTGCGCGCTCGACGGTGCGCCGGAGGATGTATGGCGCCGCGTCGACGACCGCGAAGAGGCCGCGGCATCCAAGAGCTCGGCGCTTGACATTGCCATCGTCGCGAGCGCCAAGCGCTTCGTCGCCCAGCCTGTCCTCCAGCACATTTTGCAGGAGATCGGCTGTGGCAACCTCACATATGCGCCGCAGCAGACCGTCGCGCTCATCCGCGACACGTATGTCGCGCCGCGGCACAACCACAACCCGCTCCCGGGCGCGGGCGCGGGTGACGGCGGCGACAGCAGCCTGAGCATCGCCGAGGCGGAGGCGGAGGCCCGCGGACAGGACGTCGAGGTGTACGCTTACAACCCGTACCTCGCGGGCTGGCTGGACCCCGGCCGCCTGCGTGTCCCGCGCTGGCGGCACGCGATCGAGTTCGCGACGTTCTTCACCCTCCTCGTCTTGTTCTGCATCACGCTCACGAACCGCTCCCTCGGACACATCACCAAGCTTGAGATCTTCTACATCTTCTTCACGTCTGGGTTCATCCTCGACGAGCTGGCGTCCATCGTGGGCAGCGGCCTGCTTGTGCACTTCACCAACGTATGGAACGCCTTCGACCTCTCGTACATCGCCATCTTCCTCACCTACTTCTTCTTGCGCATGCATGCGCTCTACCACAACGACAAGGTACAGTCCGACCGTGCGTTCGACATTCTCGCGTGCGGCGCCTGCTTCCTCTTCCCCCGCCTCATCTTCTACTTCCTCAAGAACAATGCCGTCATCCTCTCGCTCCAGGGCATGATTGCTACCATGGTCGGCTTCATGTGCATGATCTGTGAGTGTCCCTTGCCCTACTTGGTTCTGCCTCGTCTGCGCGCTCTCGTCTGACCTCAGCCATCGCCTTCACCGGCATCGGATTCACGCTGTGGCGGCTCGGCACGCCGATGTGGACGGTGGACCGCGTCGCGCGTCTCATGTTCAAGATTTGGTTCAGCAAGGGCTTCAACCACGAAGATGCCGTGTCGATCAGCCCGGAGCTCGGGCCGATTGTGCTCACGATGTTCGCGTTCCTGTGCAGCAACATGTTGTTCTCTATGATGGTGTCGATGATGTCGAGCAAGTACGCCGCGGTGCAGAAGAACGCGCAGCAAGAATACCTCTTCCAGCGCGCCGTAAGCACGCTGGAAGCGCTGCGCGCCGACTCGCTCTTCTCGTACATCCCCCCCTTCAACCTGCCGGCAGCCCTCATCCTCGCGCCGCTCAGCTACGTGCTGGAGCCCGCGACGATGCACGCCGTCAACCTGTTCTGCATCCGCCTCGCCAACTTCCCCGTGCTCCTCGCGATCTCCGCGTTCGAGCGGCACCGCTACCGCTCGCTGCGCCGCGCAATCCGCCTCTCCGAGCGCGGGCACCACAAGGTCGTCAAGACGTCGCTGTTCGGCACGATCATGGGCGGCGAAAGCACCGTCATCCGCGCCGCGTTCGACCTCGCGCCCCCCGTGAAGATCGGCCCGCCCGGCACGCCGACAAAGGACCTCGAGCGCGGGCCAGAGCTCAAGCCCCCCGCGCCGGAACGCCCCGCGGGCCGCACGAACGCGAACACCCTCGCCCGCTTGTTCAACAAGGCGCCGGCGCGCGCGCGCGGCGGCAGCGTGGGCGCGGCGCCACACCCGGACGCACACGACTGGGAGGATATGCGCGACGCGCAGACGCGTATCGAGACCATGTTGAGCACGTTCATGGCGGCGTCCGGCATCGATCCCCCGACAAAGGGTGGCGCACCTAAGAGCCCGGAGAAAAAGCCGTCGACAGACGTCAAGAAGGAGGCCAAGTAGGCTCCAGCTCCTCTCGGCGTACACCATGCCATCTGAACATTTTAACGATACATCACGTCTAATCAATGCGGAGGAGGAGGGTGTTCGTACATCTTGGGAACACGGAGGGGAAGTGCTATATACATACTTGGGGAGCGGATGGATGATTGCTTGCATTTCTAATAGTCGGGCATGACCTCAGCGCGTGATCGCCGATCAGTTATCAGCTGACAATTGAGTAATCGTTTCGTTCATCCATATCGTACGTCATCAATACTCAACCTGACATTTGCGCTGCCGGCCACCACCGCAGGCCGCCACGACTGCAAACTCACGCCACAGCATTGTATCCATACGATAAGATGGCCATGTACAGCCATCAACTACATACGATTATTCTTTATAGTGGCACAGGATGATAGATACACTCTACCTGCGAGCCTGGATTCGACATCTATTGGGTATTTGGCCGGTGTGACGGACATGCCTGAGGCCTGGATACGGTTGAGCGCTTTAGCGGCCGGGGGGCGGGCCGGTGGGAGAGGCATAGTTGCCGGTACCCGCAGCAGGGGGCGGGCCACTAGGTGGCGCGTAAAGGTTGGGGCCGGCGCTCTCGACGTTGTAGCCGGGCGGTGACTGAGCGCCGCCGTTCTTCTCGGCATCCATGCGTGCCTGCTGCTCATACTCGTAGTTGTGAGTGCTGTTGTCATTGCCGTAGTAGCCAGAGTTGCCGCCGCCCATGCCATACTGTCCCGCGCTCGAGGGCTGGTAGGTGGCGGGCGGGGGCGCGGGGCTGTCAACGCCCGAGTCGGAGCGGAAGCCGCCGGCACCACCCGTTGCGTATGTCGGCGGCGGGGGGTTGTTCGAGTAGCCGCCGGGGGCGGCCATGCCAACGGGCGGAGGCGGGCGGTAGCGGTTCCACTGCGCCTGGAGCTTGCTTCAAAGTTAGCACCGATACACGGGGAAGAGGGCGCGCGTTGAAGTCAAGGGCTGTCGCTTGCGTCCTTTGCTACTATTGACGCTGCTGACCAAGACTCTGCGCGAGGAGGCGGGAGATGATCAAACTTACCGGCGGCGCAACAAGCCGATGGCTAGGAACAGAAGGAAAACGCCGACACCGACACACACGCCAATGGCGATACGCGCGCCGGTGCTCAGCCCGTTACACCTGTAGACGCCTGGGGTCAATCCTTCTACTTTTCACCATCTCCGGCGATCCGGTATTTGACTCACGTCCGGTCCAGCGGTCGCGACACCACCTGTCGGCGAGAGCCTCGGAAGCGAGTAGAGATGCTGCTAGGAGAGCTGTAGATGTGGAGATCATGGTGTCGTTGGAAGGGCGCAGTGAAGTGCGATGTCAAGAAACGATATGAGCTGGAGTTGGAGTCAAACGAGAAGATCTGAGTTCGAGGTGGCAAAGTATGACGATGTGAAAGAGACGGAGGACGATGCAGGGTGAGGAGAGCGGGATCAAAGTGCCGCAGTACACGTCAGGGACAGTGATTACCTCTTGTTTTGCTTGGCGCGCGTGGCTTGGCATTGTGCCGCCTGCGGCATGGTCACCACGTGTTAATGACATCATCATCGCCTCATATACCTCATCGCCATTTCCGGCTGGCGGCTTCGCGAGATCTCCAAGTCGAACAGGAATTTCTGAGCAATTTCTCTTCTTGCACTGCCTCGAACGAGGCGCAGAGGCGGTGCTCCTGTCCACCCTCGCGACTTTTGTATTGCTGCTGGGAAGCTGCCCTCCTCTACACACCGCCGGAACGTCCTCGAGTCTGGGTGCTGGTAACTCTGCATGCCACGGACGGGCCGGATGCGAGCTCGGTTTCGCATGGTCGTGATCAACGCTGAAACAGAAGCAACGATCGCCGTGGCATGCAGTGTCGTACGTGCGTATGAGGGTTGTGTGTCGCAGAGCCGAGAGCAAGGCACTGGGCGCGAGGCTCGGCGCCTTGCTTACTCGAGCGATGCAGGCGACAGGGGATGGAGGATAGGGGAGCCAAGGACTGCGTTGCGCCACCACCAGTCACCAATGAGCCGCAGTACAGCACAAGGCCGTCCGTAGGAGGATAGGAGCTCGAGGCCAATTAATATCGGCCTGGGCGTTGGATAACCCTGCGCCCAACCACCAGCGGTGCTGTGCGCGGCCGTGACGCATCGCTAGAGCCGTGACGCGGTATCCCCTGCACCTGGCTGCGAAGCTGCGAGAGCTGCGTGAGCTGTCATGCAGATATATGAACAGGCCTCAGCTCGTCACCTCTCGTCCAGCACAGAATACGTTCCCCTTCCTCACCGCCCTCGCCCCAAACTCCCACTCCACAACCTCCCATCTTCACAACAACAACACAGCAACAGTAACAGCAACACAACAACAGAGCAACGCTCCACGGACTGCTGCTCCACTAGCTTCTCCCGCTTCAGAAAGTGTAAGTACCTACCATTCCTACTCCAAACTCCAGGCCCGAGTCCGGACTGCGCAGTGTCACTTTGGGTTGAGCTTGATCGGAAATCGTTGGAGCGAGATGAGACCACCGGTCCGCCGTGCCTAACCAGAAACCCACGGTCAACCGTCCTTGCCCCGCCCCAATGGCCTACCTACCATCTTGCTCATCTGCACTTGGTCTGTTGGCTCCGGCTCCGCCCATGCCGCGCAGTAAACGGCGAGAGTTCCAATTCCAAGCTGGCTTGGCTGCAATGATCTCTTGCGCGTGACTGTCACGCATACGTGCACGTTGGCCTCGTCGGCCGGCATGGTCGCTAGCCGAATTACGCTTTGTGCGTTCGTCTCGGCGATTACGAGAAGCTTGCACCATGCCAAAATCTGGGCAGCATGCGGCATATGCGCATCAGTAGCCGTCAGCGGCGCATGTCTCAGTCTTGGCCCAATATGGTTGTGAAGCGCGCGGCATTTGGTTGGTTGGCATGGATCGAAAGAGGATGCCGTGGATGGCATGGAGGGCTACAGTAGCGTGGTGGCGTTATCATCGCCCGCCAACTCGGCTGCCGTCACCCCGCACTAGTCGCATTCCGACCATCATTCTCAAAGGGTGGCGCAGGCCCAAGGCCCAATTTACTTGGCCGGCATGACCTCAGCGAGTGCTGGCATCATGCTTCATGCAAGACATGGCCGTGTGTTGTTTGTGCAGAAATCACGCACCGTTGGCTAGCCTCGTTGGCCGCGACAGGAGGGTGCATGAAGACTATGTACATATGAACGAGCACTACTATCCCCCCTCGCCCTCACCTCACCCACACCTATCCACACCTTTCCGCACCCACCACCTTGCACAGCGTTACTTTGTTTCCAAGCTCACCCCAAGCCCACGTCGCAGCTATCGCCAGATCGCCAGCCAGTCGGAGACGAGAACAAAGTAGACAGACCTGTAACCTGTCACGCTCGACCGGCCGAGCACTAGCCGAACAAGTTTCTGGCACGAGAAATACGACGCCTCGGCCTCGGTGTCGGCGCCCATCCCGCCAATAGCGCTTGTCTCCCGCCGTCCCGACCTCAGAGTCCTCAGATTTCAGTTCTCCGCCCGCCGAAATCCAGCCTCTCGGCATCCACCCCGACTCGGCCGCTCCACCGCCGCCTATCGCACCCCACATTTCTCTCCACAGCCTCGCCCTCCGGCCCCGCACCGAGCTCCCTCCCCCCACCAACACGAAACATACATAAGCGCTGCCACAATGTCCAGCGACGTCTTTAGCTCCCTCAAGCGCAGGATGACCCGCAAACGCTCCCCCGCCTCGTCGATCTCGAGCATGTCCTCCGTGACGGACTCTGGCTCGATCATGCACATCAGCCCGCCGATCACGCCGCCGATCACCCCCCCCCACTTCGGCGACGACATCGACCTCACCATCGACATGTCGCGCTTCGCGCCTCTCCGCCCCGCTCCCAGCCCACCGACACAGGTGCCGGCTCACAGCCGCGTAACGCACACACCGCCGGCGCAGCCGCCGCGCTCCCCCCGCTCCCCCGACTTCTACGCTACCCTGCGCCCGGCGCCCTCGCCGCCCCGGAGTAGTGTGGAGAGCTACAAGACCCGGCGGAGCGACGAGAGCGACAGCGCGCGCTGGCGCACACAAATGGTGGACGTCGCCATGTCCTATGCCTCGCTCACATCCGCCAACCCCCGCGACTTCACCGCCACCACCACCGCCCAGGCGCACCACAACGTCGTGCTCCGCCGCCTCTCGGACCCATCCACCACCGAGCTCGAGGCCCTCGCCATCCTCCGCGGATACATCGACCAGGTGCACTCCAGCAGCCGCGGGCACCGCGCCTCGTTCACCGCCGACTTCTCTTAGACACCACTACAGCTACTTACACGCACCGCCCCATCCCCACTCCTTACAGCGCTCGCTCCTTCCTCACCCTCACCTGTGCCAACACCCGCATAGCATAATTTCAGTTTCCGTTGTATCTGTATGATGAACCTGTGCAAAGCGTCCCCGTTTCAGCACTGACGTCTGCGCTTGCCTTACCTCTGACTCTGGCTCTGACTCTGGCTCTGACTCTGACTCTTACTCTGCCAACTTTCGGCCGGCGCCAGGCCGCGGCTCATGCGCATGCGCAAACCCAAGCGGCCGTAGGCGGAAGGTACCGCCGGCCTGGCCATGACACAGAGGCACGGGCTGTGGGGTGCCTTGGTGCTCTTCGCATGCGAGCTGCGGCAGAAGCAAGCTTACGGCACGCATCTGAGACTGGAGTCCTGCCCTGCCAAAGCATGGAGCGTCAGAGCTCTCGTGCTCCTCTGCCTTCTAGCTCGTGGCCCACATGCTCGCTTACGATGGCATTCGGGGGTGCAGAAGAACACTCGCAGTTCTTTCGTCATTGTCTGAAACGGCGCCCGAGCCACTGCACAGAGCCAGACTCGTGGGGCAGTGGTAAGAGGCACGGCGGGAGATCGTCTAGTTCCTGGGCCTGTGGTTTCGGCCGCTTCCATGCGTCCATGCAGCTGCCGTCGGTCGCTCGAGGTGCGGCGTGGTGCAACGGTAGACTGCTGCAGACCCGAGCCGAGGTGGAAGCGGCGAGTAATTACGGTGGCGGCCCGCGGCGCATATGCCGGGCCGAAATGGACGGCGCCGAGGCAGTGCATGCTTGTGCCGGGTCTGGAGCGCAGCGCAGTGCCGAATAAGTTACTGTACATGCGTGCTCGGCACCGAATGCAAACCGGGTCTGGATGCGAGAATTGGGTAAAGATATCGTCCCGCGTTTCAGAATCAGCAGACATGCTTACTGGGCGATGTTTTGCACGGATATACATGCTCATGTTCATCAACTTCTGGATATGCATGTCCTTGCTCGGCTCTTGGCCGAAAAGTGTCGATCGTGAGGAGGCTTGACATCAGATGACCTCAGGCTCATGGGCGCCTTCGGCATTCAGTGCACCTTCAGCCTCAGTACGCCCAGTGCGTGTCGATCGCCTGGTGTCAGCTTGCCTTCGCACTTGGCAAGGCGTACACACCGTCGCCACCACCGCCACAGCGAGGAAATAGAGACACACGCTCGGCAGCATCCACGGGAGGAGGTGGGCGAGAATGTCTCCGCCCACGTCGCCGCGTGCGGCGACAGCGATACTGCCCACCACAGCGAGGACAGCGCCCGCGCCCGTCGTGAGCCACAATCTCAGGCGAGGCGCCACAATCAAGCCGCGAAGGCCGAGGAGGGTGAGCACCGCGCCCTGCAGTCAGCGTAGTTTTGACCTGAGCTCACAGCAGAGGGGTACAGCGGCCACGTCTGTCGAGCAAAGTGCCCCTCAAGCTGACGCCTGAGCGAGAACACGGAGCCCGTGTCCTTGAGCGGGGTGAAGGGTGGGCGGAGCGTGTCCGCTAGCCGCACGAGGGCGGCGTTCTGTGCATACCCCCAGGCAGCTGGGAGTGCGAATGGCGCGTAGGCCCCCAGCCCTGTCGGGGCACCCAGGGAGCGAAGGAGGGGGAGGTGGGCCGCGGCGAGGAGTGCGTTCTGGGTAAGTCGTCGCGTGGAGGTGACATACCGTAAGGGAGACAAGCAGCACTAGCAGCGCGAGGAGAAGCAAAGCGTGGACGACTACCCACGCAACCGCATATCCAGGCGGACCAGGCGAGTGAGCCGGCTGCACGAAAGCATGCAAGAGGCATACGGTGGCAACGCCTGTGTAAGCAAAGTTGTCGGCGAACTCACAAAACACGAAGTTGATCCAGAGCCTATACGAGTGGTCGATATAAAGGAGTACCTGCACAGGTGCAACGACACGATACACCCCGACGACGCAGGCGTCAGCGCTACCGCTATAGTAGACTTACAGGACGACTGTGAGGAGCTGCGCCCACCGATCCCTGCCCCCACCCCCCGTCCCGTTCCCACCCTGTTCCACCGCACGCCAGTTCACGACCGGGTCGAGCATACTCTGCAACATCTGCACACTCGGCTTGGCAGTGGGGTCCACGAGTGTGCGGTGCGCCAGTACCCCCTTGGCGCAATACCATGCGTCGGCGTCGCGCACGCGCCATGCGTGCCAGTACGTGAGGTCCAGCTGTGCGGCGTGCGCGATGTCTGCAGGGATCCGGAGCGCGCAGCGGAGTTGAGCAAACTCGCGTGCTGTGGCCATGCCCGCATCGAACGCGGCTATGGCTATGCTCTCTGCATCCGTAACCTCCTTGCCTGCCGCGAGGGCAGCGCACGCCGCTCTCAACTGCTTGGCAACAGTCTGAGTGTGTACGCTCAGCGTATGAAGCGCGCGCACCGCGGCCTCTTCAGGCCCGAAGAGGCGGCGCTCGTCCGCCTCCATGCTTTCCAGGACGGCTGTGAAGCGCGCAAGCTGGGCGAGGAGGACGTCGAGAGCCAGCGCATCAATGTCCCGCGCGATGGCGCTGAGTGAGGCGCGCATCGCGTCGCGAGCGCGCTGGCGGATCGCTGCAGACACGGCGCGGTGGGCGGCGAGGAATGCACCCCAGAGCGCGAGGAGGAGAGTGAGCCCGACGCTCGAGGCAAGGAGGCCGCCCGTGAGCGCAGGATGGTGAGCGAGAGGGACTGCGGTCGCGGCAAGGGCGGCGGTCAAGACGCTCCACGCGGCACGATGCCAACGGCCGCGGAGGAGGACGACCTCGACTCCGGCCCGGACGACGCCTGTTGTCGCACGGACGACGGTGAGTGGTCCAAAGTTTCCGCGGTTGGCGTCAGGTAAATTACGACGAACGAAATGATTAGGAGCGCCGATAGGGCCGCCGATGCTGTGGGCCGCAAACAGGATCGCGTGGTGGACCGCCACGCTGGCGGCGACGAGCTGGAAAGGCAGCGCGGTGCCATCGACAAACGCGGGGAGGCTGCACTCGCCGAGTGCGACGAGGAGAAGTGGGGCGAGGAGCACAAGGGTGGGGAGCTCGGCGCCCGCGCTCAGCCAGAGCGAGATTACTACGGCGGTATGGCTGCGGTTAGCTCACTCGAGTTTGATCTGACGCCGTAAGACTCCAGAAATCGTCCCATACACTCAGGCGAGGGAAAAGGACGAGCGCGACGGCCACATCTGTCGTCAGATGTGTTGTGCAGCGCTTACCGTATGTCAAGCTCGAAATCCATATGTCCGGGTTCAGTGCACGCGTGATGCGCTTATGCCAGCTGAGCTTGTGGTTGGACTGGCGGAGGAGAGGCTGTACCCCGGTGGCCTCGGGGTCTTTCTCGCTCTCAGAGGAGTCAATCTTATCAGCCACGGCGAGCTTCGGGCTGGACGCGCTGTTGAGCGTGGAGTCACCCACGCTGAGGTCTTGTATGTCCGGGGTGTCCGGGATGACAGGGGTTGTTGTGACCGGCCTGGCGGATGATGACGAAACCTGGGGTGGGGAGGTGCCGGCGACAGTCGTGCTGGAGGTGCACGGGGATGTCAGGCTTTCCTGGAGTGGCGGGCTGTCACGGGGGCTTGGGACGGTCGGAGACGCGTCGAGGGAGTGCTGCGAAGCCGATCCGTGGTATTTGGCAATGTCCGCAGGGAGCGTAAGGAGAGGCGCCGCGCTCTCCCCGATCTCTCCCATGACCATCACGATGTCTTCAAGGCTCGCGGAGTCGGCGTAGTGCCCCAGATCAACGGCCATGTCGGCAGCCACCGTGCGGCGGAATGTCTCGAGGCGGTGGCGGATGTGTGCTTCCGGGTCCGCCTGCGGCGCTTCAAGTGGCTCATCCAGTCCACCTTTATGAGCGTCAACGGCCGTGGTTAGAACGGAGGGCTGGTCGTGGCGCGGAAAGGCGATGGCTGGCACATCCGAGTGTTCCGAGTATGCGCTGTGCGCAGAGGCGGATGGCGGGGCGGGCGGCGCGAGCGGCGAGGGAAGTTCGCCGTCGGACCTGAAGACGCGCGGGGGACGAAGGATCTTCGTCGGTTTCACCCCCATGTCGCCCGTCGCCAGGCTGAGGGGATCAGTCGCAAGCGCGGTCGCCGTAGTAAGAGAGGCTTCAGACAGCCCCTTCGGCTCATCACCAGCCCACACCGCAGCTCCCGGCAGTCCCGCGGCCATTTGCGTCAGGAGACGCGCCTTCTCTGCCGCGCTGAGGGTGCGTGGGCGGTTTTCGACGTCTCCACGAAGGCTGAAAATGCGTGGGCAGTTCTCGACGTCTCCGGAAGAGCTTAGGGTGCGCGGGCGCTCCACGATGTCCTCCCGAGCGCTGAGCGTGTGCAGGCAGTTTCGGATGTTCTCCCGAGCGCTGAGGGCGCGCGGGCGGCGGGAACGCTCCGTCGGATGCGGGGTGGGCCGGGTGTGTTTCTCTGACATCATTGACGCAGGCGGATGAGACGGTCGGGGAGGAGGAGGGTGAGGAAAGGATGAGTGAGGAGTAAGAGGTGAGAGTAGAGGTGAGGTCAGAATAAGAGGTGAGAGCAGCGGTGTGGGAATGGTTCAATGTGATGAAGGGGGTGAGGCGAATGGCGGCTTGTCGGGGCAACTTTGGGCGGACGCGGGAGGCTGCATCCCGCGCGGCTCGCATCTCATACCATGCTGTGAGCATGCACGAGGTGCGAGTAAGTGCGAGCCGAGAGCTAAGTGCCGCCCGAAGGCGATAAGGTGCAGAAGTGGTCGCGCGTATGGTAAGTGATTAGCAATCATGTGTCGTGGCGTTACGCGACAGTCAGTCTGCGGTCCGCTCCCTACCAGCACGCTCGCATGCATCTACCACCAGAGATCGCCCGTTTCCTGCGGCACCTGCCCGCCCGCGAGGCGAGTGTCGACGTCGGCGGGGAGGAAGAACTGCTCGAGGCCGAGAAACGCGGTCGGGTCCCCCGCGGCCTGGATGCCGCCGAGGCTGTGCCCGTCGAGGAAGAGGGGGAGATGTTCTCCCTCGCCAATCTGGAGACCCGAGCGCTCGAGGTTCTCACGCGCGAAGAGGAGGTCGAACTCACTCAATTCCTGCGCCGATTGCGGCGACTCGTCGAGCAGCTGTGTGGTCGCGTTCAGTAGGAGGTTGTTGCTGGGCGATACGGCGAGGAAGGGGGTGTTGACTAGCGCGGTCGGGGAGAAGGGGGACTCGCCGGCCGGAGTCGCGCCGGCCGCGGCTGCACCCGTTGAGTTTGTGAGCGGTAGCGGGGCGGGGATGCGCGTTGGCGAAGTACGTTGCGACGCGGCGGGGATGACCTTCGCCCGGCGCGCGCGGCGCAGAATCAGCCGCAGTGAGCGCGCATATCGGCCAGCCGGTACTGATGTCAGTCTTGGTTATGAGGTCACCCACTCTCTGCCAATATCCCGGCGAGCTCCTCGACGTCCTTGGCCGTCTTCTTGAGGTTCAGCTCCTGTGGGAACAGTCTTGCTATCCTGATGAGGAAGCTCGCCGCGAATGCAGCGCACACATGCGTGTAGTGCACAGCGTAGCGCAGTCCGTTGCGGTAGTTCTGGCCTTTGAGGCAGACCTCGAGCACCGTCTGGGCGTTCCGCATCGCCCGTATGGCCAGCGCGCGCTTCTCTTCAGGCATGCTCACGACATCGCTAGGCTCGCGGATGCCCCGTAACAGCTGCGAGTTGACGAACAGCTCAGCATACTGTCGCTGGATCACGAGGCTTTCGCGGTAAAAGTCGCCGCGCGCCTTGCCGAACCTGTCGGACAGCACGCGGTCCCAGTAGCGCTCCCACGAGTCGAACTCATGGTTGGCTTGCTTCAGGCGAGTGAGTGTGCTCGGTTCGATCGGGAGGTCCGGGCTAGCAGTGAGCTCAATGTGCAGTGGTGCACGGAGGGCGGTAAGCTCGACAGTTGAGACGAGTCGTGCGTCGCTTGTGATGCTTAAGGGATGCTCGAGCAGACGTCGGCACTGGTGAATGCTCTCGTCCTCGCGCAGAATTGCCGGCCGGCCCATCCCATAAGCCATCTGGTGCTCCATAAGATAGAGACAGAACCAGACGCGCGAGTGCACAACTAGGGGGCGCTCCTCCTCGAGTTCTTCGGGCGTCTTGCCTTTGCCCATACCCGAGCGCAAGAGCTTGATGAAGCTCTTGTTGATGCCGATGTCGAGTGCCATGCGTACTGCGTGTCCGCCCGGCAACCAGCCGTTGTCGCTGAACGCCGCAAGAATGCTCATCGCTTGCACGGCCTCGACACGCGCGACGGGGTTGAACATTGTTCCCTGTGCGATCTTCTGCACGTGCTCGCGGCACAAGCGCTGCACGTCGCTGACGGGCCCGCCGCCGTCGCGCACGCGAGCCCCGACCATGACGATTGTCGTGATGCTGAACGGTGACCGGATCTTGAGGCTGTCCCAGGTATCGAACGATGGGTCGTAGCATGGGATGAAGTTGGAGCTGCCCGAGTAGTAGATGCTCATGAGCTCACGCCCTTCCTCTTCTGTGACGATGCCGAGCTCGACGGCATCGGGGTATGCGTGCACGTGCGTCTTCTTGACGCGCGACTTGGGCTTTGCGGCCGCAAGCGTCTGCGGTAGCCCTTGGGCCTCGACGACGGCGGGTCCATCAGATGAGAAGCTGACGCGCGACTTCTTCTGCACTCCGCCGCGCTCCTCGTCAGCATCGCGCTTGCCAGCGGATGAAGACCCAGGGTCGCCACGCGCCTTCTCCTCGCGCGCACGCTCCACCGCTGCCTCCACCAACCCGGCCATGTTGCTCATAGCGCCGAGGGGTGCGACAATGTCGTCTGGGCCGAGCATGTCGTCTCGGTCCTCGGATCCTGCGCGCGATGGTGGCAACGACATGTGCCGGCGCGACGCTTCCGAGTCGGCGCCTGGTGTTGAGAAAGCCTGCCATGGCTTGCGCTCTTGCCTGTGTATTGGTTGTGGGTACGGCGACCCCGCCGAGACGTAGGGGTTGATCGTGCCCTGGCTGCCTCTTCCCAGCAGTGCTTGCAGATTATTGGGAGGAGTCACACCGACAGCCTGGGGCGAGTGTCGTGGCTGCGACGCCAGTCCCGGAAGCTGGTGCAGAGTGCGCGGCGACGCGCCCTGTATGGCAGACATTGGGGCGTACCCTTGCCCATAGTCTGGAGTGTGGCCCGAGCCGTTCGAGGCGCCGCTCGACATGCCTGCGCGCAGCGTCTGCACCAGATCGGAAAGGGTGTTCTGGATACCGGCAACTTGGGTCTCGAGCGACCGGATGCGACTGCCGTCAGCTCGTGAAGTACTCGTACGCACTCTTCCCCGACATTCTCATTCCCACTCCGGCCAGGCTTCTCCATGATGCACTCGAGTCCGCCGTTGCGGCACCGCTTGCACGGTGGATCCTCGGCGCCGACGCAGCGCATCTTCATCCGGCGGCAGTTGTTCTGCTGTCAGCGGCGCTGTGGGGTGCAAGCACTCACGCATGCTCCTATTGTGTAGATCCAAGGCCACAGGAGGGAAGGTGTCAGTACATACACGCAAACGACGAAGGAAACATACGGTTGACACGATTGATGACACCCCGGCGCTCCGACTTCTTCTCCTCTTTGCCAGGGGAGGGGTAGGTGCTGTCGGTGTCGCCCTCGTCAAAGGCTCGCGGAGGGTAGCCCTGCATGCTGGTGGGAGGTGGCAAGGGAGGGGCGGCGAGGAAGAGGAGGAGGAAGGGGAGAGACCCAGTGCGGAAGCCAATGTCGGATCAAAAGGCGCGATGGATGATGTCGATATTCGGACTGGAGTTGGATGCGCTCACGCGATCGGAAGAGAAGTGGGCGATCGACGGAGTTGGGAAGGTGGAGTGGGTGACGATTCTGGCCGTACGGTTCCCCACAGTGTGCCGTGTGGGGTTAGGGGCTGAGCCGGGTAGAGAGCGGACTGCGAGGCCGGTCAGAGGGCGGGGGGGAGAGTGAGCGAGCGAGACGGCGGAGAGGGGCGCGTGGAGAACGAGAGGAGGGACGGTGCTGGGCACCGAGTTGCGAGTGGCTGATGGCTGATGGCGGATGACAGATGACGGAGGAAGTGGGGAAACCTCAGCGGGTGCGGCAATGGCAGCAGGAGGCACCGGTCCGACTTCCGAATGCGGGTATGTTTGAGCCCGCCTTGAGCTGTGACCATTCAGACATCCTATTCTCCAGATGAGTCCTGGTAATACTCGAATAGCATTCAAAAACACCAACTACAGTAGGAAGCTAGGGTTAGGAATCATACTAAAACTGAGCGGGACTGTATTACTTGTACTTCTTCTCCTTACTTGTACGCAGTACAAACCACGATACTGCGTCACACACAAAGCGCTCAGACGGCACGGGCCTCAGTGTAATCTTTGGTCTCGAGGTGGGTCGCCGAGCCGTCCTTGGAGTCGTCGGCGGCGACGCCTTCGCGCTGTGCGGAGAGGATGGCCTTCTCGCCGTCGAAGACGGTCGCGACCTCCTCGAGCAGAAGGCCCTTGGTCTCGGGGTAGAAGAAGTAGATGCACATAATCGTGAGGGCCTGCAGGACGATGTAGATCGAGTAGTACTTCCAGCGCATGGCGGCGAGGGCGATGGGATTGACGTACTGGTTGAAGAAGAGGGCGCAGGTGACGCAGAACGACATGATGGCCATGCCGCGCGTGCGCAGCGAGTAGGGCAGGATCTCTAGCGGGTACGCGAGGGTCAGACCAGTGAATGCAATGTCGTAGAAGCCAAAGTAGATGAAGACAAAGGCCTGGCGTTAATCGTGCTCACGCGCGAGGGGCTTACCATCACAGCGGGACCGGCGTTTGTGAGGCCATGCTCGGCGTACGCCGCCGAGCAGCCCATGATAATGGCGAACGAGAAGAACATGCCGATAGCCGACGTAAGCCAGAGCTTCCTGCGGCCGAGCCACTCGACACATAGCGAGCCGCCGATAGCGAGGAACCAGTTCCAGATCTGAAGACCACCGTTGAAGCCCTGCTGCTTGGCGGGGGACGTCATGCCGACGCTCTCAAGAATCGCCACGAGGTAGTACGAGATGATGCCGTTGCCGACCCACTGAGAGGAGAAGCCAACCATGATCAAGATAGCAAGACGGTGGCGGTTGCCGGCCGTCTTGAAGAATGTAGCGTACGAGACGCCCTCGGTTGCGGTGCGCTCGGTCTCGAGAGCCTCCTTGATTTCCTGGAGCTCAAAGAGGACTAGCTCATCCTGCTTGTCTCCGTTGGCATGGTACCTGGCCAGCACCTGGTGTGCTTCCTCGACGCGGCCCTTGGACACCAGGAAACGAGGTGACTCGGGGATGAAAGGCATCGACGCGAGCTGCACGAGGGGAGGGAGGATTTGAATGAGGCATGGCAGACGCCACGACCAGGAGCTGTTCCAGTAGCCAGCACCAAAGGCCGTCCAGGCCGCGATGATAGAACCAAAGTACCTGAGGTCAGCATCGTTTGGTGAGTGGGTGTGAAGATCCAGAATGCGGGACGGACCCAGGGTACCGGATCCGGCCAGGGTTGAGCAGATCGCGAAACACGTGCCCGACTAGCGGCAAAGAATGGAAGCTGGCGATCTGGCAGTCTGGCGACCTCACCAAGCTACACTCACCAGCATGTCTGAATAAGAGCGGCAACCTGAGCGCGATTACGAGGATGCGCGATCTCAGCGGTGTACGCCGAGCCCGAAATGGAGCAGAAAGTGCCTCCCATGCCGACGATGAAGCGGCCAGCAAACATTTTCCAACCACCAGTGGTAAGAGCCTGGACGATACCACCAATAACGATGATGAGGCAGCCAATGCTAAGGGCCACGCGACGACCGAATCGGTCGGCTAGGAAGGAAGCGGGAAGCAGAGCTGGCAGGCCACCGAGGGTGTATCCCGCAACGATGAGGCCGAGCTTGCTGGGGTCGGGGTTGTCGATGGCGGACACAAAGAACTTGTTGGCGAGCAGGCCGTTCATGAGCGAGCCGTCGTAGCCTGGGAGTCAGCTCTGACAGAGAAAGACAAGGTACCCAAGGAAATGGAGCAGCCAAAGCCGATGGCGGTGGGGAAGGCGAGTGCCCGCAGACCGGGGTCGCGGTACCACATTGGCGCGGCATTGTTGGGCAGCGACAGCGGGTTGATAACGTCGCGCATGATGAGGGTGTCAAGAACCTAGTTCTCTGTGAGGGTAGGTAGATGGGAAACCTACGGGATGGTGGTGGCGCTGGATACGCATCGAGTGCTGGTTTATGTACCTGCGACCCGGGAGGCGTGGTTATGGTCCTTGTCTCAGATGAATGCAGCTCACAGCCGAGGATGTCTCCATTCAGACTCATCCATCATCAACATGCTTGACGCGCTGCTTTCACCCTCCGTCCTTCTCATGGCAGTCAGCTGATGGAGTTGATCCGAATTTGTTATGCATTCTGCGCTAATGCTGGTGTTCGATGGCTCGTTGGGGGACAAATTCGTGGTGTTCGGGACGTGGATGAGAGGTGCGGGGATATTGCTCGGGGAAGTGTTGTGCGCTCGTTGTGAATGCGCGGGGGTGGGTTGGGGGGGGGGGGGGGGGGGGGGGGGGGGGGGGGTGACGATGGCGCTGGGGGCACCGGCGCTGGGGCCGTACATGTACGACATAGTGGATCTTTAAATGAAAGGGGGGGGGAGGCGCGTTGGCCTATTCTCTCCCAAGGAACGCGGAATGCGACCGTTCATGTAGCTCGAATGCTTGGCTCGAGCTCGATGCAGCAAGTCGTTGGCCTTCACATGCTTCACAGCGCTGCTGGTTGCGCTCTAGCCCATTGAAGCTTTTCCGAGGTTTCCCCATGGCCGGACCGGGGCCACATTCCTTGCTGTTGGGTTACATGCTCGATCACGAGGTTTCCGAGGAATCTCCGAGCACACGACTGCGCGGGAAATGTTTGCTGAGGCCAGCAGCAGCAACAGTTATAGGTCTTGGGAAAGCGTCTTGGTGATATAGGTGGGCTTGTTCAGATGAAGAGTGGTTGACCCGAAATCCGACCTTCCGCGCGCCGAGCTCGGTCAGCGGGAAGCGGTCGTGGGGGTGGTGGACGCTATTGGTCGTCGAGGTCTGGTGTTATCTCGGGGCCGCGGATGTGAGTCACGAAAGAGGCGGGGATGACAGAGGCCCCAAGTTGGCTTTCATGAGCTCACGAGCTCCCGAATATTGCAGATGGGAGATGGTCGTGGCGAGAGGGAGAAGGGGTGTGAGAAGTGCACATGGTCACTCCGCTTGATACGTTCCACGGATCGTGTACGGCCGCCCACATCCGCGCTTGAGAGTCGCACTTCTTACTGCACTTGTGATAGCAGTGAAGCATGAGAGCGCGGAGCAAGGATGAGCTATGTGATGAATGGGGCGAGTGCGGAAGGAGTTGAGGTGATGACAGACCTAGGCACAGCCATGGACGCATGGACCTTTGTGCGTCAGGAGCGATGCACGTGGTGTCCGACTGGACATGGGGGACCATGCCGATACGCCGGGGATGCCATGGATGCCGGAGATGGAAGCAATCGCATCCGAGAAGGGGTGATGGAACGACCGGAACGAGGATGAGGTCGTCGGAACTGGGTCACGGAGTGACAGACCACTTGCCAAGAGTAGTAGTAGTAGTAGTAGTAGATTGTAGATTGCAATAATCCGGGCACGCGTCGTACCTAACTCATGGCTTAATCAATGCATTATTTACCATCTGGCCATCTGTCCTGGATATACTGGATCTCAATCTCAATATCCTTTGGCAAGTGCAACATTCGCTGATGGAGGAGAACGCGGAGGGCACCGAGAACATATGTACATGAACACGCCTTGAGCTTGCTGTGCTGCAGTTGCCAAGGCCTCCCGTTAGGCCGTTAGACGCCTCTTGACCCCGCGACGACGCCCATGCACACGCCACGGACGGCTACTCCTGGCCTCGTGCGATGCATTGGATGGCCCCCGTAGACCCGCAGACCCATGAAACCTGATCTTCATCTTTACCGCACGTATCGTAACTCTCGGCGTGGCGCTATCCCGCTCTAATCAATCTACTATTCATCCCTCCCCGCATCCTAATCACGTCTAATTCCACCCTTGCAGGGGATGCTGGCCCTCGCGCCCCTCATCATCACCTATCATCTCCTCCGTCTCCCTCTCTCTACTCCCTCTTAGCCTTCTGTCTCACTCCTCATCACTTCCTCCATGCCGACATTCACTCACTCCTCCCCACCACTCCATCTCTCTTCCCCCTCTCCGCCCTCACCACAACCATGGCAACACTCACCATGCAGAGCTCAGCCATAGACCTCTCCGACACACCTGCTCTCCTCTCCGACAACTCTGACTTTGACCCAGCGGCAACCATCCGTCGCTCAGACTCACTCTACACTCCTCGTCGCGTTGGCCCACCTACCGAAGCCTGGGATACCCACCCAGACTGGCGCGGATACTACGAGTTCTGCACAACCTCACTTCCCGTCCAGACACTCACCCGCTTCACAACCAGCGCCGTCGCCTATGTTTCAAGCACGTCGATCCCTCGTCACCAGCGCCCCGGCTGGCGCGTCTTCTTCACCGAATTCTATTGGACTGACGAGCGCGGTCTCCCACAAGTGCGTGATGGTGCCCGGCGCAACCTAGGGCATACGCTAACGCCAGGTCATGCATCGCGAAGACCTGGTGGCCGCGTTTGAGAAGCTCGTCCGTGCTTGGGAGCTGCCGCCCGGCGCATACGATGATCTGTGGGCGTTGTGTGCGCCGCACTGGGGCACACGCGAGCACAAGGGTGACGAGTTGATTGCGCGCCTCACGAAGCTGCAGAAGGAACGCGGGGCATTAGCTAGTGAGTCGCCACCTCGACTCTCGACGTCACTCACACCAGCATGTTTCAGTGAACAGCTCGAACTTCTCCGCCAAATGGAGCTGTCAGGATACACCCCCGCGCGTTTCCATGCATCTGACATCGCCTATCCCATATCCTACTCGACTCTCGGCGCGGTGTCCGCGGCTTCTGGGCGACCCGAGTACACGATCCCCTCGGCGCCTGAAGCAGAGTTCGTCGATGGCACAGTGTCAGACTGGGTGCTGCACGTCGCGCGCTTCGTGCTCCTGCACGACCCACCACCAGATAGCGCCATTGCCGAGCTCGAGGCTGAGGCGCGCAATCTCGCCGCAGAGCTGTCCAGTCATGGGTGACGCCTCTGATCTTGGGGAGGCGAGTAGCGAGGAGGTAGGTGCCCCCCTACGGCTGAGGTGATGGGCACGTAGAGGGTAGGTCGAGGAGCGAGGAAGGTGGCTGGTGGACAGTTGACTCAACCCATGTATACATATTCTCTCATCTTCCCTCTCACTTGACTCTTCTTCGTCTCTCATCTCCTCTACTCATCGCACTGACTCATCGTCGCTCCTCCCATTCGCCACACCCTCAATCTCACTCAGGCCAGTCAAGATCAAGATGGCGATGACGGCTTACGACCTTTCCATTGCCTATCGATACTTTTTGACCGTATCCGCCGTGAGTCGCTTCTGCCTGCAGGGGCATTTAACTGACGCTGCCGTGCGCTTGACCAGCTGACAACAGGGGGACATGAGAACTCTTGGAAGAGAGGACATTTCGGCTGCACTCGCTCATCGTATTCTCTCTCGGTAATCATATCAAAGTCAAGAGCTTACAGAGTTTGAGCGACTGCCCTCCGCCCCCCAACTCCACCTTCTTCGACATTGTCGCGTCCATTACGTTGGAGGAACATGCGTTCAGAGACGTCTTTCGCTGTCTCCGAAGCTTGGGGGCGCTGCGCGTTGTCGATGGGGCTCACGATCTCTCGTTTCCCGTTCTGCAAAAGATGCTTGCCCTAAAAGTGTCGTACGCAGAGCTTATGGAAACCGAGATCTGCGCGAGCGCCTCGACCAGCCTCGCCGGAAGGGACTTGACCTTTGGTAGGTGCACCAAACCGCTGGCGCTCCAAGTTGCGAGCTGACTCCAGACGTCCCTTGCGGTGCGGACCCCAACGTCCCACTGTTCCTGGAGGAAGGACAGGCCGGATTTCTCAATGCCATAGAGCAGCGAGCAGCCTCCTCTCGATCGGCCGCCGAATTTCAACCGCTCTTTACTCCATCTCAGTGGCCTCTCTCTCCCGCTGTTTCTCCGCCCCTCAGCCTTCCTCACTTGCCCCCTCCATTTCCGCCCATGACCCCGACGAGCCCAATGCCTGATGTTGCCTTTGCATCCTGTCCCAGAGCACAGATCGCGCTCGACAGCATGGGACCTCCAGCCATCCGCATCCCCGCACTTCCTCCTATGCCCTCCCCCGCGCCCCCTGGCTGCGCTACGCCTGACCCTTCTACGACGGATCGTTCTGCTGCTGCAGCATTCACCCTAGACGAAACCACGTCCCGGCAGAAAATCCGTCCCGCTACGCAGCACGAGCAAGCGTACTCTGGCCTTGCCCTCGTCGCGAAGGACAAGAGCACGCCCAGCGCCCTAGGTTATGTGAAGTCAGGCGCCAAGCCTTTGTCTGACAAAAGTGCCAAAAATGGAGAGGAGGGCGCCCATGGGAGTATCAAAAGTGAGGGGTGTTTCCTACCTCCGGATAAGCCTAAGGTGACAAAGGCCACCCTCAGCCGACGTTCGTCTGCGAAGCTGTTGCGCCCATCGACTGGAAGCCCGTTAAGCGCCACTCTCCTGACGAGCGAGCCCGCGCGTCGCAGCCTGCGCCTCAACCCGCCCCGCATATAGACCTCAACTCTTATACCGCCACCCGCATCGTGCCCTGTGCAGTCGTAAACCTGTCATCAACACATCCTTGTAGCCCAACGTAAGGTCTGTATCCTGGATGACTCTCGTTTCGCCTATTCTTCATCACTAACCGACTACTGAATCACGAACGGAACTCACCGCGGCAGCGCGGCACTTCAACTGCTGCACCAGTCTACTTCTTGCCGATCTGGGCCTGGACAAGGGCGGCCGCGGCGTACTCGACCATCTTCCGGTCGCGCCACTCCAGGCCCTTATTATCAAACTCCTGCGAGTCAGCAATCTCCCATTCTCTGACCCAATATCACCTGCTGCGTGTACTTATACGCCTGGTCGGTGCAGAACTCTATAGCCTTCTTGTCGTCGACCTTGCCTTTCGCGCACTGTATGTCCCAAGCGTGGGCGATATGGCATGCGACCGCGCCCGCAACCATCTCCTGCGTGACCGTGGCCTGCTGCGCCTCCGTCATGTCCTGGTGTGAGCTTGGCCGGAGGGGGGACCCACGTCGCCGAACTTCTCGAGCTGGTAGTATTGCGCCTTGAACTTGGGGGCGAGCATGGTACGGCGCGGCGGGGCGTACCAAAAGTCTGTGGCGTAGGTCGTTATTTTGGCTGTGGTGGAGGTGGTGGGGCGTAAGTTGAGGTGGTGAGGTGGTAAGAGGAGGTGGAGAAGTGGAGAGAAGTGGAGAGAGGTGAACCCAGCTGGTCGGAGGGGTTTATATTCCTCTCGACAAGCGGAGGAGGGCGAGTGTGTCTAGTGAAGAGGCATGTAAAGCGGTGAGATGGGTGCGTGGATGGTGTGCGTGAGGTGGGAGCGTGGGAGGTGCGGTGTGCCGAGGCTGCTGGTGAGAGCGGACGGCGGATTGGATGGGGCCCGCGGTAGCGGATGTCACTGCAGTGGGATAAAGGAGGGAGATACCGCTCGCTCGCCCACTGTCCACCTGGTGTTCTGTGCCGTCGGTGTGCACGCTGGGCATGGGGCCGCCAACAGCGCCACTCGCACAGCGCAGACACTGCTGCGTACGGTCCTTCGCCCCCCCGCCATTTCGACATCCACTATGCCAACAGATACATCTATTTCTACATACTACTGAGCGGCGACCAGCGCAGCGGCAGCAGCGAGCACGGCGCCTCCGGCGATGGCGGCGCGCTGCGCGCTCGAGTTGGCGGAGGCGACGGAGGCGACGGAGGCGGACGCGTTGGCGGCCGGGCGCACGACGGAGACGGAGGCCGCCGAGACGCTGGACGCCGAGACGTTGGACGCCGAGGGGCGGGAGGAGGCGGGGGTGCTTGAGGCATCGACGACCACGGTCGAGGTCGAGGGGCCGGCGGCGGCGCCAGCGGCGACGCCAGCGTTGGTGTTGGCATTGGTGTTGGCGCTGGAAGGCTGCGTGGTCTGAGCGGCTGCCTCGGGGGAGGAGGAGACAGCTGCGCTAGGCGGGCTGTTCTCAGAGCTGGGGCGGGGGCTCACAGAGTTCTGGTTTGGCGCGCCCTCGTTGCTCCCGCCCGAGTTCTGGTCCGCGGCCGGGGTCGAGGACTGCGTCGAGGTCGGGGCGGCGCTGCTGTCCGGTGGGGCAGGGCTAGAGTCGGAGGAGGGCTCGGGAGCGGACGACGTGGTACTGTGGGGGCGGCCGCCGCCGTGGTCGCCACCGCCGAGGCACGAGGTCTTGTCCGAGCTCCCGATCGCAATGTTCTGGACATAGTTGAAAGCCCCGGTCGAGTCGGTCACCTGGAAAATCAGGGTGCCGGAGCCAGCCTCCTGGTTCACGGTCCAGGTGGTGCTGCTGCCCGTCTGGCTGCCGAGGTCGGCAATCCAGTTGGTGCCGACGTAGTAGCCGCCGAGACCGATCTTGACATCGACCGCTCCCTGGGGTTAGTGATTGCGGTGGAGGGGGTGATGGATGTGCCTGGCGGGGAAAGCCGGCTAGGTGATCGGCAGGAAAAGCAGTCGCGGCCCCTCCGAGCGTTGGTCTGTCCACGCGCGGCACTCGGTCCTTGCGCTCGGCTCCATGCGTGTCACTTCGGGGATCATTTTGGAGCCACAGTGCTGCACCAATGGCATGCACGGCCGCCGGGCGAGTATGATGGCGGCCATAGCGCATAACCGTGCATTGGTTACCTCACGAGATGGTAAGGCATTCCTCCCCCACTCTGTCTCAAAGGTCTGCTTCGATGGAGATGAGGAGCGTGTGGTAAGAGGAGAAGAAGGGACTGAGAAGTGCGGGTGTTCGCCGACTGGCAAGTGAAGCAGCGAAGGACAGGCAGGAAAGAGCGGTGGCCAAGTCAAGAGAACGCACCGAGTTACCAGTCCAGGAGATCGTCGCTTGCTCGCACTGGACAACATTGTCAACCGACACGCGGATATCGTTCATCGGAGCGCCCGCGAAGATGTTGGCGCCCTGCGCGGCAACGCCTGAGGTGGCGAGGAGGGCAGCGAGGAGCATAGTTACGAGCTGGGAGAGGTGCTGATCTTGATGGAGGGAGACTGAGGGCGCAGACGATGGCGAGAGAAGCCGAAGATGCGCCGAGGAGAGAGCGACGGGGGCGGAGAACGAGACAAGCTTACGATAGATGAGGCGAGATGAGGCGAGATGAGAGATGAGAAGAGATGAGATCAAGATGAGGGGGGAGGAAATGAGGAAATGAGGGATGAGGAGAGCCAAGAAACGACGAATCCCAAAGTTACAAAGTGCCTATTAACGACGTCACAACTTTCCTCATCCGGTAATTTCCAGCCACCCAAAGCACTTTAGTGCCATCCGCCGCCCTGCATCCTTCCGTCCGGCCGACAGCGGCGTGCAAGATGGCTGGTTGGCTCGGCGCAGCTCACCATTCGCCTCGGCCCGCACCATTCATGCATCGCCGGTAGACCTGCTATGTTAGGCTCGATGAATGTCTCGGCAGCCTCGCACGTGGTGGGCCGTCCCGGCCAAGTCCGAGTCTGGGTGACTTTGCCCCCGTCAGCTCTCGTGCTTCTCGTAATAGCGTCGTAATTCCTGCAGTGATCTTGCAGCAAACATGCCTCCGAAGGAGATAGGCTTCAAGGCACCCCGTTACCACATACATGGGTACTTGTGGCACCATATGCTGTGGCACTCCATCCCAGCGTGTGGGCATGCGTGGTTATACTCTGTGCCTTGCCGGCAGAGACCAGCTAAGGCTTGGACATTGGCCGAGTTGAAGATAGTTGATAATTTGTACATACAATACATGAAGAGGTATGGACAAGTACATGAAGGAGCGAGTGCACCCTACATCAGGCCTGGCGGGAGAACGGGGCCTGGTTATGCGGGTGACTAGACGTCCTATGGTTGGTGGACCGGTACAGCTCAAAGCTACTCGGTGGCGAGGGGTACTCGAAGGCCTCAGCGTGGGAGCTGGGCGGTATGGGTATCGCCCCATTGTAGCTTTGCACACCATTGGAGTGGTGTGCGCTACCGCGAATGCCGTTCTGGTCCTGTTGCCCATAGGACTCGTTGTTGCCAGGTCGTGACATGCGATCCCAATGGTAGTCGCCCTGATTCGGCGTCGCCCAGAGCGAGGGGTTTACGGCCAGCCGCGACATCCCGGACTCATTGACTTGGCGAGAGTTGCGCTGCGCCGCAGGATGGGGTAGCCCATCAACGCCCACATACGAATTCAGGCGAGTCCCCGACCCAACAAAGCCAGCGGGGTGGCGCCAAGACACGGGATAGACTTGGCCGTTTTGGGAGGCCACGTCGAAAGCGCCGCTGCCGATTTGAGGAGCGAGCCCGGAAGTCTGGAAGTACGCCGCACCACCCTTTGCCGACCTCACCCCTTCCGGAGCAGCGCTGGTTGAAGGAATTGGGGATACAGCGTGCCCATTTGAGAGGTTTCCTGGTGTGGGTTGGGTTGAGTAGCGCGCGAAGGTATCGTTATAATCGTACCCTCTCGAAGTGTTGGAGACGGGGTTGGCCCAAGGGTACATGGCGGAAAGCTCTGCCACGCCGTTGACTTGGTCTGGCACTGACGATTCCATGTAAGTGTGTACCGCCTGCCGCTCCCGATCCATTGCGTCCAGGTCTTTGTTCCAATGCGCGGTGGGGGTAAACTTGATCCGGGTGGGGATGACTCGCTGATCGACTGTGACGATCTTTGAATAAGCTTCGTCTGGAGTTTGGATGGACAAAGACTCACATAGGAGCGGCAAAGTTTCTTCATCATTGCCATAAGGTTGATGGCCCGATAAACCTTGACTGACTTGTCGATATTGCGCGGCTTTGGGCTGTTGTATGACTGCAAGAGAACGTAGAACGGATCCCCCGGGTTTAGGCACTTGGGTTTCTTGTCCTCGAAACAACGCCGGATCCTATTCTTCTCTTCGGTGCACAAATGCGTGTCCAAAACGCACTCGGCAATGTTCATTAGGTCGACCGACGTAACCCAGCTGTCACTTTGCGCCTTGATGATCGAAATTGTACATGTGCCCTTCTCATTCGAACCTTCCCACTGTTTGGGGTCGATTGCCTGCCAGTCGACATGAACCACTGGAGCGCCGCCTTCCCCTCGAATGCGAGACGTCTTAAACCGGATTAGGCGGCGAACCCTCTCATGATCAAGGCTATCCCAGCTTGACAGATCGATTGTGCGCTTTAGCACCTCGGGGTCGCGAAAGCGTACATCGGCATCGTACCGCGCGATCAATGCTAGCTGAGCGTCGATCTCGTGTCGAGGAAGCCCGGCGCGGGGGTTCATCATCATCGTCACCTTGTCGAAACTGTCGACAGCCGGTTTCGCCTTGGTTTGCTTTGGCTTATTATACGGCTTGTCTTTGGATCAGCTTTCATGTTGTGCGGCGAATACTTACCATTGACCCGTAGAGGGGCACCTCGGGGATTGCCTGATCCCCGTGGCATTCTCGCTTGAAGAGCGCAAGGGAAGAATGGACCGTAAAGATGAAGTGAATGGTAAGCGAGAGCGAGTTCGACTCCTTTCTGGGAAAGGGGCAGCTGGGGGAGGACGGTAAGAAGGTGTAGGAGAACAAGGATACGGAGGAGATGGAGGAGTCGGTTAAGAGGGAGGACCGGGAGGCGAGGAGAGAGACGGGAAAGACGGAGGCGATGGAGGAAGGGTGGTCTGTAGTGATGTTCAGTACGACGACTAGTGATTACAGCACGACCTGACTCACTCGGTGGTAAAGGTATGAGAGTGCTGTGGAAAGAATGGGAGTTGATCTCGCGCAGGGGACCTGTGGCCTCGAGATGGAATGCCAACAAGCAGGGGTGACTCGAGTCGAAGAAGATAGATAAGAAGTGGAAGAGGGAGAGAGATGGATGCGCTAGAAGGAACTGAGAGACAGCCAAGCACAGCTGTAGCTGGGTACGGAAGGGAGGAATGCGGACGAGGTGCGATGATTTTATATCTCACCGTGTTGAGAATGCGACATGTGTGATAGACACGGGGGATTTGGTCCAGACGGAGAATGTTGTGAGGAGAGCATCTAGTCAGCGCTTGCTCTGCAACTTGCAGGCAGAGCTCGGCAGCAGGGCTGGACCAGCCGCGAGCATGATTCCGACTTGCAAAAGGCAAGGCACATCAATTCAATAGCGTGGAATGTTGACCGGAAAGACATTTCCAGAAGACTAGGCGGCCGGGCGGCTAGGAGACTGGGAGGCTGCCTGCCTTGTCATGTCCTTGTGGTCAGATTGCGAGCTTTCCAGGGTCTCACAGCCCGTGCCCGCTGCTAGCGCCTTTGACACTTTGCTGACAACTGGCAGCATGGGGGTCTCACATGCTCGCACCCAATGCACCAATTGATTCACAGCCTACACCGTATTCTTTGCTGCTCCTTGAAGTTTATTCAACAATTTGTCTCGTAGCGGTCTTGCCCAGAATGTTGCCAACATGCGTACGTGCAACATGCAAACAATATCGGCGCAGGTAGTGATGGACGGTGGCGGAACCCTCGTTGCGCAGCCTGTGGTCTCTCCACCTGTGCCCCGTAGATCAGGGCTTGCAGCCACATGCCTCTGCGGGCGCACAACGACGTCAGCCATGCGGCTTGTAGGGAGGGGAGGCTGCTCAAGCCACCAGCCGCCAGACATTCCGCATTTCGTGCACGTTCAAAGAACAAGTCCGCCCAACTCGTCCAACGACTCCTCGTCTCTGGACGGCGTGAGTGACCGGACATTGAGCCATTTCCCGCAAAGTGTCCGTGGCCCCGTTGCTAGCGCGTGGCTTCTCCACTTGCACCCCCACTTTGACACATCCGCGAGATAACGCGCAGTGCTCGGTAGGATGTCATTGGTCTGATTCATCCCATGCTGTCCCGTTGCTCGGTATCCGGCATATCCGGTCCGGACCGTCTCCTTCGTGCAGACTTGACCGCGACAGCTTGACAGAATATGCAGTCCTTTCCTTCGATCTTCTGCCCTTCACAACACAGCACGCACATGAGGTGAGCCCTGTCCAGTTCCGGAATGTGGGAAACCGTCCCTCGGCGATGACATGCCGGCGGGAGAGCTGGAGATATGCTGAGTGTACCTGACTGGGCTGCATGGCCTGAAAGACAGTCCATCTCCCTTCCATGTCCCCCGTCGGGTTCGCCTAGACTGCCAATTCAGTCACTTTGGCCTGGCGCCTCTCGCCATATCGCCCATCCACGCCCACTAGAGTAGGGTGTCGTCAGCCGCCCTCCTCGGATCCTCGCGTCTCCTGAGCACACGCACGGCCACCGTGCATGCCATCGGTCTCGGCTTCGATCGCCGTGTGATCGTCCAATCCCCCGGATTGAGACATGGCCGCCGGATGTTCTAGAATGCGCATTCAGCAGATGCACTGGGATTGCATCCACTCCAAAATTAGTTTCGCTGTATTACTGTGCCATGTTATCATGGGCAGGGGATGCGGACGAGCAGCATGCAAGCTGTGCTCTTCGCAGCTTGTTGATTCGATGACATAGACGTGAGCCACCCGGCTTTTGGAAATGCACAGCACTGCCCCTATTCGCATGCAAAGGGGGGTGGCGAGGACTGTGTTTGCGCCGGATGCCCGGGCACTGCGCCTTTGGGCACCCGGCGGCGCGGCGGCCACGGCGGACTGCCCAGCGCGCAGTTGGGCCAAGCATACCGCAATTAGCCGCGGCAACGGCGGCGACCCCCGGGTTATGCCTTCGCTGAGCCCTCCGCTGCAGCCCTGCATATTCTCCCTCATGCGCTATCATGCGCCGTCCTGTCGTGCACCGGCACTACGATCGTGGTGGCGTATCATGTGGCTGCCAGGTACCCCCCCCACCCCACTCGATGCGCCGATCAACAACACCACCGAGTGCTCAGCTAAGCGGTCTTGGCATGGGAGTTGGGAATTGGCATGCTTGGCGCACTTGGCTAGGCACACATCCCCTTGAAAGGGGCTGGGCGCATGTGGAAATAGATTTCGCCGACTTTGCCATCGCTTCGAGTCGCGAGCGAGTGTGCACACGAGGTTGACTCGTCGGCAGCTTTCTTTCTCATCACGCGATCACGCGATCATGCGATACGTGGTGTGCGACTGGCACCGATCAGCAGATCAGCAATGGCCAATCCATCTCGAGTCACATGTTACAGAACACACATACATTCTGGAGTCGGAGGCCTCACAACACGGACTCCACCGCACGGATGATCCTCCCGATAGATTTAATCTACATGGTCACCGATGTCGTAGATAAATGCATGGGTGTAGGAATACAGACAGCTGTCTTTATGGGCACCCCTGAAGGTGAGTGGACTATGCATATCGCATTCACACCTGTGAGACATCTGTCTCGCAGAGGTCTCGCAGAGGAGCGGATTGCCGACTGATTGGTTCGGGCGCACGGGTCATTCCGGCCAGTTCACTGGAACAACCGAGGTTGGCTGACCAGTCTCTGGGGTTCCAAACGACAGTCGCGTCCAGACGGTCACACGCGCGATCAGACGATCGGACGACGACTGTTGCCGCACCACCGCGCAGTCGAACAAGGTTCGCATGGTGTCAAGCGGGATCTGAGCCGCTCACTTCGAAGTCTCTAGCTTTTCACAGATCTCCAGATTTTCAGGTATCACTTACCGCAAGAAGCTGTTCGTGTCGCGATCAGACCAACTGAAAGGGAGGACGCTCGATCGAAAGCAGAGGAATAAACTTTGGTCAAGAACCGCGGCACCACGCGTCCTCGACGTCAATGCTCGGGTTGACCAAGATATGGCACGGTTGCCACCCCCAAGTGTTCACTAAAATCTTTGTTGCAACTGCTACCCAGATGTACCACGTGTGCCTCATGGCGGTGCTGAATGTCTAGTGGGCCTCAGCACAACTCTCAAACCAGGGATTGGGGGCGCATTGAGTGGTGTTTCACACATGTTTGGCATCGCGGCTGATTTGTATTCAGTCAAATGATACGAGCTTCTCCACGCAATCCTCACATTCTCATGAACATGCAAAGTCCACGACAGGAAGCATGAATGTGGCGAAGTTGCCAGATAGTACAGGGCGCACCAACAACGCCACGTGGTCAGCGGGACGGAGGTGGCCACGAACATTGCGAGTTCAGCCGTTCTGCCGTGCTATCGAGCGTCCCGTTCAAAGGTGCGACTGACAGGTGATGAGCGAGTATGTACATTGTTGTACAAAAGTCATGCCATGGTTGATTGGAGCTCGTCAGAACAAGGAAGAACTGCCGCTCTCTAGACCCATGGGCCTCGAAACTCTTTCCCTTACACGATCACTCTCTGTGGATCTGGATGCACCATGACTGCAACACCCGGGACTACGCAGCGACTAGAGGTACGTCGGGCGCTGCAGGGTACTTGATAATCCTCAGCCGCACCGTCATTTTCTCCATTGTATTCCATCAATCGACTGAGAGCGAAAGGTGGATCGTGCCACCGATCAACAGACCCCACAGATCCCACAGAACAACCATTCATGTGCCTCGCGTCTGCCCTGCCCTGTAGAATCCATGCCGAGTTGTCTGTCAGCCGTCAACAAGTCCGGACGACGGACCTCAAATCGAGCGCAAAAGGACATCAGGGCTGGTTGGAAAAACCTCAGTGCCGTGATGAGTCCGTTTGTCCACTGCCCCTCATTCTCCAGCCTCCCCCGGATTCAGCCACTGGGGCGGGCGTGGGGCCTCATCCTTGCACAGCCCGCTGACTGAGTCTGCCCTCAGTACTTTCCTTGCATCCGCGCTGTCCCCAGCTTCTGGCCCCAATTCCATTGAGTCAGCCACCTAGGGTGGCAACTCAGCCATGTATTCCTCAATCGGGGACTCCGTCATCCTTGATCGAGCGACTTTCGTTGTAAGCAGACTCTTGCACCCGACCTAGCGCACAGGATTCATTCCCGCCGCTTCTCTAGTCGTTCCTGCCGATTGATTACGCGTCTGCACGCCCTTACTCAAGGCACTGTTTGTTGACAATAGTCTGCAGCTTACTATTCAGCACTTGTTGATTGGGTGCTGTGGAAAGCTGCATCTAGTGCGCCGCGTCGCCCCTAAGGCAACGCATGGTTGGTTGACATCAGGTTGCAACGTGAACTCTGTGCCATGTCGTCCCGCCCCGGTCGCTCTACCCGCTAGCCGGACATCATCTGATCGTTCTTGGTGTGACTGGACTCTAGCCCCGCCGACCTGTACTGTCCTACCAGGGGCCTGCAAACCTTTCAACCGAGTGCTGTCCGTCGTGTCGAATGCCGCAGGAGCGGAGAATCCGTTGCGGCTTTAGCCGGGCATTCCTGGTCGAGTTATTGTTCCTCGTCGACCCCACTTCCTGGCATCGCAACTGACGACCGCGAGCGACAATGCAAAACCAGAGCAGCCTCCCCACCTACTCGAATCAGTACGGTAAGCACGCTTCTCTCGAGGCCGCAGTGGTTAATGCCATACATGCTCGATACAATTACTCGTTGATCTTGGCGAGAATCTCGCTGTCCTTGAAGAGCTGGTACTCCTGCCTGTCAGCAGTTGTGCCAAAGCGCAGCGCAGCGCTCCAGAGGCCGGAGAAAGGCGTGAAGAGTGGAAGCGGCGGAATGACGCAACAAGCGCGCGGCCAACTTTGCTGGCACACTTCTTATCCCTCCTCTCCCACTTCACTGACACGCCTCCTCTCACTCCTTGACAACAAACTCACCTCCTCGCCGACCTTGATCGGCGAACCACCCCAGCTGGGGAGGAGAACGCGGTCACCCTCCTTGACCGAGCAAGGGATGACCTTGCCCTCGGGGCTGGCGGCGCCGGGGCCGACGGCGATGACGGTCGCCTCGGGGAGGGGCGACTGGGTCACGCTCGAGGGGAGGAAGATGCCGGTCGCGGTCTTCTGCTCGGGTTAGCGTTGTGACAGGAGGGAGAGGACGAAAAGGCGGAGACCGAGTGGAGGAGTGCAAGTGGGACGGAGAAGCGCGGCCGCGAGGAGACGCAAAGCAACATCAGAGACAACTGCACATAGAGGAAGGCAGCGACCAGGCGCCCTGCTGACTGCTTTCACTCTGCTCTGCGTTGACGTCTTCCGACCATGGTGGGAGAGGCAGGAGAGGCAGTCACCAGGGTATTCGCGCAGCTCACGCGCCAGTGGGTACGCAGCGCAAGCGAGGGAGAGACATGCACGTCGCTCCTCACTTCACCAGCATAACCAGCATTGCACCAGCGCTGGCGCGTCGCCGTGCCTCCCACTTTCCAGCAGCTTCTGCTGCTGCTTGGGTACAGCGGGACTGCAGCTTCATCCGCGCCGGAAAGTCGATGTGCGGCCCCTCCTGCTGCTAGTCACTGCGACCAACTTCTCCTGCGTGCACCACCGTCCCCACTCTCCCAGTGACCCCGTCTTCGTCTCCTTTCGCACAAACACGCACCGTCTCGGCCTTGAAGCGCTGGACGAGGACGCGGTCAAAGAGGGGCTGGAGCGAGCGGATCGACTTGAAGGTGGCCGACTGGAGTCAGTATCGAGGCTGTCAGTAAGCTGCCTACCATTTTGAAGATGGCAGAGACTGATGCGAAGTTGGAGAAGCGAGGAGCGAGTGAGGAGGAGGACTAGATGGACTTTTGATGAGTGACGGGTGGGTAGGTGGACGCCGTAGCCGAAGGGACAGGCCCGGACCTAGAGCGGAAAGATGGCGGCGATTTCGGCTCTTACAAATTCCAGAACGTTCCCCTTCCCACGGTGGTCGAACGGAACGGGTACTTTGCCGACCTGGCTCGTCTCTCTCTTACATCTTAAACGCTCCGCGCCTCCGTCTTGGACTCCTCCTCCTCACCTACCCGCAAAACACGCACACGTTCACAATGCTCGCCGCATCCCGTGCCGCGCTCCCCCGCCCCCACAAGCTCATGCAGAGCGCCTCGGTCGCCCAGCGCCGCTACATGGGCTCCAAGGACGTCGTCTTTGGCAACGAGGCTCGCCAGGGCATGCTCAAGGGTGTCGACACCCTCGCCAAGGCCGTCTCCGCCACCCTCGGTCCCAAGGGCCGTACCGTTATCATCGGTGAGTCCGAGAAAGTGGAAGCAGGAGCGGCGGAGGCGGTGGCAACGGAGACGGCATTGCGACCTTGATCCGGGGACTTTTTTCGGGCCCCAGAATATCTCGTTCCGCCGCGTTGGAAAAAGTCAGACAACAGTCGCTAACGATCCAGGCCAGAGCTTCGGTGGCCCCAAGATTACCAAGGACGGTGTCTCGGTCGCCAAGGCCATCACCCTCAAGGACCCCGTTGAGAACCTCGGTGCCCGGTGAGTCGCCAGCGCGTTGGCCGGAAGAGTCGAGCTGACGCCCAGTCTCGTCCAGGACGTTGCCTCCAAGACCAACGACACTGCCGGTGACGGCACTACCACCGCGACTGTTCTCGCGCGTGCCATCTACTCTGAGGGTGTGAAGAACGTTGCTGCAGGCTGCAACCCTATGGACCTCCGCCGCGGCGCCGTCAAGGCCGTCGAGAAGGTTCTCCAGGTTCTTGAGGCCAACAAGCGCGTCATCACCACCTCGGAGGAGATTGCCGCTGTTGCCACCATCTCGGCCAACGGCGACAAGCACGTCGGCTCGATCATTGCCCAGGCCATGGAGAAGGTCGGCAAGGAGGGTGTTATCACCGTCAAGGAGGGCCGCACCATCTCTGACGAGATCGAGATCACCGAGGGCATGCGCTTCGACCGTGGCTTCATCTCGCCTTACATGATCACCGACGCCAAGAACCAGCGCGCTGAGCTCGAGAACCCCCTCATTCTCCTCTCGGAGAAGAAGATCTCGGCTCTCCAGGACATTCTCCCCTCGCTCGAGATTGCTGCCCAGCAGCGCCGTCCCCTCCTCGTCATTGCTGAGGACGTTGACGGTGAGGCCCTTGCCGCCATCATCCTCAACAAGCTCCGTGGCCAGCTCCAGATCTGCGCCGTCAAGGCCCCCGGCTTCGGCGACAACCGCAAGTCGATCCTTGGCGACATTGCCATTCTTACCGGCGGTACTGTCTTCACCGACGAGCTCGACGTCAAGCTCGACAAGGCCACTCCCGACATGTTCGGCCAGACTGGCTCGGTGACTGTCACCAAGGACGACACCATCATCCTGAACGGCAACGGCGACAAGCAGACGATCGCTGCGCGCTGCGAGCAGATCCGCGGCGTCATTGCCGACTCGACTACTTCGGACTACGACCGCACCAAGCTCCAGGAGCGCCTGGCCAAGCTTGGCGGCGGTGTTGCCGTCATCAAGGTCGGCGGGCACTCTGAGGTCGAGGTCGGCGAGAAGAAGGACCGCTACGACGACGCGCTGAACGCGACGCGTGCGGCCGTCGAGGAGGGCATCGTGCCTGGCGGTGGCACGGCGCTCCTCAAGGCGTCGGCGCAGCTCGAGGACCTCGACGTCGACAACTTTGACCAGAAGCTCGGCGTGAGCATCATCCGCAACGCGATCCGCCGCCCCGTGCGCACCATCGTCGACAACGCCGGCGAGGAGGGCACGGTCGTCGTCGGCCGCCTCCTCTCGGACGAGTTCATCGCCGCCGACAAGTTCAACTGGGGCTACGACGCCGCGACCTCGCAGTACCGCGACATGATCGCCGCCGGCATCCTCGACCCGCTCAAGGTCGTGCGCACCGCGCTCTCGGACGCCTCGGGCGTCGCCTCGCTCCTCACCACTTCGGAGGCGTGCGTCGTCGACGCCGAGGAGAAGCAGCCCATGCCCGGCATGGGCGGCATGGGAGGCATGGGCGGCATGGGCATGCCCGGCATGATGTAAGCGCGCTGTGCATCTGGGACGTTATTCATGTACTCTTGCATAAAAATAGGACCTCGACTGCGGGGGTGAAAAGCTTGTACGCATTACGATGAAGCTCTGCTCTAGACGTGGTGTGGGTTGGTTTACAAAGACTGTTGCGCTGGAGTGACCAACTTGCTCTGGAGATATTACAGTACCATCGCGCCAGCTCGCAGGTGCCCAAGCACGCCGAAAGGCCTGCGGCCGCTCACCAGCTCACCGCGCTAGCACCCATGCCGGTGCCGCGGCCGCATCTCGTCCGTCGCCCGTCTCTCCGCCATCATGGTCCATGGTCGAAGCCCGGAGAAACTCCTCGCACCGGCACGTAGAGATACCCGAGGCTTTCCCGAGACCCGGGACGCCCGACCCGACCATGTGCCGCCGGATGTTTGCCCTTGCCCTTGGCCTGCGGATCTCGATCTTTCCAGCTTTCCGGCGGGGACGACGTCGCCCAATCGCGGGCGGGGCATTGCATGGCGTTGGAAGATGCGGGGTAGCTCTGGTACGGAGCACGTGAGGTGCCTAGATCATGTGGGATCACGGGCGCGAGGAACTCGGGGACGGGGACTTGACTAATGCTTGTGGACAAAGTCGTGACAGAGTCGTATGATGTAACGGCGGAGAAGCAACGGGCTGATCGTAACATCGGGACAAGCGACAGGCGCACGGCACTCGGCATCCTGCGTAAACTTTCCCCTGCCAACAACGAGACTTACAGTACTCCCCCCCGTTAGCACATCAATCCATACCTCGTACTATTAATGGGATACTCTACTGGAAGTACATCATCATGTATATCGCGCAAGCCAATGGCTGCCAGACTACTTGCCCACTCTCCCCGTCAGCTTCTTGACAACACTCGTCTTGCGCTTGACGGGCGCGCCCTCCTCCAAGAGATTGGCGCTGCCGCGGCGGCCTCTAACGAGGTCGTCAAAGTCGGGCATGACGGGGCCGATGGGTGGCTGCGGGAGGTTCTTGCTTGGACGACGCATGCCGCCGCTTGAGTAGCTGTATGGCTCGAGGTGGGCGCTGGCGCTGTGTCCGTGCCCATTCCCGTTGACGGTCTCCACGATTTCCTCAGTCATCTCAGGTGGAAGCGACGCCGAATGGCCGTGCGATGAGTTGTTGGCCGAGGCCGACTTGGACCCCGGGCCCGAGCCCGGTGCCGTTGAAGGCGCAGAGGTGGACGTCGGGGCGAGGCGCGCCGCCGCGCGCTCGGGTCTGGCTGGCAGCGAGGGGCGACGGTGGTCGTCCATGCTCGGCCTGACAGCATGGTTCGACGGTGACAGACCAGGCGACAGGGCAGGCATTGGTGGGTACTCGGTTGATGGCGAATACTTGCTGGGCGATTGTGAGCGGTCGGAGCGGTCACCGCGCTGGACTAGTCAGCAAACCCACATCGAGCTGGGTGGGCTGGCTGCCAGGTCCCGCGCTGGCTCGTGTTGCCGTTACCCTCTCCCTCCGTCCCCTTCTATCCTAACCCCCCTTGCGACCTTCCCTAAGACCCAAGCTACGCATGGTATCGTCCAGCAACGTGAACTGGTGTTCCACGCGAGTTCGACGTGAGAGCGGTGGCTGGGTACCCGGCCGAAGCCGGGTCCAGCCTTTCCTGGGTCTCGTCCTGTTCCTCAAGGACGGGGGCATCGCGCCATGTTCCACCAAAACTGGGGCGACGGGGGTCAGATGCAGCCGACATTGACTGCGACCGTGTGTGGCTATGATCCAGCGCGGGCACAGCGGGCGTGCCCTCGGATTCTCGACGCACCATGGATTTGATCTTTTGCATCAAGCTCTTGGTCCGCTTGACGCCACCACCGGGGCGGGTTGCCTTTGCGCCGAATGTCTGATCATCCGGGCCAGGCGAAGTTACCTCCTCCACGCCGGGGCTCTTGGCGCTGCGACCGAAGAAGCCGCCGCGAGCGCCCGTCTCTTCATTCGGGGAGCCAAGGTGGTCACCAACTAGCGTCAGCATCCATGGCATCTTCGACCTACGGTCAATGTACGACTCGTCGCGTGGCGAGGAGCCAAAGTCCTCAAACGGCTCAGCTTGGGGTCAGCAATGTTCCGCAAGAAGTGGAGGCGTCAGCCAGGGAAGCTGAGAGGAGCAACCTCGGTGAGAGTTGGATCCAGTAGCGCGCGGGGCAAGCGGGATGGTCACGGCCGTGACTGGTCGGGTCGGGACAAGACTTCACGCATAGGGGTGACGGGCCATGTTGTGTGGGTCAAGCCGTAGGGACTTACGCTCATCGATTCCCCATGCGGCCTTGAGGGCGCGCTGCTTCTCTTCCTTCTGCCGCCGCTGGTACCTAGGGGACGTCGGCGTCTCATCGTCGGGGACAATGTCCTGGTTTGGGAAGTAGCCGCCACCGGTGGGGTACGAGGTCGAGTACTGCCCACTAAGACCGCCGCTGGTGCGGCGGGGCATGCTGCGCGCGGCAGCAGCCGACGGACGGCGAGGAGCACCGGCAATGTCCTTGGGTGGGACAGGCGGAGGCGGGGCGTGAGAGATCGCCGTGGGGCCCGTGCGTGACGGTGACTCCTTGGGGATGGCAGCGGCGGCAGCAGCAGCGGCGGCGGCGGCCTTCTCTGCCTCCTCACGCTCGAATGCACGCATCGGCGCCTTGGTGGTCGGCTGGTTCAGGTTGCGGGAGGGAGCTGCGGCATCGTAAGGTCCGGAACTGCGGGGTAAGTAAGCCGTTAGTGCGAAGAGGGCTTACTGGTGCCAAACTGCAGGGTCAGCGCGGTTCATAGCGCGGGGAGGTATCGTAAGACTCACGAGCGCTGCCCAGGCCGGAGGGATCCCATGTGTCGATAACATCAGCATGACGGCTGGGCTTCTTGTTCGCGTCCTTGTCGGAGGTGGTACGGTCCTTGTCGCGACGCGAAGAGGAAGGCTTCTTGACGTTGTTGGACGACGTGGATGGGCTGCGAGAGGTATGTCCAGGTTTGGGGTGCGAGACGGTGGGACGTAGGGCATCGAATGTATGACGACGGTTGAAGTTCATAATGGTTGTGGTAAGCTCAAGTGTCAAGTCGGGGAGTATAAGTTGGGAGTGGAGCGGAGAGGGAGGGAGCAAGAGATCGGAGATCGAGAGAGAGAAAGAGGAAGCGAGTGGAGCGAAGGAGGTGAGGGGACAAGGTCCCCCGGGGGAGGGGGGGAAGCGGGGGCAGGCGTTGTTGAGCGCGAGACGAGCCACAGCGCTTGGACCATCTTAATCCTTCTCGACCCCATCCGGCTCTTGTTCCTCCCCCCGTGATTCCAGCTTCCCCTCGCGCCGCGCGCTGCTGGGCCCTTGTATTCTCGAGCCCTTCAGATCCTCTCAATCGCGCCTCCACTTCCGAGCGCGAGACGAGGCGGCCAACAACAAACACTCAGACATCGCGGCTGCTCGTACACCGCCAGCGCCGCGGCAGCAATGCAGCAGTGTCCGTCGCGATCGCAATCGGGAAATTCGGATATTGTGTGGTATCCTCGCGCACAAGCTAAAATCGGGAGCCCTCACGGCTCGCCAACACCATATAATCTGGCACCAGCAAGGACGCGAGCGTAATGTCTCGGGTGCCAAAACGGCGCCTTGATGAGCTCTCGCTCAGAACCACGCGGAAGCTGCGTGTAGCAGCGCACGCGCCGAGTACGCCCATACACCTTCATGCCAGGAGACGCGTCGGGATTAATCAGACGCGTCAGCCTTCACTCACCCTTTGAACTTGGCGCGGTCGGGGTCAACCTTGCCGGCGGCCTCGGTGGGCTCTAGGTCGTCACGGAAGGGGTCCTTTGGTGGAGAGACGGACATTGCGGGCTCGAATGCGCCTGGCATACGCGGGGAAGGGGCGCGCGGAGCGTCTGGGACGGAAGCGAGGCCTAGACGCGAGTTGCTGGCGCTGACGGGTTGAGAGGAGCCGTTGCGTGTGACTTGGACGACGTCTTGAAGTGCACTTGCGAGCTCTTGGTTGACGTAGGACGTCGTGGGGCGCGAGCGGTAAGGGTACTCTTGGTCCATTCGGGGGTGGGCGCTCGGCGTCGGGATGGGAGATAGGATGTGCGGGGTGTGGAGTGGGGGTGGGAAGACGCGTCGGATAAGAGACGAGACGCGTTGAACCGGGACAAGAGGAAGAGGAGGAGGAGGAGGAGGAGGAGCGTGTCCTGCCGGGCCGAGATGGAGGAGGCCTGGGCGGGAGGGGGAGGGGGAGGGAGAGGGAGGAGTGCGAGTGATGAAGATATAAGAAGAAGAAGGAGAAGGAGAAGGAGTAGAGAGGTGTGCCAAGATGCGTGTCAGGCGGCGCGTGGGTTTAGCGGGGATGGGGGTGGTGGTTGGTGGGAGCGTGTTGACGGGGGAGGAGGCCGAGTAGACGGAGATGGGGGAGGCGCCGAAGAGAGAGCGAGAGAGAGAGAGAGAGAGAGAGATGCCAAGTGAAAGAGTAGCGCGAGTAGATTGTGGATGGAGGAGAGCGAGGGCGTGCACGGTGAGAGCGACACGACGAGTGATGAGCCCGCCGTTGCCAGGGGTGGGGGAGCAAATGGCGGGGGAAATGGAGCTTGGGTTAGGGTCGGAGGAACAAGGGGATTCACTCTCTCCCTTTCCCCACGCCCCCGCACTAATCATCAGGTCCTCCACCTGCTCTTTCATCCACCCCTCTCCCCTCTCTCCCTCTATGCTGGCTGTCCCCTCGCGCCGCTCGACGCGTTCCAAGTGAACGACCGACTCCATCAACTGCAACAGCAATACTGTAGATGGTAGGATGGTAGCTAGTGGGCGGTGTCCACTGTATACGCTGTCGATGTGGCTTGTACAGTGGGAATCCCGGTCTCAAAGTTGGTTTCAGCCAGTGTGGTCTCGGCAGTTGCCCTCTACCAGGCCCGCGAGGGCGGAACCCCGGCCCGGTTTCCACCGACTACGCACTCTCCTCATCTCTCTCTCCATCTCCTCCATCTCCTCCATCTCCGCCATCTCCCCTCATCCTCTCCCCTGGTGCCTATTGCGACGGGGCGGGAACGAGTTTATCAGTTCTACAAAGGTTACTCTTAACTCTGCAGTATTCAGCTGACTCTTGCGACAACGCGCGCGTAGAACGCGTCGTCGCCAAACTCGTCTCGTGTCTGTCACGCTTGCGGCAATTGCTTTCTACAGTACCGTCATCACAGCTCGCAGATCACAAATCCAGTAGACGCGTTTCCATACTCCCCTCTCGTGTCGTGGTAGTCGACGCGTGTGGACGCGAATAGAATTGCACCCCTTGTACCCTTGTGGAATTGCCAGTTTCGGATTGTAAGCCCACATCTCGCTCGTACAAGTCCCAGACGGGCCAGACGAGGCCATGGCGACACGAAACTACTCTGTACCGTTCTCAACACCGTTACATGGCTCCAGCCGCCTGTCGTCTGTCGTTGGCCCATGGCCCATGGCCAACTCCATGTCTCCGCCGGCAACACGCCGCAGGGTTCGCATTGTTTATACCTGCGCCACACACTACTCAACACCCTATTGCTACAAATCCTCCATGTCATACCTGTCGCTCTCATACTTTTGCCGCTCCCTCGCATTCTGCGCCAACAACCACTTCTTCTCGAATCCTGTCGACCGGTCTGCCGTCAGCCCCATGCAGCTCATGCCCCGTGCCGCGTATGCCGCCCGTGCCGCCCGTGCCGCCGTGCTGACCGTGCCCACGCCTGCCTGCCCTTCATCCCGCCAAGCCTCCCTCAATTCCTCAATTCCGAGCTAACAGTCGCGTTCAATGACTCACCCACGCCATCCCATCGATACCCTGGCGCAATGCCGAACCGGTTCTGCGCCCACGAGCCTTTGTACACCGGCCGCTTCGGACCCTTCTTTCGCTTCTTGGATGTCTTGGCGTCAGCTTCGGCGAATCCTGGGGACCCCTGTGTCTCGGCGCCGAGACTACCGTCGACGCTACCCGTCCACGTGTGGACACCCGACGCCGAGAGGACTAATAGTGGCTCTAAACTCACCGTGAGGAACTGCGCCGCAGGATCGTTCCACCGCTCTACTTCCCGGAGCTCGGCGTTCATCGCCGTGTCGTCAGCGCGTCTGCTGTCAGCCCTTCCCGTCCCGTTTCTGCTCCTCCACCCTCTTCATTCAACGAAGGCAAGACTTGGCTTGGCAACACGTGGGGGCCGGAGGTAGCGCGCGGAAACATGCTCCCGCTTCAGTGACACGGCCCCCACTGTTATACTGCACAAGCTGCTCTCGCACGCCCCGAAGCGCACACTGAGACCCAACACATACCGGGCAACATCCTGCGACGCCATTGCCGCTTCTTCCTTCGCCCGCCGCTCCCGCTCTTCGCGCTGTTTGAAACCCTTCGTCCACTCCTCCCGCTCCTTCTCCTTCAACTGCTCCTCGAGCTCCTCTCTCCTCGCCTCGGCGCGCAGCTGCTCCACATCAAGCACGCGTCCCGCTTGGTCACGGTGCACAGTCGTCGCCTGCGCGTCAGGTTCGGGCGACGGGGACCTCTCGGCCGACGCGGCCGCAGCTTCCTCAGTCAGCTCGGCTGCAGTGCGCAGACCACCGCGCCGCTTCGTAAGCTGCGGCTTGGGAGCCGCGGTCTCGGAAGGCGCTGTAGACGGCCCGGCCTCATCATCGCGGGGCTCCTCCTTCACTCGCGCGGGAACGGGCAGCGCTGTGGCTCCAACAGTCGACCACGCCGAAGCGCCCTTCTTGAAGGTAGCAGCGCCCTTGCCGACGACTGTCATCAGTTGAGTGAGACCTTCCCTCTCGAGCTCACCAGGCGCATCTTCCTCGTCCAGGTCCACATCTCTGCGCTTCGACTTCTTCCACTCGTCCGCATCCTGCAAGACAAGCCCGCCAGCCTCCGCAACAGTCGCCGTGTAGTCCTCGTTCTTCGTACGCTTTCTCTTTTTCTTCACGCCCGCATGTTCGAGAATCATGTCGGCTTTGGGTCCGGACATGTATCTTGCGTCAGCTTTGTCGCTCCTTCCCTCGGCGGACGTACTTTGAGGCCAAGTAGGCCTTCATATTGTTATTCGACATGGCGAGTGCTACTGGAAGGGGGGTGGGGGGTGGGACGGGCAATGAAAGGGCTAGCAAGGCTGCGTGCGGGGGGGGGGCAAGAGTGCGACGGCGCTGTTTCCTAACGGCCTCTCAGCTCTCAGGCGTGTGTTACAGCGGTGGAGCCGGCGCGCGGCGCGTTGGAGGGGTGGGTAAGGCGAGCTGGGAGAAGTGACGTTGGGTCGCACCAAGTGGAGGTTGATCGCCACCCAACTTGGTGGATTCAATGTGCCTCAGTGGCAAATGCCGCAATCTTCCGGAGTTTCCACGTGGCTTTCGGTCCAGGGCAGGCAAAATGGAAGTACAGTGGCGTTTGTGACATTGCCTGCGCGTACGGTGGGGGGCGTTTAGGTGGGGGGAGAAGGTCGCTCCCCTCTGCAAGCTGGCCGCTGGGCGCCGGACACGCCGCCTCATGCGAAGTGCTCGCGCTCGCCATCAACAATTCATTCATCACCACCATCCCCCCTGTTCTCAGCCTCGTCATTTATACCACCCCCATTCCGTCCCCCACCTCCCCCTGCATCTCATTCACGCCGCAATCGCGTCTTTGTCCGACGCCCGTATACCCTCCCCCCTCTCAAGCACCACGCCAACTTTCCAATTCACCACCATTCTGCGCCGCTGCGTTAACCTTCCCTCCCCACCTCCTCCCCTCTACCCCCTCCCCACACATCACATCGCCACATGCCAACCGTCCACCCCCTCCCCGTCAACCCCACAACCGGCCAGCAGCCACTCGCCGCTCTGCGCAGTGCCCTCGGCGGCGGAGGAACTACTTCCTCAGGTGTCAATCGAGACGTCCTCAAGGGGCTTCAAGATGTCGCCTGGAGTGATGACGAGGTGAGTCTAGATCAGTTCCTTCTTGCGGCGCGCGCAGTGCGACATGGGTGGCGCATCATCATGCCGCCGGCTCAACGCACAGCCCTCTTGCCAACTGGGCGGCAAATCGATACTCTTTGTTCCGCTGACTCACACTGCAGGAAGACATGGACTGCAAAGTCTGCGCCGAATCCCTCGACCTCTCCGACCGCAATTTCAAACCATGCCCATGTGGTCTGGAAGTGAGTCTCCGGTGTTGGCTGCGCGAAGCTCTGGAAAGGAACTGCACTCACACACTCAGATCTGCCAGTTTTGTTATCACAAGCTGCTTCGGGACGACCCACGCTGCCCAGGATGTCGTCGCAAGTACGACCCTGACAGCGTGGTGTACGAACCAGTTGATGTGGAAGAGTGCGTCAATGAGTAGCACCGAACTAACGCCCAGAGTGCGCAAAGCAAAGGATAAGAAGGCGAGGCGGGCAAAGATTGTCAAGCAGCTCGAAGCAATCGGCCGACGCTCGATGCTGGACACGCGCATCGTCATGAAGAACTCTGTTTACGTCGTAGGCATGAGGATCCCTGGCTCGGGTTCAATCGAAGAAGCAATCTCCATCCTGCGCTCCAACGAGTACTTCGGGCAGTACGGCAAGATTGCTCGGTTGCACCTCCGGGATCGCACACATATCTCATCTCTTTCGCCGGGGCCGGCACCCGACTCGCCCTCGACGTCAACTGGCATCTACATCGTCTACATCCGACGCGAGGATGCTGCGCGCGCCATAGCAGCGCTCGACGGCATTCCTGCACCACAGGGGCCGCCCGGGATGCTGCTTCACGCGTCGTACGGAACAACACGGTACTGCGATGCGTTCCTGCGCGGTGTGAAGTGCGACAACCAGGGGTGCCAGAACCTCCATGAATGGGGTGGCGAGGGCGATTCCTTCACGCGGTCTGACCTTATCACCGCTTTGACTCGCCCCGCCGAGTATGACGCAAAACAGAAGCAACAGCAGATTCAGCCACCGCCGTTGACCCAGAAATCAGCGTGGCCCAAGCCGTCGGCGGACGATTCTGACTCATCCAACGCCTTGCCTCGGACCGCGAGTTGGGGTATGGCCAAGCCGCAGCCTCCTCGACCTGGGTCGGCGAACGGAAACCGCATCGCACCGGTCGGTTCGTCGCGCCCGACATCCAGGATCAACAGCAATCTTATCCCACTGGGCGGGCGCAGCTCCTCTGCCTTCCCTCCGCCGACTCCGTCGCCAGTTCCGGCATTGCACGCCAAGTTGGACAGAAAGAAGGAGAAGTCGCAGACCATGGCGCGTGCGAGAAGCGGCAGCTCGAGCTTGAGCTCTGGGGCCGGCCTCGCAAGCGCCTCCGCTTCCCCCAAGAAGAAGGCTGTGACCATCACGATGACCCAGTCTGCGATCGGAGCGCCCTCCAAGAGCAGCGTAAACTCTGTGCTATCATCTACCGTGTCGCCTTCCTCTGATTCGCCAGCCAAGCCGCCCTCGGAGGCCACCCCAAAGGCGTCGAAGCCTGCGCCCGCTCCCCCACCCGGACTTGCTCCACCGCCAGGCTTGGCCCCCCCTTCTACCACCTCCGAACCAACCCCTGCGCCCTCAGAGCCTGAGCCCAAGTCGTCGAAGCACGCGTCGCCCGTCAAGTCGATGGTGCCGATGCGCGATGAGGAGGAGCCTGAGGCTGGACCATCCCGGCAACCTTCGCCGCCCCAACGTCCTGCTTCTACCGAATATCCAATCCACTCGCCCTTCCCCGACTTCGACGATGTGTTCATGGAGCCCGATGCACGCAAGCAAGGCTTCGAGTTCTCTCTCGGGCTGGAAGACGATGAGGTACAGAGGATACTCGCCACGGCGCAGAGGATGGGCGTGTTTGAGCCGTCGCCCTTCGATCCCTTGTTCCAAGAGTTGCCAAAGCTGGGCATTCCACTGGCAGCGCTCATGTCGCGAGTGGTCGAAGAGCGCAATGGGTCGTTTGTGTACAACGGGCCGTTTTCACCCTTCACGCCATCGTCTCCCGAGGAGACCTCTTCGCTGCCAACCTCGGAAGAACCAAGTGCGGAGTCGACCGTGTCAGACGCGGACGCACCTCGGACGACATCGCGGTTCGAATTTGCGCGGCGCGGGTCACTGGCGTCGGCGGGGCGGGGACAGAGCCCGTTCCGGCGAGATGAGTGGAATGGCGTACCAGGCGCTGCTCACCGAGCACCCAGCTCGAATGGGTTCGCAGACGATGTGCCACGCCACTTCCACCCGGCGCTGGCGCACCTGAACGCCCACGCCCACTCGCAGTCGGTCAGCCACGGGGGAGACCAGTGGTCCGCGACGGGGAGCGACTACGCCGGGCCGTCGTACTCTAATCGTGCGCCATTCCAGCAGGCGGGGTACGGCGGAGCGTACGGCAGTCCTCAGCGCGAGCCGATGTACTCGCCTGCAACGCACGTGCACCCGGGGTACGATTATGTGTCGCAGCACCAGCAGCAGGGCCCACCTCAGTCGCCCATGTACGCTGGGGGTTTCATGCAGCGGCGGTTTTAGGTATGAGATGCAGACGTCCAAGTGAAAGAGGAGTGCGTGAGCTTGGATACTAGGTGAGGGCGGGGAATCGATTGATAAGCTAACACAACTGACCGCGCTGACGAGCTAACGACGTGTTACAGTGAGACACTGGCTTCCCAAACACGTCGATCCTGAACACGTCGATGACGGCAGGCTACCTCGAGCACTAGCCGGATTCATCACAAGGTCTACTTGTCCTACAGCACGATCTCAGCCTGCCACACGCCCCTGAGGGCGTTGAACCCGACCGCCTTCCACCCCTCGCGTCCCGCCCGGCGCCAATCCTCAACACGAATCTCCCCTTCCACCACATCCCCATTATCCAGCAGCTCAGCCCTCACCGTCCCCGGGAGGATGTTGCCCGCGCGGGGCGTGACCCACGTCCAATCCGCCACGTCGGTGCACGTCGCCACGCTTGCGGCCTCGGGCGGCATCCGCAGCGCGATATTACTCGTCACGGTCTCGAGCACATGCTCGCCATCATGCATCAGCACTTCGGGGTGTGCGCCGGGCCCGCGCGCGCCCGCGGCGTCGTACACGCCCCGCGCCTCGGTCTTGTGCACGCGGAAGCTGGGGTCTGTGGCCGGCGTCGCCTGCGTGTCGAGGTACACGGGGCGCGGGGGGGCGGGGCGGGCGAACGGCGCGAAAGGCACGCCGGGCGGCGCGGGGAGCGTCTGCACTTCGATCTGCTCGGAGGGGGAGGGGCGGAGGAGGATGCGCACGCGCCAGTCGCCGGGAGCGGCGGCATCGCGCGCCGCGCAAGCCGCGGACGTCGCGGCCCACAGGGCCGGCTCGCCCGGCCACGCGCCCCAGAGCGCGCCGTCGCGCGCTGAGAAGTGCGCGTGTGCGGCGCGTAGGCGCGCCACGTGCCGCTCCCACAGCGGGATGCTGGCTCGTGTCAGCGTGCCAGAGGTCGTGTATCGCGCAGTGGAGAAGAGCGCGGGGTGGTCAGTGTCCCTAGCGGGCGAGGGCGAGGGCGAGGGCGAGGGCGAGACAGTGGTCTAGAGTCAATTATGCATCACATCTATGTGCTCGCCTGCAGGCCGAGGTCGGCGGGCTTGACGTCATCCCACTTGAACCCGTAGCCGGCGCCGTCCTGTCGTCAGTCAGCCTGACTCGCTGTCCGCAACGTCACGTACGGGCAGAGACCATTGGCGGAGCGCCTCCACGGCGGCTGGGCCCCACTCGGCGGCGCGCGCACCGTCAGTGTTCCCGTCGCCGGGAAGGTCGATGATGCGTACGAGTGCCAGGTTCTCGGCTTTGATGAAGCCAGACGCGACGGCGCCCTCGAAGAGCGCACGCAGGGGTGAGTAGTAGTTGTTCACTGGCGTAAGCTTGAAACGTCGTCGCCGTAGCAGCTCCACAGCCAGCTCACTGTTCAAGACAATCACGGGGAGCGAGTGCATCCCGATCTGATTCCAGGTGACCATCTCGAGCAGCTCCTCGAACGTCCCATAGCCGCCGGGGAGCACGATGAAGCCGCCGGTGCTCAGCTGTGCCATCTTGGCCTTGCGCTTGGGTTAGCGAGGAAGGGGAGAGCCGGGCTCACCTCGTGCATGCTCCCGACGACCTCCATCGTGAGCCGACCGTCATAGTCATCCGCGAGCAGATCCTTCCCCAAACCTTCGGCAGACTTGGCGGCGTGCGCCGGGTTGGCGTCGCGGGACGGGATGGGGGTGCTCTCCGCCGCACGGGCCATCAGTGCTCTCGGGAGAACGCCGTGGACGCGGCCACCAGCCTCTAGGGCGGCGTGCGAGACGACACCTGACGTCAGCATGGGGGAAGATCGCGAGCGGTGGGTCCGAGGACAGATGGAGGATGCCACCGGGGACGCCGCGGCATTGCCGGAATAGCGACGACGAGTGTGGCGGTAGCGGCGAAGGTCAAGCAGCAGATAGCTGTGCCGGAAAAGAATGAACAGCACTTACCCATGAGGCCACGACGACCGCCACCGTACACGACTGGAATGTGCGCGTTCGCCAGCGCGACACCAACACTCTCTGCCGCCGTGGCATACATCGCATCGGCACCCGGCGATGATGCACAGCTAATATTAGCCCCCTCTCCTGAAGCGCACGGCTCACAAGACGCAGACAGGCTTAGCGTAGCCTGCGTCGCCAGCAAACGGCGAGGGCGAAGCGCGGGAGGGCGTGCTGGACATTGTGAATGGAGTGGTGGACGATCAAAGTGGATGACGCGAAATCGCAGAGACCGAGTCGACACCTTGCGGGGCCCTCGACTGCCACATCGGATATTTCCACGTGGCCACTTTCCCACGGGTGCTACGCATCGTCACTGAACGAAGGTGCAGCGGTGCCACGCGCCCGTGCTCCTCATCTTCTCAACTTCGGCGCGTTCTCAACCGGTCCTCTTAAACCTCACAGCTCACTCACTCCCACTCACTCATCTCTCGCCACCATGTTCATCCTTGTGCGTACGCCACCGAGCGCGGCGGAGCACCCTCCCACCGACTGCCGAGCTCAATCTGTGGTGGCGCTGCCGCGAGACAAGGCACCACCCGCCACCCACGTCGAAAACTCAGCTAACCACAGAACTGGTTCTGGGACGTCCTCGCCCAGCTGGGTGAGTCCTCGTGCTGTTCGTGCTGACACCAGGCCTCATGAACAAGAGTGCGTAGCTCCTGTAATCGCCGCATTTCCTAACCACAGACGCCAAGCTTCTGTTCCTGGGTCTCGACAACGCGGGCAAGACGGTGCGTTAGATTGCGCGGCTGTGGAGAGTGAATTGGGCGGTGACGGGGGATGAGGAGGAAGGTGAAAATGAGGGCGCTATGACAGGTGTCATCCCGGATGGCGCAGGTCTCGCGTCGAGGTCTCACGCTGCGATGTGTCGCAGAGAGATCTCGCCGGCTTCCAATATCATCTCTGCCTCCCCGTCGTGCGCTCCATCACAATCACCCCATCGCCGTCAATCCCGACACGCTCTCTGTCGCGGCCTGCGCTAACTGCAGACCCTCCTCCACATGCTCAAGAACGACCGTCTGGCCACCCTTCAGCCCACGCTCCACCCGACGTCTGAGGAGCTCGCGATCGGCAACGTTCGTTTCACCACCTACGACCTAGGCGGACACATGCAGGCCCGCCGCCTGTGGCGCGACTACTTCCCCGAGGTTGATGGCATCGTCTTCCTCGTTGACGCCGCCGACACTCAGCGCTTCGGCGAGAGCAAGGCCGAGCTCGACTCGCTGCGTGAGTGACCTTAACCCGACACACTCAGAGCTTCATCTCCTGCCGTCGTCTTCTCTCGCCGTCGCGGTACCGCGCTGACTCAAGTCTCGATCGAGGAGCTTGCCAACGTTCCCTTCCTCATCCTCGGCAACAAGATCGATGCCGTTGGCGCCGTTTCGGAGGAGGAGCTCCGTCACCAGCTCGGCCTCTACCAGACCACCGGCAAGGGCAAGGTGCCCCTCCGGGACATCCGCCCCATTGAGGTCTTCATGTGCTCGGTGGTGATGCGCCAGGGCTACGGCGAGGGCTTCCGCTGGCTCTCTCAATACGTGAGTGCAGAATGACGGCAGTTTGCGCAAGCCTCTCCATTTTTCCTTCCTCTGTGTCGTTGAACATAGAAGCTAACACGCAGATTTAAGCCACTTAGTGGCGCTAGAGGCCTCGGCCAGCGGCTGCGGCATGCATTGTGGCATATGTGACTCGTATCCCGTTGCTGTCTGACACTAACAATGCATAACTATGTGGTTGTAAAAGGCGTGAACTACTCGGCGCGGCGCGCTCGCGCCGTCCTCGTCGTGCGCTTCCGCGGGCTCCCAGCCGCAGTGCTGGCCACGCTGGGCGTAGGACTTCCCCGCTCGCTGGCTGCCGTGCGTCGTGTGCGCCGGACAGGGGTCTCGCTCACCTCGCTCGGCGCCTCGCTCGGCGCCCGCGCACTCTTGCGCGTCGTCGCGGAGGTTACGGCAGCCTTTCCACGCGTACGTTTAGCCGCAGGTTCCTCTTCGGCCTTAGCGGCCTTGCGGGTACGACGCGTATCCCCAAACGCGCCGGGGATACTGGGTTCCTCCTCCTCTTCCTCCGCGACCGGCTCGACCGTCGCCGCCCTCGAGCTGGCGCGTGTGCTCCTCCGCACTGTCTGTTTCGGGGTTTCAGCAGCAGCGGCGGTCTCGTCCTCGGGTGCCTTTTCGTTCTTCTTCGTCGTCCGTCCGGCCCGAGTCGGCGTAGGAGCAGTCTCGTCTTCGGGAATGGGCGCCTCAGAGGGTGCGCGGGAGGCGGCGCGAGTGTTGTGGCTCGGGCCCTCCTTCTCCTCAGTCGCCTGCGAGCGATTGCGCGTCGAGCGGCGCAGCGGCGTGTCGTCCGTATCGTCCTTGATCAACTTCTTTGGCTTGCGTTTGGGCTTGGGCGTAATTGCAGGCTGCGCGAAGGGCGAGGCGCTCACGCGGGGAGGGGAGGGCGCTCGGACAGGCGCAGGCGAGCGGGTGGGGGACGTCTGGCGCGATGAAACGGAGGGCGCCGTCGAGTCTGCCTTGGGGCGCGGGCTCGCGAAGCGGGGCGGCCCGCCAAATGGCGACGAGGCACCGTTGCGCGATGGTGTCTCGAGACCAAGAGCGCGCTGCGCCACGCGTACCGGCTGCGGCGCAATGGGGCCAGGAGTGGAAGGAACAGGTGCGGCGGGCCGCTCCGATGTCCCGACAGCGGCGGCGTCGGCGTACGAGACGGGAGGAGGCATGGTGTGGGAGTTTGCCTGGGCTGCGGCGATTGCGGGCGGGAGCTCGTCGACCATCTCCCACGACGCGGACATGTCGACATCGTCATTCCCGTTCGCGGTGCCGTTCGCCATCGCCCCGCGCTTGTAGTCCTCGCCGAGGAGGATGCGGCGCTGCGCCTCGGGGAGAATGTCAATGAACTCGCGCACCATCTCGCGGCGACGCTGACGGTCGGCCGGCGCTGCGTCGCTCGCAAGCTGGCGGTCCAGCGCGAGTGTTTCCTCGTACTTGCCTGCGTGGACGAGGCGGAGCGTGACGAGGTCGTGTAGGAGGCTGCGAGCGGGCGGGGAGATCTCGCGCGGGGGATGCGCCAAGAAGCGAACGAGATGTGCGTCCTCTTCATCGTGCATCGCAAGGTGGAGCAGCTCGCGCAGTGCCCGCGGCTGCGCCGTATGCGTCCCCTGTCCCCCAGGTGTACGGGGTGCGCCGAGAGCCCAGCACCACACTGCCTCACGGCCCTTGGCGCGGGCGGCTGCGTCCTCCATGGAGCGTGTCACGCCAAATGCGGCAGACATCCCTGCAACGCTGGCCTTAGCGAGCAGCGCGGCGTCTCGCTCCGTGTCGCTCCCGAGCTCGCGGACGTCGAGGAGGTCGTACACCAATCGAAGAGCGGTGGCGGGCGGGCTGACGGCAGTAAGGGCGCGCACGACCTCCGGCACAAAGTTGAGCTCGGAGATGGCGGGGTCGCTGAGCGCCGCAACACCCTCGGCATACCTCCCGTGGTCGAGAAACCAGTACCCGTCCATAAACACGCGCCATGTGCGCGGGAGGCAGCGAGCACGAACAAAGGCGGATTCACGCTCGCCCCCATCAGTCTCGGAACCGCTGTCAACCTCCATCCCGCCACCGTTGACCGTTGGAGCTTCAGCCTGGTCGCGCACTAGGTAGTAGAGGAAACAATCGCGCTTGAGGCGGTCGATGCGCGCCGTGCTGTGGATGGCGTGAAGGAGACGACGGAATGCGGCGGGAGTTGTTGGCGGGTAGAGTGATGGGCCTATAGTCAGCTCGCGAACACAGCTCCTGCGCCATGCAGAGAAGCAACGAAGGGCATCTGGGGGGCAGAAACTGTCCCACGCCGCTGCAAGAGATACCCGACGCCGCACTCACCATCAATATCCGCGAATGCCAACAAACGGTCGAAGAACAACCTCCCATCAGGCGAAGCCTTGCGGCGCGCCCCAATGTCCGCTGCCTCGCGATAGGGTGCGGACCCAAGGTCGAAGTAGCGGAGGACAGTGTTGGGGAGAGCGTAGTCGTCCGCGCTCATGGTTGTTGTGGTATTGTTGCAGGTGGAGCGAATTCGAGGTGGACTGCATGCACACTGAAACTCGAGCACGGCACAACACGCCACACAGACCACGTGGCGGGTTTAACGGGAATGCCGGAAGATTGGCCTGGTGGAGGTCGGCCACTTGGGCCCTCATCCTGCCAGACATTCTTTGCCGCTGCCTATCCGCTCAAAATGGTGCTCTTCTTCACGTCGAAGGGTGCGCGGAGAGAAATAGACATCTGACGCCAGCTGTGTCGCCGCCCGTTACCATCTACATGTGAGCTACGGAGGTTGGGCGGAAGCTGACCACAGGGGACGAGACAAGGTCGAGAGTGCGTCACATCCAGTGATTGCGATTGAGCTGACGTCAGATGAGGAGCTGATCAAGTATGGCCTGCCGACTGATGTCTGGTTCCATGTCGAGTGAGCCGTCGTTCCGACAGCACCTGATGACAGCAAGCTGAGCTCGGCCCACGTCTACCTCCGGCAAAGCGAGGGTGAGCCTCACGGCCCCTGGGATGCGCTTCCAGCGGCGCTGGTGAACGATGCGGCGCAGCTCGTTAAGGCGAACAGTATTGAGGGTGAGTCTGCACGCGCGCGCCTCGCGATATGCCCAGCCTGTCCCTGCATCCGGCGAGACCGCATGCGGTCGATCTCGGTTCATGCTGACACCAGGCAACAAGAAGGACAACATCACGGTGGGCACTCCGTAAGACGAGATCGCTGACCCTGCGCAGATAATCTACACACCATTCACAAACCTCAAGAAAACTGGTGATATGGCTGTGGGCCAGGTCTCATTCCACTCAGACAAGAAGGTCAAGCGCGTCAAGGTCAGCACACGGGACAACGCTATTGTGAACCGGTTAAACAAGACCAAGGTCGAGCGCGAGGTGGACCACGAGTCGGAGCGGCAAGAGCGGCTCCGCGCCGAGGGACGGCGGAAGAAGGCTGAGGCGCTTGTGAGGGTGAGTGGGTGGCATGTGGCAGAGGTGTATCAGAGGAGACAGGGAGCAGCAGCTGCGGCGTGAGGGGGAGACATGCCGTTGTGAAACGGAGATAGTGTCGAAGAATATTGGCGGACGCCAGCGGCGGCGATGACGCAAGGCGAACTCAAGCGTGATGCCCCTGCAGGGCGAAATGGCGAGCGTGGGAGTCGGCATGCGGCGCACCGTTGGCAGACCGTGCTGCCGTGGCGGCTGGGACTAGAGAGCAGGTGCAGAGGAAGCGTGGGCACGGGAGTTGTGTCGGACAAGCTCTGACAGCAGCAACAAGAGGAGGCCGAGCAGAAGCGCAAGTGGGCCGAGGACAAGGCCGCACGATCCTACGACGGCATGTTCACAGAGGAGGCGATTGAGGGGGCGAAGGAGGACTGGAGTGACGACGACTTTATGTAGTGTTCTCGCCCCATTGCGTCGCATGATACAAGGTACATTATTCCCCGTTGCCGCGGCGCATATTCACAGCGACTACCGCGGCTCACTGACCACTGAGACACGCTAGACCCCCGAGACTAAAGTGTCCGCTGAAAGAATCCGGTCGTGCTCCGGCACTCTCGGCGAATCCCTGGCCCAGGCTCGCTGCCGATCCCCGAGGCCCGAGAGTCGCCCAGAAATGGATTGACCCGGATAGAAGACAGCAGATATCCTGGACCAGGACACTGGGCCGTTCCCACGTCGTGTGCGGGGGCAGCGAGAGGTCTCACGCAAATAGATCTATTTACTCATTAAGTGCCCCTGGCGTACGCGGTGGGCAGCGGCCGTGGACAATCTATGGGGTGACGGACTAGCACGTAGGTAGGGCAGGCGACCGGCTGACGCGGACTTTGAGGAAGGCCAAGCGAACGATTCCCGCAGCGTGACCATGACGAACGCGACGAGCACGAGGACGAGGATCGGGGAGCGATTGAGAATCACAAGCCGTGCAATCGAGCAATTCTGTGGCGCCGGGTTTGCGTGTCACGGCTCTTGACAAGCGAACGTGCACGCTTACAGAATTGCGCGAAACACTCGTTTATCCGGCACCATTACAAGGAAGGGCATGTCAGAGTGCGGGAGTGTGTTCTGCCGGCATAAAGCAAAGGACAAGGGTGACATATCTGTGGTCCTGGAGCAAGGGGATGTTGGGAGATTGATTGGTCAGATTACTGACAGGGAGGTCGGGAGAAGGGACAGCTTTAAGAGAGCGCTATTACTCTGTGAAGTGGGAGACTGAATATCGCCGTCGATGAACACCATGTTCCCAAGCTGTCAACCACGACAACGGCGGATACTGGCGCTGGAGACATCGTGAAAAATATGCACAAAGCCCAAAAACCCATTCACAGCTCTAAGAACGTTGCATTCGTTATACGGCTACATGTCGTGGTCCGGTTGACGGACATCCAAAATTCTAACCATCTCCTCCAGATCTACGGGGACTCTCTCATGCGGCGGGGTGCAGGTGCAGTTCGGCGATGTGGCGATGTTGGTCGTGAGCGGGGCCGTTTGCGCGTCCCGTCGCGGGACTCTCTGTCCCCGTCCTGGCGCTCCCGCTCATCTCTGAGCTCGACATCTTTGCGCTCTCGCACAGGCGAGGTAGAGGCGTCGCGGCGCTCGTCGTCACTCTGCCGCTCGTCGGTGCTTTCGAGCTTGTGCTCGCCGTTTTCCTCGCTGCCCGTACCCGCCTTTTTCCCCTTACCGCGGCGCCGGACAGTCTTCTCATATACACACTCGTCCTCTCGTTTGATCTTGACGCACGCCTCGCAAGGGGTCGTTCCCGAGCATTTTACCTTTCGATTGCGGCACGGATGGCAGGAAATCTGCTGTCGGCTCCGCATTTGCTGGCTCTGCGGCCGGATAGGCAGCGTGAAGTACGGAGAGGAATAATCAGGCCCCATATACGGCCCCATAGGAGGACCACCCATGTGCACGGGATAATGCGGCGGACCGTGCTCCATTGGCGGGGGATAGGCATATCCTGGAGGGCCGCTGTGGCGGTAGTGTTCGGATGGGTAGGGTGGCAAGCTCGCGCGGGGGACTGGGGCTGAGTGGCTACGCGACGGACCGCCGTATGGACTAATGTCCTCTCGCTTAACGTCGCGCTCGTCCCACGGTGGAGGACGGCCATATCCCCGCTCAACAGATGGATGGGAATCATGAGGCGGCGGACGACGACCATCCGCAGGTTGAGTCCACTCCGCGGCGTCGGGGACGTACATTGGGATCTGCGAATCTGACCCATCAGCACACGCCATTCGCAATATAATTAACCAAACAACTTACACAACTTGTCCCCTATCCAAACGACACCATGCCGAACAGCCTCCATGGCATCCTGATAGCCCCGGGCGTATGCGGCAGCCTCGGCTCCTCGCATACCTCGGGGGGCAGGGGTAGAATAGGTTGCGTTGACATTCCTAACACTGTCAGCTGCGCGACATGGTTCTGAAACATGTTTTGAGACCCACGGAGGTGAGGGAGGATGGCCGTGAGAAGGATCGTCACGTCCGCCGCGGCTATGAACATCCCCAGGCGGAACGGGGTGTGGAGAGCGAGGTCGTCCGGGACCGCGATCATAGAGCATGGATGTACTACCACCCGGTGGAGATCCGGTCATTCCTTCTGCCCCTGCAGGTGCGAGGCCTGGCGGTGGCGGCCCGCGCGCCGACATGGGATAAGCATGAGGAGGAGGAGGGTCATGAAGCGGCGGCGCCGAAGCGGATGCAGATGGACCTGAGGGGCGGAAAGGTGGAGAGGGCGAGGGGTACATCCTGCCGTCGCGTTGTGGCGGCGGTCGATCTGGAGGAGGGTAGTCGCGATGATAGTCATAGCGGGAGCCCATGGGCATGCGTCGGGGGTCTTCATTATGTTCGTAAGGGCGCCCGACATCATGTTCTCGGATCCGGCGGTCATCAACTGGGTCGGTGCGGTGGCGCAGCAAGGGAGAGGGCGGACGCTGAGAAGGGTGAGGACCATCGTACAATGAGGGTGTGGCGTGGCCAGGTGGAGCTCCTGGATGCGAGTGCGAGTATCCGGGTTTCGTCGTAGATGATGGTCTCCTTCCCTCTGGTGGAAGTGGGGGAGGCGAGAACTCTCTTCGAGAAGCCATAGATGGGTGTGAATGGGTGTTATGATGAGGAGGAGGAGGGGGACCACTTGGGGGAGCCGGCGAAGCACGGACGCTATGTGATCTTGGAGGACCAGCAGAAGCGTGCTGAGCAGCAGGTGGCGGGTAGCCGTCTCCTGCTCGCCTGCGTGATGAAGGCCCGTCCGTCCCGCTCATGAGGTCTGCGACTGCAATGGAGGGACGGCGTCGTGTGGGGGCTGTGGGATCGGGCGCTTGGCCTCTACCGCCCGGGGCGGTCATGTGGTGTTGAGGGACAAGACGAGGGTGGCAACCTGCGGTGCGGTGATGTCGAGAGTATGGATGATGGCGAAAGAAATGACGACGAGGGAAGACGTGGCGCTCGGGCCGAGCTGGGAGTCTAATCCTCGTCCGTTATTGCTCGGCGTGAGTCCTCCCGGGGCGAGCGGCAGGGGGAGGGGGAGAGAGGGGGAGGAGGGGACAGGGGACTGGTGCGGCGCGCCAGGTTGTCGCCAAACACGGCCTCTCGGATGACAGGTCGGGTGCAATTGACAGGTGACACGGCCACACATTCACACGCGCGCACACACCTCAACCGGGAAGAGGGTGATGACAATCGCAAAGTCCGCACGAGCGTGTCGTGAATGGGGCTTAACGATGGAGGTTGAGGGCAGGGGCGAGTAAGCGGGGCTGTTCCAAGCTAAGGAACACGGGTATACAGAGGACAGAGGGGGGCAAGACTGAGATGATGAGGTGACGAGGTGAGGAGGAATGAGAACGAGAGGAAAGAGAGATAGAAGCGAGGATAAGGAGAATGCAAGGCAGAGAAGCCAGAGAGCGCGGTTGGAGAGCGCGGCCTGGGGCTGGGGGCGGGGCAGGCGTGAGGACCTAGTTGCCAGCTCGGCGATGAGGGGTCAGGGTAACGTCCAACAGCCTCGGGTGTTGGATCATGGGCGAGAGACCATCTGCCACCAACTAAGACCAAAGTTTGGGCCGCCGGTTCCGGTGCGTTGGGTTCGGGCCCACTTTGCCTTTACGCTAGTTTCCGTGGACCCAATTGTGGGCCGAGGCGCGTGAACGAGGTTCGGAGTCGGGGCCTGGGGCTGTCTAGCGCGTGCTCTTCGGGGTCGGGGTCGGAGACTGGCGCGGGCTCGGATTGCAGTGCCAGTTGATCGGGTTATTGAGGCCAGAGGGGGTGAGCGGGATACGGAAGCGGAACCAACCAAGGGGCCAGTGGGACATGAACCAGAGGTAGTGACGGGCCGAGGCTAATACCGCGAGACAGAGCTGCAGCGATGCGGACTGGTCAAGGTCCCAAGAGTTGTTGGACTCGCGACTTGGTGGTGCAGGAGTTGCAAGTTGGCTGCAAGGGGAGTACGAAGTACGGTCCGGGCCGGCGTTTCAGCGTGAACCGAGAATTCCGGGAGGCGATTGAGGGGCCAAACAAAGGGGGAGAGAGCCACCAGCGCGGCTTGATTGAACGTGCAGAGTAGGAGTAGGTGCGTTGAGATGAGGAGGGGAGGCCTGGGGTGGATGGTGGATTGAGTGGCAGGTGGCAGAGTAAGAGTAACGGAGGAGAGGATGAGACGAGGTAAGGAGGAGAGGAGAGGAAAGGAAAAGGTTGAGAGGAACAGGAGGAAGATCACCGGATGACGGGCGACGACCTCTAAACTAAGGGTGCTCGGACCTGGGACCCGGGGTGGCTTTTTTTGTTGGAAGCTGGCTCTCCTGTCCGCACCTGGCAGCGGAGCAGCGTTGCAGCCCATGGTGCTCCTTGGCTTTTTGGAGACATACGGGTCCGGCATGGTCGGATCTCCGTTAAGCCTCCCCTCAGTAAGGGTAATATCTCCTGTAACCTGCGTGGCGTTGGCGTGCGGGGCGTGAGGCGTGAGGCTCATGTCTAACACACCCCCAACGCACCGCATGCAGTTAAAATCTCCCCTCGGCCTCGCTGCCTCGCTGCCTCGCTGCGTCCTGGCCCTCGTGCCCTCCGCCTGCCTCAAGGCTGGTGGCTTCTAACCACGTCTGGCATTCAGGAATCACCCAAACTCTCCTTGGCCAACACCGTTCTCATGGTACGAGGACCCTATTCTGGCTCCCATTCTTTTGCGCCAAGTACATGGCACAAGCGGTTTCACACACCACACGGACCTCTTGAGTGTTTTGCATTTGCCTGGCCTGCCTGGGACATGAACTGCCACAAGGGAGCGAGAGGGGGGGAGGGGGGAAGTGGGAGTTGTTCTGCTCTGTGCAAGAGGGTCAAGAGGAGTGACACGAAGCAAGCAGCGAGCGAGTAAGGCCCGCAATGGCCATGCATGTGCACTGCACTGCTTGCATGCATCCCCCTAAGTGTCACCCCCTCTCTCCTTGATCTCCTGCTCGCCCTGTGTGACCCCTGGTGTACCGCTGGAAAGCAGCGTAAGATTGAGTCCCGCGTCTCCTCATCTCACATCATCATGCTGTTGAGTTTGGCCAACCATGGTGATCTACACGACAGGGCGATCATTCCGACGTTCCCCATCCCCAATTAAGGCCCCAACCCCTGATACCTCACGTCGCCTCATCAACCTCGCTTCCGTACTCTTGTGCTCTGTAACTCGTTGCTCATGCCCAAACACGCGTCGACTCTCATTCTCGTCCACATCCTCATCCTCGTCCCGTTCCTCTTCTTCTTCCTGGGTTCGCTCCCCACCTAAGGGTCGCTGCTGGATATGACGACAGCTCATTCGCTTCGCGCACCGGCGCCCGCCGCCGCCCTGGCGCAGCCTGCAAACAATGCACTCCGAGTGACATGGGAGGTCTGTGCTCGCGCTCCAAATCCTTGGCACCCATGCACGCTCTCTGCACGCTCCCAACACGCAAACACGGGATAAACTGGCTCCAGACTGTGGTCTGTGGGCATGAGCGGCGCAGGCCGTCCAGGCCGTACAGGCCTTGCCCAGCCCAGTCCACATGAGGCACCGGGCACGAGATCCATCCCAACCCCTGGTCACTTGCCTCGTGCGCTCCTCCTCCTCCCTGCAGCTCTCGTTCTCCTCTTCTCTCCCTCTGCCCGACGTCCCTCTGCCCATCGATCGAGGGCGATGGCGTTCAGATGCATACGAGTCCCATACCGACGCTCGAGCTTCCTTTCGCTCTAGAACCCGTCGTTTCCCCGCCTCACCCTCATCCCTACGCCTGCGCGTGTTGTCGACGAAGCATGATACCAAGCTTCCACGACAAGCTGTACTGGGCACGACCCTGAACCTACCACAGTTCGCCATCCCCTCTGCAATCTCCGCCGACTCGCCACACTGCCCACCACTACTACCCCACGGCAGCGGTATGGGTATGGAGACAGCGAAACCGTGCGCCACGGACGGCGGACCGGGGCGCCGGCGCCGGCGCTCGTCTCGGCTCGACGGGTCGTAGTGGCACCGCATGGCCCGCTGCCAACACTACGGAACTTTCGTAAGCAGGGCGAGACGGGATGGAGCTGGGACTCGCGTCAGGGTGCGTACCTTGCCGAGAGTGGACGGCTGCACGTAAATGTCCGTCGCGGTCGTGATACTCGTGCAGCAGCTGCACATGCACGTTGCGAGCGCAAGTGGGGGGCTGTAGATGTCCGAAAGCTGGCGCCGAGGAGGAATTCCAGAGCTGCCCAGGATTTTCCAGCATGCCGTAAAGCGTAGGATGCCTCGGCACGGGTTCCCTAAGTCAGGTCGGGTCCCTGGATCGCCCCCGCTGCCGACCGCACGTAGCGGCGATCGCCGACGCTCGCACTGCCACGTTGGCGCCACCACGCTGCGACGAAATGGTCATGCGACAGACAATATGACATCCAATGCCTAGGCTATGCTGTAGAGCTGTTGATCATCGTCCCGTCTTCGTAAAACAGCGCTTTTTTCTCCCATGGATACTCCGAGAAACGGATTCGTACTTCTTGCGATCGCCCGCCTCGTTTGATCACTGCCGAGGCGGGACAACGTCACGATATGCCCAGAGATTGACGACAAAGTGTCACGTCCTCACGATACATACGGATGTCACTGCGCATCGCGCCGCAGTTTATACAATACAGATATTATTGAAGACCACAAATACCAACCCATACTGCGAGACAACCCGCTCCCTCACCCCTTCCTTACTCGTGTAGCTACGATTTACTTCGTGATGATGGCTCGAGTGGACGCATCATCATCGACTCCAGTCCCGCCTTGGACACGCGACGCCCCGGCTGCAGCGTTGTGCGATCCACAGGTGCACTGACATCAGCAATATGTCGACCGGGATAGTACTGACCGTCGTCCGTGCACCCACTGTCCATTCTTGCGAACTTCAATGTCGGCAGCGCTCTGCTTTTGCCGCCGATTCGAGATACCCTCAGGTGTGTGCTCAGGCTCGGCAACGACTGGGGGGCCGATGGACTGATTTGAAGAGGGTTTGTCCTCGCGTCCCCATTCGGGCGGCAGGCTCTCACGAGTATACCGTGAACCAGACGACTGGGGATGGGGAGACACCTCCGGTGCTTGGGCTTCGCCATGGCCGAGCTGGCTCTGGCTCCCACTTTCCCCGCCTTTGCCTTTGTTTCCCAATTCTGTCTCTTCGAACTGAATCAGTTCGGCTACAAAACCAATGTTGGGGGAAATGCCGTGCCGCCGCTCCGCAACGTAGGCGTACGACGTCTTGAGCGTCCACGCGTTGGCGTGAATTAAATAGGCAAGCACAACAGTAACAGATCGAGACTTGCCGGCCTTGCAGTGGACGTACACTGGCGCATCATGTAGGCGTGCGTCGTCTGGACGGTCAGCATGATGGGGAATACGGGGGCAGATTTAAGAGGCAATGAGACCAGTCCCAATACCAAGGTTAGAGGCAAAGTGTGAAGGTACGTTGACGCCATCTCACCGGCGGCTGCGCAGGCCCCTCTTCGCTGAACCATAACTCCGAATCACACATGGTCACAGGAACAGGACATGCGCCCAAACCGCCGTCTCCCGAGAACGGCAGGGAGCAGCGAAAATGATGATCACAAGGTGGAGAAACGGGAGAGGTGAAACGGCAAGTGCGCGGAAGGAGGATTGCGGAGGGGGAAGGCGTGCCGCCAAGGAAACAATGGGAGCCATGCCAGTCTCATCGATCGTCTCAGGAGCAGCGAGGAATGCGCCATCGAAGCACGGAGGGCGTTGCGTGGGACGTAGATTAGGAGGAGGAGAATGGAAACAGAAGAGATGTATGAGAAGCACAACACGTGCCAGTCTCGCTGACAAGCTCGATCCGACCCAATTGGAGGCGTTGAACTGCCCCATTGGGCAAGGTCGCTTCTAAAGGTCCAGCCATTATCAGGAGGACAAACTGAAGGTCGAAGAGAAAGACACCAAGGGTTGAGCCACAACAAGAACTTACCTAAAAAATCACACGCGTCGCGTATTCCCTGGCCGACACCTGATTCCTCCACGCTATCCTTCATCGGGATGCGATAGTAGCGCTCGAACGCTGTGCGGAGACCTAGGCCTTCATCGTCGTCACACTCCAGTGCAACGTTGAGCACTCGCCGTATGCCCATGGACAATAGGACCTCAACATCGGCGCGTGTCGAGATTTCAGGCCCAAGATAGAGAAATCCTGGGAGAACAGTCGAGACCTCTATCGGGCCTTGTCGCAGAACCGAGGGTGTGGGGGCACCAGACGAGTACGAGCCACCTTGGTAGATGTGCCCCGCTGGCAGTGAGGAGCGCAGGCTGTCTTGCCACGGTTCGCCTGAGGCCCTCGTGAGGCCTGCGCTAATGGCCTGGACGGACGGGTGTGTTGGGGTAAGACCAGTGGCTCCGCTTTGTGTCTGCAGAGCGCTCATTGGCCCGCTCGGGACACTGAGGCGGCTCGATTCGCCGATATCCAGCGTCAGTTTGCCGGGCATGGATGCGCGCGCGTTGAAACTCCTCTTAGGCCCTCCGCTGGGAGCGAGCATTGCATTGGAAGGTCCGACGTTAAGGCTCAATTTGGGTGGCGGACGACGCGCCTGCTGAGGTGCCCCCGCGTTGAGGGAGAGCTGAGGGAGACTGCGCCGCATCGGGCTGAAGGAGGACCCGCCGCTACTGCTGCTGCTCGTGCTACTCTGGCTGGAGACGCTTCCGCGTTTACCCATCTGGCTTGGCGCTGGTGCGCCTCCCGTGAACGCACTCTGAGGGAGATGGCCTGGTGGTGGTTCGGTCGGAGACAGCGCCATTGCCATCGGCGTCGAAGCTCCAGAACCTGCCTCGGGCGGAGATACCGTGGGAGCCAACGCCAGGGGCGTACTGTCGCTGAAGGATGCATCGGCTGGATTGCGTGCGACGCGAAGCCCTTCAGCCTCTGCAAGTGGTGCCGCTGCAGTCCACCCGCCCTTGAGGACGCGCACAGTGCCAGTTGACACGATCTGTTCGAGAATGTTGGCAAGCGCGCAAGGCGCTGCTTCGTCGTAACGATCGGCGCCAACGATTATCACGTCAAGATGTGTCTTGAGATCGACACCATTCCAAACCGCACGGCCTGCCGGCGAGCTCACGAACGCTCCTAGGGAAGACCAGGCGGCTGCGCCACTCTCAGGATCCGGCTCGTCGAGTTGTCTTCGCTGGCGGCTGTAAATGAGTGACGGGATGGAGAAGTGAACAGAATGCGGGACATGGGCCGACAGGAAGTCTTTCCGTGGTCGCGTGTCGACAACGAGTGTTTGCGGGCTGCTGCGCACTTGTGCAAAAGCTGTTACCGGCGAGATGCACCTGTCGCCATCGAGCATTGCGCTGCTGCTCGTACTTGCTGCGCTCGAAGCCGCTTCGCCAAACTCCGAGTCGCTGTCCTCGACGCTTATGCCGAGCGGTCGTTCGCGGAGGTTCTGGTGAACGGAGCGCCTCAGCTGTTCCAGTTCACTGCTGAGTACTGCTGTGTCAGCTTGCACCGCCTTTTCGCACTCACTACTCTCAGTGGACTTGGAAGTGAGTGGCGCGTCAAGCTCAATGTTGTCATCTGGGAGTGACAATGGACTGGGGCGCTTCTTGCCCGGCGCAGCGTCCGAGGGACCCGAGGGGATTCCGCGCTCGCCGCAAGCTGCAGACGGCGGTTTGCCTTCTGGCGTTAAAGGAATGTCGATGGACGATAGCGAGCTGGAATGGGCAACAAAGCTGTGAAAGGCAGCAAAGGATGTTGATACTTCTGCGGGCGAATCCACGAAGCAATGTGTCATGATGGGCGTGATAGGTGTGCGAAGGAAGGTCGAGTATTGACTGCTCTTTGCTGTTGCGATCGAGTCGAGTGTCGGGGGCGATGATGGGGGATGCTTTTGGGTTGCTGCGAGTGACGGGGACCTCGGGGGCGAGCGTGGGGAAAGCGGTGCTGAAGATGCCGACGAGCCCGGCGCGTCCACACCAATGGATGTTGATGTGGACGAGATCGAGCCCGCGCCGCCGAGCATGTCAACACGGGCGCGTTGGCCGATGGGGGATTCTGAGCGACGCCTGAGTCTGAGGCTGCCAGATCCCAGATGAATCAGAGCCGGCTAGTCGCTGGATGTTGGTGTGAATTCGAGTGCTGCTGGGGAGAGAGAGATATGGTGTATGGCGGACAATGGAATGGAGGAGGGAGGAGGAGGAGGAGGAGGAGGAGGAAGGAAGGAAAGAGTGGAGACGAGACCAGAGCGCGAGAGCGCGTCGCGTCAGTCTTGTCGCGTGGACAGCAATGTGGGGGAAGGAGGGGTTTTGTTGGACGCGCGGGGTAACAGGGTTGGCGAGTTGGGTGACGCCTGGCTTGAGGTAGGACTGGCCAGTCCGAGGCAGCGCGAGATGAGAGTAGGGGGGGGGGGGGGGGGGGGGGGGGGGGGGGGGGGGGGGGGGGGGGGGGGGGGGGGGGGGGGGGGGGGGGGAGGGGACGGGCTCGATGGGATGGTGGGGCGATGATAGGAGGAGAGGTGCTGTGACGGGCGGTTGGTGGTGATCGTGGTGATGATGATGATGATGATGGAGACAGAGAGAGAAAGAGAGAGAGAGAGAGCGAGAGAGAGCGAGAGAGCGCTGAGTAACGAGTTGGTGGATGCCAATGGTGAGCAGGCGCGAGAGGAGAGCGGCGACAACAAGGGGAGACGAGGGCTGAGGGGCATGAGGGGCATGAGGGGGCATGAGGGGCCGAGGGGCCGAGGCAGCAGGGGAACAACATATGTGCCCATTTCCGAGTCGAATACTTTTTTATTAGCGTGCCTGAGTTATTACTACAGTAGTAATTGGACTGAACCAGCAGTCTGCACAGCTTGTAGGTTTAGACCCTGGCGCCCGTGCGCCATGCGCCCAATAACTCGTTGCGCTCGCGATTACTCTTCGTCTCTTCTTGCGCTCACTCGCATCTCTCTTGCCACCGGCCACCTGTCTCATGTCACAAACACGAGTGTGAGAGCACGCACTCCCCTCTCCTTCCACTCTCTTGTGCCCTCCAGATGCGGTGTAATTTTCACACTTCTGCCTCGCCTCTCCTCGCCTCTCCTCGCCTCTCCTCCATCTCAGTAGGCCAGTAGGCCAGTAGGCCACCAGCTAGCAGACCCACCTCAGCTTTGCCAGGCACATAGGCACACACACCTTGGGCTGTGCTTGCGGTTCCCATAGATCCATAGATCCTTGGATCCACTCTCCATCGTCTTGCAAGCAGCGGGCAGCAAAGACACTGCCGTGTACTGTACTGTACTGCCTCGCCTCACCCATAAAGGTCAAGTCGAGTGGCCGCAGCACATGGCACACTGTCGTCATCATTCCGCACCTCCATTAGTCAGGTTGTCCTCGCCGTCGACGCATTCCGCCCCGGCTTTGCTACGCCGCCGCGAGCCAGTGCAGAGGCAGCCAACATCAGTGTCCCAGGGTACCACTCGTCGTTCCAAGCCGAGCAGCGGCCCGGGCGGCAGGCAATCTTGGCGAGTGCAAGGGCACGCCTGCATTCCGACGCCACTCATTCTCCAGTCCAGTTTCTGTCCTCTGCCACCGGCCACCTGCCAACTGCCAACTGCCGCCAGGCCACCTGAACTCACTCATCTTGTCTTGCCTCGAGGGTGCCGGCATCATTCCACCTCCCTGTCAAAGTGCTGTCCGCCATTAGCCATTATTCGACACGTCCTCGACCGCCCAACTCTCTCTGCTCTCATGTCCGTCTGTCGTACCACATACCAGCTCGCCAGTCGACCCATCACTCGAGGAAGAGCACCCATCTTGCCCGCTGGACAGCCGCACCTTCCCTTCAGTTCTCACAATTCACGTCTCGGCACCAGTGCCGCACCATCGCGCACTAGATGCTCGACGCCGCGCGAGACGAAGAGCGATGGGGGGCATAGCTCTAGCAGGCGCGAGCGCACACCGGGGGCACAGGCAGACCATCAACCCACAACCTCCGATCCACGCTCAGTAAAGCGCACAGCGTAGACTCACCGCCCGAGCATTGATCACGATGCCATGTGTACAAGGGCGACGCGGCGGGCGAAATGTACGAGGCAAGTAGGGCTCGACGAGACCGAAGTGGCTGGGGAGGGAGAACGGCGAGCTAGCCAAGAACGGTTGCAAGCTGGGAAGCCGCAAGATGACTGAACACCTTCCTCGAGTCACGACTGGGCGCCATGTCAGCGTCTTTCATACCGAGCATACCCAATCTTGCTGATATACAGTACACTCCTCCTCACATACCTCAAACCCGCGTACACCTCGCGATCCTCTCTTCGTCACATCTCCTCTTCGCCTCCCGCCAGCGTCGTATGATCACATGACGGGGTTTCATGAGCAGGCCAACGAGGACGACTTTCGTCGTACGGCACTCCCTCCAACCTCGCTCACAACTCATTCCGCATCACCGACTCGCGTGCCTGGCATTAGGATACTTGGTCAGGAGCGTCGCTCGTTACGTCCACCCTCGTTCCCTCTGCCTGACTCCAGAGATCCGACGAGACGGCTGAACAAACTCGAGCCTCCTTCATGGACGTGCTCTGTTTGGGCGGAGAGGGGATGGGCATTTGCCTTACCACATCCAGCGGCAACGTGCGGTTTCATTACGATGAGCGGCGCTGGACTTCTTCGCCGCGAGCACCTCCTCCCATCGCGGGGAGCCTGGAGCAGTGACGACCTCTGCAGTGACATTTTCACTTCTGGTCAACTCTCTATACACAATCCAAGCACCCAGCGTACGCTGCACATGTCATCGGCCGCATGACTTAACCTGGCGCCAGTAGTGTTTTAGCTGAACAGGATGGCGAGGAAGGTGAGGCAATTCATTCTGCACTGCTGATGGTCTAGTACACCTTTGCCCTACAGGTTGAGAGCTCAGCAAACACGATATAGACAGGCTGCTGGCAGCTGTTCTCCAGCACGCACTGCATCAGCCGTGTCATCACATCTCCGCGCGCCGTTATTGATAGCCGCATTTCTTACCAAACCTCAACTCTGTTTCACCCCACAGCCTTTTCGAGCCGTCGACCATTTCTGCAGCTTCCACCACACTGACGTCGTGCTGAGGAACTCTTTCATAGACCACTCTGCCTATCTCTGCCGGAACCCAAATGTCCTTCACAGCGTACACTGCCTGACCGACTCTGCTCTCCCGTTTGATCGCATGCCGCCGCGACGAAGCACCAATGCACCTCGACGTCAACAAGCACAAGCTTGCATGCCAGCAGCTCATGCTAAGCGGAGTACGACTCCCAGGGTAAGTCCATCTGTACCTTTCTCGTTGACACCAGGAACGAGCAGCAGAGATTGTGGCACTGCATCTCGAAGCCCTGCATCTTGTCGATAGCCGGCTGCCGTCAAGAATAGCGGCTAAAGCACAGCTTGGCCGCCCTCCTGTCTCTCACCCTGTTACAGCGGTTATTTCTGTGAATGCGCGGTCGATGGCGGTGTCTGCGGAGGTGTCGTCGAAAGACTCTACTCTCTTAGCCGCGTAAATTAAACACGCCCGGGCTCTTCTGAAGCTCGCCCGCCCCATCATTCGAAAACTTCGTCGAGGCCAACGCATTCATCTTCGGACTGTGGATTATGACATTCTGGCGACAGAGCTCTCTATCTGTTGGCTTGTATCAGGCAGCTGGCGTCCGGTTGACAAATGATGAGGATCACCACTTCTAGCTTTCCAACTGGTATGTCGCACCGTGCTCCGGGAGAACGACTCACCAGTTCATAATTCTCAGACACTGGACAGTTGGCAAACATATGGTAGAGATCGCCTTATCAGCACACACGCGCCAAGAAACATTACCCATACAACCCCAGAATACTTGGCCACCTACTCGCCATCTACCAGCGGGCTCCGCGGTGGAATATCTGACTCCAGCTTGCCTTTCTCGAACTCGCTTCTCGCGATGTCCGCGGAATTGTCTGAAGTCGAGGTCAAGGGCAGAAGGTCACGTGAGCTTCATGAGCAACCCCCGGCGGTGCTGCTATCTTGGGCTCTCCTTCGACCTAAGCTCTTCTGTTGGGGGCTCTGACGACGTTGTCATCGTCCGTTATCCCAGGCAATTGCAAGAATTTAATCCAGCTACCCCGCAGTCAGAGTGTGACGAGTCAGCCGACGAATGAATGCCGCCAATTCAGTGGGCTATGGTGACTGCCACTGGTGCAATGCAGGGCGTACATTACACCGGCTGCTCCTGCCGTCGTCCGCCAGAGACTCGACGTATGTGAGTGATGATGGGACTTGGAAGGAGGCCAGGGTGTAAGGCATCTACCGCCCTGATATTCACGTTCTCGGCGGCCCTCAAGAGGATCCAGAGGAGGTTTGCATATCGCAAGCGAGGGCCGGCCAGGTGTACTGTGAGATTAGGTAAGTATGCTTTTCGAGCTGCAAGGAGCTGATGCCGTTGCATCACTCTCAGCCCGAGTGGCAGTCGCATTTAACAACCGATGTTGATAGATGCCAATGCGCGTTGCGCTCGGTTCCGTGCGGAGCCGGCAGCCGAAGGCGCAGTTGTATGACACGACATGCCGTCAAGACATCGTGCCCAATATGCCGGAGCTGGTGAAGAAGATATGATCTGGAGGTGAGCCCCTCGCAAGCGATACGTCTCGGGCGCTGCGCCGTTCGTTTTTCGCCATCGCTTCACACTGTATGCATATTACATCCACACAAAGTCAGTGACACCGTCGACCTGGAGCGAAGCGACCTTCGTCCACTTCGTCCCGTTGTCGGAGAGCGCGTACATCTCGACGGTGGCATTACACTGCCCCGCGACGGCGACGTACTTTCCGTCCGGGCTCACTTGCATCCCGCGCACGCAGCAGCAGCCCGTACGCACCCACTCGGTGCCGCGTACGCTCCGCCCGTCCTCGCTGAGCCGGATGACGGCGACGGCGTCGCCGCTCTCAGCCGTGCGCGGCGGTAGCCCGGTCTTTTCGGCGGCATGCAGCTCGAGCCGGTTGGACGCGTACAGCACACTGTGCTGGGGATGAAGCACGATCTCCGCGCCGTCCATGTACGTCGTGTACTCCTCTGGCACCGAGGGAGGGAGGTAGCTCTGCGTCCAGATGGGGGATGACTCGTTCTTGCCGTGCGCAGGGATGTGGAACGCGGCGACAGAATGCCCCATTTCACCAAGCACGTACATGACGGATTCTGCATTAGCTCCACCACAAAAAAAAGTAAACCCACCGTCACGGCTCACGGCACAGTGCCGTGGCCCGAAGCCCGGCGCGCACTGGATGTACTCGCCGATATCGAGCCCCTGCGCCCTGCGGACGGCGTAGACGCGGTCGCTACCGAGGTCCGCGGCATACAGCACACCGCGTACTTCGACGACGCCGTGCGCGTGGCTTGCTTCCTGCCGCGCCGCGTTCGGCGCCCCCTCCGCGTAAGGGTACGGGAGGGCGTAAGCTTCCGACGGCCCCAGCGTCCCGTCCGCGCGGATGGCGTGCAGCGTCAAGCTGCCGCCGAAGTAGTTGGACACGACGACGGCGTCGCGCTCCGCGACGACGTGGACTGGGATCAGCTTGCTGTTCCAGCCGGCGAGATCTCACCGTGAGCGGGGTTGCCATGCGTCTCGGCTTGAGAGCGCACCGTCACGGCCTCGCCCACTTCGAGGCTCAGCACCAGCCCCTCGCTTTCGGAGATGGCGAAGGCGCGCTCGGCCGAGAAGCCCTCGACCCAGCTGGGATCCTGGGGCGTCGGGCTGTCCGAGAGCTGCACGAGCGTGCCGTCGAACTGCAGGCGCACGATGCCGGAGCGGTAGCCGCCCGCGAGGAGGGAGTAGGGCATGGTGGAAGGGGAAAGTGAGGAAGCGAGAGGGGACGCAGATACGCAGAGTCATATACAGAGGCTGGAGATGGGCCGTCACATGCCGCTGCCCCGGCGGCCGGTTCTTGATTGGTCCATCCATGGTGGGGGCCGGCGCATTGCCGCCGGCTTTAGCATCGACCCAGATGCGTTGCAGTCTGCCGACGCACCGGCGATAGCACGCTACCCACGTGTCTACTCCGTTATGCCCGGCACGTCGGATCTTGATGGTGTCGCCGGTGCATTCGCCGGAGCCACGAGCCACGGAGGTACGTCCTGTACTCCGGTGGATCCTACTCGCACCAAGGGTTGAGTACGCAGGGTTCGGCGTTCCCTGGCCCTTCAATCTCGCCCTCCTCCCTCGGCCCTCGGCCGGAGGTGAAGCCCGAGATCGCCCACCTCGGACGATCTGGGGCTGGGCCATCTGGGCATTCTTGGCCGCCAGTCTCGCCCGCTCCGGACCGTGGAGGCGACCTCGGCGTCGGCCGCACCGATCACCGCGTGCCGTAAGATCGTTGCGCATCCGGATCGACGGACATACGACGTTGATCAGCGGACTCGGATCAACGACATAACGAGAGCGGAGATGTCGATCGGTCGTCGATCTGCTCACACGCGATCACACGAGGTTATAGAATTACAGAGGTGGAGATCGTTGAAGCCTATCAGCTGCCAACTGCTAGCAGCTAGGCAGCTGCGCAGCTGACAGCTGACGACTGGCATGAGCACGAAGGAGCGAGCCACGCCATTGTGCACGCCCCAACGCATCATTCCGCTTCCACTCGGTCCTCCTCGACACTCTACTCACTTAACAGCGTCCCGCGAGCCGTTTCACCCTTCACAGCTCCCGTAATGCTACCATCTGCTTACCGGCCCCTCTGCAACTTTGCAACTGCCGAGAATACTCTCAACCGCTTGCGCCGTCGCCTCCGTCCGCTCACTCCGCTTCGCTCGGTTCGCTGGACGCTGCCTTGAACTGCCAAATCTTGTGCACTCCACATGTCCAGAGGGGCCGAGTTGTGCCTGTGCCTGGGCCCGAGTCCCCCACCCGCTCTCTTCTCGCCTGAGTCGAGCGCATCAGCCCACCGCCACCTCTCACAATGGATGTTGGCTCGACATTTGCACTTGTTTTGTTATCAAGACGACGCCGTGGCACGCGTGGCATGAACGACGCGGTGCGGCATGCAAGTGTGGGCCATGGGCCAAGAGGGGATGAATGCAAGCCGTGCGCGTCAGGTAAAAGGATCGTCATGCGGTCACACTCTCAATTCCAGGCACCGGTGCCTGCAGGTCTCGTTCCCTGATCTGTATGGTGCCTGCCTCCCGCCGTCGGACTCTTTTTTTTGCGTTTTCTTTTTGGGACATGTCCTCTCCAGCTCATAATGCAGCATCATGCAATGCGAGACACGGCCACCCCCCTCCCCGATCCCCGTCCCAGGCAGCGCACATTCCAAGACACTCGGCTCTCGCAGTTGTTTCAGTCGGTGGGGGACTGTATTTGTAGACGCGAGTGACAATCGGGGAGAGCCGATAATCAATGATAGCTGCGGCATGAAACACAACTAGCCAATTAGCCCGAGCTTGGTAACATTTGTAATGACTTGGTGGAGTATCACTTATCTTTGCTTCCCACTTAGAGGGACCACCCTGTCGGGTCACACTTTTCCCCTTGGACCCTGTGGATTCCCTCGCAGGCAGCTGGCTCCTTTGGCCAATTCATCCTCAGCCTTCCCTCTCTCTCCCTCCAGCAGGCCCAGCCCAGCCTCGTCGCCATCCATCGTCCATTCAGCCTCCATCCTCCATCCATCTCCATTCATCTTGCACTTGTCTACTCATCCTCCACCTCCGTCTCTGTTCATCCCCCCCGCTCCTCCGACTCCGACACCGACCCATGTTCCTCTCCTAAAACTCCCCCCCCGCCCGGCCCACAACGCACTCGAGCGGCACCAACGAACGGCCCCAAAGTGGACATCCGCTGCCGCTGCCCCTGCCGCTGCCGCACCCATACCATCCGTGCCCGCGGCATCCTTCTTCCTCCCAAACATCCCCTCACCTCTCCTCCGCTATCGCTCTGAACCGCTCTCCTCGATCTCCTCTCCACCATCCCCGCCATTCTGCACATCTGGTGCGCTACCTACAGAGCCACCAGCAACGATCCACGATCCCACTTTGCCTGCACTCCATTCGTCCCAGGCGAATTTCGTGTGGCGTGCACATCCCGCAACATCCCTTGACCCTTGCCCGCGCCGGCCAGCCAGCCCGCCTTGGCTGTCGCGGACCCCCGGCCAACGACCAGTCGTTGACACCGGGACCCATCTTCTCCTCGCCGGCGTGCCCGCCCCCACCATCATCTTGCTGCCCATCGGCCCAGACTCCACATCATGACGGCCGATCTACACTCTCGGGCTGCCCCGGACGAGCCCACCGGCATCGGCGTCAATGGCCCCGACATCCACACCACTGACACTGACCAGCATGCCCCCTCGTCCTTTCCATCACCGCCCCGCCGAAATGGCAGCATCTCGAGCAGATTCACCGGCGTGGATCCACTCGACTCGTCGCACCCCATTGACGAGCAGATGCCCGGCACCTTCCCCGACGAGTGAGTCTCTCTTTCTCTTCTCTTGTCACAGCAGTAGTGTTGGCGAGGATCCTTGTACTGACCTGCAGTAGCCTCGCCACGTTTGATGGGCCATCTTCGGCCCCGCCAACGCCCTCCGTCATCTCCGTCACCCACCCTTCTCAGTTCATCCACACGCATCACCCACGGCGCGGATCCCTTACACCATTAGGCCTCAATGTCATCTCGCCTGTCGCCCCGCAGCTCATGCAGCTGGACGGATCTTCAACCTATGAAGGAGGCGGCTTCCCGTTCGGCTCATCCCCCATGCGCACTGTTGGCTTCCACGCGCCAGATGGCTCGGCGTACACACTTGACGCACCGCGACGCGATTCCATTGCAACCGTTTCGAGCTCGACCTCCAGGGCGAGTGGGGCGTCCAACCTCACAGCAACGAGACCGGCATATTCGTCCAACTTTTACCGTCGCTCATCCTTGACTCCCTCCTTGCAAAGCTTGCCAGCTCCGTCTACTTCGCAGACAGGGCCGACACCACGCTCTACACCATTGTTTGATCCCAGCCGCCGACGAGGCTCCCTCACACCTTCCCTCCCCACTCTCTCAGCCCCGTCGCCTACACGTGCCCTTGTTGCCGGCAAGCTCGTTGCAAAGTCGTCTGCGAACGACTTGCCAATAAATCCCCACCCCGCAGATGCCCTTGCCGGGCGACGAGGCAGTGCGTTTGCGCCCGAGTCTGATACCAGGCGAGGCAGTCTCCCGCAGCTCTACTACGGTGCCTGGACAGTGCCCGGAGAGCGACGGGACAGTAACGGCAGTGATATTGGTCAGGCAACGATAAGGCGAGGGTTCACGTTCGGCTCGATCAACGCTGCCGAGCACGATCAGGAAGGGGCCGTGGGTTCTCTTCAGCGTATTGTGCAGGTCTCATCGGCTCTAAAGTCGGAGGCTTCTGCGTTTGAAGAAGCCGAGCAGGCCGAAGCAGAGCGCCAACGGCGAGCTTTTCTCGCGGCTACCTATGGAGAAGAAGGACGTCGCGCTCGGGCTCGACTCAGCCTGGGCGGCAACTCTGCCACCGCTTCACCATCATCGCCAGCCTCAACACGCCGTCAGAGCTTGGTGCTCTGGGAGCGTATCAAGGGAAGCGCGAGCTCGTCTTCCGCCGGGCACGGTACACCGGGTGGGCCCTCTACTACGGCCTCGTCTGGCGATGACTTGGTTGCGATAAGGCGCCCAAGCTTACCCGTCAACATCCCTCGGACACCACGCGCGGATCAGGCCGCATTGTTCGACGATCAGACAGTTTGGGACAACCCTGACCTCCTTCCAGACGTGGAAGATTACGGCGTGAGTTTGTCAAGCTGATGTGCACAATTGTGCGAGTGAGAGTAGAGGGTCTTGAGGGCTTAGAGAGGCCCTCGAGACCGGAGAATGGCTCGTGCGCGGTGGGCGGGCCGCACGTGCCGCAAGCCTCGCTCGCCGCTCGCACCAGCTGCCCATGCTGCCCAACTCCCAACTCCCAACTCCCAGCTCCCAGCTCCCTCCCATGGCGCTCCCAGGCGTTAAAAAAGAAAAAGGCTAACCCTTGCAGGCTACCCCTCAACGTCCACTCCCTCCACTCCTTCCACTCTCCGATCCCGTTCCCCGCCTACTTCCATCTACTCTCGCATTGCATCGCGCCTCCCATCTGCTTCATGCTAGAAACCTCTCTTCTGAACCATTGCCCGCACCACTGCCACCATCTCTCCACCCTCCGCAGCCCGTCGACCTGTCCGAGTTCGATATCGACTTCATCCTCGCTGGTTCTCGAACCCAACTCGGCCGAACAGGCAGCAAGAGCTCACTACGTCGTAGCAATCACAGCGCCAAGGGGAACGACGAGCTCACAGGCCAAGGGGCCCGGCCCGGCCTCGACGAGGAAGACTCGTTCGCCAAGTTTGTGGGCGCATTCGACGACGAATATGGAGGACGTCGTGGAGATTGGACCTTCCGTGCACTTCCTCGACCCGTGCAACAGCCGGTAGGAAAGACTCCGACTCGGCCGGTCCCCCGCGCGGAATGGGAGTCGCCAGGCGCGGGCCGGTACGAAATCTACCCTAGCGGCGACGTGCGGTCTGTTGAATCGGGCAGTGTCTGGCGCGTCAAACGGACTAGTGCGAGAGAGTATGAGCTTGAGCAGCCCATGCCTGGGCTCCTCCCCATGGGCAGCGCCGACAAGCCCCCAGGGAGCGCGCCACAGCCCATCGTGCTCGCGCCGTGCAGCGCGTACGCGCTCGTGTCCAAGTCGGTCCACACCGAGAACGGCGGTGTCAAGCTTCCGATCCCAGTGCACCGCGAACTCTCGCGGAGCAGTGGTTTCTCGCGACGCTTCGTCGCCGCTACGCGCAACCGCCCGAGCTCTACTGACATGCTCCTCGAGGCCGACGAGCGCAGGCGCACAGGCAGTCAGGACTCGAGCGCCACCGCCACCGCACAGGCCCAGGCTTTCCATGCAAACCAGCCCCTCCGTTCCTCGGCAATGCGTCAACAGAACTCGAATACATCGAGCACCTCGAACAACTCGCCTCCTTCTCCTTCCCCTCCCAAGGAAGAGAATGGCGGCAAGGAGAAGCGGAGCAAGGGCAGGAAGGACACGGATGACGAGAAGAAGAAGGACAAGGGCTTCTCGGGTGTGCTGAAGCGCGGCCTGTTCAAGGCGACCAACATTCTCGAGGAGAGCAAAGAGTCCAGCCGCAAGTTCTGGCCCAACGGTAACAGCGGTAGCCACAAGTCTTCGACACCGATACATCGGGGGCTGCCCCACCAGAACTCTGACAAGAGCGACTCGGCGTCGGCGTCTTCGCAACACTCGAGCAAGTACACCAGTGAGAGCGCAGACGAGGAGCAGCCCGACGAATTGTTCGGATCTTTGGGTCTCGGCATCGAGGACGAGCAGAACGGCGGTCATCCGTGGAAGGAGGGCAGAGCATGGGAGGTTGTGCCTGAGGATGCTCTTGCCATGGTCCTCCCCATCATGTCCGACAAGAATCTTCCTCCCTTAACCCACACCATACCGGCAAGCAAGGCGTTCATCAATCCGTTCTTTGTCGACGGTCCCCGCCAGGCGCTGCTGGTGTGGTTCACACCGTTCAACTCGTCCGGATCGTCCAACTACATCGATAGCCCCAAGAGACAAGGATCGTCGACGCTGTTCAAGATCACCGAGTCGCCACACCATGAGGTGTGGGAGGGTGGCAACACGATGTCGTCATCACTGTCACGGCTGCCCAAGCTGCTGCGGCCGCGAGGCAGCCGCGCGGACCACGCGTCTAGTGGACTGAAGCACATACCAGTGCGGCCACCGACAGCGACGCCGCCGCTTGTCGAAGACGATAGGGACCCGTCGCGATCGTCGTCGAGAGCATCTCGCAGCCTGCAGCCGTTGCCGTTCCGAGGATACCGTGTGGTCGCCAAGGTTGTCGACACGGAGGATCTGCGCGCCGTGCCAGAAATCCCCGTCATCCCCCTAGAGGCGTGGAACGAGCAGATGCGCACAGGCAAGCCTGCGGGCATTAATACGCCTCCTATGGACGGCCACGCACGCGCAGAAGAGGTGCCGAGCCGCTCCCCATCTCTCGCGGACAACGACTCGGCGGTCATGAGCGGGCGCTCGTTCCCTACGGTTATCGCCGTGTGCCACAACCAGGCGAGCGGCGTTGAGTTCGTTCTCGAGGGTCTCGACCGCCTGGGTCTGTGTAAGGGCGAGAGTGCATGGGGTCCTACTGGCTATGAGGAATGGCGAGGGACTGGGTTGAGCGACAGCGGGCGACAGATGCTCGATCTGCTGTGGGCCGGGTGCACGGCCGTGATGGGTGTGTAGTGAGTGTAAGCTGGGTACATGTTGCACTGTAGTTTTTCCTTTTTACTTTTGGGCATGGATGCATGCATCCTGCGATACCGCGGTGGAGGCATGGAAGAGGCTGGGAGGCGTGCCTCGCTCGGCACATCACCACTCACGCAGCCGTGTGACATTTAATAAAGACATGAACGACACACATGTGGGCTGCTCGCTTGCAATTAATAGCAGCTCTACCGTGTGTCATGATGACGAGACGAGGCGTCGACAAGCAACGTGGATCTTTGTGATAGCGGATGAACTTGGTCGTCGGCGCCACTGTGCAACCGGACGCATCGACGCATCGACGCCTGGCGGGCTGCCTGAAGGGAATGTCAACGGATGGCGTGCGCCTCCTCACGCCTCGCTCCCGCCCTTCTTGACCGCCTCCGCCATTCATCTGTCTCAGGATCCCGCCGTCAGACAGAATGTTAGCCTGCCCGCCCCCTCCGACCGCCGCCCGTTCGCCGCCCGTCCCTGGCCGCGGCCTCGCCAGCGAACGCCATAGGCGGAGTGTCATTTTCATTGTGTGAGACTGGGGTGTGAGCTGGCGATGGGCGACGAGCGATGGACGAGCGTCGACCGTGTCCATGTAGATCTGGTGATGGGCACGCCTCAGAATAGGATAGCGCAGGCGTCGGCGCAGGCCAGGCTGTGCACGCCGCCTCGCTAACCTTGTCCCAAGCGGGGCCAGGTGGGGGATAGGCGTATGGCGCGTACAACAAGCTGTTGTAATGGTGATCAGGTACGCCGCTTAACGCACACTCGTAGCTGACCCATTCTCCCGGCGCAGTGTCAGGAGTGAGGGGGACGGCCTGGTCGGCCTGGTCCATAGTCCTTGGTCTCGCTCCATCGGGCTGCAGGAGAATATGCAGGAGAGCAAAGCAGGAGTGGCGGCAGCACGAGAGATGCATGAGGCCGACGGGGGAGGGAGGCCAAGGGCAGACGCCGCTTGGACACTGCGGAGGCATACCGCCAAATCTACGCCTCTGCTCAGCTGCCTCGAGAGCCAGGCTTGGCGCAGCAGCAATACAAACTTGAGTGGGATGCAGCACAACGGCTTCATGGCTCATCCCACAACCTCGTCTCGCCATCCATCATTCCTTGCATCCTTGCTTTCTCCTTCGTGTCTCTCCTTTGCTCTTGCTCCTTGCTCTCCTCCGTGCTCTGTCAGCTGCCAGCTGTCACCTCCCATCACATCGCTTCACATCGCTTTGACCCGCTCGACACTTGCACACTCCACACCGCCGACACATACCACAGCCTCCCCACCACCCGCATAAACATCACCTCATGCGAATCTAGTCTTCATCTCTTGTCGGCTCTCTGGCACACCGACACCACACCCTCGCTTCGCTAAGCTTGACTGTAACTGTAGCACCCTGCCCTCGCCCTCCTCGGCGCAACCGTCGCCTCCTCCCACCGTGCCCCGCCTCGCCCCGCCGCCGCGCCCGCTCCAATGCCCCAGTACGAGCTTAGCGGCGCCGCCGCCGCCGGCATGCCTGGCGGTGTGGCGGCGGGCGTCGGCAATCCCTCTGGGGCGCGTAAGCGCGCACGCATCAAGAAGCCGCGCCGCCTCGGCGTCCGCTCCGCCCTCTCAACATTTGCCAGCCACCTCGCCCCGCCCGCGCACCCCGACGTCGCCGTCCTTTCGGCGCCCGTGAGCGGCAGCGCCTCATCGTCGTCCGGCAGCACATCGAGCCGGTCGAATCTCGCACGGACGCACAGCACCAGCACGCAGTTTGGGAGCCAACGCCGCCGCGGCGGGTGGATGCTCGCCAACGACGCAGAGTATCGCTGTCCCCGGAAAGAGGAGGACGAGGACGAGAGCTCCGACGCTCCGAGCGTCAGCGCCGTCGTCGTCGATTCGTCCTTTGGGCCAAACCGCCGCATGAGCATCGACAGTACCGTCGACAAGGAGAGCGTGCCGGATACAGCGAGCGTCGCGAGCACGCGCACCACCACAGGTCGCGTCTCGAGCTTCTTCCGCGACTCGGTCATTGTCCCTCTCCTCCACTATGTCGACAGCCGCTTCCCCGATCCTCGGATGGAGCGGCAATTTATCCGAGAGGTAAGATCCAACTTGCAGAGGGCGGGTGCTAACGCGCCAGCGTTGGATAGCAGAGAAGAGCAGCGCCATGCTTGCCGCTTGTTTCCTCGTCGTCCAATATATCCTCTTTGCGGTCTTGCAGCGAAAACACGAGGCATACCACTACTACTCATATGTCGGCATCGTCGGCATCTTCACCGTCCCCCTACCGTTCATGGTTGGCTTCAATGGCCCGCGCCGCTTCCAGTGGCTGTACCAGCCCTTCGTGCTGCTTGCAACGTGGTCGACCGGATTCTTGCAAAGCATTGAAATGGTGCGTGTCAGCCTCGCTCCATCACAACCCAAGACTGCCAAGCCGCGGCTGCCGTCATTTCTCCGCCCACCACGCGCTGGATAAATTCTGACGCCAGTATCGCTGCGGATACAAGTACGGCGAAGGCTCACCGCGCAACCAGTGTGGCAGCCGCATGTTCCTGTACATGTTCGGCCTGCTCTTCGGCCTGCCGACCATCGCCCTCATCGGGCTCTGGGGCCAGCGCGTGCTCTGCGTCATGATGGCTTTCCTGTACATGATCATGACATTGATCATGTTCGTGCCCGACTGGCACAGGCAGCAGCCGTGGGTGCGCCAGCCCGTGTGCCTCGTGCTCTACCATATCTACATCAGCATGTGGGCGTACTGGCGCGAGCGGGCGGACCGGCAGATTTTCCTCCTCCGCCAGCAGCTGCGTGCGCAGTACACCGAGTTGCAGACGGCGCAGACGATGGAGCGCCGCGCAGAGCACAGCAAGAAGCAGTTCGTCTCGTACATCTTCCACGAGGTGCGCGTGCCGCTCAACACGGCCATGCTAGCCGTCCAGAACCTCGAGGGCGAGGGCGTGCTGAAGGGCCTCGACGAGGACCAAGAGGTTATGGTGCACGGATTGACGTCGAGTCTCGGCATGATGGAGAAGGTGAGCGAGCTCAGCGGCGCTACCTGAGTGCATCCACGCTGTTCTGGCTGACTCGCAGGTTTTGAACGATGTGTTGTCGTTCAATCGCATGGAGTCTGGAAAACTCACACAGGCGCGTAAGCCCTTCGATTTCCACAAATCGGTCCAGGTCGTGGCGCTCTCACATCGAGGGCAGGCGGACGCACGGCACGTGGAGTTCAGCATGGTCCTGGATCCCCGCATTGACAACCTCGGCTTGCTGGTTGGCGACGAAATGCGACTCCGACAAATGCTGAGCAATCTCGTTTCCAATGCCCTCAAGTTCACGCGCGCAGGCAATGTCAAGGTCGTGACCACCCTGCTTGCACCATCTGAGGAGGACAATGTCGCCGTGATCGACGAAGGCGCGCCCAGCGACGGCACCTTCGGGACGGGGACCACTGCGGTTTCAGATAAAGAGCGCGATGTCGAACTGGGTCTCATTCCAGACGAGAAGCGCCTCTCCCTCGTTCCGCCCTCAAGCGTGTCGAGGCGTTCGCGCGAAAAGCGCTTCGCTATCGTGCGCATCGAAGTGCACGACTCCGGCCCGGGCCTGAGACCCGGCGACCTCGTCGACAACCGCCTCTTCTCACCCTATGTCCAGACGGAGATAGGACGACGGCAAGGCGGCAAGGGTTCGGGACTCGGCCTCGCGCTCGTGATGCAGCTCGTCAAGATCAGCGGTGGGCGCCTCGGCGTCGACTCGAAGCTCGGCGTGGGCAGCACATTCTGGTTCGAGCTGCAGTATCCGATTTTCGACGCGCCGCCGCACACGGCGCCGGCGTCGCCTTCCCTCTTCGGCTCGCCGACCCGGAAGCGGCGATGGGGCTCGACGGGCTCGGAGGCGTTGATTGAGCTGCGCAGCGCGCCAGACCGCACGCGCCCGACAGTGCGCCCGCGCCTCTCGTCCCTCCCTGAACGCGTGGGTGGCGCCACGGAAAGTGGGACCGATCAGCCATGTCCCCGCCCGAGCTCGCGCGCAGACAGCAACGCGAGCGTGAGCACATGCGCGTCTATGCAGGTCTGGGACGAGCAGTGGGGTCTGACGGCGTCGTGCACGCCGCCAGAGAGCGGTGCCGCCTCGCCCCTGTCAAATACAGCGGCCAACTTCCCGCCCATGACGACGGTGATCTCGCCGACGACGACGGCGCCGCCCCCCGCGCCCGGTGTGCCGCCGCCCGAGCCACCCGCACCCTCCCTCGCAGCACCCGTAACGCTTGCGCCGCGCACGCCGCCACGCACGCCGCGGACCACGCGTCAGCGCATTGGGGATGGACTGAGCGTCCTCGTCGTCGATGACGACACACTCACGCGCCGTCTCATGACCCGCATGTTGCAGCGCCTCGGCGCGGACGTGCGCAACGCCGAGAACGGGCAGGGCGCGCTCGATGCCATCGCGTCCACCGAGTTCGACGTCGTCTTCCTCGACAACCAGATGCCGCTCATGTCGGGCGTCGAGGCGGTGCGCGTGCTCCGTGACCGCGGGAACCACCTCTTCGTCGTTGGGTGCACCGGCAATGCGCTCGAAGAGGACCAGCACGAGTACCGCTCAGCCGGCGCCGACGCCATCCTCCCCAAACCCGTGCACCAACAGGACATGGAGGCCAAGCTTGTGGAGGCGCGCGAGCGGAAGCGGCTGCGTGAGGGCGGGGGCAGCACGAGCTCTGGGAGCGGGGGATCGACGCCGGAGACCACGCCAGAGTTGGAGAAGGAAGGGGCGGGTAAGGGATCTGCCGGGTCGGAGGAGAGTGCAACACATGGCAAAGGAGCAGATGGGAAGAGAGAATAGGATTGTTTCAAACAGTTGTTGTAGGCATTATGCTCGCATGCTCGCCCCGTCTCTCGCCGATGACTGACCTTTACACGCACTATGATACATCGCCACAGTTTCCAATGTTCTGTGTTAGTGTCTATCTGGGAAGTGGAGCTAGGACTTGGAGGTCGCCCTGCGCGCCGCTGCGCTCTTCTCGGACGCGAGGCGAATCGCCCATGTAAGCTCGTACGTCTTGGTCGCGTCCTCAAATGAACTGAGAATATGGCTGTCCGGCTTGCCCTCGACGCTGTCGATGAACGCGCTCATCTCCGAGAAAAAGGGGTCGTCGTCGGTGAACTGATGGCGCTCGTTGTGGTCATCGCCAGGCCGGCGGACGAGGAGTTGCGGCGCATTGTAGGGATCAATCAGGCGCATGTGGTAACCGTCCGCCCATACCTCGAGCTCGCAGTCGTACAGCGTACCCTGGAGCGCGACTGTGTGCGTAAAGCTGCCGACAGCGCCGTTCGCATACTTCCACACAGCGGCCGTGATGCGAGGGATGCGCTGGTCTTCGGGGATCTCGCTCTCGTTGATGGGAATGGCGGAGAGTTTGCCTGGCGCCTCGTCGTACTCGACGCTGTGAGCGACGACGGACGAGATATCCACATCACCGCCAAAGTAGCGCGACAGGTCGCAGAAGTGCGTTCCCTGTTCAATTACCGGGCCCATATCCTTGGATTTGTCCCACCAGGCGGGCTTGTCGATCGATTGGTATGCCGCAGACTGGAGTCAGTCGCGTCGAAGGGGAACCGCGGGCTACTAACGTATCGCGCGTTGGTCGCCATGACGGTGAGGTTGTTGTCGTGAATGATCTGCTTCATCTTCTGCACGCAGCGCAGGTACCGCAGCATATACCCCACCGACACAACATTCTTGTTCTTGACCAGCTCAGCCGCGACTTGCTTAACCTCGTCGATCGGCGCCGTCGATACGGGCTTCTCAATGAAGTATCCGACAGTGGGAAAGTACTTGATCAGGTCGAGTTCGAGATGGCGGCCCTCAGCCACGCCGCCTCGGAACGCTGGCGGTGTGCCGACAATGATAGCCCTGAGATCAGCCGCTGGATGAGGAAGGTGCGTTTACCATCACCAGACGGTGATGACTACCCGACTCACCGAGGTCCAGATTCCCCGCTCGTCGCGAGCGCCTTCGCATACTCGCCAATGTTGGGGTATACCTGCGTGTCCTTGTAGGCTGTCTCCACGAAGCTCGCGCACTTCTTGGCAAGGACGCCTCTAGCGCGCGCCGCATCCGGATCGATCAGTGCCTTGACTTTGAGGCGGGGACCGAGCTTGTGCTCGATGCGGAACGAGTGATTCCACGGCCCGGCTTGCGAGCCAAACATAATGTTCTGAGGTCAGCGGGGTGTCGAAAGAGGAGGGGGAATGGGGCAAGGGGGAATCCACACCACTATTTCAGACTCACTCCAGCGCCAACCATTACGATCGGAAAGTCATCGCCGGGCGCGGGCGTCGGGGCACTAGTGTCAGTTACGGGCGGTAGTGCTCGAACGTCGGCGTTGCGGGCGCGGGAAGGCAATCACAGCGAGCTGATCAACGAGGCGGCGAGGAAGGCGCAAAGTTGTACCGCTTCCGCTCCGTAGTAGCCAGTTCAAAAACAGCTCGCCCACGGTCCACGCGTCGACTCCGCATTCCGGGAAGCGCACCACTCACGTGTCCATCCGCACAGGCGTGTCGACGTTGATGCCGTTATGCGGCGCCTCGACGTTGCCCCCGTCATGCGCTGCCGAGGAAGGGTTGATGGGCGCGGGCGGGGTGGTGGTGATATTGCGACACAGCGGCCGACTGAGGGCAGGGAGTCGCCCAACGCGAGGCGCGAACGCGCGCGCGAGGGGGCGGGTGGCGCCGAAAGACATGATGAGCAGAGGTGAAAGAAGAGAGGAGAGTGGAGAGAGAAGGGTATTAAGAGCTCGAGAGATGGAGAGACGCGACTGCGTGGACACAACTTTCGCTGTCGATCCGGGGATGCGGGGAGCATACGTCATGATTTTATTTCCGGCCGAGCGCGGGTGCGGAGTATTTCGATGCGAAGCACGCGGAGTGCGCGGAGCATGCGGAGGGGAGACCGCACCGCCGCGTGGGCGAGTGGGCGACGATGCCCATCCCAACAGGAACTCGTATAGCGGCTTGCTTCGCTGACAGTGGTGCAATGTTGTTAGAGGAGCGGAGCGGAATGGTCCAAACTCTTCGCCACAACCACTGCCGCCGGATCCGGAACACGTGGGTCGCTGGTAATGTTAGACGGCGGTCACCGTCACCCACATCTTTCAAGCTCTCGCGCTGCGAGCGCAACATGCGGGAGGACTCTACATGACCTGAGGCGCCTCATCCCGAGATCTCGGATGCTGATGTGGAATGCAAAGACCGACGTGTTAGGCAGAAGACATGGGTACCTGAGCGGCACGGCCTTGGCAGATTAGCGGCCGTGAATGAGATGTAAGTAGTACCCGAATGTGAACGGCCAGAACGAGACATCCCGCAGATGAACCTTCTACATCGCGCGGGTATACCGTGCAGGGTACTAGACAAATAGAGCCCACGGGCGACTCGTTGAGACCAAAGGCAAATGGAGCGGATGCCCCTCGTTGAGATTGGGACTTACCTAGGAGCTGGGGTTAGTATGGGCGCGCGGCTGTAACCGCGCATTCGCGAATAGATGTAGAGTGGTCGAGATGAAAATGTCATTGCGGGCGACGTAGCGGATAGGATGGGTGGCGAAGGGGATGAGGATAGATGGGGAGGTGGACCGCGGCCGGGAAGAAGGGGTGAGTATGAGATCGAGTAGCGGGAGGCTACAGGAGTTTGTTCGATCCCCGGCAGCTATGATGAATCAGATAAGCGTATCACCCTGCTGTTAGCCCAGCGCAAGTCGAGTGCACTCACCATCCAGCCGCGTCTTCTTGGCCGCGACCTCCTCGCCCTCTCCATCGGGCAGAGGGCGTTTCCTTGGCGACGAGGCGCCATTGACAGGTTCCCCGACATCGTCCGCAAGCTCGTCTTCTTCTCCTTCCTCCAGCTCATCCTCCTCGTGGTTCGCCTCTTCGTACTCCTCATACTCCCCCTCTCCCTCCCCGTAGTGCTCGTCGGCGTCGAGCTCATCTTCTTCGCACGCTTCGTGCCCCTCCGCGTCTTCGGGGTACGCTTCATCGACGTGCTCTTGCAACTCGCCGAGCGCTTCATGCCCGTCTGCACCGGACTCTTCGTGGTCTGCGTCGCCAACGAGCTCGTCCTCCTCGTTACCGGCGAGCTCATCCTCTTCGTACTCCTCAAGCGTCGGTGCGAGGCTTCCATCTGATGTCAGCTTAACCACGCGGCCTTGCTCACCTTCTTCCACCGCCTCCTCAGCCGATGCGGCGATGGCAGCGTCGCCGATGTGCTCGACGCCATACTCATCGCCATCATCGTACTCGTAATCGTCGGCCTCAGCGTCGGTAACAATATCATCGAGGTCGGTGTGCCCTTCGGCGTCGGCGCCAGTGTTCTCATCGGGAGGTACAGCCTCAGTGTCGCCAACATCAACGTGATCGTCGGCGTACTCTGGCTCGTTGAACTCCGGTGCACTAACATCTGTCGCCCCAGCCTCGGTGTGCTCAGCCTCACCCTCGGCCTCGACCTTGGCATCCTCACTTGGCGCAGTAGCGTCGGCGTCCTCTGCGTCTGCGCCGGCATGGTCGTCGATTTCGGCATCGGCTGTTGCGAGATGCTCTTCGCCTTCTCCCTCGCCGTGGTGTTCGTCGTCGCCCGCGCCCTCGGCATACTCCTCTTCATAGTATCCGTCGACGCCTTCTCCCTCGGCATCCTCGTCGTGGGCATGTTCGTCGCCCTCATGAACGTGCTCGATCACGTCACCGTCGTCTTCGACAAGCTCGTCTTCCAGAGTCTCGCCCGCGCCCTCCTGGACGAGCTCCTCCTCGACAGTGACGCTGTCCGGCGCGGGCTCGGCCGCAGTCTCGCCCTCAGCGTGGGGCTCGGCGTCGGGATTGTCGTCTTCGGCGGCCTCGACAATGTCCTCGCCATCATCGTACGCCTCTTCGGCATGGTGAGCTCCGTCATTATCGACATGCTCGTCGACCTCCTCGCCTTCCCCTCCCTCGGCGTGCTCGCCCTCGCCCTCCTCGCTCGCCCACTCCTCTCCCCACTCCTCCGCACCCTCCGCGGTGCGCTCCCGCTCCTCAGCGGCCTCGACCTCACGCCTGATCGCCTCAAAGCGCGTGATGAAGCGGTGTGGCTCGTCCGTCACGAACAGCTGCACCGGCGTCGGGAGCCCGCAGCCCTCGTGCAGGGCCAGCAAGTCGAGCAGCGTGACGTTGGCGAGATGGATGTCGTCCTGGTGTCAGCAATTCCTATTAACACCTGCGTCACTCACCTCGCCCATGCGCAGCTCCATCAGTTTCTCCGTCACGACCATCTCGCCGTGCACGGTGACGCCGTCTTGCGCGAGCTCGCGCCGTACGTGCTCCCAGAGCACGTTGAGGCCCTCGTCCGCCAGGTCTTCGCGGCCCGCCAGGAGCACGGGCACGTCGACTTGCTCGCCGCCCTCGTCGTACTCGGGCGCACTGAAGAGTGCACGCGTTCCGCCGTTTGTGTGCAGGAGGATCGGGGCGAGAGGCTCGAGCTCGGGTTCGAGTTCGGGCTCGGGCTGGGTGGCGTCGGCTGCGACAGCGGCGCTATCGTGCAGTGCGGCTGTGGCTTTGACACTGGGCTGGACTGCGACGTGGTCGTGTGTGTTTGGGTTGCCGACGCTTGCGTGTTCCTCCTCCGGCATATCCACAGCCGGGTCGCCACCGTCGACTTCGACCTCCGCGACAACCAGCGTTTCTTGCGCCTCGCCAGCCTCGGCGCCCAGCGTCTCCCCTTTGGCCTCCGGCACCTCGTCATCTCCGGTGATGAGCTCTATCCCCCCCGCCTCCCCTCCTTCCCCCATAGGCTCCTCGTACTCCTCCACAGCCTCGATCCCCTCCGCGTCCGCAACCACGATCTCCGCGTCTCCGTCCGCTTCTTCAGCATCGAACGCGACGTCTTCATCCAACACCTCCAGCACAGGCGCAATGGCCGGCGTGTTCGTCACGCTGATGGCCATGCCCTCGTCCATCGGCTCATCCCCATCCGCATCAACGATCACGTCGTCATCGTAGGGCGCATCGAGATCCATGGTGGGCGAGTGGGTGGCAAAGTGTGGGGTGGTGAGGTGAATGGCGGGCTCAGCAACGCGCGCGACCTTTGATGAAGCGAGCTCGCGCGTGGAGCGTGGATGGGGCGAGTTGCGATCGTCGTGCGGTCTCAGCGGGAGTTGGCCCTTGTTCGGTGATGGCAACTTTGTCTGTCTGGTGACTTGTCGGATGATACGTACGTATCTGCGCAGTTGTACGTGTGACAAATGCGTGCTCGAGCAGAGATTCCTATTGTTCTAGCCGCTCTTGATGAAGCGCTTTGCGTGGCGATATTGCTCTGAACGCTGGTGAGTAGTGGATGATGAGCGATGAGTATTGAATGCTGTGTGAGTGGAAGGGGCGGACTAGGAAGCACGATCACGTGACTCTGTATTTCGAGAATGGTGGCATGTTCCATGACTCACCTCAATGACGGACTCCGCAAACTCAACAGCGCCATAAGCGCCACAAACGGGGGAGACATCATGGACTCGCTGTTGATACAAACATTACTCCCCCTAATACAGTACACACACCCCGTCGCCACCTGCAACTGGCACACTGCAACATCCTCCCTTTCACCCCTCGCTTGCAGTGCCTCGCAACGAGTGCCTCTCATGTCATCTCGAATTGGAGTCATCTCAATTTTCATGAACGACGTCAGGCGCCGCATGCATTGGGCGAGCGCCGCGAGCCACATCCACAGCAGGCAGACATCATACCAGACATGCATCGACGGCCAGCGTCGGTCTGGCAAACATACCATGGAGGCTACAGAGGTCCTGCGCCAGCGAAGAGGACGGAGGGTGCGGGGCGTCTTTGAACGTTCGTAACGAGGTAGGTGAGCGAAGGAGCTTACGAGCTCGAGATGTACCAGGCGCCGAGGCCGGTCACATCGCCGTTGGGGTTCATGAGGGCGTTGTGCTGCTCGACGCCCTGCATGTTGCGCATCATGCCGAAGGGCGAGTAGCGCTCGATCCAGTCCTGCTTGTCCATCCATGCAGCCATCTGCTGGTGGAAGGCCCAGGTCTGGCCCTCGTCGCACTGCGCGCCACCGTTAAAGTTCTGGCACGCGTACTCGGTGATCCAGAGGGGCACGCCAGTCTTCTGGTGGAAGTTCTGGAGGTAGGTCTGGAAGTTGCCGACGTCAACATCGTAGTAGTGCACCGGGGCAAAGTCGGCCTTGCACTTGCCATTGTCGTTGCCGTTCTGCTGCATGCAGTTGTTGTAGAAGTTGACAACCCACTCGACGCCGTCGGGAGCCGAGGTAGGAGCGGCCGAGCCGATGCGGAGGCCGCGCGCGCGCGTCTTGGGCAGGAAGTCGTTGGTCCAGTACCCCAGAGCACTGTAAATGTCGATGCCGGCCTGGTCGTGCTGGTTGGGCTCGTTGAAGAAGAGGGCATTCTTCACGCTCGAGGGCCACGAATCGGCCGTCGCGTACCAGTCCGAGACCTGCTTGGCGCCCCAGAGCATGGGCACAAATTCGAGGCCAAGGTCGTCGTTCTGCTTGCAGTTGTGCGGCGACCAGGTGTAGTACCACGAAGTGCGCGAGCCGATAAAGTTGCCGATCCAACCGGGCTGGTTGGCGCCGGTCCAGTCGCCGTTGGGCCACGCTGCGCCGAGCTTGGAGCCAACGTTGACAGAGCCGCCGTTGACAGCCCCGGCACCACCGCCGGGAGAGTTGTTCTCAGGAGTCTCAGGAGTCTCAGCGGTTTCGGTGCTGTTGCCGGGCTGGTCTGGCGTGTCTGGGGTGTCGGGTGTGTCGGGCGTGTCCGGAGTGTCGACGTTGTGCTGCTCGTTGCCGGCAGGAGAGGTGGAGTTGGACTGCGCCTGTGCAGAAGGCTGGGCCGAGGCCTGCGCGGCTGCCGGCTGCTGCTGGGAGCTGTTGTTGTCGCCAGTCGAGGCCTGATTGGTGGTTGAGGGGCGGACGCGGCAGCGAGAGCCGTCGCCGCGGGTGAGGATCTGGTACTGGCGCTTGTCCTTTGCGGCAGCGAGGTGGCGCTCGGCGAGCTTCTGGTGGGCGGAGCGAGGGTGGCGAGCGACGCTGTGAGCAGCAGCCTGGTGGTTAGGAATGTCACTCAGGGAAGCGTTGGAAGAGAGGGTCACGGAAACGTGTCCTTTGTCGCGGAAACGTCTCAAAGGTCACGGAGAAGACTGAGAAGGGGGGTATTGGTGAATAAGCGCGATTAAGCGACAATCTCGAGCGAGATGTGTGCTGTACATGTGTATCTCATGTTGCTGCGCGTGCGGCGGCGTGCAGTGTTGGCCTGAGCAGCGGAGGCCAAACATTGTCCACGTATCTTTGGCGGCCCGGCAGCGGGAACGGGAGCGGAAGCGGAGTGAGGTAAGAGCGACAAAGCTCAAGCAGCTTCTGGTGGTGGAGGTAAGGCTAAACACTCACGGGCTGGGCCTCCAGAACGGCGCCGGCAATGGCGAGGGCCGGGACAGCAAAGTTGAAGAGCATGGCGATAGAGAGCGGTACCCGAGTACAAGGCCGAGGGGTGGGAGACGAGGCGGGACGGGACGGGACGGGATGGGGATCGACGACGAGCACAGCTCTGTTGTCGATTTGTCGAGGGGACGAGGTGCCGATGAACGAGTGTGAGGGCGGGGCTGGACAGACTCGAGCGCTACAACTAGACAGCTAGACGAGAGATAATGGACAACAAGACGAACGATTCCGCGTGTTAAAGTGCTGCGACGTGCGGGACGAAGCGCGGCAGGCGGTGAGGGCGGCCATGACCCATCACTCTCCTCGCCTTGCTTGGTCGCCCTCGGCATCACGCAGCATACGAATCCGTTACTCCAGTACAGATCAAATTACAAATCAGGCATTATCAAAATATTAATGGCACAACCAGCACCCCATTATCCCCCATTAGAAACCTCTATGGATATTTCTGGCTTCGTTCACGCGCATCCCCGTGAATCCTTACTGCGCACGCCCGAAAAGGTTCAGGGTCTAGGCCCAAAGCTTGGGCCGTTCCCGTGCTTCCCCTAGCAGCCACAAGTGCATTATTGCCCATCCCCGACGCACAGACCGTTTGGACGCGTCAGATTCAGGGGTAGGGCATGAAACTCCCGTCACCGCTAAAGCCAAAAGAGGCAACCGGCGTCCACGCTGTTCCCTGTTGTGACCATGCGACTATGACCCTATGAGAATTGGGAACTCGCTGTCACCTCGTCGTCGTTACTCCACTACTCCACTACCCCATACCCCATTCCCCAGCTTACACCATGTCCACGTCCAGCAGGCACATCATCAAGGAGGCAGGCGGCTCCGCCGTCTTCTCCAACGTCGTCGTCACAGGCAACCTCGTCTACCTCGCCGGTGTCATCGGGCAGAAGGACGGCAAGCTCGTTCCCGGCGGCATCGAGGCTGAGACCCCCGTCGCCTTCGACATTGCCAAGGAGCGTCTGGCGACCGTGGGCCTCGACCTGTCTGACGGTACGAGTCTGGCTGAGCTACAGTACGCTGATATTAGTCGTCAACGTTACCATCTACCTCAACGACTACAAGAACAACCTCGCTGGCCTGAACAAGGTGGGCAATCCTCGCCCTCGCCCCCATTTCTGACGATCCAGGTCTACCCTGCCATCTTCCCCGACGGCCTCCCAGCTCGTACTGCTATCGGCGTCGCTGCGCTCCCCATGGATGCTGCCGCCGAGTTCCAGATTGTGAGATGAGAGTGGGGAGAGTCGTGCTAAACTGAAAGGTTGCCTCCAAGCGGTCGTAGAAGTCGAAAGCGAGCGGACCCGTCCGGGGACTGAGGTCGGTGACTATTAGTGATCAGTGACACACTTCAAAATCAGAAGAGATGTGGTCGGCGTAACTTTGGGCGGAGCGGTGAACAATGAAGCAATGGAATGGAGGGGGGCGCGGCCGAATGCCATGGATAGCATGCAGGACCCACGGCCACCGAGGGCGCATTGCTGTGGACAATAATGTGGGCAAGGCAGAACTACTCATCTCCAAGCGCGGAAACAACGCGATACTCGTCTCATGCTTACGGATTATATAACTTCTTCAACTTGCCAGCATGGCCTGCTTCCCACTCACAATACTCATGCGACGTCGAGGAGCACGTAATGTCGAGGCTCGAGGATCGAGAAGAAGAGGTGCGCACGGTGGAAAAAGCGCGCCCGGTAATCAGCACTCACTCGAGATGGACACTACAGCTCTGCACACCATGTCTCAGCGTAGAGGCTACGCAGAAGGTGAACGCGGCGAGGATATCTGACTGCAAAGTGGGGGCGCTTTAGGAGGTAGAATGGGTGTGTCTCGAGTCAGGGGATAGGAGTGCGACCGCCTCAGGTTCGCAGTGCCTCTGCCTTCTCGGAGGTGACCGTCTAGCTATCCGGAGCGCAAATCCCGTGCCAGTCGATGTAACGTCGGGGCGAGACGTGCAGGCTGTGGCTGCTCATAAATGGCAGCAGACCTGCGCTAGGATGGCCGTCCTCGCGCAGCTCATGCCCAAGAACCCGAGCTCCGCGCCGGGCCAAGACGGGAGGGACAGGCCAGAGTGCTGGTGAGAAGACTCACTGGAGTGAGAGCGGGATTGAGGTTGAAAGCGTGGATGAAGTGGGATCATGGGAGCGTAAAGAGCGTTGGCAGATTGGGGGATATGGGGAAGAGATCGAAGAGATCGAAGAGATCGAAGAGATGGAGTGATCGCGAAGTGAGGGATGCGGAGCAAGAAGAAGGAGCGGGGTGGTAGTTTAAGTCGAGAAGTGCCGGGTGGAGCTGTGAGACAGAGGAAGCAGGCCAGGGGAGAGGGGCGCAAGAAGTGTGCGCTGCTAAGCGCGGCGATCTCGTCAATCGCGACTGCGGCGTGCCGCGGCGTGTGAAAGTGTGTGAGGACGGAGCAGCAGATCAGCACAGATCAGAAGAGATCGAGGGGATGAAGGAGACACATGTATACGTGTATACATGTATCGAGAGACTGAGAGCATGAGAGATGAGAGACGAGAGACGAGAGGAGCCGCGACACGCCAATCTGGTGAATTGGTGAATGAACACCAAATACCAAGCAGAGTTATCGCCGGCCCCACAAGCCCCGCAAGCAGCGTCGCGGCGTCGATGGCCCGTCGTCCGAGGTTCGCAGCGAGCGCAGTCCTGGCGTGGCACGCCGCAGCGAAGTGGGGCGTCGCGCGCGTCGCGCCTTTTGACTTCCATGCCGCGTGCCGGTCCATGGCCGTCCATCATTCATTCCATCGCAACCATCAGAGATCGATCAGAGACCATAGTGATGCGATGCCGTGGCGCCCCTTGCGGCCTGTCCCGGCCTTTGTCACGCTCGGTCAGATCAGCAGACTCCAGATCGCCAGGTTAGGTTCCTCGCACGCGATCGTACTCGCATACTCGCAATCGTATCTCTTCGCTGCTGCTTGGAGGTGTGGCTGCGGTGCGGCATGCGCGACGGAACCGCCACCACCTCGTGCGGAACCGAGCGGCCATGTCCGACGCTGACGTCGAGTCCACTCACCCATTTCAGCTTCCCACCACAACCTTCGCGCTCCCTCTTCCACGCAACCACAATGACCTTCCCCGACGCAGCTGCCATAGCTGACCGCCGCCGCCGCTTCCGCGCACTGCACGAGCGCGGCTGCTTCATCATCCCGAACCCCTGGGACGCAGGCAGCGCGCGCTATCTCGCGAGCGCAGGTTTCCAAGCTGTGGCCTCAACATCCTCCGGCTTCGCATGGACGCGGAGCGCCGAAGACAGCGCGCTGACGCTGGACGAGACACTAGCGCACCTGCGCGACCTCGTGTCTGCCTCGCACTTGCCCGTGAACGCGGACTTTGTCGACGGGTTCGGCGCGACGCCAGACGACGTCGTCGCGAGCGTGGCGCGCGCAATCGAGACGGGCGTCGCAGGCCTGTCTATCGAGGACGCGTACTCGGCGCCCGCGGAGCGCGGGGCGCACGCCGAGCCGCTCCGCCCCGTCGCGGAAGCAGCGGCGCGCGTAGCCGCCGCCCGCAGAGCCATCGATGCGTCGGGGCACGACGTGGTTCTCGTCGGGCGCGCGGAGAACTTCATCGCCGGCCGCCCCGATATCGAGGACACGATCGTGCGCCTCAAGGCTTACGCTGACGCCGGCGCTGATTGCCTGTACGCGCCAGGCATCGCTACGCCCGAGCATATTGCCGCGGTCGTGGCGGCTGTCGCGCCCAAACCTGTCAACCTCCTCGTTGGGGGTGCGTCGCAGTTCAGCCTCGCGGAGATCGAGAAGATGGGCGTGCGGCGCGTAAGTGTTGGCGGTGCGCTGGCCCGCGTCGCATGGGGCGCAGTTATGCGCGCGACGAGCGCGCTCGCGGAGGGCGACTTTAGCGCTCTGGGGGACGCGGCGAGTGGGGCCGCTCTGAACGAGATCATGCGTGGGTCGTGAGGGAAGATATGAGTTGTCGGTCGATGCTAGCTGCTGTGTCGCGCTGTCTTTGGTTTGGTGCATCGATGTCTCCCAAAACGACTGCGTTTGTACCAGCGCCGAACACCTCTCCTCATCTTTACCAGCAAGTTGGCGCTCATTGCGCGTGCGAGGTCGAAGTAGCTGATGTTCAAAGGCCCACTCTCTCCAACGCACCCTCCTCGATGCCCGTGATCTGTACATCATACAAACAGTCTATGGCTCTCTGTCTAGAACCTTTTGCCCTCCAGGTCGCCCACACCCTCACCTCCGTCCCCTTCCCCAGCGTCTCGAAGCTTAAGCCTTGGGTGCTGGTGCCGAGTGCGCAAACGCCTCCTCCTTGCTTGCGACACCAGTCTCGCCAAAGCGGCGCACCACATCCTCAACCCCGCGCTGGCGGTTGTCCGGTGCGCTCATGCCCGCAGCGCGCTGACTCTCCTCGACAGTGTACGCGCCCTCCTTGAGGTCCTTGAGGCGGCGCTTGTGCACCTTGCTCTTGGTGTGGGTGCGCAGAGCGGCGTCGGTCTCGTAGTACTTGCCGCACTCGACACAGTACTGCGATCAGCAAGCGATACGAGAGCGCGACTGTTCCGTCACGAGGGGAGATTCCGCAGAGAAAATGGGCATGACCAGAGCAACACTGCAATGCACAGCAGTACCAGGGCGATAGTACTATCCAAGGTAACCGACAGCTCTGGCGCACTCGCTGTAAACTGTTCCCAGTCCATGCTGTCCAGCGGGCGGGTCCAGACACGCTGGATTGAGAAACACTTTCGTAGTTTCTCCCAGTGGCCTCTGGGGTCTCCGGGACAAACTTCGCGGCTCTGCAACCAGTGGATCCGGAGCTCAGTCCACAAGACGTGCCCGCAATGCGGGCATGCGTCTCTAACTCACAGCTCCTCGCACCGCATCCACACAGCATCGAGGCCGCTCCCCGGCGATCTTGCAGACGCCATGAACAGAGCCGAGCGCTCCCAAGTGACGACGGAGCCGAAACCATGGAGCCCGGCAGAGTCCAGGCATGCCGCTCATCGCCTGCGCCCAAGTCGTGCATCTTCCCTTCCATGCGTCCCGCAACACCTCGCATCCACACCACAACTCACGTGCTGGCCGAGACCAGGCTTGTCCTCGTCAATGGGCTGCTTCTCGAGCTTCTTGCGCGAGTGGTCGATGTCGTGCTGGATCTGGTCGAGGTCCTTTGTGCGCACGCGAGTGCGGGCCGCACGGGAGACGTCGCGGCGTGCGTGGTGGGTACGAGAGCGGCGGAGACGGCCCATGATCGACGGTGGATGATGAAGTGGGTAAGACGAGTGGGTGTTGAGTGGCAAACGTTCGTCGGCCGATGAGAGAATCACAGCGGTGGAGGAGCTTTGGGTGAGCGAAAATCCTGCTGTGCCTGAAGCATGCAGCGTACGTAATTCACAAAACCTCGGGGCCGGAGCAGGGACTTGCCGCCGGGCACTGTACCAAAGGGGGGAAGGGAAGGCGCCCGGTTCAAGCGCGTCGCCACTCGTCTTCATCATCCTTGTCGTCTTCAGCATCCTCTTCATTCTCCTCGTCTTGCTCATTGCTCTTCATTTCCCTCTTCATTGATCATCCCACTCGCACCACTCCCTCCTCTCTTTCCACTCTTTCCGCACTGTTCGCTTCTGGCCACAGTCTCGCTGTTTCAGAGCGGGTTGCACAAAGCTTGAACGACAATCAATCAAGCAAACGCACGCGCCGCTCGGCGCCCGGGATCTCCTACGCAAGGGCCAGTTCAACCTTCCACATCGCATCCAACTTCAATCCACACTCTTTCTCTCGCTCGCGCACGACGCGTCTTCAACTCGTCATATAATCCTACCTCCAATCCCTCCTCACATCTCCCCCGAACCCCCCCCCCCCCCCCCAACCCCACATCCCATCATGCACACCTTCCCGACCCACCTCATCGATCGGTTGCCGACGATGGCGGCGTCGCACAACGCGTCCCTCCTCGCAGCCATCACTCCCACAACCCTCGACCCACCCTTCTATTTCTCCCCACGACAGCACCTCTTTGACTGGATCACGGACCGCAATCTGTCGCTGCTAGCACCGATCGCGATCTATTGGGTCCTCTCGACAATCTTCCACATTCTTGACACACTCGAATTGCCCTACTTCGAGCGGCATCGTATCCACCCCAGCACTGAGGTCACCAAGCGCAACCGCGCCGGCTTTTGGCAGGTGATCAACGCCGTCATTTTCCAGCAGGTAGTGCAAACTGTGCTCGGGTTGATTGTGCTTGACTCGGACGAGACCCTCCTCCGCACCGAGGTCCTCAAGGACCACCTTGCCTCCATGGAATGGCTCGCACCTCGAGTTGCCGACCTGACCTTCCTCTTCCTCGGCAAGACTGTGGGCATGTCGATTCTCGAAGCTTACGGCGCCCGTCTCGTCAACTTTGCGTATTGGTGGGCGATCCCAGCTCTCCAGCTGTTCGCAGGCTTGTGAGTCTCCATCTGTTGCGCCCACGTCCCGTTTCCGGGTGCCTTTGCGCGCTGCAGCCCTCGTTTTAGAACCCACCTTCTTTGTTCATACACTCACACCTAGCTGTGTCATCGACACTTGGCAGTACTGGCTGCACCGCACAATGCACGTCTACCCCTGGCTCTACAAGCAGTTTCACTCGCACCACCACCGGTTGTACGTGCCATTCGCCTTTGGCGCGCTTTACAACCACCCAGTGGAGGGACTGCTGCTCGACTCGCTCGGTGCGGCCATCGCGCACATGGTGACGTTCATGACCATCCGCCAGGCGAGCCTCCTCTTTTTCCTCAGCTCGTGGAAGACTGTCGACGACCACTGCGGCTACAAGCTCTGGTGGGATCCATGCCAGCTGTTCTTCAACAACAATGCCGACTACCACGACATCCACCACCAGAGCTACGGCATCAAGGCCAACTTTGCCCAGCCCTTCTTCACCAACTGGGACTACTTCCTCGGCACCCAGATGACGCGTGAACAGGCGGAGAAGCGCCACGCCGAGGCGAAGGCGCGCGCAGCAAAGAGCCAGTAATGTATTGTAGCCAGTAGCAGCAGAAGTAGTATAGCCTTCTAATAAGCATCAGTGAACAGCTCTAAGGGAACGGGTGGGTCCGAGGTGCAGAGCGGAATGCCTCCGATGCGAGGCAGGAATGTGCGGATGTGAGCGGCTTCGCACGGTTGCTCGAGCACTCGAGCAACAGACTTAGAGTCTCGCCCATACATACATGTTGACTGTCCTCTAGACTACACTACTCGTCCTCGCCCTCGGCATCCTCCTCGTCCCCTTCCGCCGCCGCCGCCTCGGCCGCACGTTGCCGCTCGAGCTCGGCCTTCTTCTCTGCTGCACGCCGTTCACGTTCTTCCTTGGAAGGTCTGATCCAGTTTCCCTTCCCGACTCCGGTTTGGCTGATGTCAGCGTTGATAACGCGGGAGATACGCAGTCACCGGGGCCAGCAAGCGCTCGCATCGACTCTTGCGCACTCACCCAGTCTTCTTCGCCGGCTTCTTCTCCTTCTTGTCGTCATCCTTCTTCTTCTTCGCTGGCACGTTCTGTGGCGGCTTAACAACGATCTGGCCGAGCGGGCCGATATTCGCATGCAGGGGGTCGAACGCCTCGTCGCCTTCGGGCGGCGAGTTCTCGAAACGATCAGCGTAGAATGCGTGCAGCAGGGCCGGCGTCGCGGCCTTATACGTTCCGGCTGTAAGAGGGATGAAGGGCGGAGGCGGCGCGTAATCGGGTTCTGCTGTTTTGGGACCCAACGCCGCAGCATCCCGCCTCCGCCGCCCAAAGAAGAGTGACTTGGGCACGGTGACTGACGAGAGACCGAACTCTTTGTCGATGCCCAGTTCTCGGAGACCGAGGAAGTCTTCGCCGAGGTCCTCTGCAAAGTCGCCACTGGAGTCAGCAATGGCCCGATCATGACGCACTGTTGGAGCATCTGCCCGCCGTCGGCCAGCAGCATGTCGTCTTCGATGACGGGCGCCGTTGTGAGCTCAGCATATGCCGCGCGCATCTTGCGCTGCTGTTCTGCAACCTTGGCACTGTCGCGCTCAATCTCGTCCTTGATGTGCGACTCGAGGTCATGTAGCTTCACTTGTCCGTTCTCGTGCAGCACATGGAGGACTAGTTCCTACGGGTCAGCCGGATCTAGGCACCCCGTGAACTCACGTCTGGCTTCATCTGGTGTGCGAAACCGTCTAAGAGGAGGCGGAAGGTACGACCAATGTTGCGGATGTAGTCGCCTGCCACGCGTGTCATGAGGTCGAGAGGAATATCATTTGCGCCTGTTGTCAGTCCTCCGCCTCGCACATCGACTCACCATCGAAGCCTGCGTGGGCTAACAAGCTCGCTGTGGAACGTTTAAGCTCCAAAGCAGCTTCTGCGGCGCCAACCTCCCCGCCGAGTTTCCGTCGCGCGGCGCCTTCGGCGCGGGCCTCTTCTCGCTTGCGCTTGAGCTCTTTCCGTTGCTTGGTGAGCCCAGCGCGCACGCTTTCTATTGGCTCTAGCGGTTGCGGTTCCGGATCTGTCCCATCGCCCTCGTAGTAGCGCTGCAACTCCTGGACAGTGTGCATTGTCCTGCGCGCGTCCGTAAGCTTGTCAATGGCACGGTCGACCACCCGTGCCAATGACACGGGCTTGGAGGGGACCAGCGCCGGCGGTTGCGACTCAGACATCTCCATGTCGCCATTCGGCGTTGGCGATCTTCGCCGCGCCACTCGCCTGCGCTTGCTCGACGGTCCTTCGATCATATGAGGAGCGGTCGGCAAGCCCCCGACGTACGCGTCGTCCTTCGTCACTGCACCCCACCAGCAGCCTTCTAGCTTAGCATCCTCGTCGTCGGCATCCGTGGCAGCTGAATACCAGGAAGGCGGGTGAATGCCGTGGAGCAACTCCTTAGCTTTCGCTTTGTCCAAGAAGGCCGGGCCTGAATGTAGAAGCGAGATAGGCTCCCAGTGCGCCATAATGTGAGGTGTTCGGAGAAGCGCCGACGAGCTTTCAAAGTCGGCGACGAGGTTAGGGCGGAACGGTGGTGGCTGGCGTCAGCTTACATCACGGGGCCGTCTCACAGTCTGTAGTCTGCCGTTCACACGGCGGTCTCCCGACAAAACGCTGGTTCCACGCCGAACTCCTGGCGTTGCGGTGCCATTGGCACCCTCACTCTTCTTCCTGCCAGACTCTTCGTCTTCCCCCATTGCGTCATCACTCTCTCCCGCCGCGTCTTCATCGTCGTTTGCGGGCTGCTGAGACGCCGCTCGTTGCACCGCAAGCGACGCGCCTGACGCCGCCAACATTTGCGCAAGCGGGTTGTTCGCATTGGAATCGCGGTCCGCGAGGAAGGATAGTAGATGGTTGCTCTTCTGCCGAAGGAACAGGGCGATGCCACGCAGCGGGTGATTCTGTCGTTAGCCTGGCCAGCGCTCGCACACCTACCGCTGTCGTGTTATATGTCAGACAATTTTGCCAGATCAGATCGACATCGTTGCCAAAGTCCGTCTTGTTCTTGTATTTGTGATTTTTGACATTCCGGAGCAACGTCTGGAGGTCCATGGGTTGACATCGTTGCCAAAGTCCGTCTTGTTCTTGTATTTGTGATTTTTGACATTCCGGAGCAACGTCTGGAGGTCCATGGGTTTTGAGATGTCTGATGTCAGCGGGCACTTGATGGCAGCGCGAGATTATAACGCACACGTCGAGTAATCTGGTGCATCGCGCTTCGACACGGGCTTGAGGAACGGCGCGGCCTCCGGCTGCGCGTCAGCGATAGGATCGGAGGTGTGATGAACATACCGAGTTCTTCAGCTCCAGAACGATCTTCTCCAGCGCGTCGTAGAATGCATCGCTCGACTTGCCCTAAGTTCGTGCACGCAGAAGAGCAATTCAGGATGCCGTTGAACAGATAAGAATGTGAGAGTGGCGTGGTAGAAGCGCGCAGAGTCAGTACGGAGCCGGGTACGCGTATTCTACGGGAACTTACCTTGCCGGCGTTGACATTGACGAGGAGCTGCTGAAAGTCGGGGTCAGTGAGTCGCGGCGCATCGCTGATGCCGTCAAGATACTGAAGGAGATACTGTTGGGCATCAGCAAGAGTTTATAAGAGATGGATGGATGGAGAGATGGATGGAGTGGTGTGGTGGATGATGGGCGTGTGCGGTGCGCAGGAGGCGGGAGTGACCGACCTTCATTGTGGGCTGGCGTGCGGTCCCTCCGCCGCTCCGCCGGCGCTTGAGTCGACGTAGGAGCGCTCTCCGGGGGAGCTAAAGGTGTCGGCGGATAGCCCTCGGCAGGGGGGATATGATGGACGCAGTTTCCCGAGTGGATGGTTCGATGTGGACGAGGAGTGGAGTGGATAAGGTGGTGGCTCGAGTGGGTGTAGTTGGGTCGAAAAGAAGTGCGACTTGGCGATGGCCCTCCGGTGGGTACTTTTGTTTCACCCAAATTGCTCCCTCCACCACCATTCAATACAAAAACAATACCTCATCAACGCCATCACCGAAGCCTCGCTCACCACAAGCGTCGGGCACAACACCTCCTACACGTCCGCAGCAACTTCTCAGGCGCGTACGCTCCTTTTCATTACCAGGTGGCAGGCCTTTCTTTCTCCCAGGTCTACCGCACAAGCTCCTCTCCCTTCCTCTGACCTCTGACCTCCACCACGTCATTGTTTACACAATGTCCGACGACGAGTACATCCCCCCGAGCGACCATTCAGGCGACGAGGCTCCGGGCCCATCAATGGTGGCGGCGCGCATTCGCCCACTGCCCCGTACGACATTCCGCTCTGTCGAGTACCCGGGGCCCATGCAGCGTGCGGACCAAATCATGCGCCACATCAACCAGGAGGACATTGACGACACATTCAATGCGCCGATGAGCGATATGCGCCAGCTCGAGCTGCGCTACCGTCCCGAGAATCGCGCGGCTGTCCCTGTACGCGGAAACCGCGTCGCAAGCCAGAAGGTACTCGTTAAGATCACGAAGCGGCGGCGCAAAGGCAAGGTGGACCAAGGCGTATTCACCGCCGACGTGATGGGTAACATCCCTCAGACGGTGCGATTCCGTTCGATGGCCGACTATCAGTACACGCCTGCGGCAGACTCGAGCGTGCAGGAGTTGTGTCAGGCCCTCGTCGACCTAGACTGTTCGTTCGACCCAGCCGGAAAGAAGTGGCACTAATGGCAGACGACTATATCCTGGACTACAAAGTACCTTCCTTACACGAGGAGTACTACGAGCCCAATCCCCTCAATCCAGATGGTACGCCGCCCGCTGTCCCGTACCGCTCTTTGATGGAGCTGCAGCCCACACCGCTCGCGAGCGCGCGCCAGTTGCCCCATAATTTCAACTATCGCATGAGCGCCAACACGGTCGAGGAGGAGATCTGGGACGATGACGCGCAGGAGACGAAGAAGCGCTATGTGAACCGCTCACGCGCGCAGGGCTGGTCTGTCCCGGCCGTGGGACATGGTCATCCCGTCCCCACCGAGCCGGAGCAGAGCGTGCGCGAGCGCATGGACCGCCTGGACAAGCGCATCATGACGCGGCTGCGCGAGCTGTTTGAGGCGCGGCCCATCTGGCTGCGGTATGCGCTGCTGACCAACTTTGACGAGAAGGACCGATATGAGATTTTGACGTAAGCCTCGGCGCGGCGTCTGCTGACTGCAGAAATAAGCTGTACCTCCCAGCAGTCGCGTTCACGTATGGTGCCGGCCCATACTGGAAGACTCTTGTTCGATACGGGTATGATGCGACGACAAAGCCCGAGGCCCACAAGTACCAGCGCGTCTACGTATACTTGGATGTAAAGCGTGGGCGTAACACCATCCTCAACTCGGCAGTGGATCCCGAGGACGAAGACGAGAGCAAGCGGCCCAGCTTTTGGTGGGAGCACGAGCAGGATGCGCGTATAGCGCAAGGCCTACGCCCCCCACTTGATAATGCGTAAGCGTCACACAGCGCTGTCGCTGACTGCAGCAAAATTCACATCTTTGACGGGCAGGTGCTCCACCGCAACAAACCCGACTATCAGCTCATCGACATCACTGACCCCTTCATCGCCAAGTACATCTACGACCCAACGTGCATGATGGACGTGTGCGACGTGAGTAGCGTGGTGTAGATTGGGGGGGCAGGCTAACGCCAGCACCACACGGGGTGGTATAGACCTGTTTCATTCGAGCTGATCAAGGCGCTCCTGCGCAGCCGCTTCGCCGACTTACGTGACACACACGAGCCACCGACCGACGACAGCTGCAACTTCATTTTGGAGAGCTACGACCGCGCAATAGAGGAGAGCTCTGCTGCGGGTACGGGGGACAAGGAGGCTGCCGAGGCGTTCATGCGTCGCGTCGTGGCGCATCGCCGCCTGCCGCGCGAGGAGCGGCCATGAGCGGAGCCGCAGGCTGTAGACGTGCGTTGAATGTGGAGATGGATCGGGGCTGTTGGTATAGAGTGCAGACGGGAGGAAACGGGGGAGGCATTGCGTGCGAGCTCAACGATCCATTACCCACATGTGGTGGACATGTACAGAAGGCTTTTCCGTTGTGGAGGCGGAGGCAGGTCTCCAGATCTCCAGGCCTTTGATTGAGCGATCTGGACTTCAACTTTCCGCACATGCGGAAAGTCGGCATCGCGACCGCGCTCGCGCTCGCAAGTCGCGAGTTTGAACTACGCGTGCTCTGCGCTAAGCGCGCATAACCTCGTTTTGGGCGGCGACCTCAGTTGGTTGCCCTTAGTCCCATGGCCGGATCTTTGTGCCGCATGCGTACGCTCTCCTGTCCTGTGCGCATGGGAGGCACAAGGGCTGTGAGTCAGCTATTGTGAAGGGCCAGAGGCAGAAGCCAGAAGACACACGCGTTCGATCGCAGCGCGACATCCGCGCAGTACCCCGCACCTCGGCTATGGGCCTATTCGTGGAGATCCGGACTCGACATGCCTCGGCCTGGGCATGCCGGACTGAGACATTGAGCTTGCCTGGAACGAGGATGAGACTGGCGAGTAGAGGCACCGACTTACCCGCGGCCGTGGCCGTCCATCAGGATTGGGAGCCGTCGTGTGAGGTCCAGAGGTTCCCACGTCCGTAGCCCTCACGGGAGCGCACTAGCTCATGTGACAGTGATGTTTGCTTGGCTGCCTCGGTCACTGACCGGCGATGGCGACACGGGGTGCAGCGCGTACACGTTTATGAAGGCCGATTAAGGTAAAGCTCGATGACAACTCGTCGAGACGGTCTTCAGCCTTACCTAGATGTGCTCGGAATAGAATGGCTTCCATCGTTTACTGCTGTTCATTACGCAATACTAATAACTCCTGACTACAAGCCACAGTGTTGCATCGTGCAGATGCACCGAATTGGCAGTTTACACAGCGCCACCACCGCCGGAGGCATCGAATCCGCCGGCATGCTCGTTGTGGTGCTTGCCCTTCTCGACGTCGGCCGAGATGGACTGCTGGCGATACGTCTTGGTCGGAGTCCAGCCAGGCGACTTGCGGGGCGAGCCACACTCCTCCATCATCTGGTCAACCTGCTCAAGCGTGAGGCCCTTGGTCTCCCACACCAGGAAGTAGGCGTAGACGAACGCGCACGTGCAAAGCGCGCCCCACACGAAGAAGACCTTGGACCCGAGGTTGCCGCGGTTCTCACCGACCATGTAGGGGGTGATGACGGCGATAATGCAGTTCCACAGCCAGTTCGACGCCGTCGAGAGAGCGACACCGCGAGCACGGATCGAGATCGGGAAGATCTCACCGATGACGACCCATGCACCAGGGCCCCAAGTAGACGCGAAGAAGAAGATGTAGATGCAGATGAAAGCGATCTGCACCTTGGCCACAGTGAGGTCGGTGGGCTTGGCCGTGCCGATGATGCCAACGATGAACTCGCAGATGAGCATGCCGAGGGCACCCCAGACGAGAAGGGGGCGACGGCCAAAGCGCTCAATAGTCCAGAACGAGATGGGGGTCGAGCAGACGTTGACGAGGGTGGTGATGAGCGAGATCAGGAAGGGGTTCTCGATTGTGCCAAGACGCTTGAAGAAGACAGTGCCGAAGTAGAAGATGAAGTTGATACCGGTCCACTGCTGCATCATCTGGAGCGAAGTGCCGAGGATGGTGAGGCGAAGGTTCGAGTTGGGGCGACGAAGGCCACCGCTGAAGCACGCAGTCCACGACGAAATGTAGGTCTGGTTGGGGAGGAGCGACTGCTCGTACTCGCAGTTGGCGACGATCTCGGCGAGCTCATCCTGGATGTAGGGCGAGTCGGGAGGGTGGCCACGGATACGCGAAAGCGAGACAGCGGCACGGTCGGGGCGGCCACGCTTGACGAAGTAACGAGGCGACTCGGGGAGAATGAAGAGGCCACCGGCAAGGATCAGGGCCCACGCAAACTGGATGGCGATGGGAATGCGGTACGAGCTCGAGTCGGTGCGGTTCTGAGTGGCGTAGCACACGCACGAAGCGAGCAGGAGGCCGATGGTGATGCAGAACTGGTAACCGGAGACAATGGTACCGCGGATCTTGCGGGGAGCGATCTCGGACATGTAGAGAATGATGATGGCCGAGACGAAACCGACACCGACACCGGCAATGGCACGGCCAGCCGAGAGAAGCTTGTAGTCGGTTGAAGCAGTCTGAAGGATAATGCCAATAATGAAGACACCGCATCCCGCAATAATGGTAGTCCGACGACCAAAGTAGTCGGCAAGGTCACCAGCCATAAGCGCACCGAAGAAAGTGCCGGCCGAGAGAATCGAGGTGATTAGCGACGACATCCACTCGGGGATCTCAGTGGAGCCAGGAGGCGCAAACTCGCTGATGACATGGGGCATGGCCAGGACACCGGAAATGTAACCTGAGGATCAGCATGGCTCTCTATGAAAGCATGAAAGCATGGGTGGAGCTATAATCATCCTCGAACCTTGGGATGTCCCTACTCTGTGACTCCACGCCGCTGCATGCAGACGCAGCAGAAGCGAGTAAGAAGAGACGGGATCTATTCAAAGGAAACATAGGAGTGTAGCATGTGCATGTGCGGCAAGAGGCGGCGCAGTGCGCAGCGCAGCGCACAGGCATGACCAAGCAGCAGCAAGCAAGCAGATGGACGGAGCAGCCATAGGGAAGCAGATGGAATGATGACGTCCACGAAAGCGCTTGGCGAAGCGGGGCTTGTAAGGCGTAGAGCACGCGGGCCCTCATGACATGCTCCAAGTCACGCGACGCCACTTTTGGGTTGGCAAGCGAGTCGATCGCATGATCTACTGCTTGACAACCCCCGCCGCATCCCTCCTCGAGTCTGGGCCAACTCGCCAGATTATCATGCCAAAACTGGATCTGGATCTGCTCACACAAGGCAAGCTGAACGCTTCCCCAGACTGGACGCAAAGATGAACTCACCAGAGTCGAAACCAAAGAAGATTCCACCAAAGGCGGCAAAGGCACAGGCCATGTAGGCCTTGGGCGTCACCGGCGCCTCGACGCGCTCGACGGTAGACATATTGACAATATGCGACGCGCTGAGTTTGAAGTACGCGAGTTGAGGTGAGAGAAATGTAGAGGAAAACGGCTGGATGATCAGCGCTCGCTCACTTCGTGGCCCACGCGAGGAAGGTGCGGAGAGGAATAGTGATCGCAACCTGGAATAGGATGCTGTGGTAGCGGGATACACTCACGCGTCCAGTCGATGAGGGGCCGAGTCGGGGCGACGTGCAACAAAGAAACAACACGGGGACCGAGCTAGCCTCTTATATGTTTGTGAGCCTAGAACCTGGCTGGTAAGCGGGGAGGCACTGGCGCGCGCCACTGTTGATGCCATGAGTCTACTTGTGGCCTTGCGGGGCAGGCTGGGAGCGAAGTGGCGCTAGGCATGTCGGGGGAGTCAACGGGCATTCAGGAGGCTTAGGACGGTCTAGGAGGAGTGAGGGTGCCGGATCTGGGATGTGTCAAGCCCAGGTTCTGGACAGGTAGAAGGCCACAGATCAGAGGCAATGGAACGGAGCTACACTGCGCGCGCAGGGGCGCATGTGCTTTCCCCCGTGTGGCCGTGTGTTGTCGGCCGTTCAGTCGAGACCGGGGCAACAATGAGCAACGAGGGGGAGAAACAGGGCAGGCACCACGGTGACCAGGGGGCTCCTGCAAGTCGACTGAGACGAGAACAGCTGGGGCACTGCGGCAGAGGACGGCAACTGCGCGGCAACTGGGGGCAGCTCGGGGGAGGCGGAGGAGTAGTTGAGGTGAGGAGGAGTGCGGAGGAGGAGGGCGGCAGCTGGTGGATGTCGCTTGTGTGGTCATGTGGCTTGGAATGGAGGCCGGTAACCCGCCACTGGTGACGTTTTTTCAACTTGACCCTGACAGCTCTCGATCTAGAGCACCACTAGACTCTGCTCCTCCCCGGTCTTGCACCTCCATCGAGACCGCTGAGAATGCCGCAGACTTGATTAGCTCAGTATTGGGCCTCGACAGCGGCGCAGGCACGATTCACGCGTTCCCCCGTGGCATTTTCTGCAGTGCAACCACCACCTCCTCATGTTTGTACACATACACAGACACCACACACATACACTCAAATCGGTCAGAAAAAAAATCCTCAGCACTCCCTTGTCTTCCCCGTTCAAACCCTTCAGTTGCATCCGATGGTAGGGTGTCCGGGCCCGACAGGAGGGCAGGGAGCAGGAGGTGGTCGGCTTGGTCACCGCTGGACTGAACGATGGGTGTACAAGCAGAGGAGGACAAGGCACGCGGCTACCGCCGGCGACTTTGACGCCACTTATCCTGATCGCATCACATGGGCGGCCCGGTTGACCTAGAGTGCCGCAGCCACTCGCCGCAGTTGTGCTGACGTGAGCTTGGTGGGGGACGGTTCATTGGCTCAGCCGAGTGGTACCACAGGGACAGCCAAGGGCACGAAGATCTTTTTCTGTGCAAGTCTCGGTGTCGCGCCGTGATGGCCCTAGAGATGCGCCGCGTACTGCCGTATCCGTTGGCTTCATTGGCCTAGGCCGCCGGCGGCATCTCGGCGCCGCACGTCTTCGCCTCCGATCTCATGCCCCCTGAGAACGAAACGAGACGCCCGATAATTGCAGACTCAGCTGTGGCCTCGTAAACCAGCTTCTAAGCCCTTGGTCAGCGCCTCTTCCGTGTGCCAAGTTGCTGAAGGACGTCGACATCTCACAGAGTAGGATACCAAATTTAGAAATACAGATGATCAGATGCAATCGTATTGGGTTCTGTCCGTCATTGCCGATCCGACCCGTTCTTGTTCTGCTGCCGGTTGCCGGAATCAGCAGGCACGCATCAAGGTGATCTCCGCGATCTACGATCCGCAACAGCCGCCATACAAGTTGCCAGCTCTCAAGGCTGGCGCTCGAGTTCATGGCTAACTCGTGCCGCACACCGAGGACTTGGCCGAGCCGTGTCGCATACTATGCATCGCGGGCAGCGGCCATCGGGCACGCCAGATAAACAGAGTCACCAAACAGTCATGCACACTTGACGTCATTGGCCTGCGAGTGCTCTGCCATGCCCTACCCCCTACTGTCTTGGCTTCGGGTGAGGTTTCGAGCAGCGAGCCCCTCGTGCCCGCCATTGGCCACGCTACTCTTGTCCTGACTGTGCTCACCCGAGAGCATGTCCGGCACAAGCACAAATGACCCGGGCCTCGCGCCGGGTTTGCCGCGCCTCAGTCTGATACCTGGTCATCCGTTTGGACCGCTTCAGTTGGCGGTCTCACACCTGGCGGACGATTTTGGCCGACACACGATCTGGACAGGTCGTGTGACCTGGAGATCCGCAAATGATCTGTGGGGTTGCGACTGTTTGGGGTCGATTTGTGGAGTAGACAGATGTCTGGGGACGGCTGCGGAGTGGGGCCGAGATGTGTGGGAACATCATGATGGAAGCGAACAGGTGGCGCTATCAAGCCAGCAACACGCCGATCGCTGTGGTATGTTGGGTGTCCTGACGCGGAGATATGGCTGAGACACCTAAGCGAGGGCGTCTGGGGCACCTTGGAGCTCGCATCTACCCTCCTCATAGGTCTGCACGCGGGCAAGCGGGCAGACGGGGCGGGCAGACGGGCATATTCCACTCTGTCTCACAGATGGTCAAGAAGAACGGAGAAGAGACGGGCCGCCCTTAAACGCGATCGCACTCGCGTGACGATGTGACCTCTGGCACCATGGCACCAACGCGTCGGGGTGACTTTACGGGCACGGGCCATGGTGGCGCGTGAGTTGTGGCACGTCGTGCTGGAGGCGTTCATCCACTCGTTCTTCCGTGTGATGCGCCACACCTCAAGCACCACACGTGTAACCATGTGTCGACTCCAGTCGTCCCAGAGCTGCGACAAAGTTATGCCCGCTCCGTACTCCCCGAAGCTAGTGTATACATGCAATGCCGATGCCCAAATCCAGAACCCATGCTAATACTCGTCGTGACGTGTTACCGCGCCAGCTGTCGTGCCCGCCCCGCGGGTCTCCCGTTTTCCCATATCTCAATCAAGCGAGGCCCCCTCTATTAGGCACTCGCTGCGACTCTCTGCGCCAGTCTAGTACTGCCGGCCGAGCGTGCGGAGCACATCGTCGAGGATGCGCTGCGGCAGCTCGTTGCCCGCCACCACGCACTGCACGTGCTGGTCGGGACGCACGAGCACGCCGCCGCTCTTGCTCGTCCCGTACCCCTCCATCCACGCCTTGCCGGGTTTCTTTTCGACAAAGTCAAAGTCCTTGCCGACTTCGACGACCTTGAGCGGCACGCCCTGCTGTGCAAACATCTGGCGCAGCACAGGTATCTTCTTGCCCCACGTCGACCCCGAGTAGAAGAAGGTGTAGAGGCCAAGAGGGACAATGTCGAGCACACTAAAGTTCCAGTCCTTGGCCTTGGAGTTGGACAAGTCGTCGAGGTACGACAGGTCCACGGGGTCGAGGGGAGGAATCACACCGGGCACCTTGGACTTGATCCAAGCGTGGGCGAAGCGCGCTCCACGACGGTACTGCGGCTTGTACACCTGCGACTGCTGAGGTGTCCATCCGGGCTCGTACACGTAGCCGAGGTGACGGTTGAGCTGGAGTCAGACTGAAGTGGAGAGGCGAGGGATTCGGGCTGCGATCCAGCGAACACGACTTACGTTGTCAAAGTGCTCAGCCTGGTCCTGAATGAGCGCCTGGACATAGTTGCGCTGTTGAGGGTCGTTCAGTGCACGCATCATTTCAAGGCGGGCGGAAGGAATGTCCGGGCCAGTGTTGCGAAGAGCCTTCAGGAGATGGAAGATCTTCTTGCCATTCTTGACCGACTGGATCGAGTTGTGGAGGGCAACCGGTCGACGCTCGCTCTCGTAGCTCTTGAGCAGCGTGGGGAGATGGCCCCACCCGTGATACGCGGCGGCGATCTTGTACGCGAGATTGTGGGCGTCGGCAATGCCCGAGTTAAGACCCAGGCCTCCGGTGGGAGGGAACGAGTGAGCGCTGTCTCCTGCGAGCACGGCACGGCCACGGTAGTAGTTGTTGGCTACCTTGCGACGGAGGATCCAAGGCATCGAGCAGTTGAAGTCGACGGGGATGTCGGTGCCGATCGCCGCGCGCACAATGTTCATGCACTTCTCAGGTGTGAACGTTGATAGCGGGGTCACGTCGGGGTCAATGTTGTGGATAAGCACGTGGTTGTACTCGATATCGTAACTAATGATAAAGCCACGCGCCTCAGGGTCGAGAATCCAGTAGAGCATGCCGACCTTGTCGCCGACAACGGGGCGCAGATCGGCGCTGAAGTGGATGGTGATCATGGTGTCGGCCGTCTCCTCACCCTCGGACGAGATGCCTACAGCCTTACGGACGCGCGAGTTGGCGCCATCGCATCCAACCACGAGGCAGGACTCAACCTGCATCTCCTCGCCCGTGTACGTGTCCTCGACCGTTGACACGCAGATAGTCTCGCCGTTACGCGTGACCTGCCATCAGCAAATGTAGCTAAAGATCGGCGTCGGGTGCGCACGGGCCGTGTTTACGGTTGGCCCAAACGCGGCCGTTCCGCAGTTTGCTGAGCTCACCTCCTCGTGGCTGATCCACGTCCAACCCAGGCGGTAGTCGACGTTGACCTCAGCGTCGAGCATGTACTCCATAATGGCCTCCAGATCGGGTTGCGCGACGTTGTGCACCATCTGCCGTCAACACCAATGCAGGATCCGGCGGTCCGGGCTCTGGCCGATTACGGCCCGCGTAAAAGAAAAAAATAGCCAGTAAACGCTACGCTACCCACCTCTGGCGTGTGGTCGAGAACGTCAAGGCCCATGTTCTCGTACGGAAGTGTGCCAACGAGCTGGCCAGAACAGTTGGTCATGAAGCGCACCCAGCGCGCATCGTTGCGGTGAGCCGGCAGGCGGCGGATCTCAGCGACCGGCAGGCCGAGCTGACGGCAGATCTCGAGAGAGCGGGGCGACAGCGCGTGAGCCTTGGGCACACCGAGACGGCGCATGTGCCGCGCGATGAGAATGACCTCGACTGCTATCAGTGGCGGTCCCGACATCGCATCCGGTCTCCCGCAGCTTGCGACACTCACCATCCTGCTTAGCAAGGGCGAGAGCAGTGAGTAGGCCGACCGGCCCATTGCCGACGATGAGGACGGGGAGAGGCGCCTGCTTAGCTGGCATGGTGGAGGATGAGGAAGGGGAAAGGGGAGAGAGGGGAGATGTCTCGCGCCGCAATGAGTAGTAGACAGTAAGAACAGCTAGATCAAACGTGTGCAAGAGGAGTGGGGACTGGAGTTGGGGTTGGGGCTGGGGAGAGCTGTCTCCAGCACCTATGAGCCCGAGCTCAGCTTTAGTAGACAGCCGCAGCGTTCATGGTCGTGCAGTCAGTCGAGCTCAAAAGGTTAGGGCCCTGGTGTGGTGCATGGGCGCGTGGCGCAGGAAGGCTCCTGAGCGCTGGGCGACGCGCGCCACCGCTCGGTCGCACCTCCATCGTTCGGGTGGTCGCGCATGGTCGCATCCAAGACCAAGACATGGCCCTTGACTAAAATGGGAGAACTGGGCGGCTCGCTTGTGCTTTCAGCGATGGAGCACGGGAATTTGAGGGGCAACGAGGCGAAGAGGTGATCCAAATCAAGGACTTCGGGTAATGAGAAAGTGATGAACAAAAAGGATGGATACCTGCCGCGCCGAGCATTCCACCACCGTATAACCGTGAAAGCGGCGCCCCGCCCTGAACAAGGATTCTTATCACCGGTATCCTCCCCCGAGTGGCCTTGCAGGTCTTCAACATCTCCCTTGTTTCCTCTCTCTCTCCTTTGTCCATCCATCATCCCTACGCGATCTGTGCGGCGACGGTTCGACACCTCGCCACCTCGCCACCACTGCACCTCTCCATCACATTCACGTTCAGCAGCTCACTCCTGACTCCCTGGCTGGGCAATGCACCGCACCTTACCTTTCCAGCTCTTCAGCTCTGCGCTCTCAGAGCTCCCTCGTTCCACGGCACAAGTGTCACGCAGTACCACTGAATTACTGGTGCTGCCGCGCCGGTGGAATGTGGACACTGAACGCGCCCAAAGTGGCGTTGAGTGGCGCGACGGAAAATCTCGCCTCGGGGAGATATGCACATGCGAAACTCGGAACACGCTGGCTCGGAGAGGGGGTCCGTGGCCGCCGTTTATACCTCTCTGAGTGCGCCGACCGTTCGAGCAGGCGTGCGGGTGACCCAGAACGGAGAGTGGGTGCGACGAGGCCGCAATCGACCTATCAATTGGTAACTAACCCGGCTGTCACCGTCTCCCGCATCGAGTGATCGCACTCGAGGGTGCCCACGCCGCTTGGACCGGCGTGCAGCAGGGATGTGCTCCGCGGATCGAGGGACGGTGGTGGCCAGAGCGCGCGGCGCTGCGAGCCCGCATGCCCAAAAGGCAGCACATGACTCATATAAGGAGCAGACCAGGCCTTCGGATGGAACATCACTCCCGTCTCACGTCGTGACCGGCTCATCTTTGGCAGGCTAACCTCGCCAACGGCTCGCCGAGCGGACGGCGATCGAGAGGCTCACCTTCGTGGCTGGAGGCTGGAGGATCTAGGCTCGCAGGCTTGGCTCCGCCGTCGATCTAGGCTCACGGTCTTGGCTCCGCGGCCCTTAGCACTTCAGCGGCTCCGGAGTTCGGAACGCACGGGCCAAACACCACGAGGGACTCACGAGACAGGGGGAAAACCGTCTCGTCGCAGGTGCCGGGTGGCCGGGAACATGTGTGAACGAGATAAGGCCTCCGAACAACCTCTGACACGCGGTACCAGGGGGTGGTATGCAGCGGAAGAGGGCGATAGCCTTCCCTCCTTACCTGTATGGCGCGGATTGCCCACTTGCCGGCATTCTGTCCACCCTCCGCCATGGAGTGTGACTGGCGTACCCCTCCCTGCGCCAAGGTGATGGGTTTTTGGGGCAGTTTCAAAGGCGAGATGAGAAGTGCTTGTGAGCGTCAGTTGTGCCAAGCGATCGATCGCGGTGCAGCAGTGCGCCGTAGCCGCAGATGCATGAGCTGCATGAGATAAACCGCTTCATTTGGAGAGGGCCTGCTGCTCTTCGATGAGTTCGCCCTGAGTAACAAAGGCGCATCGCGGCGCCGCTGGTTTGAGGATGCCGAGAAGCGTACGCGCCCAAGTATGAGGCCCAATTGTCTTGTGTGATAACTATCTGCGTTCAGCACTGCTTCTCACGTCAAGGAACGCGTCAATAAACAAGTGACGTGAAGTATCATTACCACTCGGCCTTGAACATCAGTGCCACCTCCGCGTCCCTGCACAATCCCAAAATATGCACGCGAAAACTAATTGTCCAACGCCATAGATGATTATAGCCCCTGGGTGGGCGGGAAGAAAGCCATGAGTGTGCTAAAGTCGGCAAAAGGCATGAGCTCGCCTGCGAGCTCTGGGGTGTCGGCCCACATGGGGTTGGTCTGGAAGAATTCAAACAGCGAGCTGACCTCGTTGTTTGCATCGGCTTCTTGTGATGGTGGGGCGAGAATGTCAAGGATGCGCATGCAGCGATCGGCGAGCGGGTCGCCCGCGAACTGACGGAGAGTCACAGTGGCCAAGCGAATGCTCTCGCTCCACGCTGTGTGGTCGGGCGAGCCAGGGTCCGTATGGAGTGCGATGAGGGGCACAAAGCTTGCCTGGAAGAGGAAGTGGCTAGCGTCAGCGGCGTCGTGGGCGTTACTCACAGCCCGTACCACTTCTCGAGAGTATTAGCCACACGGTCCTGGAAAAACCGATGGATGTCGTCGATCGTGTCCGTTGCACACGACAGACACACGTCCGAGAGAATGTAGTCGGCTTGCGGCTCATTCCCGGGCGGACTCCCACGCGTGCTGAGCGGTAGGCGCTTGAGTGCACGTTCGAGGAACGCGCGGCGCGCCATGATGATACGCAGGTTGCAGTACCTCCAGAACAGCTTGTGAGCCGAAAAGTACAGCCACGGGGTGTCGCTGAACATCTGGACAGTGGCTGCTGCGCTCATCCACGCCGGCACACCGGAGTACGAGTGGCGGAGCTCGGCATCGAGTTCCAGTACGTCCTTGGAGGCTGGTGGAGGGGTAGAAATGACTCTAGTGTAGCATCGGTTCCCGCTCAACACCAAAGACGCCTGATAGATGAGAGATGAGTAGACCGTCGTCTCGCGCGTCGCGGGCGGAACTTGATGTGAGGAAGGCGTGAAGTCCCTGTCCTGGACGTTGTGCACCATTTTGACATCTGCCTCGCCATACGGCAGGAGAATCGGGCGGCCGAAGGTGATGCTTGCCCCGGCATCGAAGATGAACAGGACCCACCAAACTCGTCGTCTACGGTCAGCTCTCGCACAGTTTGCGATCTCACCGCACTTCGCGCTCGAAGGGTTTGATGTTCCATAATGGCAGCTCGCGGTGCAAGCCTAGCCCAATCGCCATGCGCACAGCGATACCCAAGTATATGCTGCCCGAGTTGGACTTGTTCCGCTTCTGTGAGATGTTGGAGAGCAGAGTGAAAGCCTGAACCAGGACGAGCGACCCCGTCTCGAGGTGGCTGACATTGATTACAGCGTCGGCGCGCTCAAGGAAGTAGTCAACAAAGTACATGGGCATGCCCGCGCAGAATGCGCCAAGGGCAATGACAATGTTGAGCAAGAGTTCCCATCTTATGTCAGGTCATTCACCCAAAAGTTACGCACTGTGAAGGATCGGGCTTGGGAATGACCTCGGCGAACTGGGCACGGAAGGTGGCCTCGTGCAGGATGGGATACTGCGTGTGGTAATGCTGGAAGTAGGCGTCGATGCACTCGACGACTTGGGGATGTGTTGGGATCCAGTCGCGGGGTGGAACTGAAACGGGCGCGTCATCATCGACACTGGCGAGGCTGACACCGCCTGCCGTGATCTGCAAGATGCGCAGGAGACTGGCGCCGCTCGCGAAGCCAAGGTAGCCTTGGTTGTCGGGCTCAACGCTGAGACTCGCGGTGCCGTCATGGCCCTTATTGGCATGGCGCTCGCACCACTCGTACCCGCTGGCATGTCTTGGCTGGCGCTCGTACGCGTCGGGCGTCGGCCCATTGGGCACGTTGGCGGTTAAAGATGGTGGGGGGCGCAGGTTGACGGCGGCAGGCTGGGGCGCGTGATCAAACAGCCCCTGTGATGAGGCAGGTGACACGGCAGGGTGGTGTGAGTGTGCTGAACCGGGCGTGTGCTTCAGCCCAGTTGGGGAGCGCAGCGAGGGGGGTGGCCGGTAGATGTCGCCAGGCGAGGACGGTCGGCTCTTGCGCTTGCGGTCCCCATCCGGGTCGCTGCCGGCCGCCTCGTCAAGGTTGAGGTGCGGCGCGTGCTCGGCGAGGAGGCTCTCAAGCCGCGCCATCCGATCTCTCATTTCCGCTATGTACCTGGTTTCAGCGCTCCGTTCTCTCATGAGGAAGCCTACTTCTTGCCGCGCCTCGGCACCTCGGGCTCGGGGAAGACACATGTCTTGCTGTACCGCTTGCATTGATTGCACGGCTGCAGGCGGTCACACTGATAGTCAGCGTCGTGCGGAAAGCATGAGAGGTGAGTAGCAGCGGCTGCGGATGACAGCCGTTGAGCAGATGAACTGACCTTGCGCTTGAGCCTCCGGCACTCGACGCACTGAGGATGGTCAGCTGATGCTTTCGATGCGGAGGAGCGGGGACCCACAGAGATGCGAGTGGGAGGAGGGTCGTGCTCGCTGCCACTGTTGTTGTCCTCGTCTTTCATGGTTGGGCCGTCAACAAATGTTGATGGAGGAACGAGGTTGAGTGGGCGGAGCGGAGTCCTGCTCAATGTCCCATTCCGAGTTAGCGGATCTTTGGGGCCGCCCCCTATTTCGTACCCCACCAAATTCCACCAAATACCTCCAACCGAACCAGTCCCCATATGCCAGTGCTTCTCCGAAGACTTTCCACTGTTGGTGTGGGAGACGCGACGAGCATCCGGAGACGCGATGGAGCGCTCACAACAACTCGATGGGCGACGAGGGAGAGGTTCAAAGGCGTGCACACACGGCCCGCACCACCTCAGGTCAGTGGGCGGAGCGGAGAGCCCGCTGGGCGGTCTGAGGTGAACCGACAAGCGACTACATCATGTCGCGTGCACTCCACCCACCTCCTTTCTTGCCATCGTCTTATCTTACAATGCTCACAACCATGATGACAATGGACATTGACGCGCTCGCCAAACGCATTCTTAGCTCTGCCGCTCGGTAAGCCCACGCTTGGGAGCTCGCTTACGCCTGCCGCCCGGAAAGGAGATTTGTTGTTGGTGCGGAATAGTGGTGGAGCGCGTTCTGACACCAGCTATCGGCGGCATCCCAGGCTCAGGAAAGAGCACCGTCGCGTATCCGCTCATAGAGCGGATCAATGCGCTCGCGGGGAGCGAGGTAGCGATGGGGTTGGGCACCGATGGGTGGCACTACTCGCAGGCACAGTTGCGCGCAATGCCGGTGAGTGAGGAGCGTGCCGCAGGTCTGACATCAGAACTCGGAGATGCTGTTCCGGCGCCGCGGCGCGCACTTTACGTTCGACGGAGACTCGTATGCTGCGTTTGTTGGAAGGCTAGACGAGCCCGCGTTGCAGTTCCCCTCCTTTTCGCACCGGGATAAGGATCCCGTCGCTGAGGGAGGATGGATTGCGCCCCACCACCGTATCGTGTGAGTCACCGCTCGTCACCGCTGCATCCATGTTCATTGCTGATCCCAGGGTGATTGAGGGGCTACACTCACTGTTGAACATCCCGCCGTGGTCGACTGCTGCGCACCGTTACGACGAGAAAGTGTGGGTCGACACGCCCGTGGACGAAGCGCGCCAACGCCTTATCAGGAGGCACCTGAATGACGGCGTCGAGGCCACTCTTGAGGCAGCAAAGCGTCGCGCCGAGGGCTCGGATCAGTGCGTTGTTGCCTCGAGGCGTGACTAACCACCAGGCTCAACGCTAGAACACTACAGGCGAACCTTATCACGCCCACGGTCGTGGTGCAGGACACTGTACCGCCTCTGCGGCCACCACACGTGCCTGTTGAAGCGTCGCCGGTGGTCACGGCGTAGACCGAGTGGGGGAGCGGGGGTTATACGTGGGTACCAGTCTCGACATCCTAATTTGTGAAGTCCAGCATGCATAGGCATGGCAGCAGACTTAAGAGCGTACAGAAGGTGGAAGCAGATCACTAACACAACTTGGCCCACCATGCAGCGGATGGCCGGTCTTTGTGCGCACACAGGACACTCTGTCCAGCTGTACAACTGCCGAATATGCCAGCCGTACGCTCTGAGTGTTTCGACGTGGCATGCTAATCCCTCCGTACACGGCATACGCATAGCCATTCTACACTCGGTGAGCTGCCTAATGCTGTGCCCCGGTCCGCCTTGGCCTCGATGTGCATTCTAAGCGCTTGACGGGGCCAAGATACCCCACGGTAGTCGGCAGTCTGCAGCTGACAATACCACACCTGTCCAAACAGGAGGAGTAACGCGACGACAGCCATTGTCTACACTTTCTGCACTTGGCGGACGACAGGCCACCTTAGGCACATGAAGGCTCGTCGACAAGACATCAATGCAGGAGCGAAACTGCCATGAATTCCCTCGGCCCGTCGTTTTTGAAGTCCTCCACTCTCCACCTCAGAGCACCGCTGGCATCGCGGTGCTCGCGCATGTCCTTTCGAAAGCAGTAGGCCTGACGTGGACCCCCGGCGGTGCGATTCTAGCTGGGCATCAAGGACAGGTGTGAACGATGGAAATCTCGAACTTCCTCAAGAAAGGGGTTTTCCCTGCCCTTTGTCAGGTCCTTTGCGTACGAGGAGGTCAGCGCGCCCTTGTAGGCCTCCACTCGTCGAAGGTGGGTAGCGGACTTACTCGGGTCGCGTCTTCAAGGGCAACCCCTGCAGATCAAAATAGATCCAAACACAAAACACCGTCGATTCACGATTTCGTTGAAAGAGCTGCACCTGGCCAGGCGTAGCATGCTATCGAAAGCCGGCCAGTCACCCGTCTCCGACGCTCGGCGCTTCTGCGCAGATGTGAAGATCTGTTGCTTGGAGGCCGGTCGCGGTGCGTTGGCGGAGTCTGGAGCAGAGGTTGGTCGATGGGGACATCAGGCCTACGCTTGATCAGTGGAGCAGAGGTTGGTCGATGGGGACATCAGGCCTACGCCTGATCAGTCCTGAGGTGCTAGATGTGAAATGCGTGTCAGAGCTCTCAGACACTACACGCTAGTGTGCTAGCGTATCTGTCAGGCATTCATGTCGGGTCTATGCCTTTGAGCGCTGCCCAATTGGAGCCCGCGGACTGAACTTGGCAGATGTTGAAGCTTTGGACAGTTGAGCGCGCTCGTAGCCATTGGACATGCACACGGCAACATTTTATGATCACTGTTAACAGCAGTGATGCCCACAGAGAAGGGAACACGCTGCGGTGGGAGACACATGTCGGATACGCCCCAACTGTTCGAGGGGGGACAGGAGGCCGCCCCGGGGCTTCAAGTTGAGGATTCTGAAGTGCCAACGCAGCTCTCCATCACTGGGAGAGGAGTTGGAGGGAAGAGGGGACACGAAACAACTCGCACCCATCAGATGGCGTAGTGCAATTGGCGTGAGTCAATCAGTGCTCACAACGTGCGTGTCGACCACCCTGGCGAGTGACCTGATTCCAATCGATGCTGCAATACGCACCTCTTTGCTGCGTCACTGATAGATAATGACCTTCTACGGGGTAAGTGCACGCGAGTGGACGAAGGGGTAGCTCAGCGGATTGAGGTGGTCGAGGAGCGTGTGAGCGTTTCGCTGCGGTCCAATTTAGCGAGAATGTTCATAAGAGATCCCTTCAGTGGAAACTCCAATCATCAGTCTGTTGAGCCAAAAATTGCGCGGTTGGCGGGCAGAGCTGTTCCAATGGTGGAGAGTATTATTGGTCGTGGTGTCGACTAGCGAAAGGGTGCGGCAAGCGAGCACGTTGATGATGAATCGGACACGTCGCTCAATACTTTTGACAAAATCAGTCGCCTCTCCCCGCGATAATTCTAGGAGGGGACTACGTATCTCGTGGCAGGTCGGAGTATCGCGTCATCTCCAATGTTATGGAATGCTCATTCCAGCCATCTGCCACACTTGTCAGGCTGACTTGTCGTGGGGCGCGCCGACTCAGTTCCGCCGACTCGTGCGTAGGATTGGAGGTGGGCGGCCGGGGTTAGGGCATACTTCTCCGGACCAATTAGACGTGAAGCGGGCCAAATGCTGCGAGCTCAGTGAGGCACGCGGGTCGCCCGTCGTAAGCGGTTGTGGCAGTGCGGAAAGAACAATCCACGCTCCTCAACTGGGGAACTCTGCGCCCTACTACAACCTGGTGCGGCGTCCAACATCATCAGCTTGCCGCTCTGCTCGTCTACTTGTCGTCGCATTTCCCAACTCCTTGGAAGGCTCCATAAAAAGAAGCAATTCGAGGACAGGGTAGGGGGAGTGTGGCGACCGCTAGACCGCCGACTTGCGCGGCACAGAGTACATAATTGTGGCGTTCCCGATGAGCTTGTCGTGCCACTTCGTCGCCACAATTCTGGTGGCGTACAACTGCACGCCACAACGCTGATGTAGTCAGGAGAACGAGCTCCACGCTCCCTTCATTGTGGAGCAAACGCCCATCGAAGGAGGCAAGAGGAGGCGAAAGGAGGAGGACAGAGGGAGGAAGAGCACAATGGGCGCGAAAAAGCTCTGCACTCTTGTGGCTCTGCTGGTGAGGCTGACGGCGTCGCTCCCTGGCTCCAGCCCGTTGGGTCGCACGCGCAACGATGCTTCTCGCCTGGCATTCAGAGTGGGGCCCGGGCGAGATACTCGAGCTCGTCGGGCGCGAACAACATAGCAGCACTCAAACAATTCCAGGCACCAGAAGCCCCCACAGACCTACATGTCGCCGATAAATCCTGAGGAGCCGAGCGAGTGGCGCGCTCCATAGCTCGCTCCTCCTCTTAATGCCCACACCCGGTCCGCCTTGATTTAGCTGAGGTGGGCAGGGCCCGGGGCTGTCAGCCTCGTACACTCGTCGTCGATTTCGAACCAAACAGCCCTTTGGTATATATCAGGCTCAGTTGCGGCGCGTGGTTCGCGTCCGATAAACTTGTAAACATTCGTAGACCGTGCGTCCTTTAGAAAGCGTCTAGACAAGGGAGATATCAGAGGTCGCCGGCGTGCGTCAGGATGTATGTGAGGGCCGAGAAAATGCCTCTAATTTGTATCAATGCGTTGTGTCCTAGATAGTGTGGTTAGGCAGACGATGCCTGAAACATTTCTGTGACGAGGACGACTGTGAGTCAGCTCACGAGTCTAGACTGGCTCTGGCGTGTCTGGCCACGCCACCCGTTCTTCCTCACCTCTCAGGGGCTATACTTGGGGGGGGGGGGGGGGGGGGGGGGGGGGGAAGACGCTACCGCACCGCACGCCCTACGCCTTAGGCCAGCGGAGCTGCCGAACCACGTCCGCCGGCACCGCCGGTCTGTATGCCTTATCGTGCCGCTGCCGTCTACTGCCGGGTTCTTCCCCCTAGCGGCCGTTGAATTGGTTGCTGCTGCAAGCTCTAGGCAGTTTGTTCTATGTCAGGCCGACGTTGCCACTTCTTCCGCCACTTCCATTCCCTCTTCCCACCGGCCGCCACTTGGCGCCTTTGAAGCACCCCTGGTTCCCTAGTTGAATCCAGTGCACCTTGCCGATCTGTGACCGCTCTCTGCCCTGGAAGAGGGAGAAGGGCAGTGAGCTCGAGCACGCACGCGTTGGGGCGATGCACTGGACCACGAATTTCTTCGCAGATGAATACGAGCACCACAGCGTGACCGGAATCACATCGGAAGCCACGTGAGCTCAAGACCGGCTCTGCCGGCAGCTGCCGGATTGCCGCCCGTGATTTCGCTCGGCACTTGCAGACAGGGATTGTTTATCGAGGAACGTACGAGGCGGGCAGGCACTCTGATTTGGCATGCCCCGGTCTTGGCACCGACGTCTATGACGCGTCGCGGAACTTCCGGCACGTGTGTGGACAAAGTTTCTGTGGGTACCGCGGCACGAGTGGTGTAGACGCGCGATATCCGAGCTTGCGTACGGGTTATGCGGCCGAATGAGCTGCGAGGGAAGCGCTATGTTCGAGGCTGCTGCAACATGCATCATGACGACTGCGCAGTCCCCGGCTAATCTGGCGCCAAGCACGTGCCATTGCGTTTGAGCCGAGGACCGAGGAGAAGCATCTGCAGAGGAAGACGGACGTCGTTGGAGTCGGACCAGATGCCGAGCACGTGACGGCAGATACACCAGATTGACGTCACACCCGTGTTGCCCATCTCGTGTTATGCCAAATGGGCGGTATGCGGGTATCGGTCGTCGGGGTTGCACGCCTGCTGCATTCCGGGACTCGCAGCTGCACACGAAGCAAGGACGGTGACTGTCTTATGATCTGAGGCGGACGGAGAGATGGACGGAGAGCATTCGCTTCCATCGGCGCAGGCGGAGCGCGGAATGCCAGCGAGTGCCGCGGAGCGGCGTGTGAGCTGCTGCTCTGCTGAACTGTGAAATCTGGGTGTGGAGCTCTAGCGCGTGCACTCGGGTTGACATGCCTCCGCCATGCCGCCATCGGAATGAGTGACTCGGGGCCGGCGGAAACCGATGCGTGTGAGGCCCGGTGAATAAAATCAAGACGCGCGCCGCAGAAGCTCGGGAAATAATCGTTGTATCAGGTGAGCCTGACACATCCCTGCGCTCCCAACGTCCGTGCAGATTGCGTTTGTGAGGCACTCGATAATCTCCATCAGAGAGCAGGCGGCGTGAAGCGACGGGGGGGAGGTGACGTTGGTTCGAGTCCAACACCCGGTTAGAGGGCTCGCGGCCCGTGGCAAGGCGAGGAGCTTGCTCTGGATGCCGACGGGGTCTGATAAGGGAGTAAGAAGTCAGCGGGTGAAAGTTGATCAGTTCGAACATCGACCAAGCGTTCAAGCGTAGTGGAGCTCATCTCGGCGGTACACAATCAGCCGTCATCGTTCCAACGACGCAGCACTTACGTTATACGCGCGGCATTTCACAGTGTCCGGGAGGCCCGTGACTTGCAGGCTCCGCCCAGATTAGCGCTCTCCGGTGAGCGCACGTTGAGCGGGGCCCTTAGATAAGAGCGTTTCATTCCCGGATGTCTATTGCATGGGCGCTTTCACCGCTTCTTCAAAGCTCTCCCCATGTTCATCACGGGGACTCGACCCACTGTCCGGAGGGTCGGGCGGAGCCTCGGTGGTGATAGGGGCAAACACGGCCCGGAGCTTCACATGCGAGAGCTGCACCAATGTCGGGCGAGTCAGTTAGTGCCGGCCAAGGCTTGGCCTTCTGAAGACTCCGCAGTGAGGAGGGCTCGACCCTTGGGCGGAGACCGCGACCAACGTCTTGAAGCGCGCCGACACCTCAGAGGAGATCAGGAGAGTAAATTGTCTAGTCCTGCCACCGCAGACCTGTCGTTAATTGTCTGCAATTGCCATCCACGCCAACGGGAACCAAACAGATTGCAAGCAGAATCACCGTTGAATCAGTTCCTTTCCTGACGGCTACCCCCTTTGCTCGTCTCCGACCTGTCACAACGGGTCTCAATAAAAACCGCGCAAGAGCCGGAGTGTTGCCGCAAGCCAGGCCTCCGTTGTATTGCCGTATGCGCGTTGGAACACCCTGTCGGGAGGAAAGGATGGACGGATGCTACACCTGGTGTACTCGAAGGGAGGTGCAGTGGGCGCCTGCGAGCGCGTGAGCGAGGTTAGCGAGGGCCTCACTCGACACTTCCGGGATGGCCTCAGACCGGGTTCAGGCTGCACTTCTGGGCTCGACACACGGATGCAAGGACACAGGACGCAGGACGCATCCTTGCAAGTCACGGCAAGGTCACTGCAAGCTCACCCTCGACCAGCCTGCCCGCCATCTTCCGATGTCGGAGCGTCTCGCTCGAGCCGCTCGACCTCGACGTGAGCTGCGAAAGAGCCTGGAATCCAGGGCGCGGTTGCAGCTATCACCCGACGCAAGCGAGCGGAGGCGTCAGGGAGGGGGATGCCGGGTCGATGCCGGCCTCGCTAGCGGCGTCGTGCCGGGCGCCGGCTGACTACTCGCGACCATCGCAATGCATTGCGATGGCGATGGACACTGAGCTCTTTCCGCCGGTGCGCAGGGCTGGGACCTGGTGGGCTGCGTCGTCAGCAACAGGCGTCTTGATCAGTGGTCGCCGGAAAGGCCTCAAGGGCCGCGCAGGGATAGCACGCCACGCCCACAACACCGGCACCACATACCGCAGTCCCCTGTCGCTTGTTGCAACCAGGCCGCAGGCCAACCAGGTCGTCAGCGCCGCGGCTTGGCTCGTTCTCGCGAGTCCTGCACTCTTCCTGCGTGTATCCTGCATGTCCTGCCCATGTGCCGCGCACCTGGCGCCAGCTGACGTGTAATGATTAAGCAGCGGAACACATTCCGCCGCTGGCGACCTCCGCGATCCCGACGGTCCTTCTGTCGTCCACACTCGGCGGAGATACCTCGGGCCATCCCTGACAGCACCGTCCACTCTATGCACACCGCCGAACATCTGCTCGCCGACGGTCTCCCCGGCCGCGCGTCTTGGCCGTCCGCACTGGCGCGACTGCCCCCCGACCTGAGCCTAACACCCCCAGGGATGCTCGAACAGGTGCTGAACCGAACAACGAACAAGCTCGAAAGGCGCAGGCGGAGGCTCGAGGCTCGAGTCTGGATCCAGGCTCGTCTCCGTGAGAAGCGGACGGAGGCAGGAGCGGTCGGAGGGGGAGGCGTCCGAGCACAGTCGCAGCCGAGTGCGGGATTATCGTCCGCACGCATCGCCCGAACCCAACGCACGGTCCTCCAGGCGAGCCAGCGCCACGGCGTCCATTTGCCCTGCGTACGCCGCGCCGCCACTGTCGCTCATTTAGCGAGGATTCGTGCCACATGAAAGCAGCGGTTGCGGGCTCGGAGGGGACGACACTGCTGGGTGGACGGAAAGTCCGGGAAGCGGAAGCGAATAAGGAGGAGCCGAACAAGAGCCAAACAAGCTTACCTTTCGGTCCGAGGTCCCGCTGAGGCCAGCGACTTTGTGGCAGTGGCGGTGAGGCACAACACATGCATTGTGCCAACCGCCATCCTTGAAATCGTTGTTGGTGCGCAACGAGGTATGGAGAAGGGATGTTGATGTTGAGGAGGAGTGGACATGAAGCATACGTGTCGGAGACGGAGATCTGTTAGAGGCTGACATATGCCGTTTGTTTTGTTCCCAAGACATACTGGAATCTGGGGGCCCTGTCAGTCTCACTCTACGAGCAACGACAAAGTGGCATTGTCGCATTCCGTCACTGCCAAGTCTTTACTCTGGCAAACGATGCAAGCGACGGACGATGCACCCTGCCGCCTGCCGTGCGCCGGCGACCAGCCACCAGATCGCCATCAGTTGTTGTGTTGTGGGTCACCCACCCGCTTCATTTCTTCCGTTGACTCACCGCCAATTAAGAGTGAATGAAGCACGGAGAACGAGCAACCTGCACAGGAATACATGCATCACACGAACTCTAGTATTTCAGACATGCACGGCGGCTGCAATCAGACACAGCCTTCTATCACATCTATGAAACATCCCCCCAGCCCTCAACTATCGCCTCAACGCTGTTGGGGTCCATACCATCTCCACGCTGGACGGCGCGGACAGCCGCCGACATAGCGTCGTGCGTCCGCCCGTTGTAGCCGTCCTTGCCATGCTCGGGCCAGTGACCCACCTGGCCACTTGCCCACATCCAGGGCTCTCCTGGGTCGCGAGGAGCGTGGCCCCGGCGTTTCAACTCGCTCGGCATGGTGAAGCGCTGATGAGAAGGCGCGACGTGACCCAGCCGGGTGCCAGTCCCAGCCTTGCCCGTCGACGACTGCAGCGCTGCTGGTGTCGCGCGCATCGCAGCCTGCGCCGAAGAAATGGTGTCTAGTCGGCGATAGATTTGAGCTAGGCGGTCCGAACGCCATGTCGGCGAGCGCACCTCTAGGACTTTCTCGCTCACGCCTTCCGCCCACCCTCCCTTTCCACTCCTGTTGCTGGCGCCCTCGGGTGACCGAGCCTGCAGCATCTCCATCCAGTACCCCTTGCGCTGGCCATCGAGACCGTCCTCGTCGTCCATCTCCTCACCCGGGCTCGAGTACTCGCTCGACATATAATCGATGTGTAGGGCCGACGGGGGAAGGTGGATATCCATGAACGAGGGATCCTGAGCTGCTTTGGCACGTCGTTTTTGCTTCTGTTGTCGTCAGTTGAAAGGATTCGATAATGCGCTAGGTTGCCGTGGAGCTGCACTTACCAGGTCCTTGCGGGCCCAACGCCTCCTATTCTTGACATATTTCTGTTGCTTCTTGGCCTGCTTGGGATCAATCTCGGCCAAGTATCGCTTAGCAAAATTCTGGAAGGCCGTGCGAGCCGCCGCCTGGATGTTAGTACAGTTCTTTGATGTGAACAGGGTGCCAGTATTGTCATCACCAGACAATACCGTAATCCCAATAGATCACACAACACGTACCTTTACAGTCTCGGTCTCGAGGTCCTCGGGAGGTACCTTGGTCCACTGATGGAAATTGGTAGCCTCATTGATGAACACGGAAACGACGCGGTCGAGCCACTGTCAATGTTAGCAAGCTTGCTATCAGGGGGAGGATCAAGGGGAAAAGGGAGTTCCGGCTGGCCGTGTATCGATCTCGCCGTAACAAATGCCCCGGACAAAGTGGCGACTTGTTCTCCCCAACATTGCGGCGGTGGCGCCCACTTGGTGGCATAGTTGCCACACAAATTAATCACGACCCTTGTCGGCACCACTTGGCGCCCGTGGTGCCCGTTGCCACATTCCTCCCAATCACAGCGCCCCACATGCCCACAGGCGCCTTTCCGCGCCACCATATGTGACGTTGCGCCTCGTCCGTCCTCCCTCCTCCCCCCGAACGTCATGGAAGCACCACTTGTCTGGTCGACTCACCTCGGCATTGCGCGCGTCGCCCACGCCCGCTGTCCACGATGGAACCCATCCGACTGTCCCAACGTCCCCTTCCGAGGGCGGAGGAAGATCTTCGTCGAGTCCGATGCCCATCATGTAACGCATTTTTGCTCGAATTGCGCGTTGCAACTCGACACGCCGCCCACGTTCAACGCGCTTGCCGGTTCCAGAATCGTGTCGCGATGACCGTTTTCCGCGTGTAGAACCTGTTGGAGTGCCTGCTGCTGCTGCTGCTGCTGCTGCGGCGGCGGCGGGTGACAAGGCCTCAGTGAAGGAGCGCTTGCGTACGTGGTGTGCGAGGGAAGAATGTGACTGGGTTGGGGTGTGTTGCTGCATCACGGGGGACATTGAATGCACGTAGCCGTAGGCGGGAAGGTGATGGAGAAGCTCTGGCTGTTGCCCCATACGATCCAAACCCATGTCCTGGGGTACAGGTGCCATTTGCCCAACGCTGGGCCCAACGCCGACACCAACACCTGGGTTGACTGGACCCATGTTGTTGGGATGTGGGACGTGGTGATTGTGGTGGTGGATATGTGCCTGGTGATGGTTTGGGACACTTCCGATACCTCCGCCTAGCATTCTGCGTAGACGGATAACTTCGTGCTTGAGTTGTTCGTGGGACCAGCCGTCGAGAGTGGCGAGCTCTTCGGCGGTGATGGGAGAATGAGAAGGTTGTAGATGTGCTAGTGCCGAGATGAATTGGGCGGTGGTTTGGTCTTCCATGATGGAAGGAAGACTTTGTTTAGAGTGAGTGGGCGATGATGGGATTGGTGATGTTGAAGATGGATGTGGGATGGATGATAGTTGAGGAGGGGGAGGGGGACGGAGAGGGGGAGGGGGAGGGTGAGGGGGAGGATGAGATGTGAACGATAATTGGGGATGATGATGAATAATATGATGGAGTTGCAAGTTGATGTATAGCTGAGATTGACATGACGAGGTGGGATGGAGAGGAGGAGGAGGAGGGGAGAGGGTGGAGGAGGAGCAAGAGGAGGAGAAGGAGGAGCAAGAGGACGAGGTTAGGTGGCCGTTAATGACGAGCCTGACATTTGCAGTGGTGACAACGCTTGGACGCAGGACGCAGAATGGGGGCGTGTGTGTATGCGGGGGGTGGGTTTATCAGGTCAAGTTTAAGGGGCGGCGTCCTGGCGGCGTCGGATTTCTGGGGTAAAGGGTACCACAAAAGTGCTTCCAATTTCCAGCCTACCTCTGTAGCTACCTAGCCTACCCGTGCTTACTCCGGCAACCCGGAGCCTGGGGCTGTCAGCTGCTCGCGCTCTCTCCGCCGCCTCCAGCCCTTGCATACTGTACGCGCGCCGCCCATATTTGTGCATCCAACGCCCATATGTACAGGTGGCAAAACAGGGTTGCGTGCCTTGCTCTAGACGCTACCAGCTCCTCTCTCTTAGTAAATTGCAACACCTCAGGCCTCTGTACCTCAAGTCTTCCACCTCGTTCTTTTCCTCACATGCTCCAAAAGTGCGTCGCCCCCTACGCCCCCCTTGCAGCTTGCACCACTCTACAGTAGCTCTGCCTACTCGCCCTTTGTCGCGCTTCGCGGCGTCTCGGCGAGGCGGCGGCATGGCCAGGGTCCTGCCGACATCTGCCGCCCACACGACCCAACTATGACGACACCTCTCTCTTTTTCTTCCCCTGCCCAGATCTTTCAACCGGTCTTTGATGACCCTAACCTCCACGTGCCGTTACATCATCACCGGAATCCCAGCGGCACTCACGGCGTTTATGGGCCCCTCCCAAGCCTCCAATCACAATTCACACGCCACTGGCCACTGGCCCACTGGCGTCCGCGCGCGCCGCGTGTCGCGTCCAAGCAGCCAATTGAGCCAACAGGGATTGCTCCATCACTCCATCCTCATCTCTCTCGTCCTCCGCGTCGGACCAAAAACAAAGTCGCCACTCGACATCCGCTTCCAGCCTTATCTCCTCCACTTGGTCGCCGTCCACGCTGCACGCTGCCCACATTAAACATTCAAGAGCCTGGCATTGATTCATTCTCCAGTCCCTCCACTCCGTAATCTGGGCAAACCGCGCCTCCAAAGTTTCCGAGTCCGAGCAGAGTCCAGTCCAGTCAACCCCGGTCACCTTCCCCACACTCACTGACAATGTGGTGGGTGGCAATTAACTTTCTCCAAAGACAACCATCTGACGCAATAGCAAACACGTGCTCAACGCCCAAGTGGCAATCCGTGCCCCATGCTGCCAGAAATGGTTTGACGTGAGTTTGGACTGTAACGGGATTCGGACCCCAGGGTGGGCAGAAGAAGAAGAAGGTGGGGTGCTCGGCGGAGCGCCACTGCAGTCATCTTGTGGTGCACAAATTATGGTGTGCACCACTCGCCGACGCCGCTGCGTACGAGGCGGTGGACTAATGAGATCCACTCGATCTTCATGAAGATACGCCGAACGGTGAATGCTTCCCCTCACCTTCCTTGCTGTTGGTGCGAGGAGAAGGCATGTGCGAGGAGTTGTCCAGGGCGGAGGGTGGTGGCCGCCTCGCATTAAGTGGTGTCGGCGAAAGTGCGCGCTAGTCGAGGGCCACAGAAAGAGGGTACCGCAACGCAAGAGTGGTGTGCGATCGAGTGCGCATCCTCGCGTGGGCCGTTGGCAGGCGAGGGTGTCCTCGCCCTCTCGCCACACCGTCGCCACTGCGATGCATCGGAGCGTCCTCAGCTGTCACCAAGCAGGGAGGCGACCAAAGCGAGAAGGAGACCACCCTGCGCATCCTGGTTGCGTGCAAGCGACACCTCCTCGTCCCTTCCCGCTCATGCTACGTCCACGCGTCTGGACATCGAGGAGAGGACTGCTGTCGTCGACCGGCGATGACACTTTGCTTCACTGGCATGGCTGCTGATTGATGGGCGCCTGCTGATTGATGGGCACCACATTGCAGTGGGGCCGCTGCATGGCAGGTCGTCCGCATACTGCACCGCGTCTGCTCACATGTGGCGCCACCTTCATGCGCGAGAAGCTGATAAGCTGACCGTAGTGCCCAGAATGCCACGCGGAGAGGGAAGATCACCAGCTGCGCAAGACGTTCGAGATGACCTTCCTCTGCAAAAAGGTGGGTGGAACTGCCTCCGATTTCGCGTTGTGGTGCACGTCAGAAGAGACCGGAGCTGTGCATGTCGCTCGACACTGTGACCCTCGAGGAGAGCACTGCCAGCGAATATCACCCCAGGCGCGCAACCGCCTGAGGTCACGATGCTTCCCCGGCGTGCTGTGTGTGCGACTTCCAAGCTTGCCCCGTCTGCAACGAACCGCCACTCGCTCGGCCAGTATAGAAAATGCTGACTCCTAGTGCAAGAAGGCGTTCCGGAAGGACGCGCGCGAGATGGAGGAGTCTGACGAATACTGCCCGCACTGCGACAATCACTTTGTGAGTATCCTTGCGCCCAGCGGCGACGCGAGGGCGCCCTCGGGCACATATTACAGGAGAAAGGTGTTGGCGCTATGACCGACGTCTACTCAGGCAGGCTGCGCAACAGATGAAGCCGGCAATGAGGCAATGAGAGGGTGCTGGAACCTCGAGAGGCTCAAGACGTGCCTCAGCGTGGGGTGATTTGGCGCCCCCTTTCCCGCGGCCACAGCGCACCCGCGGCCACAGCGCACCCGCGGCCACAGCGCACAGCTCTGACAGTAGGTCGTTGAAGCCAAGGAGCCCAAGGCGATGATCGGCGTCGAGGGCGAAGATGCGCGTGTCGACAACCGCATGCTCAAGGACGACCGCGTCAAGGAGCGCGACGGGCGCAGCCTTTTCAACCGCGACATGACGGACCGCGTTGAGCGCTTCGACTACTCCCAGGCCTTTGGTCGGCGATAAGCCCCATCACACCTGCTCGAGCGGTGGATGCGGCGGCCATTGTATGATCAGCCCGTGCACTCTGCTCTCATGCAGAACCGCAGTGCCGGCGCACCCGGCAGTACCTCGTCACCGTTCACCGACGCTGCATCTGCACATCAACTTGACAGACACCCTGGCCTGCGATAGCCAGCACAACATTCATCATCTTGCCCAAACATCTCTCTCTTGTAGTACATGCATTGTCATAAGTCGTCACTAGATGTACAAGGGCTGATGTCATGAATCGTCAAGGTGTCTCGTTCTATAGCGGAGCACCTAGCTACGGAGTGCGAGGTTTCGTACCTCCCACAACCGCTTCTCCTCGCGGCGCTCTCTGTCGCGCATGTCACTCTGGCTCTGCACAGGTCGCAGAACCCAGCCGCGCATCTCGCGGCGGTGTCGTTCCTCGGCCTCGCGGCACTCGGCCCACAGTTCAGGCATCTCGGTCCGCATCGGCGCACGCTCTTCCCAGCTCGCACTCGTGAGCGTGCTCATACCCGTGTGGCCCGTGGCCGCGGTCGACGCTGTCAGGCCTGTCCCAATACTCGTGTCGCTGACGAAGCGCGAGTTGAAGCCTATGCTGACGAGCTTGTGTGGGAGCTGCCGGATCGTGCCGCCCCCGCTGCCGCCGCCTGCGCTCGAAACGCTCTCCTCGTCGTCGGCCATGTCCGCGAACGGGTCAGGCTCGACCTCGTCCGGTGGCAGAAGCGACACCCAGCACATGCGCTCCGGATCGAACTTCATGTCACCGAAGATGCGCGCCTGCGGTGCACTCGTATGCGGCGACGACGCGACCGAGCTGCCAGTGAAGTGCGAGATGAGGGCGGGTCGCGCGCTGGATGCCACGGCGTCAAAGTCGCGGAGAACGCCCTCGTTGCCTTCCCATCGGCTTGTGCGGGGGTTCCAAGTCATCTCGCCGACAGTCTTGGGCTTATCCGTCGCGCCAAGATTGCGGATGAGGTTGAGCGCGGGCTTGCGCTGACGCCGCTTCTTCTTGTCCTTCTCCTTATCGTCGGCCTTGAATGTCGCCGTTGTAGGCGTTGGCGGCTGTTTGGCCATGGCACGATCGAAAGCTGTCGTCAGCTTGACTGCCTCAGCGATGGCACTCACATTTACGACCCCGCAGGGTGGAGTATGGCGACTTGGACCCGGTGCTACGCGGCGACTTTGCTGGGTCGTCATCAACACGCAGGTCCTCGAGGCCATCCAGCTCGGTACCGTCACCCCACTGCTTGGTACGCCGGGGCATCTCCATTGTCCGGGTTTTGCTACGGTTGAAAGTCGAGTTGACGGGCGGGCGCATCTTGGCGAGGCTGCTCGACGTCGGCATAGTGAGTCTGCTGCCAGGCTTCTCGCCAGGCATAATTGGGAGCGGCGGCGGAAGGTCCGATGGCCTGTGCCCACTGGCCATCGCGTCCTGCATACTGGCGAGCGACTGCTTGCGCGCGAGCGTCGGCGAGGGTGAAGGCGCCAGGTTGTGATGGCTCTTCTGAGATCGCAGGCGGTGCGAAGTGCTAGGCGCGACAGGGTTAGACGCTGTCGGCCGTGATGGCAATGCGGGCACAGGTGGTGGCTGCATCGAGTTCTCCGACGTCCGGCGAGAGCGTGTTCCCGACCGGAAGAAGGGGCTCTCCGGGCGCGTCTTGCCCGAGTTTGAGCGCAGACTACCTCCAGGGCTCCGTGCCCGTTGCGGTGGGGGCGCACTGGGCGGCGTGGGGGGTGGGGGGAAGGGGAAGGGGTACCCGAGCTTGGACGTCTCGGCCTTCTTACGCTCGGCGCCGAGGAGGAATGGCGTGGGTATTGTGCGGTTGCGCCGGTTTTTCTCGAGCCGGCGGTGTGTGAGTTCTGCTCGCGGATTATCGAACACGATCCCATCCTCGAACGAGTCATCGCCCCGTTGGGGAAGAGGTGGTGGTGGCGGGGGAGCATACTGCTGCTTGCGCTTGCGGTCCAGGATCTGATTGAGAGTGTTGGCGTTACGAGATGTGAAGAAGGAGGGGTCAGGAAGCACGATTCCATCCTCGTAGTCTTCCTCGTCCATGTTGTCTTTGTCTCCGGAGAAGTCGCGCTCGGGGTCGTCGGACACACTTGTAGCAGAGGTTTCAGAGTGGCGGCCCCGGTTGGGGCTCTCGTCGCCCCAGGAGAAGGCACCTGCGATGCTCTTGCGCCCGGTTGTGGATGGGGTGGTCGGTGCGTCCCAGTCAGTCGCGGTGGTGGCCGTCGATGCCATCGACGTGCGTGGGCGCAACTTGCGCACCGGTTGACTCTGTGTTGCGAGCGTGAGGTTCGTGAGATTGAGTGGGAGAACGAGGTCATCCTCCAAGAACTCATCGTCCTCTTGTTTAGGCGCTTTGACCTGTGGCGGCTTTGCGTAGAGTTTGATCGTGGCATTATCGTCTTTCCTTCGTGGAGGTGGCAGCTTTGCCTTGAGTGTTGCGCTCGCCTTCAATGTGTCCTGATCGCCGTCGTCGAGGTCGGGCAGGTCGTCGAGTGCATTCATGTCCGCCAGCTGCGCGGACAAGCTCTTTGGCTTGAGCTTGAGCTGAAGACCTCCTCCTCCTCCTCCTCCTCCTCCTCCTGAGCCAGTACTGCTAGTGAAACTATCGAAGGACGAGTCAAAATCAAGGTCGCCCTCCCAGGCCTTCTCAATTGCACGGGCCTTGGCCTTTACGTTGCCGCCCGCCACTGCTTTGCCGTTCGAGCCCAAGCGAGTGATGGTACCGACACCCTTTGGGCCGGAGCCCATCACAGTGGCGTTAAGCGTGAGGGTCTTCATGTTTGAGCGAGGTGATGAAGAGTCCTTGCGAGCACGCAATGTCGATGAGGGTGAACTGCTCTTGCGAAGAAGTGTAGATGTCGAAGGTGGTGTAGACTGGATGGGAAGAGGAATGCGGCTCTTGAGGGTAGGGGGTGGTGCGTCGTCGAACGCGTCGTCGTCGATCACAAAGTCATCCTCAACTATGTCCTTCAGGTGCATTTGACGCAAGGGCGAGCCACTTAGCCTCCGTTCGCGTGCGGGACGCGAAGAACGGCTGCTGCTCGAAGCTGGGCTCGATGTGGACAGCATCCCACCCTCGCCAAAGTCAAAGGATGGATCATCAGACCAGTCGTCTGCGGGCGCGACCCATCCTCCTGGAGGAGGGATTGGCATGGCCGCGGGAATGGGATGGGGGTGTGCGTGAGGGAGTAGGTCAAGATGGGGGGATCCGCGGCCAGCGCGGAGCAATAGGGGTGCTCGTCGCGACCAGGCGAGAGCGGGACGGGTGGGGTGTGGGAGAGGTAGATGGGAGGGGGTGATGGGCGCCAGATGGGATGGAGGAAGGCGCGGTTGATAAGAAATGATACGCGGGTGTCCGTGAGCGACACGAAGTGGTTTGGATGGGAGTGGAGCGGCAGGTGGCCAAGTCGGGGGTTCGTCGCGAAGTGGATAGGAAGGGAGTAGGGGAGGATATGGGGGGGTAAGGCGTGATTGAAGAGTGAAGAGAGCGACGGTGTGGGTGATGGAGAGGGGGCGATGGATGATGATGAGAAGGGAGGATGGATGCGTGTTAGGTGGGTTGTTCTCTCGCGCTTTGCTTTACTTTGGTGTTGGGCCACAGGGTTGACTCATGTGAGGGGGGGGGGGGGGGCGATTAAGGGTTCATTACAACGCATTCTATTCACACTTGATCTTTATTACTTTGACTGTCTAATGCATAGCCACTGGGTGATGGCGCGGTTAGTCGCCCTAGCATCAGTGCAATTGTCTCGCCTTTTGTCTCGACGCGCTCGTTCCCCACCCCCGAGGCAATTCATCTCCTCCTTCTCATCCTCGCGTCCTCGAATCGCAATGACCAAAGCCCATCTCACGGTCATATCTCCTCCCATGCCTCTCAGTGCTCATGACCACTCCACCATTGCCAGTACAGAGCGAAAAATGCACCATCCCCTCACGCTGCACTCCTTTGTTCCCCGCTGTGACCGTCACACCGTCACACCGCTGGCGCGGGTATGTGCGGCGTGACGCGCAATCAGTCGCAGTGGAGAGAGGCATGTAGCCAAGCAGTCGGTATGCAGTGTACGAGAGTCCAGAGTGGGAAGGTAGGAGAGCGCAGGGTCGGGAGCTGCACGAGGCGTTTCGCGTCTGAGGGTGTGGTATGGCGGCGCGCGTTGGTTGGCCTTGGTCGGGCACGCTGTCGGCCGGCGCACAAGCCTGCAGGCCTGTTGGCGTGCTATCCTGTCCTGCTATCCTGTTATCCGCCTGTCATATGCTGCAACCGGACTGTGGGGCCTTGAGCCCAGAGAAAGACCAGATGACCCGAAGCTATACCTGGACGACAGCGTGACTTGAGCTCCACGGTAATCTCGGAGGCACTGGTGATACAGCGTGACGGCCTCGTTGCGCCGATGCCGACGCCGGGAAAGGCAAGGTTGCGTTTAGCCCTCGGCCCTCGGTCCTCGGACCAGGCGTGATGACGCCGGGGAGCTGGGTAGCTGGGTGTCTTGCAGAGATAACGCGTGACAAACCCACCCTCGACATTCCACTGCGGCACGGCACTGGAACTTCCATTCCGGGCAGGCGTATGCTTCTGGTGGCGCCGGCGAGGACCCGAACACCTGAGAGGCGCAGGCAATACATTATTCCAGGTACAAGAGAGCCCGCACGGGTACAAGGGTATAAGAGCACAAAAGCTCAACGACACGGGCTGACGAAAGAACTCATGCATCAAGGAACAGTACCGGAGAGCTGGGAGAGCGCGATGGCGCACGGGCTGGCATGCAGTGCAAGCAGGCGCAAGCACGGCACCGCCACATCGGGGATCTGCCGCTTCCATCGGGTCCGGCCTCGCCTGTCATCTCGTGAGCCTGTGGGCGTGACTGGGGCCTGGGGCCGCTCGGCCTGGTGGCCGCATCACATCTTGACCCGCCAGTGAGGGCTCTTCCTCCACCTCAGCGCCGCGACGATCGCCGAAGCGGCGAGCGCCATGCCGCCCGCCCAGAACACGGCGGGGCGGTACGCTTTGATGCCTTCTGTGCTGCCGCCGAACGCCGCGAGGAGGTATCCCGCCGTCGGGGCGCCCATGAGGTATCCGCCGCCCCAGCCCGTCACGATCATGCCAAAGGCGACAGCCATGCGCTGCTGTCCCATGATAGTGGATACGACTGTGGGCATGATGGCGAAGAATCCGCCTGATGCCGCGCCATTGACGAGCACGAAGATTATGAGGGGCGCGAGGGAAAGAGAGGTGGGCCAGAGGACGAGGAGCGAGACGGCCGTGATGGAGAGCACGAGGAGGAGGGTGTTGAGAGGGCCCATGATGCGGTCGGAGAGGACGCCGGTCGCTAGGCGGCCAAGCGCTGAGGAGAAGTTGAAGATACACACCAGGACTGCGCCAGTCGTCGTGCTCAGGCCCATGCTTGTTGCGTACAGGGGCAGGAAAAAGGGAGGGACAAAGAGCGGGAATGTGCCGAGCACGCCGGTGATGAAGAGGGCGACGAAGTCGAGGTTCTTGAAGAGGGACCAGTCGACGAACTCGCGGCGGTTAGGCGCAAAGCGCTCCTTGATGAACCATGCCGCGGGCAGGCATGTCGCAAGCATGAGAAAGCCGACGAGGCGGAACGTCCACGCGACGCCGAGGTTGCGGACGCCGGCTTCGAGCGCCAGCGAGATGATGGCCCCGCCGAACCCGCCGCCAGAGTAGACGATGCCGAGCGCTGTGCCCTTGCGCCGCGTGAAGTACTGCGAGGGCGTAATAGAGATGACCATGAAGCAGAGGCTGACTCCGAGGCCCATCATGACGCCGGCGGTGACAAAGAGGCCGCCGACGCTGTGCGTCGCGAAGCCAGCGAGGAGCTGCGACGCGGCCATGAAAAACACGCCGACGAGCGCCATTGGCCGCGCGCCTAGTTGCCCAAACAGCCGCGAGTTGAGAATCGCGAGCGCAGAAAGCATCGAAACGGCAATGGAGCCGACAAACGCGAGCGTCGACGCCGGCGCGAGGCGCTCAGCTACAAGGGCGCCTTGTAGCACGCCCCAGGAGTACGTCGTGCCCACAAACCAGAAGCAGAGCATGGTGCAGCACGCAACGATGAGCCACGCCTGGCGCCCGCCATCGGGCGCATCTTCCGCGAGCAGGCGCGCGACTTCCGCGCTCGCGTCTAGTGTTGATGTGGGTGTTTCGGGCACGGAGGCGCCATCGTTTTTGGGAGAATTGGGGAGCGGTGAGAGTTGGATGCCCTGCTCCAGCTCGCGCTCGGTGGGGCGTGCCTCGGTGATGTCGAGTTCGAGAACGGCCTGTTTCTGCAGTGACATGGTTGCGTTACTGGGTGCGTCGCAAAACCGAGTGGAAGACGTCGGTAGCCTTGGGTCTCTCGTCGACTGATATGATCAGCACTTCCCACCCATGCGGGCAAGCGGCTGAATCAGCGGGCTTTCCGCGCGGAGCTTGCCCGAGATTTGAGTCGAAAGGTCGCTTAGCCATGCCGTCACAGTAGGCCGAGTCAGGACACCGATCTCCTGGCAGAGGCCGACAGTTTAGGAGCTCCAACGATCAACGTCGGTTGATACTTGTACACATGGCATACAGTCGTAATGCGCCTCAAAAAACACGAATAGGCCCGACGACACGCTTATCTCGCAATCGCAGAGCGCGCCCCACCACATCTGCCCGCGCAGCTGCGACAGTTCCCGCTCGCGTTGCTCCTTCAGTAAGAAGGAGCAGGAGAAGTGCGGCGTTGACCTCGCCGATGTGGAGGTGTGATCCGGCGACAGAGGTGAGGGGAACGCTGAGGGCACGCGCGAGCTGTCCGTGTCTTCCTGGCAGAGACCTAATGTCAGCCCCTCGGCCCTGATGCACACCGATCCTTTCCTGGTTGAAAGAGGACTCACTGGACGTGCGCTACCGTATTCCATGCGCGCATAATTCCCATCCAGAGCAGATATAGCGCGGCCTGTTGTGGATGCCCCGAGATCTCGGCATATGCCCATGTCGCGGATCTGCTAGGACCCTCGGCTGCCCAGCGGAGCGTGTCCTGGGTTCTGCCAATGGGGATGGCAGGCGGGGCCAGGCGCAGGCGAGCTTGAAGTTCGAACCATAGACGGGTGGAAAGGAAGCGGGGGAGGAAAGGGTGCACGGGAGCGGGGCTGCGATCAGCGCGGCACGAGGCGAGGCGAGGTGAGGCGAGGCGCGGAAGGCGAGGAGCACATGCGGGTACAGGGGTGAATGCACGCACTCTAGCACCACAAGGGCGTGTATCGCGGCCCAGAGGAGGACGAGAGTGGGCGTGGAAACTGCGTTAGCAGGCTCACAAAGCGGCGTACTGTACGCGGCCAGCATTGTTGGCGGGGATGAGGGCGAATGTGCTTTCCGCACCGCCTCGGGCTGCTCCGCATTCAGCGCGAGGGGAGGCTTGGCGTCGTCCATCGCGCCGCTGTGTTGTGTGGGAGGGGAGCAAGTCGGGGAAAGAGGCGATGTTAGACAGCTCAAACCAAGGAACTAGTAATGTCGTGAGGATGAGATGAAGGAGAAACAATGGAAATGGAGTATCGTCAGATGCATGTGTGTGGGTGGCGCACGCATGAGCGGCATGGGCGACGTGAGCGGGGTCTCCACTCAATCCCCCCGATTGAAATCACTGGGCTCCACTATATTCGCTCAAATGAGCTAATCCGCATTTGGAGATAAGGGATTTTCAGGGTCCAGACCGTCTTGCATTCCTCTCCGTTCGTGTTAACAGGCCCATTCATTGCTTCTGACCGCTCTGCCGCAGCCAGCAGCTCATGATCCGTCCGAATGAGAACAATGCAATTACACATGGGCAGCAGTCTGGTAGCCTGTCGCTGACGTGTGCTACTGTTCTAGCCGAGCGAAGCGAAATCTCTCTGCCTGTTGACGAAAGCCTCAGCTCCCACTTCACAACTGTGGAAAGGGGAAGTTTCCAGTCAGCCGCCCTTCGAAAGAACAGATTCGTACGAATCTTGCACGCGTGCGCAAAGCCTCCATGATCTACAGAGGTGCGAGAGCTTAGTATTACATGGCAGTCGCAGGGGGGGATGCAAGGGGAGGCGCGAGGTGCCAAGAGCAGAATCGAGAAGCATCGACAGGTGACGACACTGGCGTGTGTCTCAGAACAATAGGGCGAGGCTTTCCGACGCCCAGCAACCGTGCGTTTAATGTCGACGAGGTCGTCAGTGTCGGCGATAGCGTCTCGCGCGAGCGACACTCGTGGCGGGCGCCAAACCAAATGGCTCCCAAATGAATTCTTTGGTATCGCCGGCGGCTCACGGGCCTGCTGCCCCTCCCCTCCCTGCCTGGGGAATGGAAGCCAAGGCACCGTTCGAAATCAGGCGCGCATCACCAATGCTGCAGCCGCAACAATTGGTATCGCCCCGCTCGTTGCCGCCGGTGGCCAGCCGCCGCCAACCAGCCCGCCAGGAGCTATCCAGCCGCTGACATTCACTCGTGAGAAGCCCTGTCCGTGCACTCCCCAAACATGAGGAGAGGGACACTCACTCACCCTCTGTGCCCAGCTCCCAAAGCGATCCCAATGACCGTGCCCAGTGCCCAAGGCCAAGGAAGCGCCACAGACAATGCTAGTGCTTCCCATCCTCCATCTCCATCGCCTTTCTCACTCTCTCACTCTCTCCCACACTCCTCTTCATCCACTTTGCTTCATCTCCACAAGCCTCCCCACCCCCGCTCAAACTCTAGGCCCCACCACCACCACCCCCTCCCCCTCCTGGAACCATCCACACCCATTTCCTCGCACTCGGAGCGCCGGGCCATGTTCCCATCCCCGCTCATCCATTCTCCCGCCGAGGAAGGGACATGGGCGGCGCATGCGGCAGCCCGTCCCGCCGCCTTTCAGTCCCCCACCCGCGCATATAAGCGCCAGCTCACCTCGAGCTACCTCCACGAGTCCCAGTCCTTCCACCTGTCGGACGGGCTCGCGTCGCTCCTCAACCAATGGAACGACGCAGAATATGAGCTGGGCGAGTGCACCGCCGCTCGCCTGTCCATGCGCACCGCCGACCTGCGCAGCCTCTCCATCGGCGTCGGCGGCCTCCCTTACCCCGATACGCGGGTGCAGGCGGCCTTCCGCGCGCAGTGCGCGCTCAATCCCGCATCACTGGCCCAGAGCCCGCGCGACAGCGCGTCCGACTATGGGCGCCCCTTTGACGCGCGTTACGACTTGACCTCATCCTATTCTCCGAACCGCGCCTCCGACGGATGGGGCATCCACGCGCCCGAGCGCGTCCTCACCGCCCGCTGCGCGTGTTGGCGGCACGAAGCCGCGCTCGCCGTACTGGTCGTCGAGGGGTTTGCACCGCGACGCCTCACCCGCGCCTCCCTCCGGGTGTGGGAGGAGGACGAGCGGTGGCGCGCCCTCGCCCGCCTCCTCGGCGCGAGCGTCGATCACGAAGAGCCCGTGCTCCTCACGAGGCAACAGATTACCGAGAGGGTGCGTCCATCGTGTTTGGCCGCCGATACTCATATCGCAGATCTGCACATGTCCCGCTGATCTGGCCGATCTCGGGGGCGCCCTCGACGCGGCAGAGCTGGGCGTTTGCAGCATGCACGGAAACACGCCCGCAGGTAATAGCGCGTACGCCCATCTTCCTGCCGAGTGGGCGGCTGCTCTCGCCGCGGCGCCCTTCCGCATCGATATCCCTCGCTGTGCGCGCCCGCCGGCCGGACTCTTTCCCCCGCCACCCGCCACCCGCGAGGACCCCGACCCGACCGCAGCACTCACGCTCGACGAAGTCGCCGCCGTCCGCGCTGCCGACGCCTCGCCCCGTTTCTTCATCGGCGAGCATCCGGGCCAGGGGCACTCGCGCACGTCCAGCGCATGGAGCTTCAATTACGCGACGCTGAATTTTCCCGCGCCGCCCCCGAGCCCCTCACGGCTCCAGTGGGCGGACCTCGGCCCGGCCAAGGGCAAGATGACCGCTGCTGCGCGCCACCTCCTCGCGCTCGAGGAGAATGCTACTGCTGCGCGTGCGCTCGTGCGCGGCGTCGCCTTCGCCGCGTCGACTGCCGAGGCGGGGCAGGGCCGTGTTGCCGTCGCCGTCGCAGGCACGCGGATGGCGCGCTGCGTCGCGATCGACGTCAATGTCATCGCGCTTGAGCTCACACCAAAGTCGGACTCAGACCCATGGGGCGACTCGTTGACCAACTCGGTGCTTGTCGAGGAGGAAGAGGAGGGTGAGGACAGCGAGAACAAGAGGGACGATAATGGACAAGTACAACAAGATCAAGAGGAGCAACGTAATCAACCTCCTCTACGCCCGTCGCCACGGAGCAGACGCAGCTCGCGCAGCATCCACAACTTCCCGCCAAACTTTGCAAGCCACATCGACCTGCGCACCCTCCTCGCGGGCGATGTATGGGAGCGCGTCCCCCACGACCTCGTAAGCTTCCGAAGCTGGCCCTTCCCCGTCCTCCCGGGGCCGGGGCACGAAGAGGCGCAGGACGCGCTGCTTCTTGACGACTGCCTCAGCATAAATGAGATGTACAAAACGCGCGCGAGCGCCCCCCGTGCCCAGCCGGCCCAGGTGCCCCGCACCCAAGCGCCCCCTTCGCCCGAAAGCCTGCCCCCCACTCCGCTCGACGGGCCTGGACACGCCGAATGTCGTGCGAATAAGCACGGCACGCACGCCGAGGGACCGACTTGCGGCCTCGGGTTCTTCCCTGTCCCGTCGCCGGATCCCAACAGCACGCTCAGCCTCTCCGTGCCCCCACCGCCCCAGGCCGTGCTGGTGAAGCCGGAGACTGGCCTCCCGACGCCAGACTCACCGTCCGCAGTTCCCTCATTTCATGCTCCAAGCGCGCCGTCCTTCCCCGAGTCCCACACGCCTCGCCAATGCCGGACGACGCCGGGTAGTCCATACCTCCCGGCCCCTACCCACTCCGTGTTCGGTGCGCCCCCGCCCGTGCCCCCCGTCAAGCCTCTTCCTCTGCCCGAGATACACGCAGACGGACCCCACGAGATGCAGCATACGGCTGACGAAACCCCCGGCGCTCCATGGCAGGTCCCGCCGCGCTCGCTGCCTATCTGGCCCCCGCCCTCGGCCCCGCCCTCGCTCCCTCCCTCGCCTGCGCTCCGGCCCTCCCCGCCGCCCCTCGTCCCGCCGCCGTGCATGCACATGCCGTGCGTGCGCGCCATCGCCGACCGCACCAAGCCTGACTCGCTCAACCTGCAACGCTTGTACGACGCGCTCGTGGCGGGGATCTACGCGCTCGGCGATCGGCCGCGCACAGAATGTCTCGCTACGTCGCCGGTCGGCGCGCCCCGCGGCCCTCTCGCGGACGAGGTGCGCGCCATCGCGCGTGTTGTGAGACGCGACAGACGCGCGCGCAAGGCGCGGGCCGACGAGGTCGCGGCGCCGGTGAAACGCGCGAACTCGGCCGACCCGCTCAAGAATATGCTGCCCATCACGCCGGTGTCGTCGCGCTCGACTACGTCGTCACGATCAGCAGCGTCGCCAAACAGATTCGCGAGCTTCAAACGGTTCTGGAAGAGCCCGGCGCCCACCGAGCTCCCCACTGCGCCGCCGACGCGCAGACCAAGCGCGACCACGCTCGCGCCCCCGCAGCTTGCGCCGCCGTGCGTCACGCCAGAGAGCGCACACATGGTGACGCCCGGCCAGGAGAACATGATGGAAGAGCTGCGCTGGGCCCTCCGCCAATCCGCGACGTCGCCAAAGCCCAAACCCTCGCTCATGCGATTTCCGCCGCACCAGCAGGGGTCGCAGGCCGAGTTGCCTACCATCTCCGACTCGGTGCCGGAGCGTGAAACCGAGGGTGAAGCCGAGCAGGAGGCAGAGTACGAGCCCGTGCTGGCCGCGCTTGAGCAGACGGGCATCGTCGTCGTTGGCGTCCACCCGGCGTTCATGGACATGCTTATGCGTGAGGTCGCTGGTGTGTCAGTATAATGGCCGTCAGTTGTAGTTTCCAGTTGTAGAAGATTGTTGTGCTGTGGTAAATGCTGCATGCAAGGTTGTTGTGACTTAGAATGCTTTCTCGTACTGATGTTAGTCCTGGTCGCGACAGCACTCACGAAGCACAGGTATGCGCGCGCGGCCATAACTTCCTGGACGCTCGCGAGACGAATCTCGGTGTCGCTCGCGTAGCACCACACCCGGCGATCGGGTTTGTTGGGCCCCTCGTCCAGCGTGAGGCGCTCCATGAGCTCGGCATGGTTCTCACCGGGAGGCATGAATAGCCGCTCGGGATCGACGAGCACATACGCAATGTAGTGCCCGCCGACCATGGTGCCGAGGTGCACCACCACCGCGTACAACCTGTACGGCATGGGTGTGCGGTTGGGGCACTGCTCGGGGCTCGGCCAGTCTTGGTATGGTGCGCGAGGCCCCTGGGGCGTTGGCACGACTTTAAAGTCGTTTCTATTCGGTGCCATGAACGGCGCGATGTCGAGCGTTTCAGGGAACGACACAAAGTCGTCGATTCTGTCGTTAGCGCTGTGCGGTAGAGAGACATACTTCTTCAGGCTCGAGAACGTCGAGTACACCGAGCTCGTTGTCTGCTTGAACCGCTTGATGTGGAACACTAGCACTTCGGGCGCCTTGGCTATCAGGTATCGCTTGAAGGCGCGGCGGAGAACAAAGTGTTTGTTACGGCTCTGTCGCCTATCGAGTACTGGTCGGAGGAATGAGCGGCGCTGAAGGTCGGGCGGCGGTTCGTCGTCGCTGTCGCTGCTGGAGTCGCTGAGGCCGTCCGAGTCTGATCCCGGGGCAGGGAAGACGGTCGAACCGGAGACGCTGGACGTATCAGTCGCATACGCCGTAGTCGAGCTGGCAAGTGAAGTGAGACTGCTTGCCCCGGTGGAGCTAACAGAGCTAACAGCTGCGAGTGAGGTACTGCCGCTCGGTGCGGGCGAGAACTGTTCGGGCGTCTGCACGACTTGGCGGAGGGGCGAGGGCGCACGCATAATCCCGGAATTGTGAGGGATGTCGCGCCCCAAGCGTGCGTTGTCAGTCTCCTCGACAGCAATAGAAGGCACCTCGCCGTTGGCCGGCGTGTGTCCCTCGCTGGTGCGGTTCGAGTAACGCCCAACTTTGATCTTCCAGCACTTGTGGCACGCGAACGCGTTGTCGCCCTCTAACACCTCGACGGCCGTGAAGCTCTTTAGGCTCTCTACAAGCCCATAGTCCTTTGGCGGAGCGGCTTCCCCGGCGTGTGCCGCGCGCAGCTTGGCAAGCGGATCGTTCGCATCAGGCGGGCCAGGTGGGCCATACAGGATTCGTTGAATATACGCCGTTTGCGCAGGTGTAGGCGTGGCAGCATGATGATGATGGTGGGACGAGGGCAATGATGGGGTGGAGCCATTGGGGTCCGGTGAGGCAGCTCGATGAGTGGGCGGGCCGCCGTCGGGGATGGGAGGCGCAGGCTCAAGACGTGCCGACGAGTCGAGCTGCGGTGAGACACCAGGCGATTTGTCCGGCGACGTGCCCGCCTTGTCCTTGTCCTTGTCCTTGTCCTTGTCCTTCTTGTCTTTGTCCTTGCGCCGGAACGAGAAGGAGGGGCGAACTCTCGAGCCGCGTTTGGTGCTGCTGGAGCGGTAGAGTCCTGTTGTACTTTGGGTGCTATCCGCGTCCGAAGATGGCTGACGTGGCGCACGCCCGTGTCCAAGCCCCAAGTGCCTATGCCTTCCGTGCTCGCTGTCACTCCCTTCGGGCTCGGACATGGTCGCGTGCGAATTGTCGAGGTGTTTACCCTTGGGCGTAAGGCGGTGTGCAAGCCCTCGAAATCGGTCACGTTTACGCTGACGGGCGGGTGCGTCGTCGTCACCACGCATGCTCAGTGACAGGTCGAGGAAGCCCTCGTACGTGTGCGAGACTGACTTGCACGTTTCACAAACGACAATGGAAGCCAACAACCCCCCGAACAAGACGTCAACAAAGGGTATGAGCTCGAGCTCAGCTTGTACACCCGCGCCTGTCGAAGCTGGAAGCACAGCCAATGTACCGGGAGCGGCAGGGGGCGCACCAGCCGTCGCACGCTCCTTGTTGATGAGCTTGATGACGTCCTTCTCCTCCATCTCCATCGAGTCGAGCAGATGTCGCAACAGCTCATGCGCGTCCTGCTGTGCAAACTCGTCATATTGATCGTACTTGCGAGCGAGCTCTTTAAGAAGGGAGCGCAACGTCATGGAATGCCTCATACTTGATTCGCCTGGCCCGCTAGTCCCACCTCCATTGTCCTTCATCGTCCATGCCTTGTGCAGCATGTTAGTGAACGCACGCGTCACGGGGAGAAGAGGATACAATGGAGGTTCCAACGAGTCAGCGCGGAGACAAGGCGTCGCCTCGGCCGTCTGGACGGCTGGAGGAAGGAGCGAGCTGGGCGCGGGCTGAAGGGGGAGGGCAGGGTTAGCTCGTAAGAGACTGATTAGTGCCGGTGTTGCTGCAAGCTACATTCAGCAGGGACGGTGGGGGGATAACACACCGACTGGAAAGTCGAGTTGAGGAAGCAAGTCATGCCCATATTGATGATGCCTGCGGGCTTGTTGGTGTGCATGGGTCGGTCATCAGCGGTGGAGACGCGCGGCGAGAGCGCCGGCGATGGAACTTTGGACTGCGGGGCCGAGCGGCTCATGATGGAATGGGCCGATCGTAGCGGAGAGCAGCTTCAGAGGAGCCGGAACAAGCGGCGCGGCGAGGAGGTATGGAGGGAGGCGAGATGATGATGGAGAATGACCAGGAGGGAGGAGGGAGGAGGGAGAGAGGGAGGATGATGATTCACGCAAGCCAGGGAAGAGGGAATGGATCCGAACAGGGCACAGTGGACGGCCCACGCAGCTTCAAACGCCAATGCCGCCACGACGGAAAGGATTCGGTGCTGAGCGTGTAGATATTGTGGAGAGAGATGAGGAGAAAGGAAGTTGAAGGAAATTGGTTAATGTCGAGATGGAGGAGACTGGTGAGTTGCGAGGGATCGAGCGAGCCCGCGACGATGCGAAGCCGGCCGGCCCACAACCCACAACGCGGGGAGGTGGGGTGGGGAAGCTTCGGCTACTTACCCCACCTCCACCCTGCAGCTGCCCACTCATGCAGTTAGTTTACCGCCATGCAATGGCCAACAGCCCACACGCTTCACACAACACGTGTGTCGTGCGCCGTTACTGTTCGACAGCTCAACTACATGCACAACGAGTAACAGTACAATCGTTTCTTCTTTCTCATTCACTTTTTCTTCTTGAGTTGCCCGCGCATTGGCTTTAAAATGTTCGGCTCTCGGTAGGGCACCATCTACTGATGGGGCGAGACCTGATCAGCTGGTATTAGATGGCTTTCGCAGTTGCTCCGGGAGATACGCACCGTGAAGGACACCCTTCTTGACGAGCTCGTCAACCGAGGGGCGGTTACCGATATCCTTGTCAAGGCGGTCCTGACGTTAGCGACGATGCCATGAGGACGTACACTGCACATCGAACGCTCGAGGTCGGAGCGCTTGGCGGCTAGGGGGTCATTGGGGCGGCCTGGGGTCAGCCAATCCAGATAGATTATCAAGCATGCGGAGGTGATCCGGTGAGCCCCGTTCACCACAATTTCGCCGAGTGTCTCGCAAGGAAGGCTCTTGATCGGCAGAGCGTCCAAGGAGCACAACACTGAATCACTGCGCCCCCCGGACGCCCCAACGGAGCGCAACAGAACCCCCCGCCCGTTCATTGTCCCGTGCGAGATCCAAACAGCATCATTATAGCTGTCCGTGACGTCGAAGTCATCGTCCAACAATTAGCTCACCCTTGAGAATATTCTTGTTCTGCAGCTCCGAGGCAATGGGGCGGTTAGCCATCATGCGCTCCATGCGCTGGCGATCAACAGGTGAGGTGGGCGAGAGATCGTGCGAGTCGTCAACGCCAGAGGTGTCGATCTTGGAGGGGACAGGAACGGGTGCGGCCACTGTGGTCAGCGAGGGAGAGGGGGGAGGGGGGAGGGGGGAGGGGGAAACCGGGGAGAGGAAGGCATAACGCGCGAGCATCGACCTGTCCGCACGCGGCGTCAGACACAGATCACAGAGAAGGTTTATGTTTCGCGATCAGGGAGGTCCTCGGACAATGGTGATGAGTGGGACGGCGGAGGAGGCGAGGAGCGAGGAGGTTGTGAGAGCGTGAGAGCGTGGGACTGACTGATTGAGGTGGTTCAGAGTTGATGGTGTTGAGTGGAGAGAGAGAGAGAGAGATGAAGAAGAAGACAAGAGTGAAGAGGAGACGATGGGAAACGCTAAATCTGTACAGTAGGTAGACCCAGCGGCTGGTCGGCTGGAAGGGCGGAATAGATTGGTTGCTGTGCAAGGTGAGCGACCTTGGGCCGGCCTTGGTCCCCCCGATCTTGACTTGCGGTCACGAGATCATCACGTCCTGTGTGTCCGGTGGCCGGTGGAGGCTCACACAAACAAGAGGTGACGTCAAGCTCATTCGACTTGAACATTGCAATTCGCCTGACAAATCCCCTATCCCACTGTCATTAGCATCGTTTATTGACTTATCTAAGAGTCTAACGGCCACGGAGCGCATCCAATGCGACTGCTCCTTGCCCAGCCCCAGTAATCCCGTCGCTCGTTGGTACACACGACAGGAAGGTATAAAGATGGCTTGCCTAATTGCCTAATTGTTCCGCCGCGCCCTATCTTTGGCCGCGGGCGCTGCGTCGCCGCATCGCCAGATCGCCAGATCGCCGGAACCGGGGTGGCCTAGGCGCCTAGGCGCCGGGGGGCTTGATATCGCGTGCCCTACTACCAGCCGCCAACACTCTCCTCACAAGATCACTTTCTCTAGTGGATCTCGAGTAGATCACGTAGAGATAGTCCACGAACGATAAGCCGGTCCGTTGGAATAGGAGCGGAATGAACTGCTGCAACGAGACGGACGAGAGGTGGTCGCATCATGCCAGCGTGCCTCATGTCAACACCCGGGACTTCAGGAGGCTCATCGGCCGGCATACCGGGCCACTCGAGCAGTTCGGGCAGGAGATGGCTTGGGCCTCGCTTATACATTCAAAAGAGCGACGAGCAAGCAAGGCAGAGGGCGGGAGATGAGGGGTTAGAGGCGGAAGGAAGCTCTGGGTGGCGTTTTTTTTTCTGACTGAAGCGCCAGTCGTCGCTGGCTGCTGCTTGCTGGCTGGGATCACGGGAGTGGGCATACGATCCGGTGGGCGGTGGGATGAAAGGGGGTAGAGTTGATATTTGGCTCCGTCATTCCTCTATGTAAAGGGGGAGCCTCGTGGCATTCCCTATGGCCTCGGAGTGTGTACCTTTGGATTATGCCTCCGTCGCGCCGTCGCAGACAGCGACCCTGGGCGATTCTCGCATGGTCCAGCTAGAGGAGTGTGAGAGAGAGGAGGATCCGAGGAGGCTATCAAGGAGCCCTAATCCCCTCTCATACGATTCTCCTTCATCCTCCTTTCACTCTCTCTCACTCTTCACTCTCACTCCACCACTCTACTCCTTACTCGTCCTCCTCCTCCTACTACTACTACTCCTCTCCTCCTACTCATCACCTAATCATCCCTCATCACCACCTCTTTCCTCTAATCCATCTCCAATCGACACTCTCATCCCTCCTCCTCCAACGCCTATACGCCTACTGGCCTCGCCGCTCCCGGTCCCCTTCTCGCTGCCGCGTCACCCACCCCTTTTCATCCTTCCCCCCCATTGGCCTGCCCACCGCCAAACCCACCACCACCCCTTCCTCGCCGTCTCCCCCACACCGTGCTCACCATGCCCTCCAAGGCCCACTCATCCTCCAAAGCTCCCACCCGCCAGCCAAAAAACATTGTCGTCGTTGGCGGCGGCATCGTCGGAGTCTGCACGGCTTACTTCCTCGCCATCTCACCTCACCGTGCAGCCGGATCCAAGATCACCCTCGTCGAAGGCACAGGCGTCGCCTCGGCTGCCTCCGGAAATGCGGGCGGCTTCCTTGCCCGTGACTGGCACGGCCCCGCAACTGCTAGTAAGTGGCTAGTGGCTCCCCTATACTCCGACAAGACAAGCCATGAGGTTTTCAGAAGGCGTCGGGCGCAACTGGTCCGAACCGTGAGAAGGAGGGCGGGCGTCGGAAGACACGAAATGACGCGGTCGCGGACATCACGTATCCGTTTTCCTGCCACCGTCGACGTTGACTGGCCTCGGGGCCTCCACTACTCCAGACTGCCGGAATGGACCCAGTCACCATTCACCCATGCATTGTGGAGTCATATCGATCCTCGTGCACTCGGACCCCGAAAGAGATGTCGTAGAGAGTGACGAAGGCGGGCAAAGATGCCCTTTCCCTGCGCAGTCCTGTCAGCTATCGGGCAGCACTGTATGCTTCATTCCTATCCAGTCCTATCCTTGTCGTTCTTGCTCTCCGTTCTCCGTTCTCTCCAGCTTTCCAGATTCTGTTGACCTGTACCCTCGGTCGAAAGAGTGAAAGTTGGACAGAGGCGCAGAGTTGGCGGAACGACATGTCGGGTGTCACCTTGCGCGCGTGCGCCCCTCCCTCTTCCACACACGTGTGCTGACCTCAGGCCTTTCTGCAATGTCGTTCGACTTACACCGCAAGCTTGCGGAGCAGTTCGGGGGCTCCAAGCATTGGGGATATCGTTCTGTTGACACTTTGGTAAGTCCACTTTCACCCGTGGCGTGCTGTTGCTGCCTTGTGCGCCGCGCCTCCGTCAACCTTCCCCCGCTCCTCACCTTTTGCTCACACTTCAGTCCGTGACAATCGATGGGCAGGCAGAACCTGCCACCTCCCGTTCGCCTGTGCCGTGGATCCCCAAGGGAAATATTCACAAGCACTCGCAGCTCGGCACACATTCCACGACAGCACAGTGCCACCCTCGGCTGTTAACGAGATTCCTCGCCGAGCGATTCCTGCGCGAAGAGGGCTGCTCCCTTGTGCTTGGGACGGCCAAGGCGCTGGCATTGGACTCTGAAGGTGTGCCTCAGACTCTCATGGTCAATCTCAAAGAGGACGGAAGCGAGCGTATCATTGATGTCGACACGGTCATTCTCACAGCGGGACCATGGCTTGGCCGCTTGGCCGAGGCTCTCCTCCCTTCGTCGGCGGCGCGAGGCATCGCAGTCGATGGCCAGATGGCCCACACCCTTCTCCTCCGTCCCAAAGAGCCGACAACTCCTCACTGCTTATTCGTCGACCTCACCCTTAATGACGGCGCAGTATCCGAGCCTGAAGTGTACCCGCGGCCTGACGGGACCGTTGTCATGTGAGTTCAGCCGAGTTGAGCAGCTCGCTTTCAATGACACTCGTCATCCCAGCCGATGGAGGATACGTCAGTCTCCATCGGCTCAGATAAACACGTGTCCGACGCTGACGATCAGTTGCGGTGCTTCATGTGCCGTCGACTTGCCTGAGACTGCTGGAGATATCATTGGCGACCCCGCGTCCGTTGACAAGTTGCGGACACAAGCTGCCGGCATCTCACCGGTGTTCAGCGAGGAGGGCGGTGCGACGTTTGAGTCGTCGACAGCATGTTTCCTCCCAATCCCCGATCGCGGACGCCCTTGCATTGGCAAGGTTCCAGGCATGGAGGGCGTGTACGTTGGTGGCGGGCTCAGCTGCTGGGGCATTACCCAAGGCCCGGGCACAGGATTGGTACTCGCCGAGATGGTGCTCGAGGGCGAGGCCAAGACAGCGGATGTGTCCAAGCTGTCACCATAGGTGTGTGCTGGTGGGCTGGCAGAGTGAAGAAGGGAAGAAGTCGGGGAAGAAGTCGGGGCGAGAGGTGCATTGCAGTCGGTCCGTACCTCCATAAGCATGTACGGTTGGTTGCTCATGGCTGACAGCTAATGGTGATGCAAAACGCTGATGTCAAGGTTTGCTGATGGCGATGAAACGCTGCTGATGCCGATGGGACGCACGTACAAATGACGAACGACATTTCGAGGGATCTTTCGTCCAATGTGCTTTGTTTGCAAGGATCGGTCGCCACGACGCAGACCCACCACCGCGACGTCTAGAGGAGGCCGAGCGAGGTGCCCGCGAAGCGGCACGCGGGGGTCGCTCCGCTGCTTCCACGGCACGCACACAACCGCCATGACGGACGAGGCGGAGTGAACATCGCTAGTCGACTGATGGCGGGTGGTGTGTGCTATGTGCGTGCACACAACGACATCGTGTACCGGGCGTGGGCGCGACAGATTACAATTCATGTCCTGAGCTGGCATCAACCTTGGCCAGGCCCGGTCCATCGAACCCGCGGCGTATATAGCACGACAAGCGTCTTGATCAAGGCCTTCTTCCCCCCCCCGGCCAGTCCACTGGCCCCGATCACGCGCTGGCGTCGGCGTCAGAGTCCCGTCCAAGGAGAACCACGCCACGCAATTGATAACACGTGACTCCTAGACCTCGTGATCGCCTCGCGCTTGGCAGGTACACCCTCTATCTCTGGTTTGTCATCAATCTGAACAGACGCTCGCCGTCAAGACCGAAGCGTTGGCCACGGCTGAGCATGGCAAGCCCCATCCCTGCTAATCCTACCCTCTTACCCCACTTCTCTTACTCGCTCCGATAGCGGCGCCCCTTTCCCCATCTCACCGCATCCACATCAGCGACCGAGAACATCGCCCCGACGGGCCAGAGAGGCGCCGCCTCCAAGCCACACGCGGCACGCCAAACTCGGCACGCCAAACTCGGCACGCCAATCTCGTCGAGTTCAGACTTGGCAGAGCAGCGCTGCTAGTGAGGAATGCGAACGCTTGAACGTGCATGTCTGGGTCGCGTGAGTTGATTGTCATGTCAATCCACGGCCATCCCCGCCACCGTTGTTCGGCTCGGGCACATACGAACTCTTGCTTCTGCGGGCACGCGTCAGCGGATTACTGGCTCTGCAGGCACTCCGGGTCGTGTAGAGGCTGACGTCGCTGTCGGAGAGTTGTGGGGAGAGATGTGGCAGTAATCAATTCGCGGAATGCTGGTAAGCTCGCTGGCTGAGATCGGCGCGTGGCAGTGTCACTGGCACTGATCGTGGCAAAGTTGCAAAGTTGCACAGACGCAGCGATCCAGCGAACCTCCCAAGTTCGGCGGGCACCTCGCACAGCTTCGACCGCCGAGCGCCGCGCGGCGCTCGCCTCGATTCACCAGCCCGCGGCCATGTTCCCAGCCCGCCATCGCCAACGCCATGAGGCGCTCGCCAGCTCACGACTTCTTCGCCTGTCTTGGCAGGGGGTGGCAGCCAGCAATACTCGGCTCCGTCCTTGTGTGGCGCCATATGATGCGCGAGCAACTCCAGGCCTCCTTGCACATCTAGCTCGTCAGGTGCTACTGGGCATGCACTCTACGAGCATAAAGCCTCTCCGTTGTGAGGGACGAACCCTCACTCCCTCATCCAACATGAGGTCCCTCTACTTCCTCACGCTTACGCTCACGGCCGTGGCCGCCCGCCCCTCCCTCGCTCCCAGGCAGGGCGGGTATGGCGATTGCTCGACCTGTGGCGCGGCTGTCGAGCAGCTCCTCTCGAACTGCGGCGGCGCCGCGGACCAGCTCTGCCTCTTCGGCTGCGATGTAAGCCACCCCGCTCCGGACTGGCGGGCTGACCAAAGGCGCTGGGCCCGCTGCAGGAATGCACCGCCTGCCTGCAAAGCGACAGCACGGCGTCGCCGCAAACAGCGGAAGAGGTCGCGGGGCTCACGGACCGCCTCGACACGTTCTGCCGCGACGCCAACGCCGCGCTCTGCACGGACGAGTGCACCGGCGTCTCGCTCGACTTCACGGACGCATGCGGCACCAGCGGCAACGTGCTGGCCTGCCTCGCGCAGTGCCCGAGCTACGGCGCGCTCGCGCCATGCGTCGCGTGCCTCCAAGCGCGGCCCGAGGGCTTCGGCTACGCCGAGAGCTGGGCCACCCTCGAATGGTATTGCGGCGGCGACGCGTGCGCCGGGTCCTGCACGTCGTGGATCGCGCCGTTCGGCCAGTTCTGCAATGCCGAGGACACGTGCCGCGCCAACATGTGCGAGGGGGGCAACAGGGACGAAATCGACAGCTGCAACGCATGCATCGACGGCGCACCCGTCCTCCAGAGGTACATCGGGGAGACGCAGAGTGCCATCGACTATGTTCTCGGCTTGTGCGGCGATGACGGCGATGACGGCGATGACGGCGATGACGGCGGTGATGAGCCGACGTGCGACGAAGAGTGCTCGGGCATCATCGAGGAGGCTGCCGGCCTCTGCACTGCCGAGGCCCCAGAGGACTGCAGGCAGATGTGCGAGGTGAGTCTGGTTTCAGCTGTGTCTGACCACAGGGCGATAGGCTGAGCCGCTTTGAGGCGTGCTCCGTGTGCGCCAACTCGGCCGATACCTTCTGGGATGGCCCGGGAATCCAGACATCCCTCGACCAGCTACGGGCCCTCTGCGAAGAGGAAGACTCCACTGTAACCCCCGGACCTATTGTCATTCCGCCGTCAGGTGGCGGCGGCGGCGGCGGCGGCGGCGGTGGTGGTGGTAGCGGTGGCGGCGGTAGCGGTGGCGGCGGTAGCGGTGGCGGCAGTAGCGGTGGCGGCGGTAGCGGTGGCGGCAGTAGCGGTGGCGGCGGTAGCGGTGGCGGCGGTGGGGGCAGTGGCAGTGGTGGATCCCGGACAACGTCTAGCGTCTCGAGGAGCAGCTCCGCCCGTCCTTCAGCGACCAGCGCGCGCAGCGTGAGTGTGCCACAGCAGCTACGCTAACATTAGTCGGCGCACAAGCGACTTGTCGACGGCTCGAGCCTCGCCGCCGCTATTGCCATAGCGATGGGAGCTGCAGTGGTCGCTTGAGGAATCGATTCCGCACTTGTCTAGGAGCCTGATGCGCGGGGCTGATCGGCGGCAATTTGAGGTTGGAATGATTATCGCGGCATTACATACACGAGTTATACCGGGTCACGTAGCTTACTGAAATGAATAGCCCTCCGCCTACATGCTGGCCGACTAGTGCTTAGGCATAGACCTTGAGCCGCAGCTCAGCATTTTCCCGCCTCAGCTCAGCAATGGTCGCTTCCAACTTGGCTTCCCTTGCTTTCTCTCCTCTATCTCCGGGGCAAGCTTCGCATGCCGGGTCTCTCTTGACCCAAGCAAAGCGCGCGTATACCAGAAGGTCCATAGTGAACAGGCACACGAGGCGGGTCACAACTCCAAAGAGCGCCGGATGTTCTGCCAGTGCCGCACCCGCCGTTCCCAGTGATCGGGCTAGCAAGCTGGAAGGATTAGCCTCTGATGCAAAGTGCTCCTTCTTTCGCACGGTCCTCAAAGGTACGTCTTGAAGTGACAACTCACCTCCTTCCTAGAAACCACGCGTTCCAGAATGTGAAGGCCGACCACGCCGCGAGGATGAGAGTGTCCACAACTGGTGTCAGAAACAGCGGATGGCAGACTTGCCATATCCTCGCTGTGCTGAGGCGAAGCCGAGAACGTCGACCATGATAACGTGCAAGGTGGTTGCGTAACAATGAAGCTCAAAGGTGCGCGCTCTCCAGCGGAATTGATGGAAAGCAGAGTGGATTCAACAACAAACATCCGTTGTACGGCATCGCGTCGAACGATAGCTTGTCGCCGAGGAATCTGCCCTGAAGCCTTGTCTCACCCTTGGTCTAACAATTCAGTTTCATACATGCCAGCGGTCACGATAAACAAACACGGCTACGCGGGGCACAGCCGTGGACCGCGAGACCCGGACTGAGAGGGACGCGAGGGTCTGAGCGCGTGAGTTAGGTTTGAGACAATGAAGAACCAAACAGTCTCGCATCCGGAAGCATGCTACCGATATTTTACAACCATAGACCAGGCAGTAACGAAACTGGTCACTTATCCACCCACGCGCGGCCGACACGATACAAGTCTCCGTGGGACTACGAGCATTACAATGGCATATGACTATCCTTCACATACGATAGCGTCCCCCATACCCCATGTTCATATGCGCGGCCTGGTCGTAGTATCCCGCCAGGTTGAAGTCAGCAGCATGAGCGTTGTCGTGTGTGGTATGGTTAATCGTGGGGTAGTAGAAGGTGCGGCCGTTGTTCGCCGCCACCTCTGCCTGACGATGGGTTGGCAGGGTGGCTGTGGTAAAAATGTCCCACGGCAGCCTTTCGCCGTCGACCGTCTCGCTGTCCTGCCGGTACATGATGTAGATGTCGAAACTAAGGGCGGCGACATAGAGGGCGAGGGCGAAGGACAGGGTGATGATCCAGCGGGTGCGCCACAGGGCGTGCTCGTCGCGAGGCGCCGCGAACCAGAAGCCCGAAAAGAACCCGAGCGCGCTCGTGCCCGTGAGGAGGACGACGGAAATGGCTGGCATCAGCGAGTTGAGGAAGAATGGACGCACATGCCAAAATGAACCTGTAGCAGGCCCCACCACGGACATGCGGCGACGCTTCCCAGATGTGGTTGAAACGGTGGTAGGAAAAGTAGAAGGGGAGCCCGAGGGCGGCGATGCCCAAGATCAGGAGGGTGATCCAGCCCACTTGCTGAGCGGTGGGGTTGGTGATGGTGGCGGTGTTGCGGACGAAGCCCGAGGCAAAGAGGAGACCGGAGGGGCAAAGGGGGCCAAGAAACCATACTATGGCTATCGTGAGCGGTCTGATGGTTGTACGCACCTAAAACGACGAGGGCAGAGCGAGAAGTCATCTTGAAACTGGACTGATGGAGACTGGAGGGCGAGGGAGCAGGCAGTGAGAGATGGTGTGGGAAACTGGGGAACGCGGTGAGATTAAAGCATTGGGGAGTCCCGACTTTGTCGTAAAACAGAGGTGGTGGGACAACTGATGTTGCGATGGAGATCAATGAAACCGAAAACTGTGGTAAACAAGAAAAGCACAGTTTGTGCTGCGGTACTATGGGCGGCGAGCATGTCGCTGGACCGAAACAGCAGTAAACCCAAGTGCATATGGAATCCGGCTAGGAGTGAGAGGGGCGCAATGGTCATAGTGCTCCTTCATAGGCACCTTGTGACGGCGGCAGGAGTTCACAAAGTGCATAGCGTCAAAGAGGCTTCAACGGGAAAGAGAGATTCAATGGTCAATCTCGAGAAGAACTATCGCGTGTCTAGGGCGAGTTCACGGGGGTTTCAACGCTCTGTTCGGGGCACACATACCAGTCCACAGGAAGCTCGTTTTCGTCCCGGGGCAAAGCAGCGAGGCGGAGTTTGCAAGCCCAGCGGCGACTAAGGCCGTCACAATGGGGACTGCACTCCTTGTGGTGGCAGATTAAGAGGCGTGCCAGCCAGCAGGTAAGTGCGCCCGAGCAGAGGAAAATAAGGCCATAGCAGAGGCCGAGGGCGAGATGCCACTTGGAGAGATTTTCCTTCAACTTTTGGTGGATCGCGAAATAACCGAGCAGCCAGCCGGCGGCACAGTTGATCGTGATGATAAGCCCACCTAGGCCTGCTGTCAGCAACGAAGAGCGGGTAACTAACAGGTGTAGCCCCATTTGTAGAACTTGGCCCTACGGGGGAAGCCCATGCCAGCGTACGGCAAAAAGAAGTCAGATAAGCGGATGTAGAGGAGAGCGAGAAGCAGCATGGTCCAGGAGAGACCGCTGAGAAAGATGACAATGCTCAAAATTAGGCAAAGCATTGGGCTTTCCCCGCGCCACGAAAAGAGGAGACCAGAACAAAGCATGGCCGCGGCAGTCACGGGCGGAAGAACAATCTCAGCAACTGCGGTCAGCGGGAAAGCGTGAGATACCGCACTAATCATCCGTATGTTTTTCAGGAGAAGCAGGAGGAAAGCTCCTCCCCTGTGGCGAAGTCGCAAAGCAGTCTCGTAAACCATTGTGGAGTCTCTTAAGCCGTGGGGATGGGATTGACAGGTGGGGAGGAGCTCGCTGGGGGGGGGGGAATTGTCCGTGGGGATTGAGAGGGTAGTGGAGTGAGGAAAAGGATACGAGGGCTTGGAACTTATATGCACGATGCGCCTGGTGTGGGATGACAGGTGGTGCGAAAAGTTCGCCACTTTGCTGTTGTGCTATCAAGACACAGTCACGGGAGGCAAGATCAAGATCAAGGGTGGGGAATGGCAGCGGTGGGAGGATGCTCGTGAGTTTTGCAGGGTTTGCGGTGATAATATTAGCTTTACAGCAGTGCCTCGACCGAAGCGAATATAGTCTATGGTCCGTGAGTTTTTGTTTTTGCCCCTGTGTGTGCGAGGTGGCTGGCGGACCAATATCCTGGTAGGATGCAACCAGACCGTGTGGATCCAAAGCACTGTAGTCCCACATCTGGGCCGTGCGAGTCGGGTGAACAGCCATTCGCCTACAGCCATACACCGCCTAGCGGCGCACTCCTCCGCAAACGCCGACACCTCGATGAGTGAAAGCATGGATCGATGGCGACAGCATGGACTACTGAGGCTGTGAACTGGGCGCCGATACAAGTGATGGTGGCGGTACGCTCATTCTCCCTGCATACTCCCTCATAATGTTGAAGCAGTGTTTTTGATTCAGACGAGGCATCAGAGATTGGCCACTTGAACCGTCTTGACCTGGCATCACTCTGTCCCCTTGTAGGAGTCAGCGTCTGGGTTTCCGCCCCTACCCCCATCTTCGACCACCAAGCTATCAAACGTCCCCTAGTCCCTTACGCTTGGCCGGTATCGAATTGGGTCGCTCTCACGACTCGAAGCAGGACGTGGGGAAACACCATCGTGTTGGCGCGACGATGCAGAGCGGTTCCGGACCACCATTGTAATATCAGCAGATACCTAGATTTGCGGTCGCCTGCCCATAGGGGTTATGGGCAGATGCCACCCTCGCAAGGTGGATATTGCATCGCTCACCTCAACGGTCTCCCCAAAGTAAATGCTCCCATGTTTCGTCCTTCTGTAAGCTTCTAGGTGATCACCAATGCCGACAACGGGAGTTGTTAGGAGAGACGCACGAGAGATGGCGCTGCCGTCAGTGCGTCCACCCTCGTAGCAGGGATGCATAATTATGGCACTGAAAGAGGTTGGTTTACCTTTGTCTAACATGACCACTGTAGCTCATCAGAGTCGTTAGACGCGCCAAGGGGGTATATCAGAACAAGCGTGTACAAAGCGGGAGATCCTGTATCGGCCAGAGCAGACATATGCTGCGGGGATTTAGGTAGTTCGGCAGATCGGCAGACAGCAGTGTGGATCTCGGCCAGCTCCGCATGGGTCTTACATGGCTGAGCGGTATTAGTGGGGCGCCAGGGTAGAGCGGAGCCGCAGACGGACAGTAAAACTGTGACGCTCGCCACTCCGAATCGCTGTGCTCTCGCGTATCTCAATGCGAGTATGGAGCTCGCCTGGTGTAGGGGCGGCAACGAGAGGAGTGACTCCCACTGAATGAGTGACTCCCACCGAAAAGTTGGGCACAGAATATGCCGAGTCAGCTGCTTCGTTGAATTGTACCTAGCACAGAACCACGTCACGAGCGTTGCACCCGAGCTTAACAAAGCCGGACATTCATGTCTATCGTTGGAAGCGTAACTCTATCTCGTAAGGAGCATGTTCATACCGAGCTGCTATCAAGCCTGTGGCGGGGGCATTTTGGCGAGGGCCTTGACCCGCCTGTCGAGCTGAACATTACCGTTGACGACGTTCTTAGCGAGCTCGGCGGCCTGCTCAGCCACATCCTGCATGCCAGTCTCGGCGCCGTTCGTCATTGCTTCGCGGACGGTCACCCCAAGATCGGCCTCGAGCAACTGTGCGACGTAGGAGGTGTTGTGGTTGATAGTGGTCTCGCCCAGCTCGCTGAGAAGGTTATGCTCCGCCAATGCTGAGGAGGTTTCTGAGATTGCGGTGGACGCGGTCGTGGAGGTCGATGTTGTTAGTGTCGGAGTACCCGAGGGCTTGGCGTGAGACAGCACGCCGAAGAGGTTTGGCTGTTCTGCTGTCAGTGAATACTGGGTCTAGGCTCACCTGTCATGTCGAGAGCACGCTTAGCGTTGGCCTCAGCGGCCTCGCGAATCGCGACAGGGTTCAGCACCTCGTGCCCCATTTCGCGGGCCAATGTCTTCGCCTCAGTGCCTACGGTGGTGCGGGCGGCCATGGATGCTTCGGACGCGACGACCGCGGCCTCTTCTCGTGCTACTGCCATCATTGGTCGCAGGGCGGCTGCTGCCATGTCTGGTGTGAGGAATTGGGGCGTATATGGTGTGGATGTCCGGTCAAGAGTGTCGTGGGATCAAAGAGAGACGTCGGAACGTTCTAACGTACACTGTGTAAGGACAAGTGTTTAGGTGGCGATGGTGGCGACGGAGGACGCGATGGGCTCCTGGGCCTTATACCGTAGATACTTGACCCTAATGCCAGATCCCATGACCATTTGAGAGCTCTGTTGTTATGCTGCTTGAATGACACTTGGATCAGTGAGATAGGTATGACGTATGACGGGATATGGCGGTATGGGCGGGATGTACACGGCTCGGCAGTGGCGCCTAATTTTGCCATGTGTCAAGACGCCTAATCACAGAGGTGAGGCAGTTAGGCTCGGAGTATCGTAGGCGTGCGAGCTCAGAGTTCACCAGCTCAAAAGAGTCGCAGTTGGTGCTTTGGAGAATGCAGAGGAGAGGAATGAGTTGGTTCATCACCATCGAGCCATTCATCCTCGGCGACGTCGTTCACTTTGTCCACTTCTTCTTGTCCCAACTCTTACCATCTGCACTGCAGTAGTCATCCTCACACGTCATCACTCATCGCCTGAACAACTTCCACACGGTGGCCAACCATCCACATCACACAAGACCATGTCTTCCTCATCCTGGCCTCCTGCTCTCAAGTGAGTCTACCCATCCACTCTAACATCAGAGTGGTGGTGCGAAAAGGGGCGCAGCTGGGGCGCAGAGGAAAGAGTGCGCTTTACGTCACTATTATTCTGAACGGGACTAGATAGCGGAGGCAGCGCTGGAGGCGAGAGCACAGCTGACCCCAGGACTTGGGTGCAGGACTGCCTGTCCAGAGCAACAACCTCCGCCAACAAGGCGGAGGTCAACGCTGAACTGAAACAGGTGCGCACGGCAATGCCAACGTAAGCGCTTACACAGATATTATTCGACGCACACCGACTTGGTACATTGCACTCGACAGACTGGTCAGCCATGAAGCTGAAAGCGTGCGTGAGCGACGTCCTGCCCATCTGACATCAGACTTCAGCCCAAAGCCCCCATTGTCACGATAGCGCCTTCAGTTTACCAACAGTCATACCCGTCTCTCTCCCCACCTACTAACGCCACCACGAAACCCACGCCCAAGAAGGAGAAGAAGGCCAAGAAGCGCAAAGGGTGAGTTATTATCACAGCATCATGCCTGACCAGCAGCGAAATCACGGACGGCTTCCCTTCCGCCTACAAGTTTGAATCAGAAGAAGAGAAGGCGGCGAAGCAGCGCCGCTTGGAGCGGTTCAATAACCCGGGCCCGTCGTCGAACGGGGGCGATGCCGGGCCACATGCGACAGGCACAGCTGCATGGTTCCCTAGCAGCAATGGTAATGGGGCTCTCAGCGCAAGACTGGCCCCAAGGCAGGTAGGACACAGCAAGTTTAGCAACTTTGGTTATGAGCCCGAGGTCGCCGAGGTGGATCCCGTGAGACGGACGATACGCTTGTGTGCTAACGGCCAGAATGTGATGGACTGGGATCATCACACGATCCGGGGAACATCAACTCGACTGGAGAAGTCTTATTTGCGCTTGACATCCGTACGTCACCCTCGATGGAAAGTGATCCTGGTAGTGACTGACCCGTAGGAGCCAAACCCGGCCGATGTGCGCCCTCTCCCCGTTTTGAAGCAGACTCTCACACTGCTCAAGCAAAAGTGGAAAGAGAACCGCAACTACGCGTATGCGCTCGACCAGTTCAAGTCTGTGCGCCAAGATTTGACTGTTCAGCGGATTAAGAACGAGTTCACCGTCGAGGTGTACGAGATCCACGCCCGCATCGCGTTGGAGGCCAAGGACCTCGGCGAGTACAATCAATGCCAGAGCATGTTGCGGCAGCTTTACGAGCTCGGGTTGGGGGGCCACCCCCTCGAGTTCCTAAGCTACCGTATCATGTATTTGCTTCACACAAGGAACCGCAGTGGTAAGCTATCCAGTCGTCGGGGAAAATAGGCTAAGACCAGACCTGGGGGTCCTACTGGGCCAGCTCACAGCGGAGCAGAAGGCTGACCCGGGAGTTGCGCACGCGCTTGCAACTGCACGTGCGCTTGCCACCTCCAACTACAGCAAGTTTTTTGATCTCTTTCTGCACGCTCCCAACATGAGCGGCTACATCATGGATCATTTCGTGGAGCGCGAGCGAGCACAAGCTTTGGCCGTCATGTCGAAGGCGTGAGTGCTCCTTGACTGTCGTGGACGGAGCCTAGTTTCGCTGATGCCAGATACATCTCTTTGCCATTATCGTATTTAACACACACGCTGGCGTTCGATAGCGACCAGGACACTGACGAGTTCCTGACGGGGCACCAGAGCGCGATTTATGTTGCTCCCGCGAGGGATACAGCCGACCCATGGAAGCCGATTGCGCCGGTCCCGCTGTCCAAACGCGTGTGGGACGCCAAGAAGGCGCATGCGGCGTGTGCAAGGGGCATAGAGAAGTACCGCGTCGTTGATCTCAAGGGGCAGGTCGACTAGAAGAAGCGCCAGACCGAAGGTGCGATTTCGCTCGGGCAATGCTTTTTCTTCGCTGTTCATCATTCCCTCGTCGGGTCCCTGGTTCACCGTTTTACGGAAAGGAGCCCATCCGTCCGTCTGCGCTCTCCTCTGTTCGTCTTGCGAACTGTCACACGACCTGTTTAGAGCACTGCCGCCAGCACCAATGTGGCGACTGTCTGTTCAAATGGCCCAATGTCTTTCCCGACACTTACGCGTCAGCTCTCTCAATGTGGCGAGGATTCCATTTTCACCTCGCCTCACCCTCGACAACCATCGCGTGTGAAGCTGAATTGCAATTATTCGCACGTTACGATCCACTTCAGGTAAGGTCAAAAGCTCACTTCCCCTCCCTCACTTTGATCGATGTCTCTGTCACATGTTCGTATTGTTGTATCAATGCTCCGTCGGCGACTGGAGGATGGAGGCCATATGCATTTGTTGCGGCCATTGTGGTCGCTGCTGTGTCCTACCACGTTTGACCTGATGGCTCGTCTTACAACTAAGGATCTGCGTGCGCGGTTGTTTTTCTCTTATTACGATGCTTTGAGTGAAATTCCGACGATTGCTTATTAGGCGTGACCTCTTAATGCCTGTCGGCCTGTCGGATGGAGAGATACGACCAGTGTAGTGTGTCGTAAGTTTAGAGCAGTGATTGAAGGATCGAAAGAGTTAGGAACGATGAATTGAGAGGCACAGCAGGGACGTCGTAACATGTGGGCGGTAGCCCAATAGGGTGCAGCCTTGCACAGGAACAACCTCCATGAGACAGCCAGGGGAGAAATCACGCAGACAGTCTGTGACGGGGGCGGGGCAGTGAAGCTAAGAAGGAGCTGAGGCAATGAGGGTCTACATGAGTTATGCGGGAACAGCAGGTGATCGACGAGCGGCTAACATTTGGCGTTTGACCAGAAACCAAAGCGGCGATCTTTGTGATGTAGAGCGATTCAGGTTGATCAAAGGATACGAGGATTAGAAGTAGCGGCGATCAGAATCCAGCATTAGAACCTTCTCCGGCTGATCGGAGCATCGGGAAACCCGTGAGAAGTGCGACCGCGCAAGCGCTCGTCGTTTCGTTGCAAGACGCTGGCAGGCGCAGAGGCGACAGCTGGGGGTTTCCGTCGGGCGATGAGCGAGAGCCGTTGGGCGCACATGCAGCCAGGCCATGCAGGTCACTTGGTACCTGGCACACCAGGGGCCAAGGCAAGGTAAGCGAGTAAGCATCACGGTGGCGGCTAGTCTACTGCAAGCGAGGTTGAGACCGGAGACCCGGCGCGGCGACCAATCGGCAATTGGGTCCCCAGATATGTCCTT